CTTCTGAGTCTCTTCGGGTGAGATTCTAAAGGGAAGTTCGATCTCGTTTAATTTGCGTTTCTTCGATGGGGACTCCTCACAGCTCGCCATGAGGGAATAGTGAAAATGGCAACAAAGCCACGAAGAGCAGAGCACCAATCGACTGTCAACAAAGTACCAATTATTATTCTCGTTGTGAACAACTTTGGGCTCGAGCGTTAAAGTGCCTAAGGGGGGTTATCGAGATACTCTACTCCCATACTCCATCGGCACCACCCATGCTTCCCCAGTAAGTCTGCAGTCGGGGTCCCAACTGCAGACTGCAGGATTCTGTCAGTGTCTAAGATTGCCTCTCCGAAGTACATAGCACGCATGCCCAACGACGCCGAAAAAGCTGCTAGCATCATGGTAAGATGATCTATCGCGGGAATATTGAATTCGGATGTGAACTGGTAGCAGTAGTGCTACTTACCACCCTGTAAATGGTCTCCAGCACACGGGAAGAACTTCAATATTTCCCCAAACTCAGTGTTGCAGCAACCACGAAATAGGGCAAGCAAACAGTTGACGTGAGCATTAGTCTATGGTTGAATATAGACTCGCGTGAATATACCACGATTAGCTCGCCCTTGCTGCTTCACAACTATCGAATCAGTAACCTGACCGTATAAGGGCGTCAACGACCCCCTACCAAAGGCCCCAAGCTCATGGTCATAGGCGTGGGTGCTATGGCGTTCCCGGACCCCCTCCCCTCCTCGACAAGGTAGTGGTGGGGTCGATGTGAGATTTCTCAGGGAGCTCGGAGTAAGTCGATCTAGGCTCAACGTACCATAGGCAAACTCACCCGGCAGACACAGATGGCGATCGACTGGTAGTAGAAGTGACCACTCAGAACACCCAAGTCAAGGAGTAGGAAACGTAGCAGTAGTGGTAACATCATATAGAGCGACGCGAGAAGTACTGTGGTAGGGGAGGGTATCCTCCACTGTTGTAGGACTGTGGTGGATTGGGCGGTGGAAAATTTCCAACAGCATTCTTGAAGGCATTCGGGAGGGTACTGAAGTGGTCCGGAGACGCCTGATGATGAGGACACGAGAGTAAGCCGATAACAATGTCCTGATCTCACTACCTTCTTCAACGACCACAAGAACACTGCTAAGGCCTGCACTATGTTGGTATTGCCCCTCTGGCACACCATCAGCTCTCCTGCTCTCGAGGATCCACCATCCCTTTGCATCGCTCCGCCAACGCCCCTCGTGCCCACTCGAGTTGCATCCATCACATTGTACGTGATGATGCCCGTTGACGTGTCGTAGCATCTGATAGAGCACCCTATGCTACGATTAGCCCGTGGAGCGGTATGCAAGTACCTCTGGATCCACACAGGGGAGTCTGCTCCCCGACGACCAAGCCCCAGACCACCAGTGGACCACCGGGGAGGGCGAACTAGGCCAGCAGCCTGAGATGCAGCAGCAGTAGAGGGAATAGTAATACCCAACGCTATACCTGCGTGAGGGCCGTCTGTGACTCCACCCCGTCTCTGACATCTACTGACCGGACAAACGTCGAAGTGAACGGACGAGCGCCGGCACTACCACCAGCGTTCATATGACAATCCAATGCACTGAGTTGGAATACAATCATACCAGAGAGAGAGCAACAGCTGCCTTACTGTAATAGTACATGGTCCAATACCCTCGAGTCAGTGACAGTATCACAAGTAGTAGTAGCGACAGCAGCAGTGGGGGCATGTCCAGATGCTCTACCATCATAGACTGTATTAAGAACCTCCTTCTGATCGTACTGATACCCCGACCGAAGGCCGTGCCTACCACACACCAGATGAGTACGATCCCATGGTTGCATCGACCTACGTTGCCCAGTCACAGACTCTCGAGACCACATAGTCTCTACTAGAGTATAGGAGTCCCCCACCATACCCTGAAGGGGTTGATATCGAGTCCGCCTCTTGAATGGGAGGTAGCAGGAAGTAGCGTTCGAGCACAAGCCTATTGTACTTGAATACCACAAATTGGCCAGATCACATCTACTACCTGTGCTTCCATGCCGCGTTGAGCTCTGATAGACTACTGAGCGGGTGAGGCAAATTCCGATCAGAGAGGTATATAGCTCCAGGAAGGGCCGAGGGCTCTCCCCCCATGGAGGTGTTTGCGGAAGACTACAAGAAGACCATATTGGGAATGGGAACTCATAGGGTCGTACCATTGGCGGCCTCGTTATGGTCCTTCCCCCATCACTGACCGTCGCACATGCCAGGAAGAAGCCTTGCCCCGCCACCCTAAAGGGCCCACCATGAACAACAGTGATAAACTAAGCACTCACTTGACCGCGTTGCTCAACTGGGAGTCACTAAGCGCCAGCATACGGATAAGTGGCTCTACGATTTGACGATCAATAACGTCAGAGGCGACCGTCCTGGCCCAGGCTGACACCACCTCATGCCCAAACACATCGGCTGCGGACACACCACCAACGGACTGAAGATGACCACTGAGGAAGGCCCCTGCTCTACCATACTCACCAAGGAGGCACCAGGTCGGCCACTACCCCAGGCCGGCTCCGATCGGTTCAAAGGGGTTGACGACAACGACGCCCGACTTACAGAGGCCATCGAGGGAGTGTCGGCTACAGCATAAGGACTCGGTATCTGTGATACGAAGGATAGGGAATGGAAGTACCCATAGAGAGCCCTACCCGGTGAGGGGTCAAATCATGAGCCCCACGAGCATAGTGATGGCCAGGTGGGCTCAGAGGGTTGTCCTGCGTAGCTCTAGGATCCGGGTAAGCTATCGCAGCCTGAGTCTGCCTCAGATCATCGCCACTCTGAGATGATACAGCATACCAATGAAAGATACATCTCCAATGAACACACGCGCACAGCGAAGATTTTCACCTTCACCACGCCACAAACTTTCGCCATCTTACCCTGTTAGCAGGCATAGAGGAGACCGCAGGAGCTCCAAAGAGCTTCATTTGCGGCTGTTGTGGTTGGATGGTAGCAGTGGTCTCCTGCAAGGGGGCCCGTCTGACCTCGAACGCTTGTTCCTCAGAGGCTGTTCGCGAGGTGAGAAACACTTGGGTGAACACTATCGAGGCGGTGACGACCCCCAGGAGCATGGCTGGCGTAACCTCAACGTTGCGGTATACGTCTGTTATCATCACCCAAGCCACTATGATGCCTCCAACACACACAAGGACCGCCATGAAAATCCCTCTCGCCGTGTATCGATGCTCATAGCGCCGTGGAGGAGGGACCACTGCACGCTGGAGGGGCTCAGAGGAGTCCACCACTGCGGGCAATTGAGTAGTAGGAGTAGGCACCGTGGCTGCCGATGATGAACCACCACTAAGACGCTTCTTGAAGGAGGAAGACTCGAAACGACCTATCCCAGTAGACGATGGTTGGTCATGGGCCGGCGGCTGCTCCACAGGAGGCATGGAACAAAATGGAACAACTATAGCTACAGTCTTCCCCCAAATCATCGTTTCAACTCGACACAGCACATTCCATCAACAGCAACGTTCGCCTCACCTCCACCGACTTCGGGTACATTGCTACCATTTTCCAGAGAAGGGGGAAGTGCGGCTGTGGTAACATGAAAAGTATAGCCATCACTATCGAGTGCTCGAGTCGGCATAAGAAAATTGGCACGGGGGGATGTGGGCAGTATGATTCCGAGGCAGATCGGCCGTGCCGCACAGGTCGACGTAGGGGGCGTTATAAGAATAATAGCAGTACAGCAGAGACACACTATTACGACTATATCGGTAGTCACAGAGCTACCATCTCTGATTCTATCACTCCCTTTTCTACCGAGAAGAGAACCCATCGTGAATGGAAACTGCTCATCAGGACTAGCAGTATCCTGAGGGCCCTTCATTATTCCATATCACCAGGGCATCGTCACTGCCACCTTAGTAGTAGTAGATAGACAGCCACTGCCTCTGGTGATACCAGACTGCACCGTGGCACCACTCGACCTCCTTCATTGTGCGTAAGGTATGAGTACTACCTTCCACTTGCTCCTATATACCTACCTTATCTATGCACACCCTAAGACCTTCCATAGCCTATCATCCTCGCCTACCCAGCAGTATTGCCAAGAAGATACGCTACTATCCAACATGCTAGCTTTAAGATTCATTACTTATATATTACGTAGCCACACCTGCATCTATTCGCCTTCACTACGTCGTGCATAGGCCCCCAGTACCCTCCAAGTTTAGGTGGCAAACGTAGAACCCAATCACCTTATAGAAGGACGTCCACCTGTTGATGTCCCCTCGGATGAGTCTAGCTTACACTAACCTTTTGTATGAGGAGCTCTCAAAAAGCTTCAGAAGCGATACGAATAGAAAACGAGACGCGGATCTACTGGTACTGAAAAATTTCTCATGGTGAAAAATAATGGGAGAAAAAACCGACTAAATATGCTTCCATTGAGGAGCGTGCCAAGGGATAGCCATCACTTCGATGCTTTCTTCATCAAGTTGAACACACCCACCGCCACAGCAGCGACGGTCGCTGTTGCGAAGATGATCTGGAGGGCATGGGGTAAGTCACATGCGCACGATGGCAGGGGCCTGCCTGAGTGGCGCTCCAACCGTTGTCAGCAGAGTCCCTGAGTTTGGTCTCCAATGGGATGCCAGGAGTATCCTCTTTCCCTTCCAAAACACCTCAGAGAGCACTAGAGAAGTAGCCGTGGTAGTAGTGCTACCTATGGCTACTTCACGAACTAGTTTCATACGGGCCTCGTCTGAATGATCGACGTCATCATATTCCTCAGTGCAATCAGCACCTAGCCGCATTCACTACCACCTCCATGTAGAAGACGCCTCCCGTAGTACCAACATGGAGCATGAGGATGCTCTCTCCCCCAGGATGCTCCTCCTTGAACTTGCTAACATCTAATACCACACCATGAACAGAAATCCTGACAAGGACATACCCCATTGTAAGACTAACCCCCTAGTAGCCAGCGTATGTGCCTATTACCATGCATCGTGCTTGGATGTATGCCTAGCGAGCTCAGCTCTGGTTATTACTCTCTTTCTGATGGCATTAGTGGGACTATGATACCCATCGGGCATTGTAGTAGAACCTAATCTAACTCTTTCCAATTAGTAGGTTTGCCCGACAAGCGAGACCATCAGATAAGGATCTATACAGCACACCCTAGTAGGGGGCATCGGGCTCATCCACGTCCTCACATACAGCGCACCTTCAACCGGCGGTGTGGAATGGCGAGTACATCGATTAGATGGGCGTAGCGAGATTTGCAATCACGGTTCATAGCCGTGCTCCTCCACCGCAGACTAACCCCTAAATTCCCTGACGATGAGTCAAACTACTATCGAGTGCAACTACGACGATGCTCCCGTCGATTCCTTCGACGACTTGGACTTGGATGAGAACCTTTTGCGAGGAATCTACTCATACGGTTTCGAGAAGCCCTCGGCTATTCAATCGGTGAGAATAGGGGATTCCTTCCGAAAATTCCGACGTGCTCTTTCTCGCTACCGTCGAGGATTCGCAAAACTCGTACCACGCCATCGGGAATTCGCGGCTAGGATAGTCTTAAGGAATTGGGAGTGGAACAATGGACTTCATCAGGAGGGGGATAATTTATGGTATAGAAATTATGTCCATCTTTCAGAGGGCCATCAAGCCTTTGATTGCCGGTCGCGACACCATAGGCCAGGCCCAGTCTGGTACTGGTAAAACCGGCGCTTTCACCATTGGGTGCCTCGCCCGTGTTGACCCCAAGCTTAGAGCCACCCAGGCCCTCATCCTAGCCCCTACTCGTGAGCTCGCTCAGCAGATCACTTCGGTACTACTGAGCGAACAGTAAAGGGATAGTGACGTCTTTATGCCTCACCAACAGGTCACCAAGTCCCTTGCTGACTTCCTCGACATCAAGTGCCATGCTTGCATTGGTGGTACTGCTGTTCGTGAGGATATTGAGAAGCTCCGTGAGGGACAGCACGTCGTGGTTGGCACTCCTGGCCGTGTCTTCGATATGGCCAATAAGAGGCATCTCAGGTATCAATAACATATGACCACATCTCAGTCTTGCTGGATATCTTTTACTTTAGGTTGGATGACCTCAAGATCTTCGTTCTCGATGAGGCCGATGAGATGCTCTCTCGAGGGTTCAAGGATCAGATCTACGACGTCTTCCGTCTCTTGCCCAGCAACGTCCAGGTGGGCCCTTCCTACTCCTCCTAACGACTGTATAATCCTCTCTGTAGGTCGCATTGTTCTCGGCTACCCTTCCTGATGATATCATTCAGCTGACTACCAAATTCATGCGTGATCCCGTCCGAATCCTCGTCAAGACTGATGAGCTGACCTTGGAAGGTGAGAGCTTTCTCCCTCAACTGTCCTTGTCGTACGCTTTTCCTCAGGTATCCGTCAGTTCTACATCGCTATTGATTCTGAGGAGTACAAGTTCGATACCCTCAAGGATTTGTATGAGACCCTCACCATCACTCAGGCTATCATCTACTGCAACACCAGGAGAAAGGTCGACTACCTCGCCGAGAAGATGCACGAGGCCGATCACACCGTCTCCTGCATGCATGCTGACCTCACTCAAGAGGAGCGTGATTTGATCATGCGGGAGTTCCGTTCTGGCAGCTCTCGTGTGTTGATCTCAACTGATCTCTTGGCCCGTGGTATTGACGTACAACAAGTGTCTTTGGTCATCAACTATGATATCCCGGCTTCGATCGAGAACTACCTCCATCGTATTGGTCGTGGTGGTCGTTTCGGTCGTAAGGGTGTTGCCATCAACTTTGTCGTCCCTGATGATATCAAGCAACTTCGCGAGATAGAACGTCATTACAACACCCAGGTCGATGAGATGCCCATGGATGTTGCTGACTTCCTCTAAGCTGCTCCTTCAACGTAAACGATAATAGCAAGTCAGTCGTCATTGGAGTAACACGCCTCTAGACTTGCGTTATGACTATCATCAGTATCAGCTCTCACTATCGGCTCTGTGGTTATCATTACTATATATCATCCTCGGTGGCAATCGCTAGGATGATATCACTAGTGTGTTATTCCACTGCAATTTTGGGATATGTTGTTAGTCATAATTGCATCTATTGGTATTATTCTATTGGTAATTATCGTTACGACTTGCTACGACGCCAATGAGTAGTTCTTATTTGCTGTTATCATCATACGGATGATGGTCATCGTCCTCACTGTGTTGGCATTTTTCCTCGACTCTACTCTTATTAATTCTCGTGAGATCAACGTTAAGTCTGCGCGTTGTTCTCTCTTGAATTTCTCTGTAATATGTGTAGCTAACAGCATCGGTCATCACCATTACTGTTGCTACTATCAATGCTATGGTAATGTTCCATGAACTATGTCGCTGCTACTGTTATCCTCTGATGAGTTCCTATCGACGGTTTGTAACTATCGAATGTGGACTATTATTGTTATGTACAACAGCCGAACCCTTAGAGGCTTTTAGTAGTCTCTCTGGCAACGTCAATGACATCGTGACTTGAATCTTCATGTTCTGAGACCCATTTTAGTCATTATCATACCGTTTGTATCTGGTTGGTGGTATCGTCTACTAACTGGAGATCAGTGAGAAGACAACGGCTAGATGAATGTCTCATACTGTTTGTACTGTACATGATAATGTGTGGGCGACTCAGTTATCACATCTCGTCAACAGTATCAGCGATGATAGTACAGCGTCTTCACAGTTATTCATTGATGTTTATGATGCTGTAAGCTTTAAAGGCGTAGTGCTCACATCAGTGTGGACAGTGATGATGATAATCACGTTGGTGATGATGACTAAGGTGGATCATCGTCTACTGGCCTAGTAGTCCTGTAATCGTTACATATTTACGCGGCTTCCTTCATCACCTCATGTTGACTTGTGTCAATGACATAGTAAGTGCTACCGGCTTGTCGTCGGTTTGGCGTTAATTATATGAACATCTGTTTCCTCATCATATCCTGTCCGTATTCCTTCGCGCTCCACTGGTCTACCCCGATTCTCATCCAAAGGGAAGCTCGAGACCATATCTTGGACATGCTTGGCAACGCTGAGAGACAAGCTCTACGTTGGTACCCTGACAAGAAGACCATACGTGGTGTTATCCGAGATATCGATGAAAGGGTTGATGATACTCTGAAACGCATCGTTATCAACTAGGATGCTCGAAGTTCTCTTCATGCCGCATGATGACTCCGTTTTCCATCTTATGTCACGAGTTCGGGGAGTCGAGGGAGTCTCTCGCCCTGTTTGTTCGCGAGATTGTGAGTTGCTGAGTACAGGAATCATCGATGTTGGTTACGAATGAACGGGAAAGGCTCCGCGCTAGTCATGTTCGTGGGACGATTTCCCTCAGGAGACTACCGTACAACTGACTATTGAATCGTACGAGAATAGTGTAGTGATAAAGGATGTAGGGTCGTTGTTCTCCCTCATTGCAATGTGTAATCTCGTACTCGGTAGTCCTCTCTTGGTATGGACAGGTTGGAGGTTTTGCGAGTCGTGATGATCTTGAGCCTCATCCTATGATCGGACCGCAGCTCTCAGCGGTACGCTACAGTAGACACAAGCATTCGAGTTCTTCGCACTCAACAATCATTTGGTCGCTCTACTCGTTGATTACGGCGCTGAGGTGTACCATCAGGAGATTAATATGTGTCTCACTAGGGCCGACTGGGGCTGTTTTCTGATTCGGAATTAATGTCCATTTATCAGTAGTTATGACGACTTTAAGGTGAAGACCAATACTCCAACAATGTCCGATTTCGAGTATCTTGCTATATTGATCTGAAAATCTTCTATCCATCTTTTGCTTTCTGTATGAGATTTCTGCATCTTCATTCTCTCTCTGTGATCGTTGTGTTGAGGAGTACACCTTATTTTATGCGATTTGGGCGCGCTGAAAATTGAAGTTGCAATCTATTATTGAGGTATTTAAACCTCTTACCCGGCTCCCTTCCTCCCCCGCGTTGAGTCGTGGACCGGAGGACAACGCTATACACATGAAGTCCTCGGCCGATGTGATGGGGCCAGCCTCACAAGTAACGTGAGGTTCCACACCGTATCACCACGGTGGGCAGGAGGATGAAGAGATGAATAACAAATAATTGAGGCGAAGGTGGGATGTAGCCCAACATCTCGAATGAACTTTGAAGCACCACTGGTAGCGCTAAGTATTGCGTTGACACAACGTATCTGTCCTTCTACACACGTCGGGGATCCTCGCCGAGTAAAGCGGCCCAGCAAGTTGACCTCGATTACTGGTCGATTGATCGGAGGTAGTGCGCTTTATACAGAGTGGCCATGTATTTAGGCCGACATGTACTTGTGTGACCCTGTTGTTATTGAATAAAAATCTACACAATATGTAGTAAATCATGGTCCATGCCTATACAAAACCATTATCTCCCCAGTGGCGAAATGAAGATTCTCTCACAGAGAACTCCCACCCCGATAGGCAGTTTCCATGATGTTGACTTCTAGAATAAATCGAAATCTCACCTAATCTAGCGTTTCACTTCCCAATGAAAGGTGATTCATCGGTGATATAAACGCAATTACGTACATCAGATGGGAAACAATACACAACTTTGCTGAAAAATAACAAATGATTACACGAAGCCAGTCAGGGTCTTGAGAGTATTGCTATCCAATGGGGTCCTTCTTGGTGACCGTCCACTCTCCGCTACAACGATAGGACGACCCGGATGCAGTAGGCTTACATGAGGGCAGAAGGACTGCCCAACGCGACCATCATCTGGACCATCCAATTTCCAGTTGAGGACAATATGGTAATGTTCAGAGACCTTGGAGGCATCCTTCTTGACAGATGGAACCGGTAAACCAAGGTCACCTAGCGTTTTGGTCTTCCTATTGGCCGATAGGTGTTGTGCTGTCTTGGCCTCGTTGAGTAGGAAATCCCCACCTTCAGAAACCATAGAGGAGTACGCACCACCACTAGTAACCCAGTAGATCAACTGGAGACTCTTACCAGGGCCGAGCCTTTCCTCTCCTGCTGGTATGGGCAAGGCCTCGTCAACCTGCAATGCTCCAAGGGCAGAGGACGGGTACACGTCAATAGGCCCACTCTGGTCGAGCACTATCGTATGAGTTGGAGAAAAATTCGTTACAAGGCAGCGCATTGGAACCAATACTGCCCGCCGAGGTCCAGCCTTAGGGGAACCCACACCAGCCAGCTTCAATTGTACTCCAGGATGAACAAAGACATCTCTTTCAAGGCAAGTCCAGGTGATCCTGCCACTAACGCCGATACCACGGGCGGCTAGGCGGACTCTATGGTGGCCAACATGGTGACCACGGATGGTAAAAGGGACTTCTACTGTGGCTCCTACAGCCAGGGGTTGGGCGGATGCCTCCTTCCCTTGAGAACTGATGGCTATGGCCTTGTCCTGGTGTGAATAGAACCACTCAAGTTTGGTGATGGTCTCCGTTCCCACGTTGGCTACCGTGATGATCGGGTGTTTCAGTTCGCCGACCAACAGCTCACCCTGCACACCAGGGGTGCTGGCTCTTATAAGAGGCATACTATCTACTGCAGTGACGGACACTCGTTGGTCCTTAGGACATGTCCAGCAGCAAGGGGCCGTGTGGTCTAGGACCCACTGGGCTCCTGTTACTACTATCTTCCCTGTCGCTTTAGGAGTTACATTCATCGCCACAGTCACCATCTGATCCCCTTCCAAACGGATGGGATCAGCCACCGAGCAGTCCACCAAAAAAGGGTCTTCAAAGTCCAGTCGGAGGTCGGTAACTTCAATGGGAATTTGCAGTGGGTTCGTTACCACCAATGTGGCACACACTCGTTGGCCGACCAAGACCACTCCAGAATCGTCAGCAGGTGCCCTGTCCGTGCCCATACTAAGACCACATATAGACCCCCAGCTCTCCACCTCTGTCTCTATAGGACGATTGGTGAACCCCATAGGGTCGCAACGGCCCACCCCAGCATCCATCTGCCCGGACCCTGCCCTATGAACAGAGTCCCCCACTGTGGTACTAACCCCATCAACAGAGACCTGAACACACTCAGGGTACCGTCCGACTCAGTAGGGGAAAAGATGCGCATGGTCAGCTACATGTGTAGGCGGAAATATGGGAATTTTGAGGAAATTTTGTCAAGGTCTTGTTGGTTTCTGTACACTTCTACCCTAGTTATTATATAAGCTCCTACAGGCAGTGAAGGAGCTCCTGATCTCAGTCGAATAAAGCGAACATATATTCCAACACTTGTCAGGCTTTGTTGCTGCCATCAGGGCCTACCTTCGGAAGGATGACAGCAACTCGATCATCCACCGGCACGTCTCCCAACTCCTTCCCATACCGACTTCGAAGCACATATAGGAAGCCCTTGAGGTAGTTGTGCTGCTTCCCGACCGATATCGTTGAGCGGACATCCTTCTGGAGGGTAATAGAGTTGAAGAGGTCCGTGAAGTAGGCGATGCTCCTTGTTGTGTGACCAAGGGCAAAGGTCTGCTTAGCCATAGTGAAGAGGAGATGGTCAGTAATATGCGTCCATCCCTTGCCGGCGTATTCAGGCACCACAGCCTTATAACATCTATAGAAGGAGGCATACCACAACAAGCACAACTTCTCTCGCTATCCTACGCTAGAGCCCACTGCTTGTAGCCCGCCTTGTTGAAGGTATGTCCGGCTAGGACCAAGTGGAAACACATCTTACGGACCTTACCAAGACAGACTCGAACGAGGTCGCCCCAGCTGCTGGGGCCTACCTGACCAGCGTCCCTCTGTAGCCTGGCGGCCCTCTCCAGTAGAAGAGCACACCTGAGGCCAGCATCAGGGATATCCCCGTTGGTCTTGAGGAGCTTCTGTGGACTATCAGTCCTCCCCCTCAGGATTGCCGACTGTATTATCGCAGACCTAACAAACCAAAGACCTACTACGCCACACACCACGACAGTGACCAACCGCATCGCTTGCCGATAGAAGCGTGGTCCGGCCTTCTGATACAGCTCTACCGCGTTGTCCATGTAGCGGCTCATCTCCGAAACGGCGACCACCTCCCCTCCAGTAGAGATGTGTGCTAGCCATGCAGCTACCGCCGCCATCTCATAAGCCCCAGCGGCCACCGCCCATTGGTGGTCTTGCTTGAAGTCCGGGGTGACCTGAACCCAGTCTACATACCAACACAGAGAGGGTAGGTACCTGGCGGTAGTAGGACAAGGCCTGGGTGTAGTCCCGGAGGTGGAAGGCGAGGTCCCCAGCCAACCGGATCTGCCACTCCAGGCTGGAGAGGGTATAGCCCTCAGCCGTCGATCGGCCTTGGACATCTGATGTGAATCACCCATACCCATCGGAGGACCCCAAAAGCCTTACTCTGACTACTGCCAATGGGACCACTGATGACCTCTGTACCAGGGAGGTTCGGCTTCCTTAGAAAACGGCTGAAGGCATTACGGAAACCCTTCCGTTTCTGCGATATGTTGTCGTCCAACTCGGCGAGCTTCCTCTCAGCCCAAGGGACCGCACACTCCGTGACTATAGCGGTACCTGTCAATAAGCCACTACTCTCTCAGAGTAATAGTGCTGGACATACCCAAACGTTGGAGGTCATCAATTTCACTCCACTGGACGCCTGCTGCAGCGCGTTCGTCAAGGGCCGGGGTGATAGGGCCTCGCCTGACAATGGGTCTGCGGTCCGGCAATGGCATAAACCACGACCTACCGGAACAGGGCCTGTATGTCGGGAATAGGGTCCTGCCCTTCCCCAACGACCAGGATGAAGCAGCTCTTAGGTGAGTAGTTGCTCTGCATGCGATTGAGCAAGGCATCTAGATCAAGGCCTGGGGGCGCCCTGGAAGGGTCGTGGACAAGCACCTGGGACCACCACCACGGCATGTCCAACCCCACCGCCCCGCCTCCCTTATCACCTTCATCCGGGCAGCATCAGGATCGAGGACCCCGCGTCTAGCTAAAGGAGGCATATTAGCTTCATGCATGAGCTGCTCGAAGGCCTCTATGGGGTCCACTACACCCTCATCGTCCATAGTGGGCTCCAAGGCGCTAGTGGAGGCTACCAATACCGTCGCCAACGGCTGTGATATGCACCTACACAGAGGTGGAGGACGATACTCCAGAGGTAAGGTACTCACTCATGGTCACTGAAGGCCAGTGATGCAACCTCAGAGGACAGCCAGGCATCGAACCACGGTGGGGAGGTACCACCCAAGGTCTGATCTAGCAACAACAGGAGCACATCTCAGCTGGAATAGGAAGACGCGCACGGCACCTCCTTGTGGTACACAGGCTGCAAAGGCCTTCGAGGACTGGTCCTGTGCTACAGACTCCGGCACTTGCGTGGCATCCTCTGTGGCCAGAAAGCGTATTCGGAATCCCTGCACTACACTAGCGACCAGGCCTTCTGAGCAGTTTACCTCAACTTGCCTTGATCTACCACCTGTGCGGACCTGCACCGTCATTGGGGTATAGTACCCTCCGAAAGGCTGCAGAAGCTCTGAAACGGAGACAGTCCGAACCAGTGTTGGAATCGATGTTCGCGTTCCTCAGCTGAGTTCAGGAGTTTCCAAAGCTATACTGTAGGAGTTTACACACGACTTGGGCTAAAAGTGTACTAAGAATTTCCTCAGAATTTTCATATTGTCACCGACACATGAAGTTGACCATATTTTCCAACACAGGTCCAAACCAGAGGAGTCCCCAGTGGCGGCGATGATAACTACGCGGTATGGTCATCCTGTGGGCTTGCCACACCACTTCCTTAGCCTGCTCAGTGGCCACTACCACTGCTGTTGCTGAGAAAGCTAGATCTTGGCACCATTGCTCAGAGTCAGCATCGATGGCCATATGCGTCATAGTATTACCCCTGAGGACCATTTGGACCATTGAACCCATCAACACAACATCTCTAGGGTGGAACATGATCATACTGCAAACACCAAAAATAATGTAATCCACTCCTGCCCGCCGCTGGTGAAGAATTCCCAGTCAAATCTAAAAGTGCGTTGGTCGAGCCTCGGCCAAATCCTGACCAACGACAGGCTCCGACGAGACTACCGAGGATGTTGGCAGCGACTCAGCGGTATCAGCGACAGAAACCCGTACGTTCCGAGAGGCCCGAGTCTTGCGCATCCAATTACCATGCCGGCTGCATTCAACCACCTCCATGCCACATGCAATACTCCGTCAGGTCTACCACTCCTCCGTCACATCCCAAATGTGCACATCGTCGGCTCCCTCCCAACATGCTCAGAGCATCTGTACCACTCACTACAGGCGGCCCTCGGACACTGTTAGGTGGTACAGCGTCTACCCCTCCCCCCGAAGGTAACAAGGTGGTCTCTAGCCCCAGCCGCCCCGTACAGGGATCGTTCCTGATGGAACCTACGACCACCACCATGAGTACCACAGCGGAAGACCCTCGGGCCCCTCTGCCACAGGAGCACCTTCGACCCTGCGGCCCTACTCCTCGTGCTAACCTAATGCATGCTAATACTTCGAGTTGCCTATGAGAGGACGTAGACTTTGCACTACTCAAGCAAGGCGTGGACTACCGCGAAAGAATCAGAGGAGAAGAGCACTACCAAGAAGACTGAGCTCAAGGGCTCCTCCTGAGTGACTTACCCGAACTACTACCATATCCGATGAGGCCCCGGAGGAACAAGTGGACCCCAGTGAGGACAGCGAGGTAAGCCTGCTAGGGATCCCATAACTGGGCGATGTTGGGCCATCGGTGGAGTCGACTCTCCTCCATGAAGCCTGCAGCGCCTCGCCCCAAGGTGGTTTGATGACGGCAGAGTGATTAACAGAAGGCGTCCCAGCCACGTGGTTGCTTATGCAGGCTCATCCTGGTGGCCCTGCATACGGTCTTTGCTGGGCCCATCTGGTACCCTACTCGTCTCTTTTGCACAGCCCTGCCCCTTCCGATATCCCCTCTGTAGAACTCAATTCCCACTGTGTTCCTCCAAGTCCTTTATCGCCAAAGCACTGAGGATTGGCAAGAGTGATGATGACCATAATGAGGTAGTAGGAGGATCCATAGCCCATCAACAACAAGCTCACAGCAGGCCCCTCTGCAGCCACACTTCACTCCTAGACCAATCATCATGCCTCGAGAGCGGTAGTAAGAGCCACGGGTCAGGCTCTTGTTAACTCGGCGTCAACATCATTAGGCGACTACGGAGGAGAAGTGAGGGAGAATCTCATTGGAGCGACAACACAACAGCACATGAGGCCACCGACCCTCACACGTAGGTTCAGTAGAGACCCAGGCGTTACCAGACTCCTATCTATGCAAGTTCGAAGGACTCTACCTTGAGGACGAACGCCCGCTCCAGACGGACTTTGCGCCAGTTTTAAAAATGGCGTGAAATCCAGAGCCGTTTGCATTATCGTTAACGGTATGAGAGTCTTATAATAAGACTCTCGAAAGCAACACTCCCCCCATCCACGGTGTCTATGATGGCGAGTTTGGGATCTCTCAATCGAGGAGCGGTATAGAGTTGATCTTGGACTGCTTATACTCTCTTGCATTTCCTCAATGCTCGAGTCGCATCACCTTCGTCTTTCCCTTGGTTCACGCCAGCTTCACAGTTAGAACGTATCGGCAGACTCGCTATTGGGGCTCCATAGAGTGGTCAGGCTCTGCAGTCTCCCTCAGAGACCTCATCCGCGCTGTACCAAAATCTTGCGAGTGCGTTCCTGCGCCGATATAGCATAGGGCACGATAGGCCTTTACACTAGTCTTCGAATGTTGGTACGATGCCAGCGGTAGGGCCACACTTATTTTGGCTGATCGCATAGTAAAGCTTTAGCCCACTGGGCAGTCGTAGCTGCAAGCGTCAGTGTAGGGGCCAGCAGTCTCGGGGTGGGGTCGCCTACTTTACGTAAGCTCGTCATCGTCCTCAGGGTTCCTTACTGGTATTGCTCCCCTTTCTGCAATAGCATCACCGTGTTATGATCCTGTAAGTGACCATCAGCCTACCATCAAATACTCTGCTCTTTAGATACACGCTAGCTCTCCCCGGGACCATAGTCCTGGTGGGAGCACCATTCGTCTTAGCCCAACAGTCCATCTCCGACCCTTCCACTTCTTCAGAGGTGTTGGTCCGGCGGCTCAGTGGGGTCGAGGATGAGGCCTCTGTACTGGGCATGATATTTGGTGACTGTTCCTGTAGCGGTGTTATGGTATGCGATACGGACTCCCCGGGCACGTCCATCATAGCTGCTCCTCTCGACCTAATCGTTTCCATTTTACTCCTTTTGTACACATTCAAAGCCCTGGGCTCGATGTGTGACGACTACTTCGTCATCGCCTTGGAGGCCATCTCGGTGGCCCTCAATCTCTCACCGGACGTGGCCGGGGCGACCTTCATGGCTGCGGGCTCGTCAGCGCCCGAGCTCTTCACTTCAGTGGTGGCCACTTTCCTCATTGTGAACGAAGGTGGCGTGGGTACGATCATAGGCTCGGCGATCTTCAACATCCTCGTAATCATTGGTGCAACTTGCCTCTTTGCCGGGCAGTCCTTAGAACTAAACTGGTATCCGCTAACACGGGACACCATCTTCTACGTTGTGGCCATACTAGAGATGTCCCTTGCACTACTGGATGAGGAAGTGGTCCTTTGGGAGGCTCTACTCCTTATAGGCTCATATGTGGCCTACTGCGTGTTCATGAAGTTCAATGGGGTCATTGCAGCCAAGTTGGGTGGGCAGGCTGCCCAAGAAATAGCAGAGGTCACGGCTGCTGTCGACTGCGGTGAAAATGGCACCAACAACGATGACAAATCCAACGACATTTCCCTCGTGGAAAGTCCTGTACCGTTTGATGGTGGTACTGGTGGACTAGATTCCATACCACTTGGTCAGTTGCCCAATCAGATGGAAGAGGGCTGTGACCACCGACGTAACCGTACCTCGGTATCTAGTGTACCCAGCTCGAGACGGCACTCACATCGCGATTCGGTCTACCATCCTCCTTCCAGACGAGTATCGTATCAATTCGGTGTCAACAAATTCCGAGTTAAAAGCCGTACTGTGGAGATCTACCACCATTCGCACGGTGTGCCCAGTCAGGACCCGGCGGAAGGTGTCCGAGGGTCACCATCGCCCATCGTCCCTTTAGGGCCGGCTCAGGGCGTTATCGCATTGACGAAGGTAGATGATCACGTAGATGAACTCAAGGGTTGGAGGAGATGGGCCCGAGACCCTCTATTGATATTTTGGGAATACACAATGCCTGACCCTTCTCATTACTGGATCCTCTTTGGCCTGTCTATATTGTGGATAGGAGCCCTGACATACCTCATGGTCGATGCATGCAACAGGATGGGTTGCCTTCTCAACCTACCGTCTTTGGTCATGGGCCTTGTCTTTTTGGCTGCTGGCACTAGTGTGCCCGATGCACTAGGCTCGATAGCAGTAGCTAGGCAAGGGGAAGGCGATATGGCTGTGTCTAATGCGGTCGGGTCTAACGTGTTTGATATCATGCTTGGCTTGGGTGTACCGTGGACGTTGAAGTTAGCAATGGGAAAGCATGTACTCTTCCCCAACGCGAGAGACACTCTACCACAGTACATATTAATCTTGGCATTGGTCCTGTTCCTATTCCTAGCCACTGTAATACTAAACAGGTGGGTATTGAATAAACAAATGGGCGCCTCTTTAATTGTTATGTATGGTGGTTATGTTGTTTACGCGCTTATTCGAGGTGGGTCCGAGGAGGCTTGACAGAATCTACGAGATTGCCTGACATCGTGGTCGCGGCATTATCATCAGCATCATTTTGCCATGTTCATGTGTGTTGTCCTATGCCAACTCGTTGTGTTCATAGTGTCGTCAGTGAAAAACAGTGGCGCTTCTGAAGGGTCCTACTGCATCAGCCGACAACGGTTCACATTTAGCATTGGTGGAATACTCCCTTGCTATTCTACTCAGCCGTTCAGAAAAGGTCCATCCAAAGACAGACCGCCTGATATCGATGGACTGCCTCAGGGGCTGTGAGGTGATGCAACTCCTGCTTGACCACGACGCTGATTATGCCCCCCCTAGTCTTCGAGTGGAGCGGTTTAACTGTGACAACGGTGTGGATATTAACTCTGTAGATTCCTATACCCAGCAACTGCCCGCGCTACTGGACGGACACCCTTTCTCCAATGGTCACCAACTTGAGCATTTGCATGGCCAAGTTGGGGCACGGTTGAACCAGAAACGTCGTACTGTTCGAGGGCTCGTTTACATGATATGTGGGGCCTCGGCAACGACGAGTACCTCTTTCGAGATAGTACTCGGGCAGTCCATTAGCCTCTGTTGCTGATGGCAGGAGGGATATTCAGTATCAATCTCGAGTGGAGCATAATCGAATAGTGACATGCTTGAGTTCTCTAAGCCAAATTCCGATCACTACGTTCTCTCGAATGAAGTATTATAAGGCTATGGCGACGACATTGAGGTATTTGTACTTCCCTTGGGAGCTACCTCCCCTGCTATTCACACAACGAACAGTATTGCAAAAACAACAAGGCATAGCATGGATATGGATTTCACACCATGGATGGCTTCTTCATTCCCGCGTTGTAGCCAGGCGTGCTCGGCCGAGTACCTACCAGGATACCAGGAGTGGGGTTCATAGAGAGCACACATTACTGCTAGGGGCGCCTCTTGAAGACGAGATTGGGTACGATGTCACACTGAGGAGTTATGAAAATCAGTAGATTATCCTGGCCATGCTGCCTTGCCTTGCAGCTGTATAGGGCTGTTGGGAGGACCCTGCAGCCCTCGCACTGTGGGTGCCGTAGGCCTCGGAGGGCTCCTCCTCGCTGATAACGGGTATTACTGGTACTTGAGGGGCCTTGGCCCCTAGCTTGACAGACAGGATGCTGTGGAGGTCTGATGTAGGGTGGCTGGGTGGAAAGGGAACTCTGTTACACTCACCATGGTCAAGGTGTTCCAACCTGTGCTGCAGCAACTGATACTGTTGCTGGTAGTAGAATAATGGAGTATATCCGTACTGGTCACGTACGTGGACGTCGGCCTTGGCATCCACTAATCTGAAGTAGAGGGCGGAGGACACCATCCTCCCGGGTGCCCATCATACAGGTCTACAGCCTCAATGAGCTGCCTATATCGCACCATATATGCCGCATAGGCGAAGGCCTGAGTGTGCACTCCAACCAGCCCGATGGTGGTGCCCCTCCTCACCCCTTGGAGACGTGGTAGAGTTACTATCGGCGATACTGGGGCTTTCTCCTCCCTGTCTTCCTCCCCCTCGTTGACCTCATCTAAGACCTCAGCCTGTGGTTTCTGACATACTCCATGATCAGCTCCTGCCAGCATCCCCAATGTACCTCCCTGGATGGTAGCTCTACCCCGCACAGGAAATGAAGGGCCGTCTGCTGCTTCTCTGGAGTGCTTCGGGAGACCACCTCGCCATCCTTAGTGACGATATGAGCAAGCAATGATAGCAGCTCCCGTCGGTGTTCAGCTACCACAAACCCCGATGCTCAGGGGCGTCAACCGCTCCCACTCACAATGTACGGCATTATGAATCAAGTTACAACAGCACATGAGAAGCGTGAGGTCCTTAGGGATGTCTATTGGTCGAAGGAGGTCCACAGCTCCCATCCTATCGAGGAAGTGACCAACGTAAGTCCCAGCAACACCAGCCCTTACCGTATCGCCATCTCCCCAATGGCAGTACTTTGCTGGGGACGCTTATCGCCCGAAAGGCGCTCAACATCTCGAACCTACGAGGTTGGCTTCTCAGAAGACCCCCCATAACGACCAGTGCGACCCACTGCATCAACATGGTCATCCTGAGCCGCCCAACGGAGAGCATGCAGGCTGTTGCCGTCCGTGAGGGCCTGGTCGGACAAGAGCGCTTGGGGCTTCGAGTGCTCAGTGAGATGGGCTGAGATGACCCTTGTATTGCCTTCAACGACCCCAGACCCGCCGGCCTTACTCAGCATGCCCTTCCACCCCATCGCCACTGAATACCTATAAGTTACAATACGAATTCGACTTAGTTGCGGCCGACGCCGACGAAGAGGAGGAGGAGGAAGCCGACCCTACCAGGCTGCTGATCGCCCCAATGCATCGGCAGCGCTTATTGCATCGGCACGGTCTCCCTGACCATCCACCAGGACCTTCACTGCAGCTACTCTGAAGTAGGAGTGGTACCACGACTCAATAGAGGGAACATATCCCCACCTGCCTAGGGCTGATGCCATGACCAGTGGGGTCTGTCTACGACCAGCTGTAGTCTTGTCATTGAGGACCTCGCGGTAGCCCGACTCAATGGCCTTCTTCACCAAGTATTTCAACACCTATAACACCACAACAGTTAAGGAGGAAGGGCACGGCCCCAGGAGCCGCCACCTCAATGTGGTTGTATTGGACGGCTATATGGAGACAGTTGCCTCCCGAGGCAGCAGGGGGTGGTGGCCGGTACAGCAACCTTATAAGCTCCTCCCTCTCTTGGGCCTTGGCGCTCACATCTGCTGATAAGTACACTTCTGGACCTTCACCCATCCTCACTGGCCTTTTTCGCATCCCCTTTCCCCTTCTTTCCATCATCCTTCCCTTTCTTAGCCGTCTCCTTCGCCTTTGCCTTTGCCTTCCCCTTTGCCTTGGCCTTGGGCAGCACCTTCTCCGGTTGGCCCCCCAATGGACTTGTCCCTGATAACATCATCGCTTGACCTCTCTTCACATCGCCGCTACTACCATCGTCCTTCAGAGACGCATCGCCTCCCAAGTGCTCCATCATCAGCTTCACCAAAGGTAAGTTGCCATTGCGGACCGCAACCTACGGGCCCATTTCACAGGATTCTAAGATCGAGCGTTGGTCGGGTAGGGGTGACTTCAGGGTGAAAGAGCATGGTGGTCTACTAAATCGTCGGCTTCTACCACTATGAAGTGTTCTCGATGGTAAGTTACCAACTATCGCTGATGAGGCAGCATCTCTGAGGGCTACTCCAAGGGATGCCAAGAAGATCAAAGCGGTACGCCCTACCCAAAAGTTGATAGAGTCATCATACCTGTAGGAGGGTCCACCGTCGCAAGGCCTCGGTCCGCAAGTTCACCGAAATGTCGTGATCTCGGCACAACTCCTCCACCTCGGTGGTCAGCGCCCTACTCAGACCATCACCATCATCGTCGTCTCCCCCTTGAACCGGCGCAGCGATGACTAGTTGCCTCACTCGAACCTCCGCAGCTTCCCTCACGACCGCTCGCTGTGCAGCTGAGCAAGGTCCTACCTATCCTACTGTGGCGCATGACCTACTCGTGGGAGCCCATGATTTCTTGCTAGGCCCTTTGCCCTTCTTCCCTTTCTTCTTTCCAGCTGCCTTTTTGCCCATATTTAACCGAACCAATACCACCCATATTATCCCTCCCCCCTGAGGGCTAATACTAAAACAAAACTACGATCAATTAAGAATAAAATTCCTAACCTCGACAGAACAGCTATTGTTGATCCGTCAACTGCATGACTTACGCCCCTCGGCGGTGGTGGATCGGTGCCTCACCGCGTTCGCCAATACCAGCTACCTCCCAGGAAGCCCTCCTGCTTTATCATCCACCGTATAGTGCCTCTATCACGGATATAATCGTGCTCAATAGCAATGGATCCCGGGGGTCCGCAGTCACCGAGATGTACGTGACACTAGTGGCGTGTCCTCCCTGCTGCATCCCAACCAACCACAATATTAAGCGACTATAACGTGAAAGCTGGCAAGGGTGCTCATGTAGGTTTTAAGGAGGTAGACTGCCGACGAGCTTGGGCTTGGTGAAAAACTGCCTCTTCCAGCCGCTTCAGCGCATCCTGAGATGAGAGAGCCATGCCGTGTATAGTGCAGCGATCTCCTTCTCACCAGCTTCTGTTGGAGGCCCTCAGCACCTAGTCGACCTCGTACCGTTGCCCCCTTCTCGAGCACTTTCCGCACCAGTACCTCATTGTAATAGGGCCGCACCCCTCCCTGTGGGGCTGTAGTTGCGGCTGGTCGAGCCAGGCTTCCCATCGCCACATCGCTCCTATGGCCTTGTACAGAGGGTTGTTGCTGAGGCAGTACTCGTTCCACAGCATGGTTGCCGCTTCTGGCCATGGTATTGTCCAGTCGATCCGCCCAGGGTACCCGGCTGGCGTCCACCATACTAGGCGATGGTCGTGTCACCACTGCAGGCCCTCGACGAGGCGATGCTGGTACGAAGACCGGCCCTTCGTACCTACAGACTGGGTGTACACATAACCTCCTACTATTGGAGATACTCACAGCTCCACAATGCCTCCAGACTGTCCTTGAGGCTGCTGTCCACTTGTGTTCGGATCCGGCTGCTTGCCAGTAGAGGGCCTGCGCCAGAACATGACCACCGAGTAGGTGCACCACCGTCTCCTCACCTCACTGGACTGCGAATAGGTGTCGCTCTCATGGACGGTGGTCGGTCTCGATAGGCAGTCTCCTCAGAGATTCCAACAGGCCCTTGCCGCCCTGTAGATGCTCGACGGAGCTGTTCGATAACCTGGCGAAGGCCCTGCTCCTTCTGGGCATGCTTCCGTGCGAGGTCCTGGGTGACCCTCTTCATCTGACACATCCAGCCTGCTAGGCTTCGGTGGCCCCCTCCCTACCTCCTCGAGCAAACACTGTCGAGTCCAGGCAGCCCACACTCTACCCAAGTGCCCTCGAGCAGTTGCCTCCACCCATTTGGACCCTAGCCGGTTCATCCTGTCGGAAACTGAATGGCACACCGGGGATGTTTCTTGGAACCCGTAGTAGCATCCTCACCACTGGCTCTGTAGGAGCAATAGGCGTCTACTAGAACTACATACGACTGCTCCACCTCGTCATGCACCTCATCTGTCTGGACGGTCCGATCCACTCGACACTCTCGCAGCAAGTGACTGCTCTCAACAGCTTCACCGTTCGGCGCGCAGCTTCTGGGCCTGGTAGCATCCTGGGAGCCGCTCGAATGCTGAAAAAGATGGGCGATCGAAGTCCGGTGAGTTGCATACCGAGACATTGGCAGGACTTAGTCCCCTTACCCTTCCACGATGATATCTCGGAGGCCTCCTTGATACACGCGAGGAACTCTTAGTGCAATCGTCTTCACTGCGCCACACCGAGCTTGAAGAGGTAAGCGTAGGGCTTCCGTCCTCCGTCGGCGCATTGGCCATGACTACCGCATCCCTACACGGAGGAGGCTCAGTGCCAACCCCTGTTGACGTCTTCACTGGCCCTCTAGTCCGGAGGTGCCTCAACCGTAACTTCGCTGCTTCCCACGAGGAACCCAAGCATCTCTTGCAGGGTCGGCCCGTCCTTGGTACTCCTTCGGGAGCCTTCAATATGGAGATAGACGGTATAAGGCGGTAGAGTCGTTTGGGCAAGCTGCGTGGCAGGCAGACGAAGCCCCGGCTCGGGCCATGAGGCTTATCACTGGCCATTGTAAATTTACCTACTGCGCGAGAGCTGGGGATCGATTCAATTCACAACACTGCACTGAGGAGGGACGGCACGGAGAACAGCGAGTGACTAAAGCATGGAAGGTTCATGATACCTTAGAAATCGACAGGGGCCTTCCTTCCGAGCGGCCGAGGTGGAGCCCACATCAGTCCTTCCGAGCTCTGTCTGAGATCACCGATGTCCCCGAGTCGATCGAGGTCCGCTACCTGTGACGCCGCTACTCACCACTGACAGTTTCCATGGAATCAAACTGCGCTGATGATCGATTACAATGGCGCGCGCGATGCAATTTCCGATGAAAGAAGTACGGGTCATTGGGAGGAGGAAGTGTATACCATAAATGTGTTACATCCTTGGGAAACATCCTTAGTCCTCCTATCGAGGTGAACCTGGGAGAATCCTCGGGACTAGGCGTATTTCCAATTCATAAAATACTCAACAACAGAGGCATGACGACCGATGATACGTGGGAATATATCGAGTAATGTTGAGTATCTGTTTACACTGGGTGGATCCAATATTGTCATCACCGACTATCACTAGCGTCTACTCTAGCTATTCATTCACCCAATTTATTCGATAGATTTTATAAGTTAACCTTTCCCTGAGCTGGTTTTGTTTGTTATCAATCCCTGAAGCTCAGGGACACTCCACCACGGTCTCCTGTGCCCCACAGTAGGGGAGGACCGCCACGATCACGGACGAGGATAGAACAGTGGCAACCAGAAACTGGAAATATGGGAATAGAGACGTGGTTCTCCGGGGCATGCTGTGGCCTGTACAGCACAGATCTCTCGCAGAGGCACTTGAGTTTTTCATCTCCCCGACGCGAGGACTCAGCACGCCGGACCTTCTTATGGAACCTTGAAGCTGGCGATGGGTTTCTCTTAGAGAAATTCTCTATCGCTATGATTTCTTGGTAATTTGCGTGGCGGCCCTAGCGCATGTAAGGCCAGACCGCGACCAATGAGCCAATAAGAAGGGAATAGAGCATCCAACTGAAAATAGTCAGTACCAAGACCAAACCATGTACTAAAGGGACGAGACCATCGTTAAGCTATTATTCAGCGTGCTATCCACAATAGATATAGCAGCTAGAATTCTCAGGTAGATTTGGTCTCAGTCCTCCACTCATCCTTATGGTTCATGCTTATAACCAATGCACCGCCAGAATGGGTAGAGGATTCTCGGGGACAGCATTCTTATCCATACTAAATCGTTTTAGGTCATCCAGCGGAAATCGACGTCGAGTTTTCATGTTTGGAAGTATGTATGTGCTCTTATCGTAGACGTGATGCCACTTGTCGAAGATCCTATAAAGCGACAAGCCCGTTCAAAGCTGATGGACAGGGATAAGCAGATGAGGAGCGTGGAGTTCTAGGAAGTGTGGTATTGACTCGGCCATGCTGGGGAGGCCTATATCTTCCAACGAGATCATCTTACCACCTCTTCCCTATCGAGAAAGATGTTTCCATGCTTACCACCCACGTTTTTCCATTGCAACTATACTGATAGCTGTCGACTATGATTTTGAGTTTATTGAGTATCACTACTGAAAAAACCGAGACCAAAGGTGAAGTGAATCTACTTCCCCCTCATTAGATAGGAACAACACAACAAGAGAGACTTCTCGTTCAACCGAGAGTGATCAATCTTCCGTACCCATCCAGTGGAGGCAGTAGTAGCAGCCTATTCTCAATGGTTGTGACCGAAACTTATCGAAGTCTGCGGGCCTCACGCTCTGTTTCGAGCAAAGAAAGGATATCACCCTGACGGACGGGGCCCTTGACGTTACGGACAAGGGAACGGCCAGCGAGCTCGGGGGCAGTCTCGACCATGAACTGAACGCGCACCTACAACAAACAGCAATGACTACCATCACATAGGCAGAGTAGGAGGACAGATAAGAGGATCAGGACTATTTGGTCAGTAAATAAGACTAATAAATGGTATGCTCTCTGCATTGTCGGAGCTCAGATAGGGGCGAAATATTATTCATCATTCACAATAGTCTCTCAGTACTAACCCTTCTCCAACGTGACTACTAACGAGCCACGAGTCATAACGAGCACTACCTGAGTGACGCCACCACGAGAGCCGGTACGTCCGATAACCTTCTCGACCTTAGCAAGCTTGGGTTGATTGGAATCCATGATGGATAGACGTGGAAGCACTCTAGAAGAAGAGAACGATCGATAGGAATACAGCGACCCCCTCATGTCAATAGCGCGCGCCATTCTGATCGATTTTAGCTATGGTGAATATTGCGATGGAATCGCGCTCATGATAATCCAGACTGAATGAATTGCACATGATGATATATTTACCCAATACAACTGAGCTCCAACATGCGGAGTAGGTTTTTATATTAGTCTTTCGTACTGATGCTATATAACTTGGCCAGGAACGAGCCATTAACCTCACAGAAATTCTGTTAAGAACATCGTTGGAAACGACAAGGTGCCGCAAGTATGTCATTGTTGGCAGTACCATCCTCGCTCTCGACGGGATGCTGGGATGTCCATAATGCTGTTGTTACTCCCTAATATCTGCCTGTCATCTTCTCACCTACTTCTAGACCTATTAATGAGTCCATTAGTTGGGCTCCTGCTGATTGTTCTGCACTAGTAGTAGTTTTCACGCCCCTATACATGAATGGGCAACAATTGTTGCTTCGATCGTGAATACACACGGTATAGAGCCAAGAGCCTTCTCGAGGAGTACGGTCTGGGGTCCACTGACTACCACACGTAATGTCGACACATGGAATATCGCGCCGCCAACTCGTCAGTGCATTAGGTTTGTAGTAGCTAGTCATAACCACGACTACGAAAGGCTGGTCGAGCTGCTCAGCTCCCTCGAGCCGTACAGTATGCCTGAGAACTCTGATGCTCATCACGCTTGGGCGGACAATCCTCGCAGCATTGGTGTGATAGCTGGTAGCAAGCAAAGGGCATAGTCCAGGACCCAGCCATACCGCTCTATCAGGGACCAGACTGGCCATTGCGGCCTACTCTGAGGGAGAGGACGTAGCACGAGAGGCCAAGGATAGGGTTCGACTAGCTGGAGGGATTGCTTCGTTGGTCGACTTCGTTAGGTGAGGTCAGGGTGTTGTAATGAGGGTGATGGTAACGCTTCAGGTCACCCGAATCCACGAAGGACCGTGTTGACTGCGGTTTGGTTGCATTGAGCTACTTGGCAATCGACTGTCCGCCAAATTGCCAGGAGATGTACCAAGTAAGAGTAACATCGAGAGGTTCCCTTCCAGAAGATGTTCCTCCAGCACGGCCTCTTCCCTCTACTATTCCCTTTCATGGACAGCCCAGTGGAGGGAGTCCGTTCAACAGCCTTCAGCCTAGCCTCCAATATCTATCGTCTCTCACCTCGGTAGGAAACGCTAGTGGGAACATTTTCATCGAGTATGTTCGCTTTAGGTATCGTTACGAGTTTGTTGAGCGTGGAGGTGTGCCTTTGATAATTCGTCATATTCGAGGGACTGCCGACAGCATTGGTGAGCCCGGCACTGTTGCCCGAGATTGCACTCTAGTTCCTTAGACTCTGACTGGGACGCTGTTGAGGCCCTACAGGACTTGGTAACGGCAGATTCGGGCAAGATCGACGAGAAGATAGCTATGGCAATCGTGCAGGAGAGAGGTGAGGATGACCCTTGAGGCGATGAGAGAATCTGTCACGCGCTCAGGCGCCCTAAGGCGAATCCAGACATTGAAAAAGTCGCCGGAGAAGGATTTGAGCCAGGCTGCTAGTCGCTTAGAGGCGTCCCTTGTCCCCTCAGAAAAGCGTCTATCATCATGAGGAATCCGTTCATGCGCTTGTGCGTTGTTATCATCACTATAACACGATGGGGTTGTGCTGGTCAATCAAGCGAGTACCGTCTTTCCACAGAGTCGCACATTATGCCCACAAGGAAGAGAGAAAAACATCGTTCGAGGAAACGACGAAGGGAGAGTGTGAAAGAATCAGAGACACTTATCAAACTGGACAAGTATAGTGACTTTATCACTCAATCGGATTGCCGAGTATTAAACCCAATGGCATCAGATATCACTTCTTCAGCGAAGCCTCTATCCGTGACATTGCGAGGAACAGAGTGGGCGGCGACTCAGTAATGCTAGTAGAAGTAGTGATGGTCACGAGGCTCTGTCATCGTTATTAGGGAAGCCAGACTACTTTCTCTCAAGCCACTGGGACTCCTGCAAGCCGTGCCCTCGAATCACCATCATCAAAATTGTAAACATCAGATCTCAGTCGAATAAAACATTCTCTATCTGAGCCTTCTCAGGCAAGGTCTGGTCGGTGACGGCACCTGTTATGAACACAGCTTCCCTCGATACGACAAGGCATACCTCGGTCTCAATAGCGAGACGCCACTGGTGTTCACGGAAGCTGGGCAAAAGGTCAGCAGTCTACACTTGTCTATGTGAAATATGATGACTTAGGGCCTCCGCGCGCCATGGGACTCGTGTACTAAGGACCAACCCATGGTCCATCCTCTGAACACGAGTCGACTCCGTGCCGACTACCCCCGAAGCTTCGCAGCCATGAACGGCCTGCAACCCTATGGGAACACGAAGGCACGGCTCTTCCCCGATGATGGAGGTAGCATGCTTCGCTCCGCTGTCACATTCATAGTAATTGATTCAGATCCGATCAACCCTCGACTACTCCCACACGCCCTAACAGTTGTGGAAATGCTCAGTCCTGAATGTGCCAAGCAGCTAGCCCCAAAGCTCAGAGCCTCTCAAGAAAGGCTCTCGGGACAGTCCAGGTGTGTTCAGCGGTTTGAAAAGACTATGGAAAATCGAGATAGGATTTCGTTTCTCTTCTTATCTTAGGAACCTTGGACCCGCTGGTCAAGTTAAAGCTGTCATATCATAGCCATTTATCACTCACTGTGCCCAACCCGACTCCTCCTGTTGTGTTTGCATATATGGAAACCATCATTAGGCTATATGTGGTGGGAGAATACGTTATAGCCGAATCGGCCAGTACTAGAGGAAATAACATGATTGCGCAAAATGAGAAAGCACTATAATAGTCTGCGAGGAATTTTTATGCTCGCAGACACGAACTCGGGGTAATAATAGTTGATAGAAATATCGGCACATGTAGTAGTAGTGGGCAGGGTTCTAAGTGGTAACAACTTCAAAGGCGCTGCTTATCGGGAGGCTGATGATGGTCCCGACTGACTGCGGACGAGTGAGCTTAGATACTCACGTGTGGTGACGCCGCCCTAACAAACATCCATTGTGAATTACAGTGATGTCTTCTCTCACTGATGACATATAGCTTGTAGCTGTTGGTGCCTCCCCTTGGGAGAAACCAAACTCATTGTGTAGTCGTGGAGAAGTAAACATATCTGGAAGCACCGAAATGACCGAGACCCCGAGGGCCAATCTTACGCAATGTAGGGGCTGCCGAGGGCGGGCCGCTAGCATAGACCCGAACCCCAATGTTGCGACCATCAACCCAATGCTCAGCCGTCAGGACCTCATCAGGCACGTCGTGGGCGTATGTGCAAAAACCAAAGCCACGGGATTGACCTGAGGCCTTCAATGCAAACAGCCCAACAGTGAATGTAGATTTACCCGTTTTTTTATCAGTAATCACTGCCGCCTCCGTCACTCGTCCCCACTGCTGGAAATGCTGCCGTATAGCCTCACTGGTGCTACCGACCGACAGCCCGCCGATGAAGATCTTGTTGCGTCGTATCATAGCCGCTCCTCCAGTCCTCGGGCTCCCAAGCGTATCTCCCAACCGTCCATCACACAACTACGATGTTCACTTACCTACCTTGCTGTGAATAAACCTTCGATGCGGGCGGCTGCAAAATACCCCTGGGGCAATAGCCATTACTCGAGCACGACCAATGAGGCGCTCACCCTCCTGTATGTTGTGGAGTCTGATGGACCACAAGCTTTTGATTGCTATTGTCGGTCGCTGACAAGGGACGAGGGAACTCCACTGGGTGGCCTGAGGCAGCATACGGTAGAGGCGGCATCGGAAAGGGTATGTACTGACCCCGAGCGAAAAGCATCGGCTTATACTCATTATGGGGCATCTCGTTGACTGGCGAATTACGGTAGTGGTCCACGTTAGCTTCCAGGCCTTGGACCCGAGCCCAGCACACCTGCCCAAACTCAATCCGTGACGAAGGCTTCATGATGATGAAGACCGACCTCGCAGACTTTGGTGGACTTGAATGCAGGCAGAGAGTAACCATTGAAGGAGTTAGTGAAGGCAACTGCCGACTCATGTGTGGTGAAGTTGATAAAAGCATACCTAGTACGACCGTGCAGGGGAAGAGGTCTGCAGATGGGTGAACTACCCGAGATTGCATCTGTTGCGAAAATCAATGGGTAAATAAAAAAAGTCATATGTGCCTTCGAAGCCTCGTCCATCGATGGAATTTAGAAGTATCTTCTGAGTGTATCTAACACAGTGTTGACCTCGGGATGCCCTCAAGCCCCAGGGGGTCACTTATTGGGGATGTTCCGTAGCATTACTGTGGTCTTGCCAGAATCACTGTTTTGGCTGCTACCACCTGATTCCATCATACAATACTACTAGATTAGGAGATGCCTACTGTTGTTCCTGGTAGGGGCAGAGTTAGCCCGGGAAGAGGGAGGACCATGGCCCCGAGGGATGTGTGGGGACACCTCGATCTAAAGAGAAAGTGCGGGGGTGCGGATAGTAATGGCAGGAGACCTGTTTGTCGAGGTCCAACAGGGTATAGTCCCGGCCTCTAGGGCCACCTTCTGATGATGATAATGAGCCCGAGACGGAGAGATCATCGTCGGAGTCGACACAGTAGTCCTGAGGAATTCCTAGGTAAAATGAGGTAGTGTTGACTCTAGAAAGGCACCTGTCCTCTTCCTCGTCGAGATCTGCTGCCCAAGCCGAATTGAACCCCTGTGAAGCCCTGATGAAGCTGTTGTGTCTGGAGAGTGGCCAGTAGCTGCATAGCAATGAGTTGATCTATCGTTGCCGAGGGTACGGGAGGGGCCTTGCCGAGGTGGGGACCAAGAGCTGACCCTTGGCCTGACCTGCCCAACAGAGGGTAGAAGGTGCTTGCTGGCTGATTACTTTGCTGAATGGTCTTCTATAGACAAGCTCCTCCGGTCTGGTGGGCTGATGACCTATAGTAAGGCCAAGATAACTCTCTATACCACACCTCGGCTACATCGTAGTCCTCCTCGGCATCACTATCATCCTCCTCTTCCTCATCGAAGCTTGTATGCGGCACTGTATCCAAGGCCTGACTTTAACTGTGTTAACGACCCCCTAATGGTCACCTTTGCTCACCCCTTTCGGAAGGGACCCCCGCAATAGCTCCTCCATATTGGGTACTACTGGCAGGGTCTTAGACCTCTGCCGCAAGCTCACTTCGGGAGCTGGACCACCGAATTCGAGAAAGGTGTTCTTCATGGTTGCCTGCGTGCGCCTATGACCCACTGCTACCCTCCCTCTGAGGACTTACCATCCCAGCGAGCCCCGTTGTCGAAGAGGGGGCGCCAGGGCGGCACTGATGATGAGGTAGGGGGAAGACGTCCTTGGAACTGTTACTACTGCTACTGCTGCTCATAGTAGCCTTGGAAAACCAAAAACTGCACTGCCCAGATCAAGCATTCCATGCCCAAGCCCCACAGCCCCTTTGACTGATGCCTAACGTTGGGCCATCGGCCTCCATACGAGAGTCGAGACCATCAGCGCATGATTAGGAAGGCCCTCCACTGGGGGGCAACACGGAACAGAGATGTCTAGACGGAAAATTTCGAAGCCAAAGACCCATACTGCGATCAGAGACTCCCCATAGGAGTGAAAGCTTGCAAAGGATCTCCCATAGGGCTCTTGGACGGTCCTACCTCGCAAGGTCCTTACTAGGAGTAATGCAACGGGCAGTCAAAAATATCGATCAGCATGGCGCGCGCGATTAACGTTCTGACCATAGAGGTGCCAACTGCATCAATGTCCAGCGAACTTGTTGGGGAATATCTCGGCAGTTAGGGCAGGCGGCGGGTGTAGGATGCTGGCGCTCTTTAGTGACAGGACCTGTGACCTCAACGCAAGGAAGTTGCTTCTGCTGTTTGCAATGTTAGTAAGCCTATGAGCACTCACAGGCTAATCAAAGCTAGTAGTTGTAGCTGCATCGGAGAGGCATTGGTCTACAATGGTGATGGTAGTTCAGTAGTAGCTAATGTTCTTCCCATCATCGTCCGGGAATAAGAAGCCCTCGGCTGCAGTGGCTGCTGCTGCCTCTAGCGGGTCTCCGAGCAGTGGCGATCCCACCACTGACGCCATCTCTGGGAAATTCGATCCGACCGCCTTAGAAAGAGGTAGGGTGCCGATTGGGATGATGCGACGAACGGTAAAGGGTAGGTGCCCAGGCCTTGAAGGAGCTGGACTCCTCCCCTAACGCCACCAAGGCCTTTGAGGTCATCAAGCTGCAGGAGCAGAGCAAACAGAAGGAGTTCCAAACTGAAATTGAACGGGCTCAGACACAACGAACCCAAATGGGCCTTCAAAGGGCTCAGGTAGTAGGACCATGGGCGAGAGGCTTTCTAGTTCGGCATACGTAGGTGGAGGCTGAGGAGAAGCGCAAGACCATTGCTGAGCAACAAGACCAGGAGCGGAGGACTCAACAGTAGGTTGGTTCATGGTGGCTCTGGAGGCGAGATGGTCGGCAGGTACAAGGCCCAGCTGGAGTCAGAACTCTACCAGAAGAAGCTCATCGATCAACAGAAGCAGAACGAAGACTGGCTGGCTCAGCAGCATCAACAATTTTTGAGGTAGTATAACAATCAACTTCGCTCCGCCATTTTCCCCTTGGAACAGGCAAGAAGAAATTCGTAAGAAGAACGACGTGGAGGTTGAGGAGTCCCGACGCAGAACGCTAATCGAGGTGACCATTGGTCGCTTTGCACAGTAGAGGACTTGGAGGCTTTCATGTGTTCAGCAAATGAAACTACAACGCGACAACGATGTGGCTCGAGCCCAGGCTGAGGCAGATGGACGTATCAAGCAGGAGCGCGAGAATGTCGATGTAGGACCACCACCGTCCAAGAGTGTGGCAGTGTAGGTCTCTAGGTCCACCTGCGATCGATGCGGGCCAAGGCAGCTGAGGAGCGCAAGACCAAGTTGGACACGATCAATGCCACGCTGGGCTCCCTTGGTAATGGATTGGACCGGGCATAGGGGAGAAGTGCCCTATGGGACAGGTTCGGGTTTCCGGGCCCTCCTCGATGATAAGACCAAGATGACGGCATTGGTCACTGGTCTTACCGCTGTGGCCCTGGGTATTTACACTGCTAAGGCCGGCACCAGAGTTGCTGGCAATCTCTTGGAGAAGAGGTTGGGCAAGCCCCCGCTGGTCCGTGAGACCAGTCGCAAGTCGTGGAGCAGAGCTCTTGGTAGTAGTATATAATACTACGGTTGTGGAGGATGTACATGCTCAGGTCTGGGCCGACCAGCTAGCACTAACATGTTGGAGAAGATAGTGCTGCAGGATGAGCTGGCCGAGCGTCTGCAGTGGACCACGAACTCAATCATCAACGCTAAGAAGAATGGCACTCCGTTCCGCCACCTTATGCTGTATGGTCCTCCGGGTAAGTCGTAGCAGCCGAGCTGGTGTTGTTATGGTAGTACGTATCTCCCTGATCAGGTACTGGTAAGACCCTCTTCGCTCGGACACTGGCCCTCCAGTCGGGTCTTGATTACGCTATAATGACGGGTGGTGATGTTGGTCCCTTGGGGAAGGACGCGGTAGGTTTGGTCCCAGCAGTTGCCATCATTTTATCATCTCAGGTCGATGAGATGAATCGCCTGTTCGCCTGGGCTAACTCCAGCAAGAAGGGCCTCATCCTGTTCATCGACGAGGCCGATGCCTTCCTGAGGCGTGGCCGAATGTCGAGTTCCAGTAGTACCATCCTCTCATCAAAAGTTCCTCCCACGTGGCCCTCTAGGTAACATGTCCGAGGACGCTCGTAATGTTCTGTCGGCCTTCCTGGCACACACTGGTACTGAAAACGACAAATTCATGGTGGTCCTCGCCACCAACGTCCGAGAGGTAATATTTTCGAAGCAGAGGGCCAGTCCCATCCCTTCCTATTAGGTCCTGGACCGAGCTGTCCTCGATCGTGTGGATGAGCAGTTTGAGTTCCCTCTTCCCGAATTCGAACAGCGTCGCCAAATGCTCGACCTCTTTATGGACGAGTACATCCGTCAGCCTACCAAGGCCGGCAAGGTTATCGAGGTAATCAGCGGACACAGCCTCTGGTGACGCTACTGTGACTCCAGGTTGACCCCGCCATTGACTCAGCCTATCTCGATGAGGTTGCCCGTAGGACCGAAGGCTTCTCTGGCAGACAGATGAGCAAGTTGGTCCTGGCCTACCAGGCATCAGTTTTCGGCTCGGGTGAGGGTTACACTACCATGTGAGGCAGTAGTACATTGTGGCGTTTAGGTGCTAATAAGCTTACCAAGGGCTTGGCTGATACCATCCTCAACTGGAAGCTGGCACACTATGAGGGGGATGTGGACACCATGCAACGGCACGAGGCTGAGGAGCTCAAGGCCAAGGCCCAGCAGATGGTTGAGTGACGAGCATGTTATTTATGAAGTACCACTACTACTACTGCTTTGACTGGGCCAGTAGCTGCAGGACCTATCACTGAAGGCGGCTCGATTTCGCCATCCATTCGTTTCGGTTTTCCTTCACATCATCAACGGTAGCATTTCCGGCATACTCGTTTCTGCTGTGAAGTGCTGTGGTTGCGTTACGAGTAAATGGGCTGTGCTAGAGGAGGAGGAGGTGGTGCAGGTTTGTATAGAGAAGTTGAATGGTCACGACAAGCGATTGCGGCATAGGTCGCTGAGAAAGCCAACGTATCGGCGGATCGAGCCAAGCAGCTACTGGAAATCTGCGACTATAATGTCGAAAGGGCCGTCACTTTGCAGTTGGGGGACCAGTGCGAGGAGGAGACTAGGGCACAGCCAAGGTAGTGTATGGCTTCTATGGTAGGCCGAATGGTGTTGGTGGGCAGCTCCTCCAACAGCAGCAGCATCGTCGTGGTCGTTGTCGGTCTATACCTGACCTGACCATACACCTACTAGAAGGGTTGTAAGTCCACCGACTGGAGGTACTATGGTACACTCGGGGAATGGCTGTATTGGGTTTTAGGTCCCTCTTTAACCCAACAGGAGGGTCATGGTGGAGTAGGAGGACCTCAAGGGCCGTGGTGGTGGTCTGTTATCTCGGCCCTGGCCTCGTGGTTCGCAAAGTGCTTTGGTTTTCTCGGGGCATGTCTCAGAGTGACCAATGCCTGCCAACCACGTAGATGATTGCTACTGTACCCGCTAGGGCCTCTGGAGCTACTTTACATCTGGGGGCTGGGGGCGCAGTATACGACTTCAACCAGTGGCTGGAGAAAGAACGAGTGGGTGAAGTACTGGAAGGTACCAGCGCGTGTTCTACAGAGCAGGTGATGGGACTGTTATTGAAGTCTGTGGAGGAGTAGAATGAGGCGAGCTCCTCCTGGGCTGATGAGGAGGAGGAGGAGAAGGAGGAGGAAAATCTCGATGATGTAAAGTCTCTAGATTAGGGTGGAGTCGACGAGGCTCCAGCAGTAGATGGATCGAGAGCTTCGGCAACAGCACGATAAGGAGTGATACTGGTGCCAACAGGTATAAGGAGGTCCTAGTGCGGGATAGGGAGGCGGAGCGAAAGCGTAGAGTGGCGAGGGAACGTGAGTGGTGGTGATGAGTAATGCCTTGACCGGGGCCGGAGAGGAGGCTGAGGAGGGGATGGGCGGCACGTGGGAGATACAAAACGAAGGGTTAGAGGGCGAAATCGAGTGGAGAGGATGCCCCAACCAGGAGCCGATCAGAATACTGCGCGCATTGTTTTGAAGCTGCCTAGTGGGAAGGGAGTGGGGCGATTACAGTGGAGTAGTCGAGTTGTGCGAATTCAGCGTTTTGATCGGAAGTTCTTGGCCGACGCGACTGTGGGGGACCCCTACGACTGAGCTGATGTTTGTATTGATGACTTGACACGAGAAGGGGAGGGGGACGTTGACTAGAAGGGCTGCCTTGCGTACTTTGGGGCTTTGGTTGTGGACCATTGAGTCACTCCATGAAGTGCTTCGAGCTCAGCACGGATTCCGGTGATTCGTGGAGAACGGGAGAAGACTCTGAAAGTGAACCCTTTATGGGAGGTCATGGTGCCGGTTGAACTCGTCGTCAGGATATGGGCCTTGTACCTAACGCTGTTGTGATGATAGCTCCTATTGATTCGGATGAGGACCCCAGTTCGATGAATCTCACTCAAGTCATCATGGCTATTGCGTGACATGGTTTTTATTCACCTGGATTTTTCCAGTCTCTAATTCACACATGGTTTCGGGTTGGACGAGTCGATGGGGGAAGAGATCATCACATGTGAGTTTTACTCGGAGTTTCAGGATGATGCAACAATTCGTTCGCCAATTCTGCACAAACTCCGTGCCTAGGTTGACTTTTGCAAGTGGTTCAGCGGTTCTTGCTAAGGTGAGGCGTAGTCCAGGACTGCTTTGCGTGTTCACTTCTGTTCGAGGCTCTGTTTGACAAGTACACTGACGTTGATATGATGCTTACAACCCCATTGGACCCGAGAGGGATGCGGGCTTCTGAGCTGAAGAGGAGGCTCAAGAATCTGCCCGGATTCGAGGTGAGCATTAGATTTAAAACTTCTCGTCGGTAGGTGGCGAGTTGCTTCCAGGATGATCTCGCCAAGACGGAGGCATACCGTGCAGCGATTCTCTCAGAGTGGCAATTGTTAACTGACAACAAGCACGATAGTGATTTCCACATGCCAGGAAAAGTAGGTGCATCACTCCTGCTTTAGCCATGTCTGGATTTAGGAGAAAGCTGGACCTTTAACTTTTCATCGAGAGGCGGACCCCGTCAACAAGGATGGTAAAGACTTCTATGATACTCACGGTCGAATAGACTTCAAAGGAGGATGCTGATCGCCACGTTTTTAACAGTTTTAGATTGAATGTAGCCCACACCATTTCATACAGTGCATATATTTCAACCTTGTTTGCTCATTTGTGTTACTAATACCAGCTTGGCATGATAGTGAGAAGATATCGGCAATAAAACTTTCCGATCAATCGTATCCCGATGACATACCTCCAGCTGTACGAAAACTGTGCTTGCGCTAGTATTGTCGTTTTCACCAGAGACGTGTACTCGAAATACCACGTGTCAGACGGAGCGAAACCGTACAATTTAATACAGATGGTCTGGGAAAAGTATAACTTTAACGTGGCGTATCCACAGGGTGACCAGGTGTGTACTGCTTGAAATCTTAAAATCACTGTCCACGAGGGTATCGGAAGGTTGACAGTTGTTGGTCGATTGGCATCGTGTGTCGATTCGACCTACTCATGAAATTCGTACTCAAATCAACACAACACCCCGCGAGGCTCAGTATCGTTAGAAATCACCACCTATGCGATCAAAAATAACTTCGGAGCTAGTTGAGTAGTAATGGAAGCAGAACTTGACAATCCGGTCTCCATCATGTCCCGATACATGGGGGGCTTAATCAATCGTACGACGTTCTCCCAAGACGCTGTTTAACGTTGGGAGGCTCAGCAATGACACCGATGCTGATCCGACGCTGATCTCTTGTTCTGAAACTGGACCGAGCTTGGTCACTTGAGCGATGTTTCTATCAGCCGTGTTAAAGTTGCGCAGCCACCTGAGGAATTCAATCACATCTCCAGAGGTCCATGTGAACCCAACGCTTACCTCGGATAAGCTGCGCTGGTGACCTGTAGTCTTACGCGTTCGCCTTTGCGAATCAACACGCATGTCGATCCCACATCCACGTCTATTGTGTGTCGAGTCTCAGCCTGAAGCATCCATCAGTTGGAGATCAGTAAAGGCGGAGGACTCACATTCCAAAGGCGCTCCAAGCCGTCGCAAAGATTATATGAGTGGCCCTCCTTGTCGACTCTACAGAGACGGCACACTATGTCAACACTCTCCGAACTGGACACAACTGTCGTCCGACACTTGATGTTACCGACTATGAGAACATCCTTCTCGAACGGCTTGCTCGTGAAAATCTCGAAAAAATCGCTATAATGCTTCAATGGTGGAGCCGTGTAAACCGACAATCAGATCTCCTATGATGAGCCTGTTCCTTTCAAAATCGTCCTGCAGCATTTCCCCACAATTCTTGGCATTGAAAGACGTCCCTCCCACAGCCGGGGTCGGTGCACGTGGGTCGTAGTGGTACCTGTCACCACATGCAAGACCCATCCAGATGACCACTTCATACCTCACCACGCCCTCTTCTAGTCGTGCAGCTGCACCCTCGTTCTCGAGCCTACCATCTGAGGTCATGACCAACCCCATAGGGACCGTATCGCGAGGCGGCCACTGCTTCAAGTGCAAATATGAAAGGACGTCCTTACGACTCTGTATCTGGATAAAGGGAGCTCAGTCGTGCCTCGCATAGAACACCTACGATTTCTAAGGTCACAGGATATGCGTCATCCCTCTCCACAGGCCGCCTTCCTCGTGCTTCGAAGTAGTGGTCGTAGAAGCTCACCACAGCATGAGTGTATAGGGGCACGTATTTGAACAGCTGCCAATGGGCGAACTTGCCTACAGTGAGGCGAACGTCACCTAAGGCCGCGAACAATACTCGAGACTGTGACCAACTCATACCTCTCCCTGAGCTCTTTGCTTTGGCGTAGTCGTTGAGCATCTGGCGGAGAAAGAAATCGTACCAGCCACCAACGAAGTGTATGCCACCCAAGGGCGTGTCGGTTCCTGTCATAGAACATTGACCTTCTCCGTAGACAGTTGAGGTGACTTACGTAAGTCGCACAGAACGTTGCGGTGCCTCCAGAATTCCCCATTGACGTCTGTGTCCCGAATAGCCTTCTGGTAGACCTCCAGAGGTTGGCCGTTCAACAACAGTTTATCGACATTCTCCAAGGGTAAAGTCCAATAAGCCAATTTGAATGGGGGCGCCTCATCCATGAAAAAGAATCTGAGCAGGGGCCTCCAGTACCGCACTTCTACTCTTCAGAGGGCTTACTGTAATAAAACCAAAATCCGCTCGATGCGTTTTCTTAGAGGCATCTGCATGCCGGGTAGAGGTTTCGTGTCACCCTTGCCTATCACCAACCACAACCAACGACACACCAACTCGAACGACCACTGGTGACCATCTTGACCGAATATGACCGGGTACAGCTCACACGCAGATACACCAGGAACGATGCATCTCACATGCTCCCTTCCTAGAGAGTTAGAAAGGGAGCTATAGGCACACATGCCATTATAGCTGAGGCCATGAACACCAATGCCTTCACCATCGTAATACTCACATTCATGAACGAGCCAATCAATAGCCGCAGCAGCGTCCTCTCGCTCATTCTCAAGAGGGAAGAACTCCCCTGAAGACCCGAAACGCCCACGACTGTCTTGCACGAGCACTCCATAACCACGTTCAGCATACAGCCTTGCATCGTTCACCAACGTTTCCTTACCGTAAGGCGTACGAATGAGGATGAAGGGGAACTTATCTCCTTCACCAGGTAAAACAAGAATGCCGTCCAACTCGTAGGTCGTCCCCTTTATAGGTGCTTTCACATTGACGAACCTCACAGAGGAATATGCCGGTGGGCGAATGCCATACAACCACACAACAAAATGCCGCTGCACCCTACGTAGCCAACGCCGTAGGGTACACTTGGGCATAAAACATGTAACAAGCCCGAGTAAGTAAAACATGAAGAGCACGATGAGTTTACAAATCGCCATGGGCCAGCTCATAGCGGCGACAGTAGTAACATAACCACCGCCACCCTCCTCCTTTACAGACATGTTCTTCACTGTAGAGTTAACTTCTATTGAGGAACGGCTCGTCGATGTTGATGGTGATATCATATGGCAAGCAAATAGCAGTCGGATAGGACAGCTGAAGACACGGGTGACACACGAATCCAAGCTAGCTCCTAGCCGCCGTGGTAATGCCTATAAAAAATGAACGAGAAAACCGCGGTAGTACACAGCCTCGCTACAACAGTTAATCTGTCTGAGTTCAGGCCGCAAGCCCTTCCCAACATCGTGTGAACGTGAGTTCGACGAATCATCAAAATTCATATGAGATTCGTTATGACTCAGAAACGTGATGATTGCCTCCACGTTCGGTTGTAGGTCTTTCTATAGTCTGTCACACCAGCGTCTTCATATACATGTAGTTCATCTATGTAGTTCATCTTCTCCTTATGTTTCCTAGTAGGTCGTTATCAATCCTTTCAGTGGCCATGTATAACAAAAGACTCAAAGGCCATTTTTGTGCTACTAACGGTGTCATCCCCTTAATGATACAGAGAGTGGTGTCAAGCCGTGAGACAACCGGCTGACCTCTGATCAGGGTACAGAGGGTATAACTGCAGCAGCACATAACCCTAGGGCTCCACGCTAAGGTGCAGTGCCCCCCTGATAAGGGATGGTTACCTTGGTATACACTATAGGTCCTTCCTTAGGACTGTCCAGAAGCTCACAATCCCATAGAAAGTCGAATATCAATGTGAAGGGCTGCAGTTCTGAGAGATAAGCACCGGCTACTGACTTTACCTTCACTTTCAAGCCGGTCCAACAACAACCTCACAGGGGCAGAGTAATCATGGTTGAGTATTACACGGAGCGAATTACACACTGTGTATTACACACAGTGGATCTTGCGCACGAATGATATCAGCTAGATTCACATGGATGGCGGTGGTGAGAAAAGTGTTTTGTGACTAGTTCCTCGGCTCGGCAGCGTGTTCATCGCCTTATTCGCTGCAATAATACTGTATCCCTGTATTGGTCTAACAGGCTAGTTATCGCTACCATAGCCACTCTTATGAGAAGCAGTACCCAAAGCCTCTAACATAGGCACATCACGACCCCATCCTTTTGTGCAAAACTTGCAATGAACATGAGAGAATTCAGTCCAAGGTTATGACGAACACCATCGATTTTATGAAAATCATCAAATTCATACTTGATCACTTCAACGCTGAGACGATTCATTCATTTCCGACAGGTCCACGACATGTACAAGCAATCAATCTTGCGGTCGCGTACGAGGTTGCACGCATGCACAAAAGTACTGCTGACTCCTCGAGATCTTCGAATGGCACTTTCAACACATCGCGCTACTGCAGTAGTACTGCTGTGTTACACATCAATGGAGTGGAGAATATCTGCAATCTGGAGAATATCAACGTTGATATATAGAGTACGCACGGCTGTCGGGGGTTATTCCAGACTGTGAAAGGGAAGCTGGGCAAGGCACCCAAGGCCACCCTCCCTCGAGCTTGTCCACGTCAGTAACCACCTATCGCCTCTCGTGCTCACCTCTCCGGACCATACAAACAGTTATTTCGAGTCCTAGACCCCAATTAGGAGTTGTGCTGTTCACTCCCTGATTCAGGCAGGGCCGGGCTGAACACGAACACTTCATGACAACAAATTTACAGTGTCAATTTGACACAATTCAGGAAGCATCAAGTGGAAAGGCGATTGAACATGAACATGATAGTCACAGCCGCAACACAGACGTTGACCACCATCTTCACAGTTGGACCACCAGAATACACAACCAACGTCTCGTAGTTCAACAGCCAATCGGATGCCTTCCTTGCCCAAATCGGGGCATCCGCTGAGGTCGCATATTGAACCTAGATTAACACGGTATTCTCTACAGCAATGTTGGAATATATGTTTGCTTTTCTCAGCTGAGCTCAAGATATTCCTCACGAATTATGGAAGCTTACACACGATTTCGGATAGAAGTGTAGAGAAACCAAAGAGAACTTCGGAATATTGTCACCAACACACGTAGTTGGTCATTTGCATATTTTCTCATATTGCTCCACAGCGAGACGAGCAGTAGCAAGAATACTCACCATCGTAACAATGACCCCAGAGACGGATACCAGTGCCAAGAGCTCCAACACACAGCGGATAATTGGTGTATGGAACTCTGGTCCAGATGATGCTGATGTGGCTACTGAATGGTCAAGCGTAAGAGGATGATGAATGCCCCTTTCGAACTCACCGTCATCGCCTTTGCTGAGCTTATCGTAATACGAGATATGCTGCATGACGACCAACTCCGCTTGAACGGCTTTCTTCACATCACTTGAGACCTCGGTATGGAACCACTCTCCACAAGATTCACCTCTGCCACTCACACTATCCTTGAGTTCATTGTAGAGACCGGGACGTCTTTTCCGTAGGAACCCGACTTGCTCATGTGTCGTCGACAAGGCACCAAGCAGCTTTTCAACTCTAGGCTCGACCTCGTTCAAGTCCTCGGGCTCAGTGAACCAACCCAAGTCGTTCATACGATGTCGAACATGAAGCGTGGCCTCAGTCACACCACATCCTAGTGCTGCCGCATGAACCACTTTACAGGCCTGGGAGCCTTCTGTCTCGATCGCGAGCGTTGCCCAAGTCTTCTCCGATAGCCTACTCATCACTCTGTCAGAGGCAACCGCCGCGAGGGAATACAGTCCCAAGGCCGACACCGTTTCAGCGAAGGCTATCCAATGCTTAGTCGGAAGCCTCAGATCGGAAGGAAGGCGCTCTGTGTATACGAAGCACAATATGGCATGAGCGAAGTCGACTGGGATTGTCTCAAATTGGGTCGGTGAGAGATCGTAAGCGGCCAGGAGGAACATATGGGCCTTTAAACGTGTCGTCGTCGATGACGATTGACCCACAGCGACAGCAGCAGGAGCACAGGCCAGATCGACATCTAGATACTCTGGCCAGGGCTCGTTGAACATACCGAGCATCAATCTAGGGATGCAAGAAAGCCCTGTGTCATCGTCATCAGCATTCACTAGCGCCAGAAGCCGTGGGAGACCGAGACACCTGACAGGAAAGTATACGGAATATGATATGTAGTAGCTCACCGTGCGATGTGAACGAGATGAGTGGCCCGAGCCCTAGCATCATCATCAGTTGTTGTAATGGGTGGAAGATTGTCAGTATAGAGGAAGTACACGAAGGAAATCACGACCGACTTGGGCAGGGTTGACAGCCGCAACGCACTAGGGGTATCAGGGAAACGACCTACAGCAAAAAACGAAGCCAAATTGTCCGAAGCATCGACAGTCCTTTAAAAGTGTCTTTAACATGCAGTCCTTAAGAATCTCACCAAGGTGGTCCTGTGCATCTCCCTCATCACCCAGTATCGAGTCAATAAGGCATTCGACTCTGCTGGGCCGCTCAGACCGCTCTGCGGTGCTCTCACTCTGAGCACTACCACCAGCCTTGGCCAGAGAGTTCGCCCTGTAGTCCTCTACAACACTCAGCAAAACGTCACCCTCATGGTTGATTCTTTCCAGTTGGGGTTGAATGACCCCTAGGAAGGCACTAGGAGAGAGTCGATGCCTAAGCAGCGCGGTATGGACAGGCACGCCAGCTAGCAGAGAGTCAGCATAAGGAAGTGGGCGCCGCCCTTCCAGTAAACACTTGCCGTAGTCGAGTAGAGCACGATGGCCGAGATGTGCGGCCACGACAGTGTGCTCGGGACCACAGCTCACCATGATGTTCCGAGCCAATGGGAACTGCACTAGGCGTACCACACCGTCGCCGATTCGTTCCTCGAGACCTCCCTCGTCATCGCTTGGAGATTCATCGTCAGTAGCAATGATGTCCATATTCGCCATAGTGCCTCGTCTAGCTACTTCTCCAGGCGCCAACTTCCATTCATATACCACATCGTCGGTCGTAGTGAAAACTACAGCATCCTTTCTACACTCAGCCGTACGGACCCGAACACCTGAACCTTCAACTCCTCTTATTTGTCGTGGCCAGGCCCAGGGAAAGACTATTTTTCTAATCCCGAAAGTGCGAGCGATGATCGCATACCGATCAGTAGTAGCAGAGCCCGCCAAATACGTCATCATTCGCCCCCAAACATAAAGTCGACCAACGCGGTCTACAGCGGCTGAATTCCCCCCACAGGCACCGACAGAGGCACCCCAGGCTGAGCCATGTGATGTATGGTGTATTCTCACTGGTGTGTATTCATCTACTAGATGGCCTTGACCAAGCTGACCTGCCGAGTTGTCTCCCCAGCCCCAGAGCTTTCCATTCACACCAACACACAGCATATGGGCGGCCCCACAAGCCACACTTTCAACCGGAAAGTCCAACCTCACAGCCTTGGGACGAAGCTGGTAGTCACCCCCGTTATGTGGCCGCCTGTATCTGAAGAAGAATAACGTCCACTGTTTCAGCTCATCAAAAAGAATAGACCCGAGCCGGCCTGAGGACAAGGCGCCGAAGGTGAAGACCGTTCCTGAGGTGGAGATAACAGCTGTACACGCACCCCCAGCGCAACAGCTGGCTATACGCACAGAACCTGAGCTAACGGTGACAGGCCAGTCAAGCCTCAACTCAACCGTGTCACCCTTGCTCCCTGTCGCTCGCCAAGGCGTAATAAACCTCGTGATCAAAGCTGGCGTGTGGATAATTTCCTCATCACTAGGACCGATCCCACATAGACTGATGACACTGTCGATAAGAGCACAGTGCGCCACCTACAGGGCGCGGCCGAAAGCGAACACCTTGCCACTAGCCGTTAGCAAGACCGTATGCGAGCCCATCGTGATGTCCGACCCACAGGAAACCTACAACGACTTCAGTCATGACTACTCGTGACCACCACGGACCTGTTTAACCTTCCACTCAAGAGGGATAGAAGATATTCGCTTTGGGACTAGCCGCATTGCTACTGCTTCCTCACCCTCAGTGGGAATACTATCATCACCGAGGCACCCAGTGATGTTGGTACCTCTCAATCGACTACTGTTATCATACACACCATCTCGTGTGAGGCCCTCACCGGCAGCCAGACATGCACCCGACGACATAACTAGGAATGTCTGATGTGCCGCACAGGAGATGTCGACGATGGGAACTGCAATAAGCCCCGACTTTGTCTCAGCGAGTCATAGCATGCCTATTGTCACCTCGCTCATGGGCTCCTCCCACAACTCGTCTCGGCCTTCGAGCTGTTCCCGAGGCCATACCAGTGCCGAGCCTCCCAAACGACGCTGAGCCCCAGGCGTAAACAGCAGACCGGCCGACTTCACCCATCCGACAACGTCCAACTAAGTCGTCTTGGATCGGTCTTATTCATAGCATTTAACCCACAGGTGTTTCTCTCAGTGACATTCCTCGCAGACTGCTTTACACGACAATAAGCAGTAACGTAATAGCCCGATCCACGACAGACTCCAGATGTAATGAGCTCTTCCCCAACCTGTGGGGCTAGACGGCAACAGTCTCGGCAGTAACCTCAGACTGGTGCTCTCGCTGCCTCTCTCTGTTTCCCTGGTTAAAGTTAATCAGCGTGTCAACTATGGCTCGTATAATCTACCATCTCAGACTTGCATGATTGGGTTTCCGAGAAGAAGTCAGATCGGTCTACGTCAGAACCCTCAGACTGGCGATCTCGCTGCCTTTTTCTGTTTCCCTGGTTACAGTTGATAAGCGTTTCAACTATGGCTCGTATGATCTACTATGTCAAACGTGTATAATTTAGTTTACACTCAAAAAACACAATAAACGGTTAATGAAAGACAAGTACTCAGTAAGGTTTGAGAGATACTGCAACAGTGTCTGTGAAAGCATTAAAACTGGACATATAGTCGCTACTAGTGCCACTCTACTCCTCACGAAGGGGACGGCTCTGCAACAGTGTGAGAGCTTCTCTAACGTCCTTACCTTCGTAGAGCACCTTGTACACTTCCCCACCTACGACACCAACAACACTAGTCATACCACACCTCGCTGAAATACTTACAGATGGGCATATCAACATCCAGCTGGGCAGCCATCGTCCACAGACTCTTTGCGGTGGCCACACCTTCGGCCACACTCTTCATCGAGGCGTTGATTTCCTCCAAGGTCTCCCCTTTAGCGAGTCGATGACCAACCTGACAGCAAAGGTATTCCTTGACAGTTCCATACGATAGCCCTTACCGTGAAGTTGCGAGAAAGCTCAGAGGAACACGTGAGCAACAGATCCCCCACGCCGGCCAGCCCCGACATGCACTTGGAATTAGAACCCATTTTCCTCGCTAAAACCGAAAACCGTGAGAAGACTACTCGGTGAACAGGACCTCACCTAAACGGTCGAGCTCAGCAAGCCCTCGGCAAATAAGAGCTGCCCTAGTGTTGTTGCCAAACCCCAACCCGGTAGAAGCACCAGAGGCGATAGCAAGAACCTACACTGCGGAAAATGCATAGGCAGAAGTCTACGATAGTCGCTTACATTCTTCACTGCGCCACAAATTTCACAACCGATGAAGTCATCAGAAGTGTAGACACGGAAATTGGCCTCTCGGCTGGACAACTGATTCTGGACCTACCACATAGCACGAACTAACAGAACCCCAACCTTTGGAATTCCACAGAATTGAAGACCACCCCGTACCCTAGTCGCAACCTCTTTATTTTTCGAGGCAACAGTCACGTTAGTGGGCTGATTCTGCGCCATCTCCTTGGCGAACGACGGACCAGCAAGAACTGCCAGGTGCTTGCTATATTTACCTGATGGAGAACTTCCTTCAATCAAAATCAACGGCTTAACGAGGGAGTCAACTGCTCGACGAGAACGATGACGATCCTTTGGCATCAGTGAGGCAATTCCTCTAAGCACTCACCAGGCAGCTCATCCTCGACGATTTGATATGGAGTTTCTAGCGAGTCTACTTCGATGCCTTTAGCACAGAGAACAATTGGAACGCCAACAGGGAGACGGGCTCTGAGAAGAAAGTTATCTACGAAGGGCGAGATGAATCCACGGACCCATAGGGCAAGATCTACGACGGCGACCTGGAATTACCTGTTCGATGCTACAAAGTCTCGTAGGAACTGTGTTGGGATGACGAGAAGGACCATCTCGACGCCTGAAGGACACCGTAGATAACCAGCACTCCAACGCAGGAACTACAACGAAACTGCAGGTCCTACCTTCCACGGCTTCGTCAACAGAATTGGTCCAATGAATGGAATCAGGCAGGCGGACACCTGGTAGATAATTCACATTTTCCCGGGTCTCGTTAACCTAAACAAGAAAAAACAGGGCGTACAGTGAGCACACCCGACACGAGGCAGGCTGGCGCATAACACCAGAACATATAGCACCATGACGTGAATAAAGGTCGCAGAGGAATTGGAGTGGCATTGGCAGCGCTTACCGTTTTGCACTGCTCCTCAGTCCTAGCCCAGACGGACACATCGCACCCTTTCCTAGCAAGTGCCAAGGCGAGTGCTGTTCCGAAGCTACCACCTCCGATAACAGCAGCACGATTGATTGCTTCCGTCGCCACTGAGTTAGAACGCTCGCTGAGTGACATAGTATTTTTGAACCACGAGATGGTAAGTAAAAACTATACTAACAATTAAAAGGACTGAAAGCGAAACTCCCTAGGGTAGTTTTCTCTAGACATAAGCTACATTTAACGCATCCTTAGAGGCAAGTTCGAATCCGATGATCTGCTAAGATTCATGTAGTTGCGTAAGCTAGTTGGTTGGATAATGAGACGTATTCAACACAACGACAAATGATACTACATTTGATCTACTATTATGTGTCGTTATGTGCGAGTAACGTAGAACGTTATCGAATAACCCCGGCGGGACTTGAACCCGCAACCTTCGGCTCCGGAAACCGACGCGCTTCCATTGCGCCACGAGGTCTTGATGGCGACTTTAGTCTCTCGTGAGCACACGGAATATGTGAAAGTCTCGTATTTGTTTTCCGATAGACTGGCTGGCTTCTCAATGAGTGCAGGTCCAGGCTTGCAGGGGGCAAATTCAAGCAAGCCTAGCAAGTATTGCTCGTGAGGGCGTGGCGCACGTTATTGTGATCGACTCGAACGAGAAGGTTGTGCAACCGGCCGAGGATCAGGTGACAGCAATCTGGCTGTGCAGACGTATCTCGAGCCGGTTCGCCTTGGAATTTTATCTTTTATTTTTATTTTTACTAGTTGTTTGGGGGACGTTGCCTATGTGCCCGCGTGCTAGGCAATGTGACTGTGGTGTTAAGCCAATGCACGGCGTGTTGTGAGGTTCGATATTATTACCGCCCTCTGCTGCCTAGTTGGCTAGCACTCAGTGTCACCCAACACTCCCAAATAACTAATGCGATGCGGTGGAGCGTGCCTTGAAAGTGTTGAACGTGAGATCACGCGTTGACAAGGCTGGATAGGGACATGCCACCCGAGCTTCATATCATAATCGTCATATTATGTGTCGTTGTGTGCAAGTAACTTGGTACATTGGCGAATAACCCCGGCGGGACTTGAACCCGCAACCTTCGGCTCCGGAAACCGACGCGCTTCCATTGCGCCACGAGGTCTTGGTGGTGACTATAGTTTCTCATGAGCACACGGAATATGTGAAATCTCGTATTTTCTCGTATACAGGCAAGGCTGATAGGGACGGGCCACCCGAGGTTCATATCATAATCGTCAAGGCCGAGCGCCACGTGACGCCAGCCGACATGCCTAGGTCTCTACCGGTACTTTTTGATTGTGGAGACTTGTTGATGATCTCACCTCAATATGTCTGACGTCGTACAAGAGAATATGGAAGCAATGCTCCCTGAGCTCATGGACCTGCAAGAGAAAGGGGTAGTAGTGGGGTGGGGGATAGGCGGCGGTTCGAGACGGGGCTCCATATTTCAGATCTTCACTGTCAAGGAGCTTAGAGATATCGCCAAAAAGCGACGTAATATGGAGTATGAGCTTCAAGCTGGCAACTGCACCAAAGCCCAGTAAGTCGGCAACGACGCCTTTAGAGAGCCATCGTGGTATGGTGAACGAGAATAGTTGTTTTCGTTTTGCCAGATTCCTCAAGTATATTAAGCACGAAGTTAAAGTTGAGAATATCCGACGGAAAAGGTAGTATCGATGAACGGGAAGCCGTCCGCTGCTCTCATCGAAACTTTTTTCAGACTCGCCGGTATCAAGGATACTGTTCGTAAGCGCAGCATCTCGGACATATCCATACAGCGCCGCATTCACAGCATATACGATAGGTAGTGAGGAGTATCTATTATTGCTCGGGGTCCACGCATTGCTCGATCGCTGGGACAGATGAAGGGTTCTTGAGCTGTTGTTATGGCGACTCAACTGCTCTCTTTGTAGGTGCTTGGCGCGCTTCGGATCGAAAGACCTCCCTCTCTGGTACCACTATCTACAATATTGTATGGACTCTGGAAGTGAGTACTACAATACTCCTATGCGCTCTCAAGGATCCGATACAGGAAGCTAATCATGTGATGTCAGGCACCAAAATGCTTTTGAAGATCGTCATGCGTGCTTTGCGGTTCTTCCCTTCGGACCATGGCCTGTGGTTGATAGCTTGCGATCGCGAGGTCCGTCTCGGACACCTCAACAACGCAAGGTGGTACAGTAGATGGCGATTCTTATTATGGGAGCCACATCGTCTCCACAGGTCTCTCATGCAACGAGCTCTACGTGTCGTGCCCACGGGCACACCAGGGCGAGCAGAGTTGTTGTCGGCTTTCATCAAGCTTGAGGCGGTTGCTCTGAACAGGTCTCTCAAAGGCGGGGAGGAGGTAGACCGGAGAGTTCAGAACTCGGTTGAGGAAAGCGATCAGCCTATGGCCACAGTTTCCTCTGTTCACGTAGGTGTCCTGCGCGGTATTGCAAGTTCTTTACAAGCACGGAGTGTCCGATCTAGCTGGAAGTCCGTCACTCCCACGATTTGTAATGCTCTACCTATGAGTTTATCATATGTCTTCCACACAGTTGCTCCATTTCCTGGATGTCGTCCTGAGGTTGCAAGAATCAGTGTCGGCGGCTGGCAAGGAAGTGGCAGGACTGGGCGATCTAATGGTAGTAACGCTTGCTCGCCGGAGGGTGGGAACGAGGATCATAGTTATGTGAATTCGTCGTGTGTCGAGAGTCGGGGTCGTCGCTATTGCTTTGTACTCATCGTCACCCATCTGTCATTCAGGTCTCGGCTATTAGCGCTTGTGTGGAGCATTCGAACGAGTACCCCGAACTGGCTGAAGTTGAATGGCGTCTCAAGTGGCAAGGACCGGAAGGGGCCAACGAAAGAAGACTAAATAGGGTAGTGAGGGGCGAGGGTCCCTATCGGCACTGCTTGTCGTCCTTAGTCTGTGGGCTCTATCGTCGAGACTGGGTCCGTGGATAGCCTCAAGGCATTCGTGCAGTTCTGTCTGAAATCACGTGCTTTCATCATGGACGATGCCTCTCCAAATGGCGATACGACTGACAGTAAGCCTGGGCTCATCGAAGCCTTCGAGGGTTGTGATACTATAGATACGTCGGGCAAGGAAGAGGACGTATGGGCGGCCCTTCCTACGGTGATGGTGGATCCCGAGGTGGCAGCTGCTGTACTATGGTCCTTTGCCAAAGGGGCTACTGGAGACATGCTGGCAGCCTTGATCGAAGGAGCTGAGGTATACGTGGTGTTACAGTAGGCCTTGATAGAGAAGTTAGGTACTGAGCCCGAGCATGTTGGTCCCTCAAGAGGTCATAGATCATGTTGAGGAGGAGTGCATGAAGGGCACTAGTCAGGGAGTAAAGTTGCTGGTGTTGGGGTCGAGGATGGGATGCAAGACTGGCATTGAGACGTGGCTCCAGTCTGACTCACACCGTCGATCGCTCAGTAGGTCTCTAGGGAGAAGTGTGTACGTCCTTACCCATGGAGTTCGCTGTCATCAATCATTGCAAATTTGACTTCCCTCAGGTGCGGGAGATTCCGAGGCTTTCCTCCCACATGTAGTGGAGACTAGCAGGGAGTATGTCTACGGCCTGTTGCTGTGCACAAGACCGGACTGTTGTGGCGAGGTAGATCCCTGTGTCTAGGCTTATTGATCTACTCGCGAGCTAAGGTATGTCGAGCTTATCTCGCAACTGCGGACTCTCGGGAGGAAGCTGAGAAGCTTGCGAAGGAATGCCTCGAAGAAATCAGGAGTCGTCGTAATGCAGCTGTGGCTAAGTGGAATAAGGAGCAGCTCGCGCGAGTCGCCCTCCCCTGTGTAGAATGCGTAAGAGAATTGGGGTATCCTTCACTGTGAGTAGGATGTTGCTGTTAGTTGCTGGCTGATGAGGACGTCCCTGTGCGGGAGCAGAAGCATCTATTCGAGACCATGATCTCATTGCTGTCATCGGTCCCGTCAATGCTGCCAGAGTTAGTCGAGTGGTGGTTGAAGTACACAACTAGCAAGGCAGGGAACGCCGCGTTGTAAGCGATAACGGTCGCGGATTCTGGAGTCGGGGAGTCGGGTTCGATGTAGGTACTGGAAGGCTCTACAAGACCTGCCGCCGTCAGTTCATGCTACTTTTGCGGCCCAATACCAAGAAATTGTAAACGGAGAATAGCTGAGCTTTGCCATACCGCACCACTGTCAACAACGTAGATAAGGTTTCTATACTGGTCTTGGAGTAGCTGCTTCTGTGACGAGGAGAATGGTCTCGCTTATCTTCCCTAGTATCTTGTTTTTCATGAGCAACCATAATGTCTTAGGGCAGGCTGAAACTGTGAGTTTTCCTCCAACTCAAAATGAGATGCCCTCGGAGTACATTGGATCTGACGCTGTGTGGGTTGATGCCGGCGAATGCTTAGGAGATGGAGTTTGTATTCAGAGAGACGCGGAGTGGCCGGTTTATGATCTCAACAGCATTTCTGCAACGCAAGTTCACTGTGGCGCAGTCGGTCCCTGTCGGTGACGTGTGAGTGGTGGTGGTGGTACGTGTAGGTCGCTTGAAGTGCATATCGCTTTGTCAGTATCTACCCCTGTCTGGTGCCGATGTGCTGCAGTATAGTATTGGGAAATGAATATAAAGTGATTGAGTATAGCGAGGATGCTCCTGGGTCGATAGATCCAATAACTCAGCGTAAGCGCCGTAGACTGCATTCATTGAGGAAGCTGGAGTTTCCAGAACGGCGCCCTGGATCTGGTCGGGAGGTCTTCCGTGGTAAGCAGACGTGGGATGGGCTGTGGACAGCATGGTGCTCGCCGCCACATTCTCGGCCGGTCAACTTCACCATCGACCTCTTGAGACCTGTCACTCCAACGGAGGTGCTGAGATTGAGCTCAAGCCTTGAACTGATTTTAGTGGGGTAGTGTACAGGTGCCGTTCTTGCAAGCTTCTTGTGATGAGGATACGCTGACTGTGGTAGAAGTAGACACAGGGGATGTTATTGGTACCGTCCGCGACTATACCAGAGAATGCCTCTTTTGTCTACCGTTCGGCTCAATGACGTTAGAGATCGAGATGCCGGGAGATGAGTTGGCAGAATCGGAGCGGTTCTATATCACGGGTGAGTAGTAGCGTCATGATTTTCGAGGGTCGTTATTGTGTTGCTCAGGTAGCGGCTGCCAGACTCCCGTCATCTGTTGCTGCACTTCCTGTTGCTTCTGCATCGGTGCATGCAGACGAGTTGAATTCGCCATCCTCGATGAGGACGATTCTGTGGTGGGACAGATCGCTAAAGTCAGTCCATCATGTACGAGGGAAATTACTAGAGTACTTTGACAGTGACACTTGTGCAGGTTCAGAAGTGTGTGACTCGACCTGCCGAGTGTCACCAACGGCTGATAGGTTTTTCGTCGAGATTTCGGAGTCACATTCAGACTGGCTTTCGAAGGCTACCGGTTATGACTCTCCACATAGGAAGCAAACGAGGATCGAAGACATTTACGTACGACCTGGACGAGGCGCCACTTGTTGTTGTTGTTGTTGTTGGATGCATGGTGGTTTCCAGGCCCTTCTCATGGCAGCGGTGATGTTTCTGGACTTGCGCCAATTCAGTTGTTGGCAGACAGAATCGGAACTTTATTGATTGCAATTTTTAACGAGATAGTTTTACAAATTGTGGTATTGAGTTCGCAGTGTTTGGGCAAGTGATGATTCCGATTCCATTTGGTGATCGGTGGTGACAGAAAGTGTGTGTCACATACTGAAATCTTCGCCGTGTGTTGGTCGTCGAGATAATAATGATGGCTTGGTGAAGATGCACGCTGCTCGTGGAGCGTGTTGGGGCACAAGTGTGGTCCTTTCCAGAGAGAGGTCGAAGCCATTCGAGGTATTCAACAGGAAATGAGGATGATAGTTTCCGATGACGATGTCATAGGGATCAATAATTTTGACCCAGAGGGGAGAAAGACAATTTCGAAGCTCCCATGAGCAATGGAGGACACGTAAAGTTTACGTCGTAAACACATAGTCTGATCGATTGTATCCGTGCGGTTCAGCGGCATCTTCTGTTTGGATATACTGTAGTCACCATCTTTTCGAATGAGCTGCTCGTTATGGGCATGGAGGCGTGGATGGATCCAAATTTGGTCATCGAATGCCAAAGTCGACTTACTCTAGGAAGCTTGATAATCTTGCCAATCTTGCCAATCTTGCTAATCTTGCATTTCCTCAGGAATCGATTGTTCCTCGACAAGGTGTTTCTGCGCATCATTGAACTTGAAGCCGCACATTTTGATTGCTGGTGCCCTCAGCCTTGTTAATCTCGGCAAACAGTGTCCTGAGCTATGACGGCCGATCCGCTGAAAGGCATGACCTCGGTTTATGACCCTAGCGCGTCTTTTGGCGCTGTCGAGAGCGTGCCTGCGGCGAGTCTCCAGATGCCTGTTGAGGCTCCTTCGAGTATTACTGGGTGCTTGTGGAAGAGGCAGTGGATGTGTGTGTCGCAGGTCTGGGGAACTTCAAAGGCGTCATGCTCTGTAATCGTCCAGGGGACGTTGAAGCGGAGCGACGAGAAGCGATACAGTCTGACGGGCGACCACCACCGTTTAAGAATGCCATCTCAGCGACACATAGTGACCCAGTAGGTTGTTGTTATTGCAGCCGTCCGGATCACAGTCTGGCTTTGGTTTAGTTGGGTCTTACTCCTCCTCGTCTTGCTGGTGTGGCAGAAGGCTGGTCCAAGCGGCTAGCGCCACCTAAGGCTGTGAGTCCTTTGTGGCTACGGCTTGTTGAATTCTCGACAATGTGTGCGGGGATGTGTCTGTGACTCAGATATTGCGGAATCATATTCGGTGGTTGAAGGCTTTTGGTAAAAAAGTAGCGATCGAGCGAGCTCAACGGGTAGGTCGATCCGCTGTGGTCTGGCGTTGGATGGGAGTAACATCTCCCAGGTGGAGGCTGTTAGGAAGGAAAAGGAAAAGTTCAAGAGAATAAATGAATTTGCAGCGAAGCAAAGAGCGGAAGTTCGAAAGGTACGCATTCCTCTGCCTTATAGTAACGCCAATGGAAGCAGACGCATGAGCGCCTCTTTCTGCAGTGAGTTTGTTTATGAGCAGCTGACCTTAGTATATCGATCGCGTCCTCGTGGGGGATTTTGGTTGTATTCGTGGTCGATAAGGAATGACTAGGACAGGTACTGGAAGGTATCAAGGAGACCTTCGAGGCGGATGATGGTGTCCGGCGGGAGACAGGCTTCGATGGTGTTGGTATTGAGGATGGTAGTGCTGAGAGAAAGTGCCTCGAGCAAGCAGTGGCTGGGAAGAAGGGGAAGTCTGATAGACGGTTAAAGGGCAGACCACTATGGTCTTTGACAGAGGCCCAAGCGCAAGAGGCTGCCCAGGTAGAGGGCTCGTGTTAGAAGTGCGTGGTGGAGTGTGTGCAGGTTGATGAAGAGGAGCTGCTGGAGTTCGCTGAGACTGTCAACTTCGACGAGTATATCAACGACTTGGAGTTCCGGACTGCCCTTGCAGTGATGAAGGTAAGGGTGTTAGCCTGTGAGGGGTGGGAGGTGGCGAGCGTTGTAGGATCGGGCTGGAAAGCTGAGTAGAGAACAAGAGAGATTCCGTAGGGCCCTGCAAGAGGCTTATGACAGGGAGCTCGAGGAGCAAGAGGCTCAAGCCGTTGATGAGGATGCTGGTGAGTGGTGGGGGCTCTACACCTTTTCAATGCCAAATTCAGCAGGTGAAAGTGAGCTTTCGTTGGTCGAAATTGGTCTCGTGTTTGGTGAAGTTGAACTTTCCTCTCAGAATTCATTGGTTTTATTTAGGAATTTGAGCTCGGATTTCGAACGTGAACTTACATTCCGTGAAAAACTTTTTGCACTCTACGAAAATCAAATTTCCTTTTTTTTGAATTTGTTCTTTCCATTGCTGAATTTGAGATAGGAAGGATGTGCGGAAGAAGCCGGGGTGGGTATTCTTATGCAGACTCCACATTAGAGCTGTAGAAGATTTTCGATCGATTATCGACTTTCACTCGGAGGCGAAAGTGTTACTGGTTCCACCCATTGTGCGCGATTGCACGCATGTGCATAGCTGATCAAACGTGCCCCTCATAGATCAAGACAGAGATCTACACAACTTCCCCCGACACGTGTTATCGATTTTTGAGTCACGACCAAGCAGCAAATGGTCAGTCGTTGGTGTCAGGATGTGACCAGGCTAGTGATGATGGAATCGGGTCAATAAGCGGTATAGGCTTCGAGGACTCGGCTAGCCAGAAGGGGAGGGATGATTCAGTATTGACCAGCAGCGCCTCGGCGGCATCGGCATCCATGAGGTGATTCGAGAGGGAGAATGTGGTCGGTTTTTACGTTTGTTTTTTTTTCTCATAGGGACCTTCACAGGCCAGTCAATCAGGACGGTCGACCTGGCTGGGATTCGAAGCCGTTACCGGTGGACGATGAGACGCATAGCATTGTGAGTCAGGTCCTCAGGGATAATCAGCAGGTAGTCTCTGATAGTGATCAGATTTTGGCTGCATGCCTGCGTTGCAGATACGGAGTATTCACAATGGCAGGTCGGTTCGCGGTGTATTGGAGACTATAGCATCGCGGTCGAGTGGTAGCGAGGACTCGCATTTGGTGAGAGTAACAGCTATCCCAAAGCCTCAGTGAGGTTCAGGTTGTTGATCCCACAGAACAATGAGAAATAAATAAGGAAGAGGGCAGGAAGCAGCAGCACTGTGGTAGAGCTACTTCTTCAATGACATCTGTGGAGGATGCCTTATGTCCATCGAAATTCGTCGGTATGAAGTTGTAGTAGTGTCAAGTTGATACATGAAAAAAGACATGCCTTAGATGCTAATGTTGTTGTATGGTGTTGCTGTTGAGTTTTTGGGCGCGTTAATTTCATCGTGTTTTGCGTGTAGTTCCGTGTATCATCGATTCCCTATTAACTATTGGTAAATGATGACCCTATCACTGTCTTCCTTTCCTCGTAGTACTATGCATGGCGAATGGGCTGGGTATTTGAAGCTGGCTCAGCTGCTGATATCCTCGGAAGAATACCCAGGATTAACTGGGCGAATAATTATCGGCGGAGCGATTACTGTATGCGCTGGGAGTTTGATCGCACTCGGCATATCTCGTTACAAAAGAAACCAACACAAGAAGTCCATGGGGACAGTTGTAGACCCGCGACCAACACTTGCGCTCGGTGGTAGCGGCCTCCGTATAGGGTATATGCTGGGAACAGTAGCAGCCCTGCGAGACTTTGTAGACATCAGGTGAGGAAGGCGTCCTCGTAATGTGATTACTCTTCCTTCTTAGTACGCTGCGGGTCACTGCAGTATCTGGTTCGGCTCTAGGAGCCTTGCTACTCTGCGCACCTGAGTTGGATGTTGTTTCTGTGGCGTTGGCTAGTAAGCAGTTTGTGAGTAGTGGAGGGGAGTGATGCGGTGATACTTCAGTTTTTCGGTGCCGGGCTAGCGTCCTGAGCGGAGGTATCAGAAACTGCTATATGATGGACCTCTCAAAGATGACGCATTTGTTGGTGAACGAGTTGAAAGTTTCCGCTAAGCTCACCGAGGATATGGTAAGAAATGTTATGTCGGCCCGTATACAAACCTCGGGTATTTGGAGGGCTGTATATGATATTGTTATTCTTTCAGTTGCAACAACTAAGTCGAAATAAGCAGTTGTTCTTCGGTATCACATCCTTTCGTCCGTGGCCCACTGCTGTGTGTGTGGAGTGCCCACCAACTTTTGAAGAGCTCCATCGAGTTCTCGGTGCTGTTGTCAGCATACCCCCGTTTTTCATCGAGACAGTCGAAGTGGATGTAAGCATGTGGTACGCATCTATGAGGTGGAAACTGTTGTGGTTCCCTCAGGGCTATCCATCAGCAGATGGATTCTTCTCGCATTGTTATTCTGTGCCCGATGATCATGACCCGAACAAAGTCATACGCTACTGCCCATTTCCCGCTGTGTGGTTGAACTTCCGTCCACCATTTCGAGATCTGCTGTGTAGCCTTGCTGAATGCCTATATCCTTTCGAGTTGACGCGACAGATCGCGTCCTTTCAGGATGGGTGAGTGAGATCGCTCTTTGCTGCGTGCGACGACATTGTCGGTATCATGTTTATGTGGTAGGTACGCTTTAGCTGTAAAATTTATTAACAGTGGATGCCAGGAAAGCAAATTGTTGAAAATAAAGGAAAATCCTGTGAACAGACTCTCAGAGTATGTAGAGGGCTTACGCAGCCTGGAGCTCCATGTCTGAAGACTTGTGTAACATAGTTGGAGTCGCTACTGTGCTCCTTGCTGACAAGACTGATCATGCCATCGTCCTCATGGCCCTCATGGTTTGGCCTTATTCATAGCCATTCATGTAGACCCTTGGAGTGGCAATGCTTATGAGTTTTTTCTACTGATTTAAGTGCTTTCAGAGCACGTGGTATCGACTTGTATATACCCCATAGAGTGCGATGCAGACTATTCCCGATAGGTTATCCCAATAGAGATCATCTCATATTGCTTTTCAGATTTGTTGCAGCAGCACTTTTGTGTCTCCTCTTGTTGTGTTGTAAACGGGAGGTTCTCGCTCTGAGGCCGTGGAGACGTGGTTAGCAATAGAGTGTTGTGGATCTCAGTACGTGTTCATTGATAAGTGCGTGTTATGATCCCCGCTTAGACTACTGCGGTTGGCCCCCTCCAGTGATAGATATCAGTGCGATAGAGTGTCTACTCGGGTTGTTAACGCGGATGAGCCAGGTCGGGTTGAATAGGATTACGGTTATCTGGCACTGTTACATAATAGCCGATGGTGCTTCTTCGTCTCAGTTTTTGTCACACCTGATGGCCGCAATCCCGACAAGGTTGCCAAGCTGTTGCTATTATTCGTTTCTTGGGCATGCGTTCTGTCGGTGATCTCCTCAACAGTCTGAGTGCGCTCGTCGTGGTTGGATGATCCGACGTTCATGTTTTTGCCCAGTGTATACTCCACAAGGTGTTGTTTTGAATGATTTGAAACAAGACAAAGTGAAGAAAGTTCTTATGAGGTTTGAATCAAATATCATAATATTTTTTCTCCTAATTTTGTGACTAAAACGGTTACATTTTCCGTTCTTGAAAAGAGTTCACTGCTTGTGTTTGTAACCCCTGCATATCTGCTGTATGAGAAACATTAATCGATTGAACCGCGAAGCGAGGCCATCGAGTTTCTGTTCTTTTGTTGTGCTGTGTCAGTGTGGCAAAATAATACCCTGAATTCTATCATTAGTTTTGACTACCGTCAATGCTCCAGTACTTTATAAGTGCCCTTAAAGGGAAAAGATGCAATAAATTCAAGCTGTCCATCCTACTACTATGTGCATACATTGCATGGCGCATAGGCAGCTGGGTGCGTCGAAGGAGATCTGGCCCGATGGATCCTCGGGTTACCCTGGCTTTGACGGGCAGTGGATCCAGAATGGCCTATCACTTGGGGGTCATTGCATGTTTAAAGGACCATGTTGATTTGAGGTGAGTGCCTTACCTACATTGTATTCGCGCTCGATAGGCAAATTGGATGAGTTTGCCTAACTCTTGAGAAACTGAATTTTAGCTTACATCGTTTGGTCGTTATCCTTGGAGATTCACGAGGAATCGATTTATGGTGTTTTATGGTGATATTCTCTCAAACGTTTCGTGACTTCATTTGCTTGCTCTGTGCTCATTGGTTGTTCTCAGTAATGTGCGGATGTCTAGTATTTCTGGCGGGGCTTGCATGCTCATTGTTTTGGCATTACAACACGTTGAGGTCTCGGAGTTGATGCTAGTCGGTGAGATAAGATGAGGTCCCTCCGTGCTGGTCGACAATGGGCGCATCGAGAGTTGTTGAGTTCTGTGTCCGTTCAGGACTGCGCTTGATGGAGCGAATGACGAAAAACCATAGTACTGGACCGTACTTTCTGAGACAGGAAGACGTTATGGATCAAATCTTGAGAGATCTTCGAGTCATGTGTCATATGGAAGATGATGATGTAACCTTAAGCCTTGGACCAGAGATTACAGGGAAACGATAGGATTCTCGTGCTCCATTGTAGATTGCCCGTTTGTCGAGAGAACATCGTGCCTACGTTGGTGTAACTACATTAACCCCATATCCTCAGCATGCCAACATTTGCATACCGAGAGATACTAGGGAGGCCCTTCTCGCTGTAGGCGCGTCTATGAGCATACCTCCATTCTTCCGCTCCTTTGGAAGAATCAATGTGAGGCTGTCATTATTTCTATAAGCTGGATCGATAAGTCATCTCATTCAGGGCAAGGCGGTAATTGATGGTTGCTTCACTCGACTTTACTCACTTCCTGACGACCATAACCCAGCCCGAGTCATACGTATCTGCCCGTTTCCTTGGCCACTTTCTGAGATACGTCCTCCTTTGACGGACCTGCCGAGGACCCTTTTTGAGGGTTTCGTGCCCTTGAGGCTGGACTGGCAAATATCCATCTTTTCCCGAGGGTAGCAGCAGCATTGTTACTACGTCTGTGTATTTCTTCAGTTTGGTAGATATAAGGACGCGGAGGAAGCTTTGCCGAAGCTATTGAGTGCACCGTGGTGTTTGCGCCCTATCCGGGATGGGCGGAGTCGGTTGAAAGAACATATTGTACAGTTCAACAAATTGAAGAAGAGGCTTGAGCATTACGATGATGATGATCACGGGCTGAAGTCGTCCTCTAGTTGTGTCAAGTTGAGACGAGACATCAACGATAAGCATATCAGATACCACACATGGGCAGAGATTTCGTCTGCCGATGGTGGTTGAATTGGCACTCAACAGTCAATTTTATTGCTCATTGCACTGGAAGATTATATCCTCATCTTGACATTGCGAAACAGGAACATTCTGTTGTGTATGTCTTCATGGTCGCTGGTAGTTCTTTTTTCGAAGGATTTGTTTGTCGAGTGTAGTCTGTGCCGTGTGAGCGGCCCTTTAGATGGTATGCGATGCGTTGAGGTGCAGGTAGGATAGTTGGACCTGGAACATGCAGTCACGGATGGCAATTCAAGATCCGATGACGATGTGCTGTGATTACACGAGAACATGTTCACCACTTGCGTCACGGATCTTGCGAAGGCAATTTTCTTTCCTTTTAGTTCATGTTGAAGTGTGGCTGCTGTTTAATAGGTCTCGCTGATTTTGACCAGCCAGGCGTCGCACCGGTTCGAGCTGAAAAGTTTCGGGTAGATTATCTTCTTTTGCGTTGTAGGGCAAATGGCAAAGTGAGATCTTTCTTCAGAAATCGATTAGCTGGGCGTGCGCGTTATTTTTGGGCGTGTGACACTGCTTACCACGTCGCAATTCGTTAGTCTTATTTGAGAGCCCGGAGATGTCTGAAGATCCAACTAGATTCGAAGACTTTGAGATTTCGCTGAGTAAGGGCGTGTCCGTTGACGATGAACTTCCCAATTTGGACGAAATCGACATCATGGAAGAAGAATCAGTGAAGTTAGCCGTTAACGTGGATGGTATCCGAGCGATAGAGGAAAAAGAAGACGGCCTTATCCCCCCTATGGACGACGTGATGCTTGAATGTGATGATGACACGGGGGGAGGTTCCACTGGGGATCCCACAACATCTGAAGACTTTGAAGATGATGATGAAGACTATGTGCCGGGGTCGGAGGATAGCAGCTCTGGAGGTAACTCGATGGAAGATGAAGACGAAGAGGATTTGGATGTCGAAAATGTCGGCGGAGATGGTAAAGTTCAGGAACGCGACACTACCTGCCATCATCATCATACTAAGGCTGAAGAAGAGGCCATGGACACGAAAGCAATGGAGGAGTTAGAGGTTGAAGACGATCAGGTGTCGTTCACTGGTGGGGTTGGTGGCCTCCCCGGTGGGAGCATGTTCCCGGCATTACACAAGTTGGTCCTTCAGAATTCGTCTGATGACATTACTGCTTACCTTAATGATACTGGTTTTGAATCAATGTATTATCAAGTAGATGGTCTAGGACGTTCTCCTCTTCATTTGGCATTGTTATATGGTTTGACGCGATCTGCTAAGGCGCTACTTGAGGCCGACGTAGTCTACTGCCAGTCGGCTTTTGAGCGTCGTCTATCTAATATCGAAGTCGAAGGCGTTGGTCATTTAAAAATTATCGATGGGAAAATAGTCGTTGTTGATACGGAAAATTGTGTGGTGGCGAGTAGTGTAGAAAATCTGTGTGAAATTATTAGGCAAAAAATAGATCTTGTAGAAAGAAATAAATTTTCTCGCAGCCTGGCGAGTAGGCCCTTCGACGACCTCCCCACGGTGCATTTGGCTATGTCTACGGCTCCGTTCGACGTCGAGGCTGCCATTGAGCTCATACGACTCTCAGCTGGCCATCCAGGCGTTAACATTTCCACGGCCCTGGACTACTATGGTCGTAATGCTGTCCATATCTGTGCCCTGAGTGGTGCTGGTATAGCGCTTTACGATGCCATCACTGAGGGTATGTCGGAAGAGCAGATCTACACACTATTGTTACAGAGGGATCGCTTCGGATGGTGGCCTCTGCACTACGCCATTGACAACAAGGATCCCTCTGGCCAAATGGTCGAGTGTCTATCCACATCAGATCAGTTAGTCGATCAGCAAGCTGACAACCTACACATCTTCGTATTCGCCGTCTCGCGCTATGCGTGGAGGCAGGCCTTCCAGGTCGCCGTGCTCATGGGTGGGCTAAGTGCCATGCCTGATGCCGTGCTGGATCTTGCCGGGACAGTGGCTGATTCCCATGGGACCGCAGCCGAGTTCGATGAGCTGATCGCGGCCTTGGCTGCTGGTCAGTCAGGCCTGCCTGATGACTTCGAAGAAAGGGCTCTGAGTGGTGGTAGCACTCTGGTCGTCACCGACTCAGGTGTGCTCAATCATATGGGAGTCGACCCTGAGGGCCCACATGCAGTCGGCGACCTTCATAGCCGTCTTAAGCGCTTATCAAGGGTCGTTGAGAATCCATCTAGGGTTGAGGTACTCACAGGCGGCGTAACCGGCTCAACCAGAGGTACGGTACACCACCCCGAGTTCGCCTCCAAGCTCTTCTTGGAGACCTCGGTCAGTGATTGCCCTATGGCCGACATTCTGCGTGTTCATGATTGGACCTACGTCGAGCCAATCATTGCCAAATGTGAAGCTCTGAGGAAGCGAGCTGCGGCTGAGGGCGAGACCAATCTCAACCGCCGCAGTACGCCAATTGACAAGAGTGATACCGCAGTAACGGTCGACTCGTGGGCAGCGGCGCGGAAGGCCGCTGGCTGTGCGGTACTAGCAACCGACCAGGTTTGCTCTGGTACTGGTTACCGCAACGCCATGGCGATCATTAGACCGCCGGGTCATCATGTTGCCTCTCGAGGAGCTGTGAATCCTCAATTAGAGGACGAAGACGAGGAAGGAGATGGATCACAAGGGTTTTGCCTTTTGAATAACGTCGCTATTTCAGCCGCTTACGCCCTCAGCAATTACAGGTCTACCATTCAACGTGTTGCTATTGTCGACTTTGATGTGCATCACGGTAATGGTACCGAAGCTATCGTCCGCGGTCTGTCTGGACCCGTCACTGTGCGTAAGCAGATGCGCGTGGCCGGCTGTGAGATGACTGTCACGAGGTCGAGCCTAATGCCTTGGGTCGATCCCTCTACTGATCGTGATAATGTATTCTTCGCATCGGTGCATCGATTTGATGGTCACTTCTATCCAAGGAGTGGCCCTACTTCACGAGATGATGTAGAAATCACCGCTCGAGGCAGGGCCATACGACCGTTACCACTGAGTACGCTGATGGCACTCAAGATGTTATGTCTGATCACGGCCTGGCCGACCGCAACATAGTAGACGTCGGTCTGAGCTCAGACTCCAAACCAGAAGATCTTCGTAAGGTTTTTACTGATCGGATACTGCCAGCCTTACTCCGATTCTCGCCCGACTTGATCCTCATCTCTGCAGGGTTTGACGGTCATTTGAGAGACCGTCTTGCCCAAGGGGAGTGTGACTTCTCTGAGCGAGAGTTCTATTGGATGACTGAACAGATTATGGCAGTTGCAGCGCAGACAGCTGAATGCCGAGTAGTTAGCGTCTTAGAAGGCGGTTACAACACTAAAGCTCAGTGGCTTAGTCCGCTGAGTCAAAGTGTTGCCGCTCACTTACGTGCATTAATGACGGTTAGTGCCCGGAAGCCCGAGGTAGTCGAGGATCAACAGCACCAAGAGATGGCCTCGTCGAGTAAACGGCCGATTGATGAGGACGCGGGAGAGTTTGAGATCTTTGGGGAAGATGTCCCAGACGTGAAGCGACCGCGATTGGAGGTGGACTCTCCTGAAGGGGTATAGTCATTATCGCCTGTGTAGTTGTATATTCCTGCTCGAAACTCTGTTGCCTACGCTGTTGCTGCGCCTTGAGAGAGTATTCGATCGGAATATCTGAGGTTAGCGATCTTGGGCGCAATTTGGGTTGGAATTTCGTGGTTTGATGAGTCATCGTCGCTGTTATTATTCTACTATTGAAACCTTATCTGTGAAGTGTAGCATTTAATAGCATTATCATTATCGTTATTATTGTCGTTGTTGAGATTGCTCCGTAATAACAACAGCAGCAACAGCAGAAGCAGAAGCAACCGTACCGTGAGGGCCTGTAATATTATCTATCTCCTTCCTTAACGTCTTTTTTGACCATGAAAAGACAGTTGAACAGTCTATATTTTTCGAGTTTCTAGTTGGTCAATAGACGCTCACGTAACTGTCGCGAAATGAGAGTAAGACTGAGCTCTCTGGCCAAGGATTGTGCCTCGCCTTGTGGACGATTGAACACTAGCAGAGGAAGTGGTTATTTTTCCCGAATAGGGAGTGTTGGACGAGAAGGCATTTATTTTCTGGGTAGATTTGTTCTTCATATGGCGGTGGCCTCGGAGGCCTCTTCCCCCATATGTTTCGAAGGTCCGGAGAGCTTCGACTTCATAAGGTCGATACATAGTGGTCGGAAATCGAAGGTTTGGGTGGCCAAGATAGAAGAGGACGTATTTGCCCGGCCTGCCTAGTCATGCTCCTCAACTCGATGTCAGGTGGAAGGGCTAGCAGGGGCACTTTGTGTGGTGAAAATGATAGAGGCTACTGAGCTACAGAGTCGGGAGCAAGTGCAGCACGTCTGGGGAGAACGTCGGGCGGCGTATATGGTTGGCCAAGTGATGGACACCCGTGCTCGAGCGTCTAACTTGAAGCTTCAGACTCCTGACCTGCGAGAACGGTGCTGTGCTTTACTGGGGACTTACAAGACGAATAGTCAAGTGTGCTTGGTATTGACAGCTATGAAGGGGGATCCCATCCATCATCACTTCCAACATGCAGAGCGTGGACACTTCGCGGACTATCGAGCCAAGTGCTATGAGTAACTGCTCTATTGGGATCATCAGGTTGTTAGATACTACATCCACTACGTAGCGTCAACGTTGAGGTTACTGCATCGAGAGGGATACGTCTATCGCGACTTGAAGGTATTATAGCTACCTTACCTCGTGCATGGTCTCTGACCCCCTGGGTAGGCTAGCAACGTGTTACTGGTCGAAGGACGTCCTGTCCTCATTGACTTTGGTATGTGCAAGAAGATCGCCGAAGCAGGAGGCAGGACCTATTCAGTCTGTGGTACCTACCATGCCATGGCTCCCGAAGTCTGACCCGCGCACGGCTGTCGACTCCCCATCGTTGATGATCTCCTGTGTAGGTACGGGCGCTCTCCGGTCTAGATCACGACATTAGGGTCGCGACCACTGACGGGTATGGATATGCTGTGGACTTCTGGGCTTTGGGTATTCTCTTGGTAGAACTGCTGACTGGTAAGCCGCCGTTTGGGTACAGGAATGGCGACATTGGGGACCTTTTCGACCTATCAAGAGGTAGCGAGGGTGAGGGGCTCTGTTGTGGTTCAAGTTCGACGCTTATTCTCCGAATCGGGCAATATCTCGAGCTAGCGTCCAGTCGCAGAGTGTTCTATGGGCTCGCTAACGAAAGCCCGTGGTTAGGCAGCCCAAGCACAATACACTGGGCCTCTGGCGTCCAGCCATCACAAGAACTCCGTCAGTTGGTGGAGAGCTTGTTACAGCCAGAGCCGTCTGAGCGGCTCGCTGACTGGGAAGTCGTACTCGGCCATCCCTATTTCAATGATATAAATGACAACACGCCTCCCCCTGAATGGGACCATGACTTGGGAGCTGATCTGTGGGATACGGACGTTAGCGATGAGTCCTTCATGAGCAGCTCGGTAGATGCTTTCTGCGATTTTTAGTGTCTTTTGGTAAGAATGCCTGTATGGACTTGCGTTGCTTGACGAATCACCAGTGTTGAGAGCGGGCATCTACCTCGTCGCAACCTACCTTACCGCGTAGCTGAGCACCGCAAACTGACGATATGTATCAAGTTGGACCGCTCCTAGATATTGTTAAGGATCCTATGGTGATTTGAATGGCACACTCCGAGGCACATCCGTTCCAGTATGTCGAAGCGGCATTCACCTTGGCGAATGTACCGGTCCTGAATATAGCAGAAAACAGGTGTTGACGGAAATTTTCTTGTGAGTGCTTCCTCTATATAGTGGTCACTGTAGATGGTATTGTCGGTCCTGCATGATACCACGTGATGATGCTCTACTGGAAATACTTGAACAAGAACGCGTAGCTGAGAGAAATGTCAACGTCAGTGATGCTGAGGGCATGCGTAGACGGCAGGCCGTCGGAGTAAGGCTCGCCGCTGCGTTTGATGTTTATTCGCCTTTTGAGGTGATATCTTCGCATGGCATAGAATCGGCAGTATATTCCGCTATCATGAACGCCCTCTCATGTGGGGCGTCATCGGACTCTACCCAATGTGGGAAAGAACAGATTTCTCTATGCTATTGCCCCCACGACGGGTCTATCATTTTGGGATATGCTGCTCCGGACAGCAAGGCTTGTCGCACTAGGGAAGCGGTGATTGGAGCGCATGCGTGCATCGGTCGGTCACTCGCTTGACGTAAAACCAGAATGGACACTCCCAGGATGTCAAGTGATAGTCCTCATCTCACCGAGCAAGTCCGCGGATGACCTGGAAGAAGCAATCAACTCCTATTTCAGCGACTTTGTGCCGCTAGTCGATACCGATACGCCCAGGCTGGTCAACTGCTCATCCCCTACACTCATTGTTGTACTGCAGTAGTTGCCGCAATCGCGGTAGCCACACTGAGCTTGCGTCGAGGTATGCACAGCTGACGTCGACGAGCCTGTCCTCCCAACTGAGACTGTCCAACGTCTCGCGGCACCTGGGAGGTTCCGAGAAGTGCATCTCGTGGTTGCAGCCGCCGGAGAAAATATCGCAGTAGAGACCGCTTCAGTCGTAGGTGAGTCGTGCAGCGACTAACGATTCGACGTCAATCCGTCCCTCAAGTCGGAGTTTTCAACGAATCTTGAGCGCCGCTGTTTCAGTATCGGCCTTGGAAGCCCATCTGATGCCGAGAGACCAGCGACTGCCTGGGGATGAGATAGAGTTCATAGAAGCAATGGTGCGTCCCCCAATTACAGCAGCCCAGGTAGAGGAGGCCTACGAACTATCGTAACAGCATTTCCCTTCGGTGAGGGCCTCCAAGTCTGCCGATTCGCGGCCGCGGCTGTCAGCACTCACATGAGTGTTGAGGCTTGGGGTCCTAAACTCTTCGTCCCTTTGCTCTACCTGGTGGCCATGGTAAATTAAACCAAGCATGCAACCAGCGTCGCAGAGGATACCAATGGTCAGGCTTTATGCCCTTCTGCGACCGACACTGGACACGACTCTCTCCTGCCCTGGTCGAAGTACCTCCTGGCAGATTTGGCACTTACCAATGGTACCCTTGTGTCTCGAGCACATGGACAAGAGGTGATTCAATTCGAGGTACAACAGCAGTAGCAGTGGAGTCAACCTGCTTGTGCGCGGCTCGACTCATCGGGAGGAGCATGTGTGCAAAGGTCGGCTAGAGGACGACGCGGTGTGGCAGTAGCCATATAATTGCAGGCACCAGGCGACGCGGCGTCAGATCCGCGACTGCGTGCTTCGATAATTGACGGAGTTAAGCAGGTTGCAATACCGTGTGCGACATGCGGTCGACCCAGGATGTTCCACCAGGAGCAAATACATGGACGGTGATTGTCCGATTATCTCCTACGGTCGAGCCTCTCATGCTCGTTGTTGGTCACCAGTTACGTCCCACCAGTTGATAGTCATATACTCGGTATGCTTGAGAATGCAATCAACGATTTGGTGCCAAAGATGGCGCGGGATAACCTCATCCGACGAAGCAATGCCTCTTGGAGACGCCGATTGGCAGAGAGCTCATTCCTGTGGCAAGCCAAGCAGCGAATATCCTTCCGCTGCGGAGCACCCTTATGCATACTATGTGGTCGAGTGAGTAACAACGAAGCGTCTAGCACGATCTTCTGAAGATGAAGTGCACTCCCTTGAACTTCCTGTTCGCCTTCCACGACAGGTCGATAACGAGAGGTTGCACCAGTCGGTTGAGCTGGGTGGGATTTTCCAGTCGAGCCTTGTCGACCATGGGCGAGAGCTCCTCCGCCGTTTCGTTGCCAGACCCATCTTCACATGTCACGATTGTCAACCATTCATCATGGAGTAAGCAAAAGGTTCTCCACTGCCCTCCTGTCGAATTTTGTGTCAGCTATTGTCGTCTCAATGCATGTGGCCCTCGAGCGCGTCACCAGCCGAGTCGGCCCATCCCCAATAGTGCAATCGCGACACGAGGAACGGTCACAGATTTAGGCCCCCCTCCCATAACCCTCATCATTTTCAGGTCGCCTCAGCGGATTATATTCGGGGTATGGGCCTGGCCGGCAACTACGCAGCCGATTCGTCGGGCTGTGCTGTAAAGAGCATGTTGTCAGATGACATACAGAGGCCACCTACTATACTCCTGGGTAGGACTTCGAACTATCTTCTGGCAACAGAGACAGATAGTTTATAAGAAAGAATCGTAATCGGGTTAAATAAACGCTCCACGATGGGTTCGAATCACCGACCTTGTGGTTAACGGCCACACGCTCTACTGAGCTAGCGGAGCACATAGGAATGTATTCGCGGCTGAAGATGATCCATTCTCAGAAGTCTAGCACGATGTTCAGCATTGTCAATGGTATCAAGATTCTTGATTCAAGAGTGTCTATCTCATAAATTATGAGTCATAATGCATCACCTGGTGACTGATCGTTCAAGGTCTCGTGCCTATAAGGCTAAGCAGTTTCAACTTGCAATTGAAAACAAACTAGAGAACATGAGTTGCGTCCGATCTCGTTGGAGCACAATCCATCCGACATGCACTGCAGGTCAGACCAACAAGTGCCGCGATGACAAATGCGGGTTATGCAAGGATAGAGAGGCGACAACGATAATACGACCTTGTCTGCACACCTCGTGTTAGGGAAGGAAGACATATGATGGCCATCTAAACTGCTGCCGGCAGGTTTCCAGTGCATATGGGCGTGGCTGCCGTTTACTGCTGAATATGGTGCGTTGCTGAAGCGGATCATGCCTCCAACAGGAGTTACACTCGGTCGCATGGACCTTCCAGTAAACCGCTGTAACTCATGATGGAAAGTTTACTCGCTGCAGATTTTGTTCAGTCAACCTAGTGGTCAAAATCCATCAGCGCACCGATGTCCCATATGCCGAGAGGCTGTCGAAGAGCTCGTATTGGGCAGCAACATCAAGGAGCATCTAGACGAAGATTGCGATAGCTCTGATCGCGGCTGGAGAACACTTGATAACACGCCCACATGGGTAGGCATCGGTTCGGTTTCTATTGATTTCGATAGTATCTTCCTGAGGTACTTTGGGGAGATCGAGTTGCCGGCAGCAGACCCACTCAACACGACTTAAATACATGAACAGACTGTTATCATTTCACTTTGTTCCTTGTGTACGAGTGTATATGGGCACGCGACATAAAATTTATCCCAATGACCATCTGCGAACAATCAACGCAAACCTCTCACGGCTAGAATGGTAACAGAGCATCAATGGTTAGAATGCTGGTAGTAAATTTGGCAAATGCTTCATCCAATGAGAGGACGCTATACATATCAGTGCGGTTCATTAACAATCATCACAGCAGCCACTGAGCACGACTCAGGCCATGCTATGAGCCAGTTTATCATTGCTGCAATATACCGAGAGAGACTAGTCTCTGGACTAGATCTGCCTTCTCCACACAGTCACTCGACGAACCCTGCCAATAAGAACCATTAGCGAATGCTCGCCGCAACAAAAGCTATCCAAAACACCCCATTACTCCGAGTGATGCTATGAGCTCCTTCAATTCCTTCACACGCAGAGAGCGCAGACTCTCCAGCGTGTACTGTGCAGAACCGCCAGCGTGGTTATTATCGGAGTCGGGCATGTCCGTATCGTCTGTTGTGTCGTCACTGCTTACGATGACCCGACCACTCTGAATATGTAACAACACTGAGACGGTCTCGATCCAGCACGGATGAGGGCTTCCTTACACTGACTAGCATGCCGAGGAGTTGTTCCTTTTCTACAGCTTCTTCCGGAAGGGCTAGGTTACACCGTGCCATAAGATCTTTAATCTCGGGGACAGTCATTGACATCAATTGCGATCTACTGTATACGTGTGGCTGAGTGGAGCTCGATGGGCCTATACCACGATAATGGAAGCTCTTGAATGGGCTTATCTCAGTCTCACATTCAGGAATGAGCTCCACACGTGAGGAAGCTTCTAGTCGATCCAGCATGTCAGACTTCTCGAGGCAACCTTCCGAGGAGACTCCTATTTCATTCATGAGCTGTCGCAATCCGCGAACAGACATGTTCTGCAGATCACGTTTTCGGAACCTGAATGCCAATCACTTGATGCGACACAATCGCCGCTGTAGCGGCTAGCGGCACTCCCGGCTGTTTCCCATATCGTACCTCATCTTCCGCTGTTTCATTCGATCCTTTCGACCAGCCTCGAACTGAGCATCATTAGTGGGAAGCTCGTATCGACACACCGGGCATGTACAGTTTTTGCGCAACCATGGAACGATACAGCCTGACAGACTTCACGCTGAATAACAGGAGGGTTTCAAGGAACCTCAAGGCTATTAACTCGGTCTTATAGCGACTCACTATCAAAAAGCGTAACCACTGGCAACTCACCGGAACAAAAGATATGTCCACAAGGCAGCTTGGTTGCCTTATTGCCGACATGTTGTGGCTCGAGACATATACTACACTCTTGATTGTTCTTAGCATCCTCACCGATATCTTCTGGGGTGACGACCACCTAATCAAGCTGTCGTATTGAGCCAGTGCACCGAGTACCTTTGGCAGACTCTGTATTGCAGTAGAACTAGCTGGAGGGGGTACATTCGAATGTCGTTGTTGCTGCTGAGGTTCAGCCATACCGAACAAGCCACCCATATCAAAACCATCGAATGGGTCGGGCCTGATCGGAACATAGAGACGTTCTCAGGCCGAGGATGGGCAATCCATGATAGCATAGTATCCACCTCCCGACGAATTTCTCTATGAAAGATATTCAAGTGGATAAATACTCTGATCTGATATGAAGCAGATCTAACTCGAAACGGGTCAAGTACGAGGATCGTTGTGTCGCTTACTGCCAATAGTATTTGGAATCCCCACTGAGCCGACTATTGACCTTTATCGTATAAATAGTGTTAGTTTCAAGTGAAGTAGAGTATGTTGTGACGGAAAAGCGGCAAACCAACCCTCTACTACCCAAAAGGGAACCCGCTGGGGGCTGCCCTGCGTTGATGCTCCTGTGCCCGGCGATATCTTTGTTGCGCCTCAGCCTCCGCCCTCGCCTGGGCCTCAGCAGCATATCTGGAACTCCCCATTATATTCCCAAGCCATGCTCCAAAGTCCATTCAGAAGTTAGAAACAAGTGGTATCTGTGGTGTGAGTCGTAATACGAATTGTAACTCAGACCCTAGCAGTCTCCTCCTGACCGCGCGCCACGAAATTCCCTCCGCTGACCACCGATTTCTGTCTTAATGGCTCAGTTACAAAATAGCAAAGGAGCAAATAGCAAAAAAGTGCCAATTAGCTGGAATGTATATTTCCTGCGGCTTTTGCTGTTGTGCTAGTGTGTAAGAACGCTATGGCTGATATTCAGAAGAGCAAAGTGGCAAAATTCACTTTACAAATACGCAAATTTGCCGTTTTGTATAACAGAAACTGCTCGAATGAATATCGTTTGCTTGTTTATATTTCAGAAAATTGCTAGAATATATAAAGGTTGCCGCTATGTGAAGTGCTACTATGTAACAAAATTGAGCAATTTTGCTCAAAGAGGGGGCAAACCGATAAATTGCTCCTTCTACTATTGAGCAAATTGCTACTTTTCAGAGGAGCAATTTGCCGCTTTACGAATGGGCAAGCCCGCAATGGAGCAAATTCTTGCTGTTCTACAATCGGAAGAAGAAATTGAAATTTCGCACGCGAGATTCTAACCTTGGTGGGTTGTTGGTGATTGTGTTGAGCATTGCATTATAGTTTCGAAGTCTCTGAGTGGTGAATTTTCTGCAAAGTTCTTTGGTTTGTCGATATAGATAAGAGATTCTCGAGCAACTCAGAAAGCTCAAAGAGGGAACTCGAAAGTAGTGTCGAAGTAGTAATGGGGGAAATACTGGTGGTATTGGGATTGTGGATTAAAACTTTTGCTATGCTCTGTATTATGTTTGCAAGTAGAGGATTTGTGTTTACATGGTAATCGTATTGGGCGGAATCACTCGTACTGAGTGATCCGAGATCACTTATTTGGATCAACATGGATCACTCATCTGCAGTGCAGTGCTGTATTGCAGGCACCCCAGTGGTGCCCATGCGGGATGTCGTGGCTTTCATACACGCATCCTGATCCCTACGTGGCCTATTGCATGTGAACCAATATACTCTTCGGTAGTCTGAGCAAATACTGGTCACTGGAGAAAGATGCCCCTCGCGAACATCGAAACTATCGAGGAAAGAGGCAGGCTGGCTTAGCAGTGCTAAGTTAGCACTTCGCATCTACCCGGCGCTGAACACGTTCTTCCGAGGTACCAGATGTGAGGAGATAGTGCGAAAGTACTCGCCTAACAACAATGCTATTTTATTGGTGGAGAAGTATGAGAGCCACGCGGCAAAAGAATTGCAGCACAAGCGGTCGAAAGAGGACGAGCGTGAGGAATCGAAGTAGTTTCTCCCATCACTGGAGACTAGCGACCATGTACGCACTCGCAGTAAGGTAGGCACTTCAGTGGTGCCCAGCTGTTGTAGTTGCTACAAGTAGCTGTCTCGGTGATTGGTAGAGATAATTTGGACGTTCCTCAATATGCTTCTCATGCGACCAGTACTCTTCTCAGGACTTACAGTAACTCTAGTGGTGCCCGAGAGTGAATATTGTGTGCGGGGGGCTGTAGAGTTCATAATCAGTAATTTAGGCCGTGTTGCGTTTCCCCTGTACACTCCTTCGACACCTCTGCAAAGTCCATAACAATAGCTCCACGAAGACGCTCCGATGAGTGGCACTGCCCATGAGCGAATGTTTCTCGTGTAGAATGTCAAAGTTGCCCGTAATACTTACGTAATGCCTACTTGAGGGTTTAACTTCTGGGTATTGTTGAGTCGTCAATACGTACAATCGTAGTGAACCATGAGACACAACTGATACGATGCAAAGAGAGAGAGGATACTCGAAGATAGGGACTCAATTTAACTGTTATCTCATCTGATTCAGTCGCGACGTGCAAGAGCAATCATGTGTTTGGTATTCAGCATTGATCATAACTCGCGCTGTCTTCGGAGTGAATGATATATCTAACTAGAGTGCTATCACCGTGATAGCACTCTTATAGTATCACGCTTTGACCCGATACTAAGTGACTCACTTGAAGTGAGACACGAGGTGTGACACCTCTGATAGACACTTAGTAAGTGCACAGGGCATGAACATGCACCAAAATGGATATGAGGCGCAATACCGTAATCGAACGAGAAATGCTATCCCATAACTATGTTTGCTCGGTTGTATATTACTTGTACGAATAACGCAAAAGGGCAAGCTTGCTAATAACGCTAACAGAGACGGAGTTTGAGCGAATGAGCAAAACGCTAGTATATATTCCCGCAGGGCGTAAGTTACAAGAGAGCAAATAGCCGGAACATAAAAGTAGCGCAGCGTTGTCACATACCGGCAACTGCCAATTTGTATATTTCATGCAGGAACATCACACAATAGCAAACCTTAAAAGTTGCCAGACTACATAATTACAACGCAAAACATATCAAACAGCAAATGAGCACAACTTGCCAAAATAACGAAAACGTGCGGGCGAAGCACCCTTGGGCAAAAGTGCCAGCGTGTAAAACATTCCGGGGAAATATACAATGCAGCAAAAAAAGAGCAAAAAAGAGCGACTTGCTGGAAAACACTTTTGGATTTGCTACTTTCAACATTTGGTTGCTAAAACCTATACCCGAAATTGCTAGGTTGTAAATGTGGTTGCTACTTTGTAACTGCGAAAGCAGCACATACAAAAGAGCAAAAAAGTGAGACTGTCAGGAATTATAGCATTTGGCAAATCCGCAACATTAGCAAAAAGTTGCGATTGCCGGATTCTATTACACCGGTCTTAATCGAAGTTCGACCCGCAATACTTAGGGTTTCGTTGCTGAACCATAGGTTCAGTGCTGTGTTGAGATCTGAGCTCAACATAAACAAGGGCTAGGATCCCGAGATAGGCGACTAGCGGGCCGAAGGTTACGCCACTCAACCCGTCGGCCTCGTTGCATCATTCACGGAACTAAGGAGTAAGTAGTTAAGACTCAGCTATATTGCCATCGCCTCTAATCACGTGGAGTGGATTCAATCCGGTCATGAGGAAGTTTAGCATGTGGACTGATGGAACTCTGCCGATGAAGTAACTTCGTAACGGTCAATGGTTCTCGAGGTCTGACCTTGAACTTGTGAGTAGTCCACCGCGCTCGGCAAAACATAACTATTCCATGCAACATGTACTAATCCATCATAAAAAAACTAAATCTATGCAATCTATACAATGCTAAGCAAACAATGGTATTGCGGGCAAATGCGCTATGCTATGCAACAGGTACGTGATGCTTAGTTTAGTATTCTACTTTCAAGTAATACTGATGAGTGATTTCTGAACGTAATTTTTGATCTGAGATTTACACATTTTTTGCGTGAGAATTAATAACATGATGTTACTAACATTAGCTCACTGGCAACACGATCACGCAAGTGTCATAGTCCACGTCATGAAACAGTGTAATATGATGTTCATAAAGAAGAGTAATGTGTGTTCATGTTTATTGTCCTGAATCTCGAAGACTATCTATTGCAGAGCGCTCTCGGCATCAGACAGATCGCTGGCCATGTTGGCTATATGTATATTGGAAGTATTGGAAGTATCTGATCGAAAAGGAGGCAGGCTGCAACTTTCAGCTCTCATATAGCCTATCACCATCAGAGTCATCGCAATTTTCGCCGCCAATCAGTGCATCCTGCCATTGCATTGATTGATGAGGACGAGTATACAAACCATCGCTCTCACATGAACTAGAAGACGAGCTCGAAAGGCTAGTTTCATGGATCTCAGATGCTTCGTCATCCGACGTGTCTGCAATGACACCATCCGAGCCGCAACAAAACTACGACATCGATTCGGCAAGTTGGCAGTCGTTGCATCGATTACCAGTGGAGCTATCGGGAAAACCATCGGAGGAGAAGTTGCTCGAATCAGAGTACGCGTCGCCATCAGAGACAACGGGATCATCATCTGAATAAAAAACAATCATGGTTAATGCAAACGTTCCCTTAGTGAACTTACTCTCTGATCTTATACTGGCAGAGTCGGAACTGCTCGAGTTGGTGTCGGAACTCGCTGATGAACTATCGCGTTGCGGTAACGATACAGCGGAATTATATCTCCCAAGGACCCCGACGGCTCGTTGCGTAGGACGTCCTCTCCGCAAACCTGCGATCGCCCTTGTTTCTGGAACGTACCTGAAGTACAGAAGGAAGTTCCGATGCGAGCCTGGACATTAAATAAACACTAGGTTTGGCACGTTCACAACTTACGACGGCCGAGTCCCAAGATGAACTTCCACAGCATAGCCATGTGCGCAGCAAGCCCAATCTCGATAATCCTTGCACGTACAAGCTGGAGGAGTCTTGCGTTCATTGAGCATCATATGAGCCCTTGGGTCTGTGGTGACGAGATAGAAGCAGAAGAAGTCGTCCATTACTTCTTGCAAAGTTCGCGTACCGACTAAAACGAGGTTATAAGAGACCACATTTACCATTTTTTTTGGAGTCACGGACCATCCGGTAGGTCTTCGAACAGCATACCACGAAGGTATGTGTCGATGCTCTCTAGCTGTGCTTCATCACGTTCATCAGCTCGAGTCCGACTATTTGCGAGTAGGAAGAACCGCCCTTCAATGTCTCCATCACTTAAATCTCTCACGTTTGCAGTCACCTGCAATCGAATGGTGATCAATCGAGAATCGTAGAGAACATGAAATATCCCATAGCGAGGTGAGTTAGTACTCAATGAATTCAATCTTTTATCTACAGTTTATGACAGATATGATATCAGACGTATCATAAATTACCTCCCAAACCATATTCCGTTGCTTGAATCTAGTCCCGCGAATCTTCATCTCGCGTTTGTAGTCCACTGCATTTATAGGCTCAGGCCGCTTGACATAGTGCTGAGAACTTGAGAGTTTCAAGGAGGTGATAACCTAGTGGGAATTAGAACTAAGTATCGAACTGCAAGGAGCGAATTGTTGAACCTTGCGTATTTTTGCCGCAAAGGCGCCCAAATTGAGTCTCTTCTTGCCCATGATCCTTGTATTGGTCTTGTGAAATGACTCGACAATGTTAGTTAATACCTGGACAACAAGTCTGACCCGATACATGCAGTGATTAACTTGCTTGAGTTCCAGCCAAACCCTCTCTCGTTATTGCAATATGTGGGTTGCCATATTGGTCTGTATTGAGGGTTCTTCGCAAATACTCAGCCCCCCTGGGGCATGCCGAATCCACAGTGCTTATCAGAGCATTCGAGAGTAAGTCATACAATCCATCAGTTGCGCAAGAGTGCAGCCAGAACTTGTGGCGCATGACCTGGAAACGTCAGAAAATGATAACTCCAATTTTAATACGTAACTCACAATTGGAAATGCATCCCCTAATACGCCCCGATTGTCCTTGAAGTTTTTGCTCAAGTGGAAATAGCAACGAGCTGAGTGATGAAGAGACCAAATATTATTATATTCATACATATCATCGCACCTACCGTTTCTCACATCTGGCAGCAATTCATTACATGCCTTAATGGCACCCTGATGGGCATCGTGAACGCAGAGATTGACGACGTCACTCAGGCCGCGCTCCCCCGAGGTTAACGCACGAACGAGCATATCCAAATGGGTTATCAGATGATGATATACTTCATAGCATTCTTCGTTTATAATTGCCATGAAGAACGGGACAAAGGTATGTCTGTACTCTCTACGAGAAGTATCGTACCTGCACACCATGGCAGGATCCTGTCAAAGAATTCCTAAACAAATGTTTAATCGTACCATATCCTGGTAGACCCAACCCATGCGACTTTTTGGCTTCCACGAATGATCTTGTTCTGTGCGTCCATATACAATGGGAATCCCGCAGGCATCGAACGGATGAACCACAAGAGAGAAGTCAACATACCTGTCACGCGTGAATGTCTTGTTGTGAAAGCTAATGATAACTATGGATATTGCGCCGTGCTGATATTACTCGCTCCGCCGACAATGCAAGCAAAATTGTCAGACCAATACCCTCCGTGGTAGACAAACTCCTTTGCAGGTGTTCCACCCTCCAGTATGAAGTCGATCAGCGCTTGGTCCATGCGCGAATCTTCAAAGGCTTCTTCTAGCTCAAAGAAGTTTCCAATATGCGGCATTCCAAGGTCACGACGACGCGGCAATCCGGAAATTATGTTTTGGACCTGCTTTCGCTACTTGCAGATAAATCGACTAAAGTGATGAGTACCTGTTGGCGGGATATCTTCCCTGCCTCCACATATTCCCTATGGTCGACGGCTAGATTATTGAATATGTCACTTGCGGTCATGCCTTGTTTTGAAGCCCTCTCGATCACAAATGACATAATCTTTTGGGGATGACGGGTGCGATTGCGCACACGCTCTATCTGGCCGTGCTCTCCTGAAATCCATAAGAATATTGTATTCTGGATACAACGAGGGAGAGCCAAAGGCTGCAAAAAATGATCCTGCCCAAGACCGTCATCAGTATCAGCGGTCTACCTGATGCGAAGACCGTTACATGGTCTCCGTTTTGTACAAGTTTCCACTTTCTCGGACAGCCCAAATGATCGCCGCAATGATAAACCTCATAGTTTTCTCGGCGATACGACAGCAGCAGAACGTTATCAAGATGCAGCCTTTCGAGCGCCACCTTGAACGCATTCGAGCCAGCCGGTATCCCGCAAAACTGATTTTCCTGTATCCAGTTGAGGTGTCTAGGCATTTGGCAATCCAACGACGAAGCGCAGGGGAACAACTAGAAACGCCCCATCCTTTGAATATTGAAACAGCTAAATGTCCCACGTTGAATTATGTTTGTTAAACTGCATTTCAACACACCCTATCAACACGGTTTGAAATCATAAAATTCTTGCATTTTAACAAAGACTCCTCCTGTGGTAAAATTAGACTGATTAGACTTCCTTCTAGCAAACTGCTAACAAGAATGTCAATTGTACCGATTGACTGACTGAACACTGCGCATGAGAGTACATCCATGAAACGAAAAGTACCTTAATCATGGTTGTCTCGTAAAACCAAGCCAGTCGTGAAATATCAGGTCGCCTTGTCGCCTGCAGGCTGCGGCGGGGCAACGACAGTCCATTCTCTTGGGCTATGACTCGTTTCAATCCTCAGGTTTGGTGCATGTGTTTTTTTACCCGTGGAGGTCTGCAACCAAAATTCAACATCCTTGGCCGGTAGCTCTAGACGGAGGGTCTGTCCGGAATGTAACGTATCCATGCCCAAGATCCTTGGTGATTGAGAACATCTTGATGTTTGGTACAAAGCAATCCTTATATAACACGAGTCGGTGAATGCAGATTCTATCTTCAACTTCGCACAACCATTGGGTTTGAGGCATGCAACTCCCTGAAGTTTGTTGCATGCCTTGGTTCTACGCTGGTCTGGAAAGTCCTCTGGTCTCACGGTTTTGGTGGGATACGATGAGGATTCGCTAGCCTCTGAGAGTTGTACCTATTACAAATATGTGGAGAGCTGTGAGGCAAGTTACCATCAGTAGTCGACGTCACGTCTGATGAATTGGAATTTGCGTATGAGGATAAACGAGTACGTGCGAAATTTCGTGTATACAATATGCAAGTCGAGTAATGCATCCTTACTTTTTTGTTATCAGCCGACTTCCCAGAATTCGCGTGTTTGCGCTTGTTTGGAGTCAATCTTAAAGTAGGCCTAAGTGCAATCGTCAGAGGTAAACAAGTAGAAATCAAACTTACACCGTCTTCAAGCATTTCGTCTCACTGATAGGGCTTGATACTTTACGTGTGCTGGCAACAGATGGCGCGTCTTTGGACATGCTAGACTGAAAAGAAGATATCGTATCACGAAAACGAGAGAGTACGTACATGATCCGATTCACCACCAGCGGAACATTGCTCCACCAGCTGGGCTTGGAGAGCTGATTTTTGCTCTTCCAGGGAACTGATCTTGCTGTATGCATCGGCCTGAAGGAGACCCTTCTATCCCTCACAATAACAACATCGCAGAGCTGGACGTACTTTTGTCTTCCTCAGTTCATCCTTAAGTTTCTCCAACTCTCTCTTAGCTCCGACCTGAGATGAGAGAGAAATGAGATGAGATATGCTTCGGCTTTGACATCGGGTGAACCAGAGTTCAAGCCGCTAGATATTAACCTTGCTCGGGCAATGGGCTAAGATTTAACTCATTTAGCTGCTAAGTTTCTGGTTTCCAAGTAGGTTCAGTCCGCTCCTACTTTTATCCCATCAAGTTCTTTCTGAAGTGTGTCCACTGCTATAGCATGCTGTCGATGATAATCATCTTCGTCTTTCTGAGACAGGGTGAGATACGAAGATGGTACATGGACATGGTATATAGTATAGATACTATCCACTATCCTTTGGATAGTGGATATAACATGAAGATACCTGTATTTTGTCTTCAAGATAGTTCACCTTGCCAGCAAGCCTCTCAACCTCTCGACAAGCAGTTGCCTTATTTGTCTTCTCATCGACCAACTGTTTACTGCACTCCTCCAGAGCAATGCGACTTTCTGAAAACAGCATTCAACAAATCTATCTACTGTCGGCGACAGTCTTTTACGATACCGACCTTTAGTCTGCTGCTGCAGATCTTTGTATTCCTCTTCGAGGCAATGGAGCTGAGCTTGGGTCTGCATGAGCCGATCGTCCTTGCGCTGCATTTCGATTTTGAGAGTCTCGAGCTCTTGTTCAGAGTGGACTCTAGCTACCTTCTCATCGTGGAGTCTCTGACACGAACGGGGCAATAACAACTAGCTATGATATGATTTGATACTATGCTATGGTTCCCTTTCTCCTGCAAAACAGTTTTAGGTCTCAAAAAATACTATCGTCTCATGTTGTCGTAAAATATTTTGTCGTCGTACATTTTGCAGGATAATGAGGTAATTTTTAGGATCTAACAGCCAAATTGTAGAGCAAAGTTTCATTCCAACTTAAGCCGATGATTCCAGATTCGACTAACATTCCGCAGCGAGCAAACCTGTTCAATTTGAGCCATTTCTTTTTTAATTTTCTCTAACTCCTGATTGACCTCGTGAAATTTCTGCCTCTCCCCACTTAAAGCTTTCTCTAACCTGAATTGAACACCAGATAGACAACCATATCCTGAGGACATCGCAGTAATATCGTTGCTAACCTTTCCGAGAGGCGTTTAGATTCAGCCGCGGATCGTTCAGCCATCTGCACAGCCTTGGCACCAGAGACCTCCTGAAGACAACAAAATCCACTTGAAGATGATAAACGTCTACTACTACACTTGCCCTTTTTCGATCATGATCTACTGTATGTGGATGTTCGTTAGAGCCTGACAGCACTGTGGAGTATGATGCAAACAGGTTTTCGGCGCACCACTGAACTGTCTCGCATTTTCGAGCTCCTCTGTGAGCTCTGCGATCCTTTCTGTCAAAACCTGCTGATTCCGTTCGTGAAATAATATCTGAAGGAATGTATCGTAGAGTTGATTCCGAGAAAGCCTACAAGAAACGGCGGTATTACCCATTTATCCCGATTTTGTTTAGCACGGTCTCTTCTGGAGGGAGTGGAATGACTCGACGGAACAGAATTACGCATTAGCAAAATAAATCTCACAACGAGGGAAATTCCATGATGAAACAAAACGTCATAGAGATTTTGTTGTTGGCGAAGATTGTAAGAAATCAAAGACCAGTTGCAATAGACCTGGTGAGCCTAAAAATTTGCTCTATAAGAAATTATGAATGAAATAAGGCTGATCACAGTGGATCGGCTCAATTGAAAACTATGAATGAAATAAGGCTGATCACAGTGGATCGGCTCTATAAGAAATTATGCAAGAAATGAGGCTGATCACAGTGGATCGGCTCTATAAGAAATTATGCAAGAAATAAGGCTGATCACAGTGGATCGGCTCAATTGAAAACTATGAATGAAATAAGGCTGATCACAGTGGATCGGCTCTATGAGAAATTATGCAAGAAATGAGGCTGATCACAGTAGATCGGCTCTATGAGAAATTATGCAAGCAATGAGGCTGATCACAGCGGATCGGCCCAATTGAAAACTATGAATGAAATGAGGCTGATCACAGTGGATCGGCTCTATAAGAAATTATGCAAGAATAAGGCTGATCACAGTGGATCGGCTCAATGGAAAACTATGAATGAAATAAGGCTGATCACAGTGGATCGGCTCTATGAGAAATTATGCAAGAATAAGGCTGATCACAGTGGATCGGCTCAATGGAAAACTATGAATGAAATAAGGCTGATCACAGTGGATCGGCTCTATAAGAAATTATGCAAGAAATGAGGCTGATCACAGTGGATCGGCTCTATAAGAAATTATGCAAGCGATGAGGCTGATCACAGTGGATCGGCTCAATTGAAAACTATGAATGAAATAAGGCTGATCACAGTGGATCGGCTCTATGAGAAATTATGCAAGAAATGAGGCTGATCACAGTGGATCGGCTCTATAAGAAATTATGCAAGCAATGAGGCTGATCACAGTGGATCGGCTCAATTGAAAGCTATGAATGAAATAAGGCTGATCACAGTGGATCGGCTCAAACAAGCAAATACATATACACAAAAAGATCGTAGTAAAAATTACTACCCTTCCTTTTACCGCTTGAATAGCCTCTATCAGACATCTTCACGTCATTATCACTCTATGGTGGTGCCTTGAAGGAAGTCCGAACCCTTCCACATGATATCTATGATGAATCCGGATGCACGCTACATTTAATGAACCTCATAATCTTAACTAAAAGCACGAGAAACTTGAGAGTTGTTCAAACTAAATCAATTTCATGAACACGCGCTGAGGATCTTGCGCTGATTTTTTATGGGCGCGCGCTATTCCAACTGCGCAAAAGAAAATGTGAAAGACTTGAGGAATGAACAGGATGCCAACACTTGATGTGACGGCATGCATAGTAAGCTCCACTCTTCCCACTACGTGTTTCCAGCACAAACATGTGGTAGTTACACTATACTTGACATATTCTATCAGCATGGCAGTGAAATGATACGTATGCACATGTTCTGTAGAAGCTCAACTAGGTAGAAGGGTTACGCACACAGCATGAACACATGCAGTCGTTCATAGAAAGAAAGGACAAACAAAAACCAACAAGCCTAGACATAATGAACTTACTATTCAAGCGTAAATTGAATAAGGCCGTCGGCCTATGCCATTATCACCTTAAGTAAGTAATGCCAGGAGTTACAATAGCTAAACTGTTGATGACATCAACTTTGTATGCTTCATGATGGACGATCAATCCCCGAGGTGAGGTTCCGCTACGTTCACGTTTCGGTCCCCGTTTCCCGAACTCCGGTTTCGTGCTGAACAAATCGCAAGTACTTTAATATATATCAAGTCGAAAGAATAGGCATCAGCGCAAGCATTGTTATAAAGGATAATAATGTAACAACGTACATAACATCGAGGAATAAGTATAGGCTATATTATAGCCCCAAGTCTCACTCTTTCATTATCATTGGATCGTCATTATCCATTGAATGATGTACACAGTCACGTGATTAATGTTGAGAAATTACTAGCTCGCTCGCTTCGCTCGCTCGCTCTTATCCTAAGCATTACTGTTATAGCGTACACGGTTTTTATTGCATGGCTTAGCAAAAACAGCATAGAACAGCAGCTTTTGCTTAGATTAAATTTCATTGTCTGGACTAGCAGACTTTGCATAGATTAGACCAATTTTCCCCGCGCTCGTCATTCGAAGTCATCAATTGCCCTGCGAGGGCACAAATGCTCACGTTACTCCTCATTATCTAGTCGTGTATGATGTTCACACAGTTCACACAGTAGACAAGACTAGGTGGGCTGTCGCAACAGCGGTTTTTTGCCGCGCACTGCGAAAGATTCTTGACGATCGTTGAGCATAGATGTTAGCGTATCCCAAGAAGCGCGGGTGATCGCTACGGTATCATTTAGGACCAAGCCAGCATTAGTGTTCAGTACAAACTTGCTGTGACGCCCAATAGCTATCATGTCCCCCTGGACTTTCTTCGTTGGAAGCTCCCCCTCGGCCCGTGGCCGTGGGCTTCATTGTCAGCCTACTCCTCCACACCACGATGGAGGCGACTCGCGACTCGACATTCAGCTGAGCTATTCGTGATCATCGCTCAGTACTGACTCATAGGCCTCACCACAGCTCGCGGCAGTCTCGGGAGAGGACGTCGTCTACGACTCCCGTCGAGTTTGTCTCTAGTGTGTGGTTCACGGACCACCAGTTCCAGTTTAATAGATTGGAGTGGTCTTCTGCCTACACTCAGCCAAACCTCGTGGGCGTAGGAAGAGTGCCGCTTCCCCAACTACTCAACTAACCAACCCAGAAAACGTACAAGTGTACTTAATGTGCGCAGTATGAGGAGACAGGGCTTGTGTGAGAAGGAAGCTAAAGCTTAACTGCTAGCGTCGGGATTACGGACGTCTCTACTGTAAGCTGGAAATAGTCCTTTTCTATAGAGCGTGCTTCAAGAGGCCATCTCTATATGCAGTTCTCTCAGTTCCTTGTTGTTCCCCAAACTTTCTGTTTACGGCAATGGTCTACGAAGCCCCTCATCTCAAGATCAAGGAAGGTTCCATCAACTCTGTTGTCTGTGTGGTTGGTGATCCCGGCCGCGCTGAGTTGATTGCCACCAAGTATTGTGACTCTTATGAAGAGCTCGCCTATAACAGGGAGTACCGCACCTATAATGTCGAGTTTGAGGGTGCCAAGTTCTCTGTTGCTTCCCATGGTGTTGGTGGTCCCGGCTGTGCTATCTGCTTCGAGGAGCTTATCAAGTGCGGTGCCAAGGTTATCATGCGCCTTGGAACTGCTGGCTCATTGAGACCCGAGACCATCAAGCAGGGCGATTTGATCGTCACTACCGGCTCCGGTGCTGAGGATGGCGTCTCTCAGTATCTTGTCCCCGCTGGTTTCCCCTGTGTGGCTGATCCCGCCCTCTGTATCGCCATGCGTGATACCGCCAAGTCCCTCGGATACGAGCGTGTCCATTTTGGTATTACTCTCGCCTCGGCTGTGTTCTATCCCAGTCCCGCTGTTGAGCAGACTTTGGTCAGTAACGCCGCTGCCGGTGCTATTGGTGTGGAGATGGAGAACTCTGCCCTCTTCGCCGTTGCCTCTATCAGGGGTATTCGCGCTGCTGCTATCTCAACCGTCGATGGCTGCCCTCTCAAGTGGGATGAGGGTGACTACGATCCGGCTGGAACCACTGTCACTGATGGCAAGGAGCGTATGATCAAGACTGGCATTAACGTCGCTAAGCGTGTTGTCTTGGAAAACTTGTAATTGTAGTAAGTTTCTAGTAACAGAGTCCAATCAACAGCCTGGAATCGGGCAGTTAGTTTTACTCTGTAGAGTGTATACAACTAGTTAGTCTGTTCTATAGTTTTGAAGCGTTCATGTGTTGGGTTGCTATGGTTTTGTCAATGGGTCTCACCTCTCCCGTGTTGCATGGGAATTTGGCGATAGTTCGTAGTCTGTATTGTCTTCATGCTCTCAAATAGTGGGAGCTGCCTGTAGTGAAACCTTGAGGATTTATTGCTGATTAGTGGATGGAAATCAATTTCCGCTGATATGAGAATGTCAATGACAAGGCTGGTTGCTGGTGATTCGCTGCAAGTGACTTGTACAGAAGATTTGGTTGGATTACTTTCCGATTGTTGTACTGTGTGAGCCACTGTGGATCCTTGGAAGTTGCTCAGTAACTGTCGACTAGGTAGCGGTGAGAGAGCCGAAGGTACCTCAAGTCGTTCTCACTTGTTGCGGGTGTTGAAGAGCATTACTCCTATTATCAGAGTCCCAAAATGAGTGATTCACGCGATATCAGTTGGATGGCTGATGGGGACGGGTTGTGCAAGCTGCTCAGCTAATAGCTGAGATAAGTTGTTATATCGATCTCACCTGTGACAAATCAAGCGTCTTTGATCCGATTACAGCAGCAGTTTTTGTCCGGTTGACGTGAAATAGTTTTCATTGTTCAGTTATCTATTTTTTCTATCTCCAAGTTTACGACAATGGTCTACGAAGCCCCTCATTTGAAGATCAAGGAAGGTTCCATCAACTCTGTTGTCTGTGTGGTTGGTGATCCCGGCCGCGCTGAGTTGATTGCCACTAAGTATTGTGACTCTTATGAAGAGCTCGCCTATAACAGGGAGTACCGCACCTATAATGTCGAGTTCGGAGGTGCCAAGTTCTCTGTTGCTTCCCATGGTGTTGGTGGTCCCGGCTGTGCTATCTGCTTCGAGGAGCTTATCAAGTGCGGTGCCAAGGTTATCATGCGCCTTGGAACTGCTGGCTCATTGAGACCTGAGACTATCAAGCAGGGCGATTTGATCGTCACTACCGGCTCCGGTGCTGAGGATGGTGCTTCCCAGTATCTTGTCCCCGCTGGTTTTCCCTGTGTGGCTGATCCTGCCCTCTGTATCGCCATGCGTGATACCGCCAAGTCCCTCGGATACGAGCGTGTCCATTTTGGTATCACTCTCGCCTCGGCTGTGTTCTACCCCAGTCCCGCTGTTGAGCAGACTTTGGTCAGTAACGCCGCTGCCGGTGCTATCGGTGTGGAGATGGAGAACTCTGCCCTCTTCGCCGTTGCCTCTATCAGGGGTATTCGCGCTGCTGCTATCTCGACCGTCGATGGCTGCCCTCTCAAGTGGGATGAGGGTGACTACGATCCGGCTGGAACCACTGTCACTGATGGGAAGGAGCGTATGATCAAGACCGGCATTAACGTCGCTAAGCGTGTTGTCTTGGAAAACTTGTAAATATATTCTCTATGAAATCGCTCCAAAGAGGGTTCCGACTAGTAGCCTGGAATCGGGTCGAAGTCTTCCCCAGTTTTTTTGTTGTGTGTATATAGCGTGATCAAGTTGCTCTCTCAGTCATCCGTTGCGTCGTGTTTGGGGATCGAGTGTGTCATAAGTTTCAATGAGATCTTGGAGATATGATGATGGGTCAGCGTGTAGAAGATCTATGGTCCCGGGGGAGTTCGAGACCTACTGTGTGTGTGAGAGACAAGGTTAGGTAGCAATAGTTCTCCCTGCTCATATTCGCATACCCGCTAAATAGATGGGCTTCTGATGTCGAGTTGAATCGCTCGGTCGACGAGCCGTCTTTTGAAACGTCATAGTTTTGCTGTAGCGTTGGTGAAAATGTGTGTGTGAGGGCACATTTGCAAATTGCATGATGCTACTTTCTGTTAAATCTTTCCACATGCACTACAGTGAGCTGATCAGCAACCAATATTTCCCACACGAGTAGACGCATTGGTGTGAGGTAATGTGGTAAAATCTTTTTCCTTTGACTGGTTCGAAAATGGTCTGATGATAATGACGCAGCTGTAACTGTATCGTCTGAGACATGAGCGCTAGCTTCCCAGCGACAAGCCCGGTAGTATCAGCGCCCCTAGTCCAGAGCCGTGAGGGTTGTGTGCTTTTCTCCGTCCCATACCAAGGGGTTTTACTAAACGCAACAGCTGTCAAGTACGAGGAACACATCACCAATGGCATATGACATGCAACTGTTTTATAGAGCTAATATGGCCTGTGCGCAAACAGAGACAAGAATTACGACGCCTTTCCAACCAACGCAGACTTACATTCTCCGTCTTTTGTGACCAACCTTGGCGAGCATCCGCTGACTGGTAATCAGCAAGGCGTAATGCAAGTTGATCGCACAAGCTGAATATGTAACAACAAAATAAAGCGAGAAATCATATACGACAACAGGAGGCGATCGGCTGACTTGTTCTTGACTGTGATTTCCTGTCTCAACTCAGTCACTAACTCTTCCATGGCGGCACTCTCATCAGCCGGCCCACCATCATCGCTCGAGTACACCGCCGAGCCAATCATCTTGCTAGCGAGACTGAGCCTGTTCGAACTCCATGCAAGCCTACGACAGCATGTTCCGAACCTACCCTAATGCTCGGTCTAATTGAGCTTCTCTCTGCATCAAGTAGTCCTCGAGGACTCTGATAAGATGACGTTCTAGTCCCCGAATACTCTGCGGAATGGGAATGCCTAACACCTCTTAACTATATCCACTACCTTTGCCGATTCTGTCGGACGACGCTCCATTGTAGTGTTGCCCACAGCTGCATCTGTAGAAAACTTCGCTCGCCAGAGACTCTTTCCCATCAACTGTACAGCCATGCACCCCTCACCTTCCAGCCCATGAACGCCGTCCCCCTTCTCTGTCTGCCTGGGGACAATCTCCCCTCCACCTGATCATTTGCCTCAAGACCAACGTCGCAGCACATTCAAAGCTCACTTGAATCACCGTCAGGATCAACGGTTCGGCAACGAGGGTGAAACGCACCATTACCGCGGAGATCTCCATCAATACCAGTACCTATCTCAGTACACTCATACAGCATTGCCATTCATCGAAGCCTCCCTACCAGCGGCCGACTCTGCAGGCGAGGAGCGGAGGGCCTGAGACCGAAAATGTCGCGAGGAACAAGAACAACGCAGAGATGCCATTTAGAGCGTGCGCAAATCGGAGACCAAAGGTGATTACCTTCAAGCGTGTGTTCTCTGCACAAACGGCGATGAGGTACTCACGTAGCCGTCGCTCGCCACACCACTGGCGGCCAGGCTTCAATGGGTCCTCAAACACAACAAACTTAGACAGCCGGCTCTCCTGCTGGTAGCATACAAGCACTAACTTGCTCTAATCAGCCCTTACTAAGTCGTGAATTCTAGTCGTTGTAGCCTCCTGTTCTGAGCCATCCATCAGCTCCACAACGGACGGTGGTGAACCTTCGTAGACCCGTAGAGGAGGACAAACGACCTCAAGATGCTCCCACCCAAATTGAGTGCTTCCTGTTTGCCATCAATTATCATCGCGGCTTCCTCCACCGAGAGCCGTCCAAGAGTCTGAGTCTCCACGACGGGAGTCTGCGTGAGTTCGTGAGTCATTCGAACGGTATCGTAGGTATAAGGCGTACCCTCAGACTTTGACATTCTCCAATCAATTCGATGACCTGAACACTACCATTCACACGACTGTACAACACCCAACCTCCCAACCTTCTCCTGGAGCTGCTCGTTCTGTTCTTCAACGTCGGCTTTGGACGCAATCATTTTCTCTAGTGACACTATGCGCTGCAGCGCTGCTGTATATTCCAACAAGCTCTTATCCAGCTGAGGAATCCTTCGCAGTGCGGTTCGAACACTATTCATAGTACCTGTTCCTTCTGCAGTCTAGCAGCATCCTTCGCCGTAACAAGCTCGTCCTCCATTTGAGCGACCCGGTTCCGTAGCTCAGCGACCTCAGATGAGGCCTCACCAGGGTGGCTGAACAAAGAGGTTTCACTCTATCAGCGACTTACTCATGAGCATCTACTCTTTATGTGAGGAGCTCCTCCCACGATTCTGACGACCGCTACCACCACCGCTAGCAGCTGCACGCGTCCAATCACGAACAATCTTTTTCATAACAATAAAGGGGGAACAAATGCTGAGTGGGCAATTCCGACGAGTCCGATGAAGAAAGAACTCTGAATTCAAAGAAACGCAGAGTTATGGTAGTAAGTGATACAGAGATGCAGTGGTGTAGAGCAATTGTCACTCAGGAGCTTCTCATAGTCCTGCACGGTCTGCAGCGTTGTCGTCCATCGAGCTGATCTCCGAGTAAGCATTACCCTGTGGGGACAACTGACCGCCGCCGCCGCCGCCGTCCTCCTCTTCGTCTTCTCCATCCTGCAGATCTATCATGACTATTCCTTCCCTTGGGGACTCATCGTCGATCGATGCAAGAACCTCCTGTTTTGTGCCAGAGGGCTTATCCTCCAAAAACACGGTCTCCTCTCTGTCTCTGGACTCCTTCACAACCGGAATCTGTCGTCGCTGTTGAACCCACGACGTCGCATCCGACTCGTCCGAGTCAGAATCGTCCAAGTCAATAACTTCATGTACACCAGGCACATAGTCTCCAACGAGCCCCATAGCAGCTGGACTGAGGTCTCCTTGAGGACGGGGGCCGAAACAAGAAGCATCATCGTCACGGATATCGAGCACTAAGGCCAAGTCTGGAGGGGAGGATACCTCCTCTTTAGTTGTTGCTGACCACCTTGAAAGTTCCCTCTGTTCACTACTCGGCAGCTGACCAGCAGGAGGATCATTCGACGAAAGCTGTTCGACTGCAGTCCTCTGAACAGAGGGCTCTACTTCTCCAATAGTCCCATTCAGCCGGTCAATCGTCGAAACTTCTTCTGGAAGATCTCCATTAGCCGAGCTAGACGAGTGCTCATCCTCTACTAGCAGCGGCCGGTGGTTCTCGCATACCACATCAGCGCTCACTGACTGCGTTTCCACTCGCGCTGTTTCCTCACCTACACTGTTTCTCCCCAGCTCCACCGTTGCCACAATGCTGCTAGAAGGTTGTGACGCTCCAGCAGTCTCAGCAACATCAGGAGTAACCTTGGAGAGTCCCTCATTTGCAGCACATGGACGTGTTTGCTCTTCCTGGTCCAGTGTAGGATAAAGTTTAGATCTCGGCCGTGTAACATTGGAGGGACTTGAGGACTCAACGGGAATATGCGATTGGGTATAGTCCGGAGGAGGTATGACTGGTCGATTTGATTGCTTAGCCACATGTACAACGCGAGGTTGAGTAGGACCCGGCGGAGCACCACCGAAGAGGTCATCGTAAGCAGCTGGGGGATCTCGAGTGATGTGCAACAAGGCGTTAGACACATGAGAGGGAGGACGATTCATCGGCACAGGCACCGGGTTTGAGACCTCCAAGTGCGCCCTATTTATGTCGAGACTAGGATACTCCCCGAATGCGTCTGGTGGCAGCTCATGGGGAACTAAATCACGGCTGTTCTTCGAATGGAATTGGATTTTCGGAGACGCTTCTACGTGATGATGATGCTGCTGCTGGCTTGGTACCTTTGTTCTCAAAGGCATTACAAATCCTTCAGCTGCGTTGTTAGGTGATCTCATATTCGCCGACTCAGCGGTCCCCTGCTCTCGATCGTCCGCATCCAACAGAGCATGCCCGATGGATGAGAGTAGCAATAGCCTGCTTGCCTCGCGTTCCTCTGCATTACTCTCCTCAGAATCGAGGGCGATCGCACGCCGGACTCGTTTCTGCGACATAAGGTACCTATTAAAACATTAGGATGCGAAAGAATACACAGGACGAGAGTCTGAGCTGCGCAATCACCTCAAGACTTCCACATCGAACGACTGTCTTGACTGGGGACTCCGTTTCGAAGAGCGTGCTACTTTTGCTACATCTGCCATGTGAGGAACTGCATCAAAAATGCCCCTACCAATAGAGTCTTCCGAGATTAAGTGCTACAGGTTGCTAACAGAATGCCGAGCGAGCAGCCCCGCCTCATAACACAAGATAACACTATAAGAAGTCATGAGAAGCCGATCGAGGCTGCGTGCTCCTCCAGAATGAGCAATAATCACTCGGGAAACGACGTGGCGATACCGATGGGATGATGAAATGACAGCTTATAGACGACAATACTATCATGTGTCTGCCGCAGCGACCAAACATGGTCTGATAGCATTGAAGAAAGCTTAGTGAGGGTTGATCATCGACACATAAGCCGCCACGCAGAAAGGTCACGCGAGTACCAATCAACGAGAGGTGTGAATCTAGGTAACAGAAGTCCCGAGAGTTTTGGGTCAAGAGAGATCTCCAGTGAGACCTCTCCGGGGAAGACCCGAGATACTTACACAGCGTGATAATACTACAGTTAACTGGATCACCCGATGGTAAGTAGGAAGAAAAAGCATGAGACGCAATCACTATGTGACCAGCGGCACATGCCTTACTCAATAGAGTCAGCAAAAGCTGGTATAAGGCTATCAGTGGGAGCTAGCTCTGGACGGCCTCGAGAGCGAAGCGGGTCCGTAGCTCGTGATCAGCAATTCTGCCCAGATTGAGGTTGGCAGGAGATTCCTGACTTCAGGAGGTTCATTCAGAGAGTAACGACGAACCGGCGCACTGCTTCCATTCACCACAGTTGCTGCGTCACCCTCGGCTAAAATCGGTGTAGCCGAGGCGATGTCGCTGCGTCCGTTGAGGTGGTCGATCATATCTTCCAAACTGTGCGCCCATTTACAGCGTCGTGCACCGAAACGACAGTGCGTCCCTTCAACGATACAACGACACAATTCGGTCTTGTACGCACCCTTAGAGCCATTAAAATATTTTCTGCGTCGACGACTTCGCCTTGACGATTGTGGCTCGAGATCGGCATTCTGCTGCTGGGGGGAATTAGTCGACTGAAACCTCTCGCGGCGGTGAGGCTGCGCCGTCTCTGGAGCATTACTGTGAGCACAGGCTGGTATAGCATGGTCAGATATGAGAAGCGGCAGCGGCACCTGTTCATCCATTATAAGGTTGCCCACGTTGCCAGGCTCGGAAACCATAGTGAAAGTTCTACGAAATAGAACTGCGCAGAGCATTCGATTAGCCTGATCGGACTGAACAAGGGCTTCAAAAACTTTTTGACAAAAAGGTCCCTTCCCTGCCACGCGAACGAAGCAGAAGTTATCGAGATTGACACGTTGCCTCCCGAATAGTGCCGGCAGTCCTGAATACAGCTATAATCCCGTCAACAGTAGCTGATCTACTCGTTTCATCCACACTCCTGAGCTCTTGAGTTCTTGCGCTCTTGCAACTCCATATGTGATTGTCAAAGCCGCCTTACTCCTCGCCCAGAGTTCCAACATGAGCAGTGATGGCGTGAACAAGATAGAATTCTGCCCTTCCTCGGATGACAACGATGATCCATTGGCCGATACTCCGCCAGAAGAGGACGAAGGGGCCAACGATCCCCTCCGTGCTGAGTGGATGCGAGCAGTTGACGCTGCTAAGCATGGGATGAGGACGGAACGGATGGGTAAGCAGACCCTCGATGATTGAGTGGTGACGAGGACTCAGTCGAGGGTGGGTAATGACGATTGCCATCCTCTTATCATGCAATCATCAGTGATTACCAGTGCCCCTTAAATATGTTCCTTTTCGTCGGCTGAGCTTCTAACTTCCCCAACTGTAGACGTTTACAGACGAATTAGGGTAGAATTGTACAGAAGCCAACGAGAATTTTCCTCAAACTTTTCTCAGAATCCTCCTCCTGTCACCAACGCATGTAGTTGACTATGTGCATATTTTCCCACACTGGTGCTCACCGACCAGCATCGCTCGTGTATTGGTCGTGTTATACCTTTCAAAGAATATTTCGCTCTTAGTCGTATCAATTCCGTCGACCGAGGCGGCTACACTACACTGAGATGTGCCTTAGTACAATCGGCTTTGCAGGAACACGCTCGAATTAATTCCAAATTCGTCGAATCCGTTCGTGGGGCCGATATGCCATCTTGGAACAAGGGCGAGCTGCCACTGAGTACACCCCAGAGTCAATTCAAACGCGGTCATACGTCGCCATGGAGTTCAAAGATATTCCTGCGGAACTGATCATCTTAACCTGTGGCATAGCTGCCCCACCCGATGCAGTTGGTCTCCAAGGTGTAGATCGACAATTCCCACTTGAAATGTTCAAGCCAGTTTCCGAGGCTCGAATGGTCAAATTCGAACATCAGAAATTTTGGGAATATCTTGGTGAGGAGTGATCTGATTGTATTGTCAATCAACTGCTGCTTTTATCAGCAATCTATGCCCAACGTTGGAGCATTGTTCATGCGATCTGGCACGGGCTTTTCGGATAGTCTACGTTTCAGGTCTGGGGTGTACTGTGGAGATGATCCGAGAGATGCGCAAAGATGCCAACATGCGGGCTAAACTTAGGGCTAAGCTTACAGGTAGTTGTGGGGGATAGCTAGGTCGCATTCCGATTACGCTGCGCTTTGGTCAAGTGACTCCGTGACTCGCTAGTATATATTTTGCCTTGTCGAGTGGGAGACTAGCATTGGGACATACTCCCGGTGAAAATATCTCATGCCTCATATGTGTTGTGACGATTAGTAACTCGTTAATCACAAAGTTTTCTAACACTACATACAGGTAAACGACGCAACGACGAGGACGATGACGACGATTTTGTGGAAGCATCTAGAATGGAGAGTGGTGAGGATGACGACGAAGGTCGGGCAGCCATTGGCAGAAGCCAACCAAAGGTAATGATAGATATTCGACTGTCCCCATAGAAACCTTCTGCAAGGTGTCTGCCGAGCCGGCTGCCCCTAGCGCTGGTTCGTCCAATGACTTGACAACTCTCACGAAAAGTCAAAGGAAGCGCCTGAAAAAGAAGCAGAAGCTGCAGCGTAATAGCGAAATACTGAATCGATTGAAGAATGGTTGAAACTAGTTTCTTGGAAGTTTTCTTGAGTTGGATCTTGGTCATTTAGCATGGACAGGGATGTGATTGTATGGCTAACCAATCGCCACCTTACTGCGTCTCCAGTAACGGTAGATATTACATCGTTGATTTACCAGACGCGGTCACTGAGACGGACCTCTCGGGCGCCATGACGGCTCTCCTAGTGGTTCTACGTACCAGCATAACCGATGCCGGCGCTATCTACATCGGCTCTCTGGGATGCCTTCTGACTGAGGTGGCTCTGGACTACTATAATATGTCTGGGCTCTCAGCGCGCGGTTGGCGTAGCATGATACGCCGAAGCCGCGTGCCGGAACTGAGCTCTCGCCGGATCTCGTTGTTAGAGGGACCTGGGGTGGCCCACCGTGCATTGCTGGTGATAGCCGGAGACCATGGTGAGCCATTGCGGGAGCTGTTGGACTTCTCTGGAACGGTTCACCAGTTGCCGAGGTCGGAATGTGAAATGCTGTATGGTCGAGCTGGATATCTCAGCTCTCTGCTATGGATAGTGAAGTTTGGCCAACTGTCTGCGGAGAGGCTAGTTGATGTCGAGAGAGTGTGCCGCAATATAGTACGGGACATAGCAGACGAGTCCCATTGGCGGGAGGATCACTTCCATTGGGAGTGGTATGGCAAGGCCTACCTGGGTGCTGCCCACGGCACTGCAGGTGTGATAAGGACGCGTTCATGACCATGTGCTCATTTTTAGGTATAATATATACTCTATGCGACTACATAATCTCCTTTGATCCGGAGGAGGGTGCGAGGCTGCTTTCAAGGCTTATCTCTACTGTAGACTGGGTCTTGACCCGTTGCAGGTGCAACCATGGGAACATAGCGTCTAGTGTCGACAGCCGATCGGGAGGTAGTAGTACTAAGAGGTAGGATTTTCTATGGAATATTGTGCCCACCTTTTGTGGTAGCCGCGCGTTTACTCTCCATCTCAGTCAAGTAACTAGACTGCGCATTGCCAGCTTGGTTCTTCCTTACGAAATATCATTTGGGACATCTAATAGAAATTCAAGTATGGCGATGAGCCCGATAATCGCGTTAAGGCGAGTGAATATCTCTCCCATTGCAGATGCCGGGGTCCCTCGTGTTTTGAAGGTGTGCGTTTTTATAAGGTAACCTAGTTCATTGGTGTCACGGTGCTACTGGATGGATTCCAGCCCTCATCCGGTTGAGCAATACCATTGCATTACTAAAGCCTAGAGGGTATGAGACTCTCCTTCCTCGAATTAGTGGAGAGCTCGACGGTCTAGGGGAGGTATACATTCTCTCTATTGGCAGCCGCTAACGCTATGCCTAGGTTGTGTATAGACGAGGGTTATTAGCAGAGAAGGGGGCCGGGCTCTGCCATGGTGTTGGAGGCAGTACTATGGCCTTAGTAGCTTTGTATTGCCACACAAGTAATCGGCAACGTAGTAAGCCATCTGTGATCACTGTATACCGCATCCACCGAGGACAGCCAGCTCGTCCTGGGAGCCTGATAAGTCAGGATGAGCTCTGTTGATTAGGAGTGCACTTTGGCTCTATGGGTTGTCTTTCCTCATGGGTTGTTGATTCAGATGAGGAGAAGTGGCTTCACAGAGCCAAGCAGTTTGCCCTATTCGCTGGACAGTATGGCCGGTGGTTGAGCGAGTCCTTTGCTGATCGCCCTTATTCCCTCTATGAGGGTCTAGGAGGGGCCGTGGCCGCCATCGAGGCCACACTGGCTGCTATGCGTGGGCAGAAAAATGTGACACAATTGTTCCCTGGTTTTTAGCACTATTGTCACGTTAATGTTATGCTGCTGTTGTTAGCACTTTTCAACTATCGCCGTTCGGTCCTGAGTTCTGGACGGGTCCTTCCTCATTTTCTCTTGTCATAATCGTGATAAGAAGAGTTTATCATTCCTGTTATCATCATAGTCGTGCGACTTCATCCCTAACAACTCTTCGTCCACAGTGAGGGCTGCAAGCCAGAAAATGTTTCCACTATTGATTTCTGGTGCTGCTCTGCACCGCTGTCTAATCGAACTAAGGCGGGTGCTACCATCCTCCTGCCGGTAGTGATTGCGGTTAGTGATAATCTCAAGTGCAGTGCTGCCAAAAATGTTCACTTTCCTCAGCTGAGCTCCAAATTTTCCTCACTAATCATAGAATTTTATATACAAATTAGGAGAATGTATACGATTAGTGTACACACACTAACAAGGATTTTCCAAATTTTCCTCAGAGTTTTCATATTGCCACCAACACATGTGGTTGACCATGCGCAAATTTCACCACACTGCTCAAGTGAGGCGTCTGACGACGACGGAGGTGCCGGCATTATCGCAGGGATACTGCTGCAAGCCCTCAGGGGGGTACACCGCAACATGGTTCCGTTCAGGGCACCATCAGTCGAGCTTCCAACGTTGACAGTCTTCCGGAAGGACTCCTTCCTATGCCCCACTCTATTCAATTACCGGTATCCACTCCACCGCGGCGGGGTCTGGCGACTGTCCTTGCTTGGCACTTATTGGTAATTGAATCTCGTGATAGGCTGTTGACGAAAAGCTTGAAGTTGGGCCTCAGTCAGGACAGAGGCCAACACAGATGTCCAGGGAGAGTAGTTGATGCCTGCTCCCACTGTTCGTTGGAAACTCCCCCATATCCCGAGGCAGCTTCGAATACATCAGACACTGCAACGCCACACGAGATCGAGATCTGCGTGAATGGTGGCACGTTTGGCGACCAAGCCTGCCTCCGACAAAGGGCTGCCGTTCATGCGTTATATGATTTACTTTCGTACCGCTACTTGCGTAACAACAGAATTAGTGTACATGTTATGAGTCTATTGTTGGGTCATAGTCGGATTGCGAGAGGGACGTGGGTTCATTGAAAGTGGTGGGTTCATATGGGCCGCGACCATCCTTCTAGAGACCACCGTCGAAGTCGTTCGAGGTCGCGGGATCGACATGCGAGGGAGGTTGACCGGTCCGAGCGCAGATCGATGCGACGCCGTTCGCGGTCTCGATCGGGCGATAGGAGTTCCACTCGGAAACATGAGAAGAAAGAGAAGAAGCGAGAAAAGAAGCATCATAAGCACAGCAAGAAGACTAAGGAAGCCGACGAGTCGCTCGAGATGGAGGCTCTTAGGATGTTGGCCAAACAGAATGCTGATGACATGCTTTTGCCTATGGATTTTGGAAGTGTCGTGAGTGACTACAGGGTAGCAGTAGAGTACCGTAATTGTGTCATCTCAGGGCTACGGTGGTGAGCGGGATCCGCGAGATAAGGCCTTCTCGACGGCATTTGGGATGTCGGGCATGAACACGTGAGTTTAGGACGTGATGAACGATCATGATGGTATATTGTGTAATGGTATTAGCTCTACGACGGGCTTCGTGGCGGAGCGAGAGAAACCAGACACCAAGGTTCGTCCCCCAAGGCGTGGGGACAAGCCAGGTATTTCATCACTGATCGTCCACTATCGTTCCAATTGCCGATGCTCTCAGGACCGCAAGATTGGGTGTGCCCAAAGTGCCAGACAATCAATTTCAAGCAAGCGACTGATTGTTTCAAGTGTGGACGGCTGCGAGGCAGCGCCAACGCTGGCTTCTTTCAGACGCCCAATGCTTGAGCTGTATATATGGCTGTTGAGTTTAGTTAGTTGATGGCGAGACGTTGAATGGTACTTGGTATGAATCGGATCGTACATCACCTCTACGGCGTGGAAGGATGGACTGAGTCTATAAGCGAGGGCTTATGTTTTGCGGGGCGGTGCTCGTCTGGCACTCGGTCACCTCTTGACACGACTCAACGGGAATTTTCAGCGCGATGCTATCTTTCATTTTCGGAATCTTTTGTGACCACCAGGTAGAATGAAGTGTCGAGAATTTGAGATATGTTGCTTTGAAAGAATTTTCGCAATCAACTGATTCGTCATTCCTCATCGTACTGTATACTCGTAACTGTCTATCGTAATCAGTCTCAGTGTGATAGCATAACCTATCTCGAGTTAACAGCTCGACACAGCGATTCCGCGACTTGCTAGAGCTGGAATTTGTACTCAAAAATCAGTCCAACCACCAGCTCAATGAGAGTATAATGGGTTAACCCTCGAAATTAACGAAAACAACAGACTAATACTACGAGAAATCATCTCTTGTAAATGGGGACGAGGTACATACACTCTGTCCACGGAAAAGTAGCAAGGTGGGCGACTTACGAGTGATCATTCATTCAAGCGATACAACCACGAGTTACATGGAGATTCGGCGAGAACGGGAAACAACCCTCATAATCGACCACTGCTGAGTCCAAGCGGTGAAGGGATTATGTCGTGCAGTTTGCTACCCGACTATCAAGGTTACAAGACAATTATCAGTACAGTCCTCAGGGGGTCCTTACGTCCCTAAGGGGTTAACAACACGTAGTTGCAACTAAAGCAATAGTAGTAGCATCAATTTCAGCAAAACAGTCAGGCGGCACATATACTACCGATACCACTACCCATCTCACTATTGAGCATGAGCCATGATATATGGATACCAATTTCAAAAAGACATTAGTAGTCATTCAATGGTATTAGTGGTAATAGCACGTTGTATTCCAACCTTATACAACGGCAAATGCGCCGGCAATACCCGAGCGGGCAGTAGGAGGCAAGGGGGACTTCTCACCAGGGAAGACCTTAGACATACGTGCCTTGAGGCTACCACCCGAACTGGCAGTGCGCATAATCGAACGCTTGATAAACTCATCACGACGGGACAGATAGGTCTCCTCCTCCTCTTGGGCCTTCTTGGGTTGCCAGAGAATGATGAGAGAGACGCCGCAAATGACAACACACATACCAACCAGTTTTGAAGTCGTGGGGATGAGGCCCAAAAGAAAGTAGTTGAGGGCAAGGACGATAATAGAGTTGGAGGCAACGATGACGTTGACGGGACCAGTGGAGGGGTACATAAGAGCATAGTTCAGAGCTAGCACACCAACGGCCTGAGAGATACCAGCAACCTGAGGCCAGATGTACATTTGAGGCCACAGCGACCAGTCCTCAGGGAAAAAGGAGTGGGTGAACACAGTATAAAGCATGGCAATGAGACCCATGAAGAACATGACACCCATACGACCGATGAAGCCAGACCATGCGGCCATACCATCTCTGCAACTCTGACGAATACATAACAGACTGGCGGCGAAAGTCAGCATACCAAGGATGGCATAGACGAAGCCCATGAGCTTGCCGGAGCTACCACCATCAAATGCAGCCATGACCACCAAACCGCTGAGGACGATGCAAATGGCAAAGACTTGCATAGCCGACAACCTCTCATTGTAAATGAAGTGACAGAAGACACCAACGACCTGACCAAAGCAACGAACTAAATTAGTTCAACTAATATGCAACATCTCCCCCCCAAGCACCAACGGTGGCGAGGGGTACCAAGAATTTGACTTACAATGATATCCGAGGAGATGACGGCTGTCAAGGGACCTGTGGACTTTGGGTCTGTGGCAAAGGCCCACTTCATCATCAACTGGGACCAGCCAACGCACATACCTGAGAGAAAGAGAATAGGAGGTTATTTCCCGCTGTGATAGATACGACGTTACCTCCGATGATAGTAAGTACCTTGGCACTCAAGGTCAAGCGGCTGGGAGGCAACTTTTGAGGGAGCAGCTGATCGTCCAACTGCTTGTAAGTCTCGGCAGCCTTCATTTGCTCGTCAGTGAAGAACATAGCGCCAAGATTCCACCTGAAGGCAGCTCATGAGATCAAGAGAGAATGGCTGTGAGATGCCCACCAGAAGTAGATCCCCACAAAGACTCCGATGAGACCAGAAGTAAGCCAAATCCAACCAATGACGGCCCAGGGGTCAACACCCGGGACGTTGGTATAGGATATGAGGAAGTTGACGATACCAAAGGTAATCTGGGCCAAGAACGACCAGGCGACACACTTAGGAGATACTGTGACCATTCTGGACTCAATAGGAGTAGGAGGGGAGAACCAAGCAAACACTAAAAGGAAGAACATGTCCAAACGTATCATCTACATTTACCTCGCCGAAGAGGCGCCCATTAGAAGTGTTATCATCCTCAGCTGATAATGGCTGCACAGCTACCTAGAACTCCAGTGCTTCGCTCAAACACACATGTTCATCGGTGTGTACAACAAATTTACCATTGTTGGCAGCAGCCACGATTGAATATAGCGCTCGCCCCAGAGGGATTCAACTAAGCTTGATGTCTCCCTGAATCGATCAATAGCCCACTACGAGCGCATGATACAAACCACGTGAGCGTTGCAGATCTGCGAGAGACGAATACAAGAAGCCCTGCAGTCCGTACGTATAAAGCGTGATCGATATTCACATAGGTACATAGCGTTCAACGGACATTAGCATAAGTTATCACACTCTCGTCACCAGCAACAACAACTATGAGTATACTAGTAGGCTACTAGTAGCTTTCAGTGATAGTTACTGTCATTTTATGAAGAGCTGCTTCCAAGCTTGAATATCTGGGTCAGTCGCGATTTGTTACACGCGTGACAAGTGTGGCGTTCATCAAACACAAGTAGGAAGTGATGAATACAATAAATTATGAAATATGTTAACACTACGTGACTAACAGAACCGTCTACATAACTATCAATGACAATCAATTCCAGCACGGAATATATGGTCACTTCTACGTCCTCCATAGTGCTGATAGTTGGCTTCAGTAGTAATGGTTTCATTGTCCAACAGTAGAGGCAGCAACCCATCGTCCATTATCACGAATGGCCAAGACCAAGGCGTGAGTAATATGCTCTACGGAACTGCATATTGCTCCTTGGTGATGACAAATAGCCTTGAACTCTCCTCACGTATACCTCAGGCATCACTACTGCCGCAGTCGGGGCGTTGGGCATGGCAGTGGCGATAGCCTCTGTAGTAGGGGAGTCGTAGTAGTAAACCTAATAGATCACAAATGGAAGATATGAAGGTTACCGCCAACAACAACTCACCGGAGAGCATGCTAGTTGTTCAGCCAGCTTCTCTGGACAGGGGAGGAATAGCCCGGTCTGTGTGCTCCTGTCGATCCTCTTCAAGTAAAGAGATATGCCCAAGCCTATAGCAGCCCAAAGCGCTAGACATCCGAAGGGCCAAATGAAGTCTCCCGATTCCTGATGGAGGAACTCGAGTATCGATGGGGCTATCGCTTGACCGCAGTTCTGTAGGGCGAACGTGAGCCCGAAAGCCGCCCCTACTGAGCGTGGTGGCACAGTAAAAGGAATACACGCCCATATCACAGCACCATACAAACAAATAGATATTCCCATGAGGACGAAGAAGAATGCAACTGAAGTGCAGTGGGGACACCGCGGAAAAACCATGAGGGAAACGTTCGTTATTAGTAACAGGGCCGAGGCCCAGACCATGAGCTTAGGCCTCTGACCCCGTCTATCTATATAGATACTCATAAAGGGCGAAAGGACCGCCCCAAGCATTGTAGGGATCGAGTTGATAGCGTTGGTAGTCTTCAAATCGAAACCGAAATGGGCATCAGACTGAAGATATGCCGGAGCCACCACCTGAGGAGAAATGAACACAATGATCATTGGACTGATCATAGGAGCAACAAGGGTAGTGTATTCCACCCACCTGATAAAATGGGAAGATGGACATGTAGGTGAAAACACAGCTCAGTGCCAAGCACCAGAACATTTTACCAAAACTTTTCACATCACTCAATTGGACCCCGCGATCCCCCGACTTCGTGTCCTGACTCAATAGGATCAAATCAAAGGCATTGAAGAAGACGGTACCTCTTCCGCCCCGGCGATATGGTTTGCCTTATCGTGAGAATTCGCTTGACGATCAAAAACGCAGGTGAGCACAGCACTTGTAACACCTACACACAGGCTACTATACGGAGAGAATAATGAGATCGATGTTACTAACACCCGCCATGCAGACCCCTGCCATGGCTCCAATGACGACACCCCAGTTCCGGACGAACATTGGTTGCGTGTTAAGCACCAGGACACTGCCCAGTCTAGAGAGTGTCAGCGAGCACCCAAGGGCGAATGCTAGCTCCTTGCCGCGGAACCAGTGGGTCATAATTGTACCTTAGACTAATAGCAGCCTTCTCGATGTACAATACTAGATTACTGTTAGCAACGTTGAGGCTTTCCCCTCCCATGCCGAATATTGCCCTTCCAACAACAAGGACAGTGAAAGAGCGCATGTGTAGGCCCAGAGCGTACACGACTGTGCCGGAAAAATTGATGAGAACGAAAAAAATCATAGAACGCTGAACCTAACGGGAACCCATGTGGACTCGGAAACGGTTCGGTGCTCGTACTCCAACAAGGTCTATGAGGAGCCCACCGAACAGTGGTAGGATCACATTAGGGTAAGCATAGACGCCCGAGATGACCCCATAGCCTGTGTCCGAGATCCCAAGCCTCTCTACTAGTACCTGCGCCCAAGTGAGAGCTGTGGTGAACGAAGAAGTGCTGAGCCGCATTACGTTGCGTGTAGCACTGCACATATCGTAGTTGTAGGTGAGTCCCATGAGCACTAGTGACTGCAAAATGAGGACGATGAACCGGACGGGGCCATTCCGATAACTCTGATCTTTCGCGAGGAGGGATTCTTCGAAATCGCCTGAAACAACCGTTCAGTTGATATACCTATCCACACCTTTGACTATATCGTCGTGGGTAGACTTGCAGGGTGATGCAAGATTCCATGGGATTCTTATTACCGTTCTCAAACCTCTCCTGGGAATCTCTATGCAGCCGTGCCTGCGATAAAAGGTTGTGAGCTCAAAGACCGAAGTTCTTGCTCACTACCGCTTCGTGCTGACCCTGACTGGGACCTTCAGATTCTTGTAGGAAATATTCTGCCTCCATGGCCGTCCCACCTGGAAAGATTACCTCCCAATCAGCGACCCCAGCCCTGCTATCTGGTAGTACTTTGCGTGTGAGGTCTTCCAGGTCCATCAAGATCCCGAATGGTATCAGACATTGCAGGTGAGAGTCTGACCACCACAAAACTATAGAGAATAATGTTGAGCTTAGGCTATCCAAAAAGACCGCGAAGAGGCAGCTTTCCCTGTACCTCACCGCCCCTGTGGCATGAACGAGCATCGTAGGCTCTGTGACCTCCTCCGTTAAACTCAACCAAACATTTGCCATACATGAACTACCGGTGAGACATGGACCATGTCTCGGGTAGAGTTCGGGGAGCAAACCCCAAGCTTGACGGTCATATTTCACATGGTTCGTCCTCAACACGTGCTTTCCTAGACGCTACAGTCACCGTGTTATCAAGCTAACGAAGATGTGGAGGTACAGTTTCTTCACTGAGTGGAGCTTCAGTTTCCTCTTTCTCAAGTCGGTTGGCTTGTGGTATCTGATGACGTCGTTTACATACCCGAAGAAGAATCAAGAACGCAGGTCAGAATACTGGCCGTGCCATTCGGCATAGTCTCGCAAGCCGCAGCACAAACCATGACAATAGTATAGCAAGATGAAATGCTTTTTCACATCTCCAGCACGGTCTCTTCGTCCGGCTTGAGTTCTTGGAGCTCCATGAAAGACCAGCACCTGTTCACGGGTACAGCCTCGACATTGTTTTCCAGCGATAAATTTCATGGCCATGGTTTCGCAAGTCTTAACAGGTACAAAATGTGGTTCACCTCGTTGACACTTTCTTCTTCTTAGGCTTGTAGTGTTTGAACTCGAAAAATATTGCACTATCTGAAATATCAGACTGAAAAATGATAAAAAACGACAGCGGCAGGATTCGAACCTGCGCGGGCAGAACCCAGTGGATTTCTAGTCCACCTCCTTAACCACTCGGACACGCTGTCACACAAAAATTACGATTTCTAGCGAGATCCATAAGTGTGATGTAATCCTCAATATACCTCTAAGTATAACACTGAGTTAGCGACTCACTGGTTCTCTGCATTTGCTCAAGGCTAACGGCTAGATAAACTCTTTCCTCAAAAAGCACATGGTTGACGCGTCTTTCTCTGCTTATATGAGTGTCCACCGAGCAAACCACAGTTTGGTCGGGATCTGACGAATCAACGACGATGACTTACCTCACACGGACGGTGATCAGCATCAATGGCTCTTACCTACTACAGATACTGTGGTTATAGGGTCTACATAGCTCTGAGCATCCTTCAGCCCCCATCCCTCTATCCGAATGGCAACCACTGTACCTCAAGAGTGAGCATATGAATGGAACTCGACAAGCCGGAAATGGGCAGCAACCCACCCACAACTTCGGTCAAAGCAGCATGGCTTTGATGGAAATCAGATACGTCTCGCTGGGCATAGTCGACAGTATCTCCAGCAGTGTCATCCTTAATTATCGGGGATGCCTCGCGGAACCTTCGACGAAACACATGGCACTAATTTACGTCCATCAACTGATAAAACGAGATCGACCATTCGACGGACTAGTTCTCAACCTCTACACTCCTTACTTGGTCGCAGAGACCGGAAACTTATCTGCTGCCGCGTAAGGGCTCGCAGCAGCAGGGAGGAAGAGATAAAGGATCACTAGGGAATAGGAAGGCGTGTTTTGAATAACCAGCAGTTCGAACCGACCAGGTTCTAGGGACTTCAAATCGGCTATCGTTATGCCAAGATGACCACTTCTTACGCCCGATTTCGACAGAATCTCGAGCCGAGCACTGAAATGAGCTGGTTGATAATGATACCGACAACACAGTTGTAGTTCCCTTCCCCGATGCGAGTCTGCTACTATCACACCTCAGACACAATATGATCTTCCTGGTGATCTCCTGATCTGTTGAACTCACAGCCAAATGGCCCCGAGTCGCCGCCATGTCGATAGCGAGCTTTCTATACCTCAAATGAGCCAGTATTCTATAACAGGGTCCGTGCTAGTACCCTTCTTGAGCTTCCAGTATTTGACCCCAGTCATCAGCTTCACATGCCTTGGTAAGCTGGGAAGCCCATCTCCGCCTACAACCAGCGCGATCCATCTCAGCGCAGGTAGACCTGTCGGCCGACATCACCTGATATCGCTGGCTCTCCGCGGCGAGGCCATTTGGATATGATGCAATCACGCTCGAAGACTGAGCAATACCGCCCTTCATGGTATTCTAACAACGCAAGACCCTCGAAACGTAGAAGCTACCACGCAATATATGGAGAGCCGATGGTCTATCGACTATGACGAGGCCGGGAGGACTATCTGGAGTGTTCCACTGTTGGTGGCGTATCTCACAAGAGGGGATGTTACGTCCTCGAATCAGGCCAAAAGTGTGATTGCGGAATGGGTCAGCCAATCGAAACAGTCTGGGCGCGCGCCTTGAGGTCCACTGTGGCATTGCCATGCTACACTAGAGTGCGGTCTGAGAGCAATCCCAGCCTGTCAAAAGATGGAGCTCCTTCGCGAGGTTCCAAACAAAGCTATAAAAGCGAATAGCATGAACTGTTGTGATGATTATACGCTTATCCGAAGTGAGGATCAATGAGAGCCAGAGAACGTCCTTATAGTTAGCCAATATGAGTTCGTCGCCGGGGAGACAGAAGGGCACAAGACAACATACCGAGGACCAGTTGGAGTATTAATGATCGCGTAATGAGGCTGTGTTTGAGCAGTAGATGGTGTTGATCGATCACGATACGACTGAAGGGAACAGGACCTCATCTATGAGAATCAGTGAAACACCATCATAGCTCCGCTAGCTCAGTAGGCAGAGCGTGTGGCTGTTAACCACAAGGTCGGTGGTTCGAACCCATCGTGGAGCGCTTTCATCACAACCCCTCGAGTGTTGCCTCACATTCCTTTCTTATAGCACACCGCCATCGCTCATATGTCCACCGGGCAGCCCAGCAAATAGCAATGTACGAGTGGAAGAAGGATAGGTCACCCCGTACTCGAGTCACTCGCAGTCGCCCTCCCCGACACGGGTTGTGATCAGTACATCGCGAGTTGGTCCTAGGCATTCGAAGACCTACACGCAAGTACGGTATGCTCATTCACAGAGGACAGTGTTGAGGGATACCTCGCTTGCACATGCGTGCCCATTTGCACAGGCGTGCTAGGTCCGTGTGTAGGCGTGCTACGCGGAGTCTCGGTATAACTCGTTAAATCCTTTTCCAATATGTCCGATCATGAGTCGAGCATGCAGTCAGAGGAGGCACACGGGAGCGAGTCCCAAACAGTATATCATCGTATATATCCCCTTTGAGAAGGAACCATCCCTACTTGGGCGAACCTTGAATTATATCCGACGAATTCTCGATAATATATGATATATCGTAAATCCTCCCATACGGTAGACTCCTGTGCATAGTGTGTGGCAGCGGGATCTCCATCCTCAACAGCCTAAGTTGGTTCTTCCTCATGGTGTGAGCCTATCTTCTGGAACCTGTTGAGCCCTCGAGAATATCCCCACCTCCGTTCTCCGCGTGAATACTGCTACTTTTATCGCGAGAAAGCCGATGGACCACCTGCAGAAGATCTTGATGAAATGAAAAAGTCCATACCGGGCGCCGTAATATACCCTAGAGGATCTCGGGAAGATTCCCTCTGAGTCGCACTAGCGTGGTTCCCCATACCTAGACGAAAAAGTAACTATCCCGTAAGTCTAAGCTGTGAACGAACCTGGTATCACATACCTATCGCTGCATGATATTGTTGAGCATACAGAGCAGTTGAGAAATAACTGAATAGTCGCATCTACTTGTCGACGCCTGTTCAGCCAGTGGCTAATGCTATATAACGGAGATCGGTGCGGTGGATGGTGCGGCTGAATAATAACATTCTCCTCCTGATGACAGAACCCTTAGTATGAACTACGCACTGTGATTGTCAGAGCTCACCTACGCGACTGCTGCTGCATACGAGAGATCTTCGGTGAGACGTTCTCTTGAAGCAATCCTAAACCTTTAACCTTTTCCGCGCTGCTTCCTTATCGTAAAACCTACATCAACACTAATACCACCACATGTTCCAGAGAAAATCTGAAACATCTCATTGGTCTTCATTCGCCTTAACAATTTATTTTCAGGTCGGATAGGTCTGAGCTCCGCATTGACCACGAATCCCATACCAATACCAACCTATGGATGAACTTATTTCCAGCAGTCAACAGCTTCCCTTGCATAGCAGGAAAACCACTGGTACCGGAAGCTCCAGCGCCATGAGGAGCTCCGATAGCCGCGATATCATCTCTAAGAGCACCGCTGACCATGTTCGAGAAAGCGAAGGACTTCCCCTCTACGTGATTGCTAGACCCGTGGTGAGCCCATGGTGGATTCACGGTGAACTAGGCCGTCGCCTGGTTCGCCGTCCACGGTTTTCTTCCGATCATATATTCGCCGTCCTCAGCAAACACTCCAATGATGCTGTAAGTGTCATTCTAGTCCCCCTCCCTTACACCACATTTCCCTCAAGTTGGCTATGCTAGTCTGGTTGTGAAGTTATCTTGTTGAATGGCGTCCTCAAATGGACTACTACCGTGCCGAATAGGATAATTCCATCGCCCTGTATTAGACAGTGGGGTAATAGCCTGACGTCCTTAACAAGTTTGGCAAGTTTCATAAGCAACGTGCAAAGCGAAAAGTGTGAACAATTTTCGATTTTCGAGCGGAGCGATGAACCCATCGACTCCATTTAACTGAGTTATTGCTCAAGTCTGTATCGTATTAGTTTGAGCTCTTTTCATGGGATGTACGTCGAGTTCGCTTCCAAACGACGTAGACGCCTATGAATCAATATACGCATCACCGACCGCTAAGCGACGTCGGCGAAGGAAGCTATTCGAGGTCCCTCAGGACAAGGCTCAACAACAAAGACCACGTCATCACATGGGGTCTGAGGAGACTAATCCCGGTGGGGACGCCACGTGTAGCACCAGTAGTTAGGGGATGATGATAAGATGTTCGCCCGATAGGTATTAGCCCCTTCGTCGAGCAATCTCATGTTGAAGTCGAGCACCCGCGGAGCTGGCCTTCCAGTAGGTCTCAAGCGCCGAGGTGAGTAACACTGATGTGAGCAGGTCCAGGGTGTAAGTCTCGGCTCTTTACGATTCATGAGCATTCTCCCCTTGCTGTTGTCGACAGAGCACACCATGGTAGCGATCCTCATCATAGACGGAGCGATTCCAGCACTCGTCGTGGGCAGCAACATCATCACAATGATAGTCAACAAGTATATAAGAGTCGTTCGAGATCGGAAGTCCGCAGTCGTGGAGTATATCGATGATAGGCGTCTACGATACACACTCGCTTAGGGCATCCATCCGCTAGTCTGTGCACTGGTGATAGTTCTCCTCATTTTGACAAGGCCTCGTTTTATCCCAACCTACCTTGGCACTTCTTCCTTCCCAGCGAGCTGAATGGTGGAACCTTATCCGTATCCTATTCGAGCTTTCCCCTTTGTTGGTTTATACTAAGATCATACTATGCCCGTTATTAACTGTCAGTAATGTATAGCCTGTGTGTAAATCCTATAATAGAAGTCTCTCATCATCTTCCATCCGTGTTGCGTAGTCGACTGGGACTTCCCTTTATAGCGAGTAATACACGGTACATAGCCACGTTTGTCTCCTCATAGGCGTCATGTGCTGATGGAGAGATCTTGGACGGCTTCCTTTCTCCTCGGTCTGTTGCACTGTCTGCTGACAGAGATGGCTCATTGTCTGCAGTTGCTCGAGTGCCTGCTACCAGCCACACCCCTACTCAATTGTCTTGTCCTGCGAGTTAATACACTCGGCCTATGGTTGGTCATGGTAAGGAGGCCTCGCTCTAAAGCCCTTGGCAAGCTACCGCTCTCTCATGGGGTTTCGTCCAATGATGATATCGCGGAGGAGTGGTATGAAGGTAGTAAGGGTCAGGTGGATCTCCCATCGTGTAGCATTCCAAGGCTTCTACTCCCAATCCAGGTGGAGTAGGATGACATACTTTCTAGGAGTGTATAATAAAGCTCTCCTCATTGGTCAACACTCCACAGCTGTTCGCTCTCAAGGGCCCCCTTCCACGCTCGCCCTCCCCCCTATTGTAGTTTCCTTCCGGTACTATCAAGTTGCTTCGCCTGTACATTGCACTCCTCGTGTGTGAATCACCTGTTATCAATGGCACCCCGAAAATGTATCGGCCATACAATCTTAGTGCTTGCAGAAGCCGGCAGAACATGTCCGAGGTGGGCCCCTCTTGGGATCGAGTCTGGGGGTTGGAGCGGTTCTTTTAGTACATTCCGTAACGACCGTCCAAACTCTATGGTTAATAGCTGACTAGCTTGTCGTAACGCTTCCATATACTTCACATTTTACTCGTAGTTCTATTTTCAGTATGTTTCCAGGTCGAGTTTACATTATTCTTCATCTGGATGTACTCCTCGAGTGCCTTCATAGATCTATGCCTTCTGAGTAGATATATGCCATCACTCTTGGGATGGTAGCTGGAGCTGCTGGGGCCGCCTATGGTACTACACGTAACGATGGAGTGGGGTATGTAGCTCGATGGGCCGGCTCATACACAGTCGCGATCGTCCATCAGGTGTCTATCCCGGATCAGTTAAATCAGTGCATCTGTGCTTTGGGGCACGGAGTTCGCTCACCGGTATGGGATCGGCCAAAAGGCCCAGAGCTTGGTCTCAGAAGTAGCAATAGTAGGAGGGAAAACCCTGGTGGTTCCCGTTGGGCTCTATTCAACCCAGAGGGCCCGAGAGGTCAATGACAACTACTGTGTGACGGTGAACCTATATGTGGGTGCCGTAGCGGTGGGTAGGCGGTTGGCAGAGCTCGACGGGTTTCTCCATGATCCTCAGCATGTTGTACACAAATCTGCTTCTCGATTGATCTAAGCATAAGACTGATCAGTTAAAGAGTTGGGTTGGTCGTTTTTTTCATTATTGTTTGATGACTAGTGGCAGAGTATTTCCTATTATGGTGCGGCCCTCGGAGGAGTCCTCAGTAGTAGAGGCTGCTGCGACGCTGGTGTGGGAGTTTGATAAGTTCTGGTTTCCCCCGGCCTCGGACGAACCTCAACCATTCTGGTTCGCCATGCACTCCCATTTACCCAAATTCGATGCGCCCAAGAAGGAAGGACAACGGTAGTACCATCATACCGGCCGGCGTCCACATTCTCGCCATGTTCTACCGGTGCAGTTACTTCCCAGGGATCCTTCCACTCGTCTTGTCGATTCTATTGAACCCGATAAGGGCCTGGTCCTTGCCCATATGGTTCCGCTTACGCCTGGCCATCATGTGCGACCAGACGATCCGTAACGTAACTTTACCTTCTGAGCAAGTGAGTGTTACTCCTGCTTGCCCTACTCTACAATGTTCCGCAGGCATTTGTGAAAACCCTAGCGGACCGAGTAACTCTCAGACTAGCACAGACCATCGTCATCGACCAGCCTGATAACGGAGCTATCATGGCTACTCATGGACTTTACAGAGCGCTCTTCCTCACCCTCATATTTCGCCATAACGGGTAGTAGTACAACCTCTGTGAAGTAGATAAGGAGGCAATGCTGTTTCAGCCTGGCCGAGATGAGTCTGAAATTGCTACGGCCTTTGCCTGAGGACAACGAGACAGTGGGTAAATTCACAGAGTGCACCAAGGCGGTTCTATGTAACCGGTATATTAACTACGCACTGAGTGACGCCTGCAACCCGGTAAGAGGGCGGCGAGTCGCGGGAAGCCTTCTCCTGGATAGGGGTGCGGTGTCCCTGTGCTTACTAGCAGCTATCAGCTCGAGCTCAGTAGGAGCTCGATAGGACGAACCTAGTGTTCGGCTGGAATAGTCCCCACCTCGATGGATGTACTCCAGGACATCGCAGAGAAGAGACCTTCTGAGGCCCCAGAGGACCGCCACGTTTTGGACGAGCTGTGCCGTGACGACCCCGAGTTCCTGGTCGAAGGCCCCGAGTCGGATGCTGACAGTGCCCTCATGGAACGGCTGAAGGACTTCTTCGTAGTCTTCCTGGATCTTTTCTCGTCGTCTTATTGACCTTCTGTCAAGTTACTAAACTACCCCAACAACACAGTTCCGAAGGTTTTAGTACTTTCCCTCAGCGGTGGAGTGGACTCAATGGTAATATCGAAGTTTTTTCTCCTACTTAGTGGCCTCAACACCAGGCTGAGGTCCCGAACGTGGCGTCGTCCTTTATGAATGAATCCCTTGATCCTCGGTGTTCCTGTGGACTAGTAGAACTGCTATCATCGGTCTCCTCTTGTCAGACCCACCTCTACCTCCTTTCTAAGCTGCAACAGCCTCTAGGCTTCAAGCTCGTCGCTTGCCACATTAGACACTCTAACCGAGACGACGCCATACAGGAGCTACAATGGGTCACCTACGTAACAGCACGCCTCGGGGTAGGTACACTCCAATGCCTCGCGTCTACAGTTCTGTCTAAGGTGCCACTCTACCACCACCATGTGAAGCTCCGTCGGCCGCATGGCTCTCTCAAGACGGGCATCAGCAGGATGGAGTACCATGAATAGGGGTTGGACCTGTCACCATCCGCTTTGCAGTTACGAGAAGCAAACCCGAGATATTCGGTTCAGCATGTACGCTAAGGCGCACAAGCTAGCGTGGGCTGCAGCGGGCCTTCCTGAGGAGGAGCGAACTCAGCCTGTCGTGGTCGTAGGCCACCACATGGATGATGTACTGTCGTCTTGGCCTCCATGGAGCTGCTGAGACAAGCATTGCTCAGGTGGATGAGAATCGCCTCGCTGAGTTGGGCAAGGGCAACCTCCTGAACATCAACGGTATGGTCATCAACGCTGAGGGTGACGGCGACGACGAGATAGGGGGTGTAAGGTGCCCCATAGGATGGCACAGGGCATGCTCGACGTGTTAGGTGTGTCAAGTACGACCGTTGCTATTGAGTACTCGGAAGGAGGAGCTTATCGCCTGTGCGGCACGCCACAATATTCCCTACATGGTAGACTCAACGCCGAAGTGGAGTCGCCGGGGTTGGATACGAGGGGTATTCAGAATAGGCCATCATGTGCCGTGGAGGGGGGCTTGGAGCGCGCTCTCTCTGTAGGTTCTAGATCTGGGCTTCCCGGCTGATGGGGAGGCTAGGAAGAGCTTCCTCCAGGACTTGACGGAGGCTGGGGACCTCTCCGATGTCCTCGATCAGCAGGTGTCTCAGGCGTCCATCGACCTTGTTCCTCATAGTAGATGCTTGTAGCCATTTCTGAGCTGACATGTGTCTTCTTATAGGAATCATACCAGGAGGGGAGGCTAGGTTCAAAAAGCAGAACCGTGTTGTCAATGGCTTTAACTTCCTAGTGAGTAGTAGTTCATCCAGTGCCTTTTTCAGTTGGCTTAGGCGCTCGATACGAGTAACCTGTTCACTGATGCTGCCAAGGACGCCCCGTTGCTGATGAAGGAGATAGCTGAGACGAAGGAGAGGCTCCTCAGTGTGGTGTCGAGGATCGCCCAGGCCTGGGGACCTGCTGTGGCTGCTTATAAGGAACGAGGCGAGTCGGGGAGCTTCTCATGGGTTCAACTGAGCCCATAGTGGTTTGTCAGTTTCCCTTTCATCGGAGGAGACCTCAACAGGAGAGTCCGCCTCTTGTGATGCTTTGACGGATGAGGATGAAGAGGTTGGCTGTGACTCACCTCACAAGTGCCCGATACAGCCCATACGACTAGCCCAGCTCAGAGATGAATCCCTCACAGTCACTATATTACTCAACGTCATGATACGTCTCCATGACAAGAGTAAGCTTGCAACGACATTGTTAGTACTAGGCTGTATGTGTTGCTGCCTTAGACCCGATATATCGACAACAGTTCTTCCAAGGCAAGAGGCCTTCTCGCCGTTCAGTAGAGCACTTCTGTACTACTGCGCAGACCACTCGGAAGCCCTTTGTAATGGTTGCCATATGCTGCTACGTAGCTGCTGAGCTCACCTGGTTGTAGGTCCTCACTGCTATGCGCAAGACATGTCCAGGTCTATACGTTTCTTCACCCAGCTACTTATGCCTGTTTGACCATAATGCGGAGCTCGATGAAGCCTCTGCAGGGAACAGGTAGTCTTAGCCTACGGGTATGATGTTAGGAGGATGTTATTCTGCCTCAGGGAGTCTCTCGCGAAAGTGCTGTTCAACAGCTTCACCAGAGTCATAGCCGAAAGCACTACCAATGCTAAGTAGCTGTTCTGTGCCTTATGGTTTCTTCACTCACAATGTACTTGGGTTACCTGCAATAATGCTGTTTTACAGTCACTGTTCTCTATGTATGGGTAGTAGCCTTTCTACGGCACCAGGGGTCACTCCTGTGAAGAGAGAGGGGATAGAAACTGCCAGTCACAGCCATAGTAGGGCCTTGGCATTCACTGATGCAGCTGACAGAATCAGTGCTCTCAGTTGGGGAACTGCCGGCCTACCCTAAGAGGCGTGGGCCCAGTACCACTGTCGATGACCGTCAGGTGCTCCTGCATGTCTACGACTTGGATAAGGTGATCAGCTTGAAAAGTGGCTGATACACGGTTGCTGGTCACAGGTGGTCAGCCATCTTAATGCTGTGACTCGAGCCTTCTCCTGGGGAGCCTTCCATGTCGGTGTGGAGGTATATGGAGAGGAATGGAGCTTTGGTCAGACCACCAACCCCGAGGCTACCGGGTATCGTCATCACTGTTATACTCTGATGGGTATTGGGCCGCTCCCTTAGGCTCTGCATGATCCGCCCTAAGTCCCATGAAGTCCACATCTACAGGGAGTCCGTGGTGATGGGCGAGACTGACCTTAGTCGTGGTAGTCGGTGGTCATCCGTCCTGCAGAGTTACCATACATCCTCTCTAGATTCTGTATGGAGGCTCCTGATGGCACTTCGGAAGGTATGGGTCGGTGGCACATATCACATACTCAGGAGAAACTGTATACATTTCGCTAAAGACTTTTGTAACAGTTCAAACCAGTAAGGCAGTACGCGGCAGACTGGTTCCTGCGCAGGCCATCGACTAGGCTGCGATAAGGAGATGCCCCCGTGGGTTGAGGCTTTGCCTAGTCGTACGGAGGGGTAGGAGGCCTCCGTTGAAGTAGCACTGTTATGTCGTGTTGTTGTAGGTTGAGCCAGAGCCTGGATACAGCGTCGTCCCATATGAAGGCAGTTGATCAGTGGCTGAGGCTATCGGACGGGTTTGGGAGTCTGAAGTCTGCTGTTATGGTATCTTTTCCTCGTCATTCACTTAGCATATGCTTCACGTAGGTCGCCGATGACTCATTGGGGATTTCGAGGCGTGCGGTAGCGGGATGGGAGTCTATGAGAAGGAGCAACAGTGGGGCTCGTAGATGAGCATTCGAGGGGATACAAGCCTTAGATGTCTTCCTTAGGTGTGGGTTATTTCGCATCCATACGCTTGGGCGGAGGAGCATCACGGCGGGACTTGGAGGAAGGTAGTGTGTTGGACTAGCTACTGGCACATATCTGTTCCTACTACTACTGCTCAGATGTCGTAGTCGAGGATCGAAGACGACTACCTCCTCCCACTGCACAGGTAAGGGCCCTTGATGCTGCTCCCATCAGGCAGTGGTTATTACTCTACCCAGGACACCTTGGTCAGGAGGACGCTGATCCCCACCATAAACAGAAGCCAGTCGGGCAAGCTTCTGGAAACGATGAGCACATCTCCATCGGAGGAGACCTCAGCTCAGAGTAGCACACTAATCGGTTCCCAGTAGTGAGTTGGTGAGGGACTCAGGTCTGGTGAAGAAGTCCGCTATAGGTGAGCAGGTGGCGACCTCAGGCTTCCTGTGAACAACTGCCCATGACCAATATGTCTGATGGACCATTGCACAGCAGTACCACCTGTCTTGCGTTCAGTCCTGTTCGATTGCCGCTATGGTCATACCGTGTCAGCTCTTCGACGGTGCATGGCCCAGCAGTAGATGAGTCAACTGCCTACTCCTGCTCCCTCTGAAGCATTACCTCAGTATGACCCGGCCCGTCACCTCACCATAGCGGTCGAAGGATGCGCCCATGGGGACTTGGATAGAATCTACGAGGTGAGTGGAAGGTACCTAGCCCGTCTGATGGGGTCTCTTGTGAGGCCATTGAGCATCTTGGGCGAACGAAGAAGACTCCGCCGGTAGACCTCCTTATCTGCTGTGGAGACTTCCAAGCCATCCGTAAGCGCCAAATCCCATGTGGTTTTCAACAGCGTGTGGCAGGTACTGAGGCTGAGCTCAATGAGCTGGCAGCTCCGATGAAGCATCGTCATATGAAGGTGTTGAGAAGGGAGGGGAAGGTCCTGTCTTCCGAAGTCCTTTTTCAGGACTTCCATCGATACTGGACCGGTGAGAAGGTGGCCCCCGTAACGACACTATTCGTTGGAGGAAACCACGAGGCCCCATCCCACCTTAGAGAGCTGTAGTAGCGTCACCTGTTTGTGGCTGGTTTGATCGATTCAACCTACGCTCCTGATAGATACTATGGTGGCTGGGCCGCTAAGGGCATTTACTACCTTGGACACTCTGGGGTAAGTTCATCCGGGTTGGCCCTGTATGGGGAGGAGGGTCGTAGTCGTTTATATTCCCACAAGTATGTCTTATGATTACGCCCCATTTTTTGTCGCCTTAACGTCATTGCTTATGTTCCTAGCTATCCTCCATCGTAGGTGATACGCTGTAAAGGTGTCCGCATAGGAGGCTTCAGTGGTATTTATAAACCCTATCATTACGGCCTCGGTCACTACGAGGTCTCGCCCTATACGGAGGATACCAAGCGCTCGGCATACCATGTTAGGAAGTATGAGATGGACAAGCTGGCTGCCTTGGTGAGTGACGGATCGACATACTCTGTAGCTTTAGTGGTAGGGTTAGGCTGACAATGCTGATGCCATGGAGGTTGATCCGCTTCGAATTGTGGTCAGCCACGACTGGCCTACTGGTATCACCGACTATGGTGACACTGAGACTTTGTTACGGGTGAAGGACAGGACGGGTAGGTTGAGGCGGGAAGAGGGGGTCGAAGGGCAGTACAGGTACGATGCGACAGGAGATCAGTCGAGGGGAGTTGGGCAATGCTCACTCGATGGAGTTGATGCGCAGACTAAGGCCTGACTACTGGTTCAGGTAGGGTGATTCACATTCTCATGTGGACCTCCTGTTTAGCGGCCATATGCATGCCAAGTACACAGCGCTGGTGCCTCATGAAAGTACTCAAGAGCCGCACCAGTCGCCGGCTCTTACCCGCTTCATAGCGCTTGACAAGTGTGTGCCTCGGCGGCAAGGGTCGTTGGGATATATGCACATTATGACGATCGATGTGAAGGTAGAGGAGGAAACGTCGATGGTTCTAGTCAGACTGCTGCTTCAGACAGGACAGCTGTGGGCTCACAGTCTAGAAGGGAAGGGAGGCGTAGACGAGCTTGAGATGGTAGGGCAGCAACTGCTGACTACGGTACTGATTTATAGTCTGCTATGCTGTGTTAGGACCCTCCTAAACGTCAGAGAGTACCTCTTCAGTTTGATCCCGAGGTAATTGCCAGTGCTGCATCGGTCGGGTTGTATAGCCTTCCTATTCAGTGGCTTGCCCTGCTCGCCGTGAACAACGACACGATCCCTCATACCAGAGACCACTGGGCAGGTAGTGTGAAGCGGCCGACCGAAGAGGACATCGACAGGGTAATGCCATGGCAGCGGCCAGCTTGTGGACACCCCTGGCAGGTCCGGACGGCCCTGGAGGCCAACGACGATGTCATTAAGGCTGGAACAGAGTACGAGATACCCGACAGCTTCGTCTCGAGTGAGGCTGACAAGCCAGGCGTTCATCGTCAGCGTCAATGGCTCATGGATCTCTTAGGGACTGAGGACGTGAGCCTGTATAGACTATGATAGGTGTTATTCTCGGTGGCAGGTCCTGGGAGTTGCTGAAGCAGCGGGACCTGCTGCTGCTTCTGGGGGCTTTGAAATAACAGGAGGAGCTCTTGGAATGGACGGCAGACTCAGTGCACAGTAGGAGCGCGCATGAGTGTTAGTCAGCACTGGCCTCTTCAGTGGTTTGGAGACGTCCGAGATGTGCACTGATAGCGGTGTCGTTTTCTTCGACGACTCGGCTCCCACTTCGACCGATTCACAGCCCGAACCGAAGCGTGCCCGAACAAAAGAGGAAGCTGGGGTGAATGAAGAAGTAAGGTGTCCTTAGCAAGGAAGCTTGTTCATTGGGCGTTTCAGGATATTGATCTGGGTGACCTGGACTGAGGTGTCTCCCGCTGTCGTTAGACGTACACTATTCCGTAGTTTCGTGATCTCTGTGGAGATGTCGTTGCGCAGTGTTCAATGATAAACTGATTGGGGGAAGAAAGGATACTTTGAACAACTTTTGTTTTTGCTCGAAAACATGCCGGGTGAAGGCAACCCTTGGGAAGACCTGTGCGAGTGGGTTCGCAGTCAAGGAGGAAGTCTGGCTAATGCGCTGGGGAATCTGAGTGAGTAACTGGGCCTTGTCCGAAGTTCAACGATGCTACCATGAGGCAACCAGCTTCCTATTGCTATCGATCGGTCCTCATCTGCACTTGACCCCATTTAGATAATCAGGGTACATACAGCGACATTGGCTCTGGCGAGAGCGATGCCTTACAGACTACAACCACTTCTTCATCTCTCCTGCCAGTATCGCCGTTTGGGATATTCCTCATGGCCCTATTGTTCATTTGGGGGTACCTCTACCTTCAGGGTGAGTGTCGAATGATGTATCTACAGTGTCGACTTCCTTCGTGGTATAGGGAGAAGGAATCGTGCGCTCACTGAGAAGCCTCGGAAGTCGCGTCATGATACCGACCGCAATGACAAGGATGATACTGGGGGTGGCCCCCCTCCCGCCACCGGGGGTGTGTATTAGAGATGCTCCATTTTGAGACCAAATTCTGGTGACAGTGCGGTCATACTCAGTCGTAACCGATTTTTTTCGCTGAGCGCGAGTTGTTGTGTGCTGAGTGAATACACAGGGAGGTGAGGTTCCATGGTGCAGTGCTGCACACCATGCATATGTTGGGGCGTGCGTTAAAACTCTCCACTGGAATGACTTTCTCGCGTTACGGTTTCGGAGAAAACCAAGTTGTAGAGGCTCAGATTTGGTGATGGAGTGAATGATCACGCGAACATGCCCAACAAGTCCTGCACTTGCGCTGGTTTCCCATGCGATAAGTTTCATGTGGAATTGTTGAAGCATCCGACCGGTGAATTCTTGAAACTCCACAAAGTTGGGAAGCTCGAGCACCGCTTGAAAGCGTATGCTATGCCGATCACATCCCGTGTCTTGAGCGATGCCAGATCCGATCGGGTAGCAGAGAAATGAGAGACAACAGTTGAATAATTTGGCCAGCAGTAATTCCTTAAATTTGGAATTCTCAGAGATCAGGATATGCTCGTGTGGAGATGAGTCGTACAGCTCTGGCTAGGCCTACAAAGTTTTGATGGATTGCTGCCATAGTTACTTTGATATCTGTAACATAAACAGGCATTATATGGGCTCTATGTCATCGAGTCGATGATTAATAACTATAAGATAACATGTACAGGCTAAGTTCTTACCACAGTTCTCGGAAAACGATCTTTTATCACGGATTGAGGATTACTAACCTTGAGTTGACATTGATATGTAAAGAGCTCTGTTGAAAGACGCGAGGTCGGAGTATCATACGCGGCCGAGGCTTTCGACCGAAATTCTTCCAATCCGCACGGAACCACCGTGATTGTCCTGGTTTACCGAATGAGTATTATAAGCACCTCTTTCCCCTAGATGCATCTCAAATATCGTGCAACTTTCAACACAACTCCAAGTCGCAGAAAATGAGAAAGTCTGACTCAGTCACATGCTCTACTGCTTTCTCTTCATAACCATCATCGCCCCAACAGCAACAGTTAACACTGCTAGACCCGCAGCAACTCCTGGGAATAACCTTCAACGAGCTGGAATGGGGAATCTCCTACCATATACTCCTCCATTACAGCAGCAACAACGCTTAGAAAAATTCCGAATGAGGTATTGTTTAACATCCTCAACATCGTTCTGCATCACGGTACGTCTGCTAGGAAGACTATATCTAAAGAAGACGATTCCACGCCCTGATGAGCTCAATCTACCTACAGGCGCTCGAGCTCCCTCGGCATGCAACTCGATAAGGCCCTCATAAGCTCTGGTGAAGCACCACCTTTCTCCCTGTAACTCGCCTGGAGAGGCTGAACGCAAACTATGACCACCCCGTAGACGATATGACTATCTACACTCACCTCGACGAACTTGGCAATATGAGCAGTAGCTAGAGCCACTAGGGGGATCTTAGACGACCCGCGATCCTTCAGAAACTGTTCACCAGCAGCATAACCAACGGCACTGAAGATAAAGGATACCGAGCGAAACACATGATGAGCACTTACGAGTGGGGGCAGAGGAGATATCCGGCATCACGGAAGACCATTGCCACGCACTTCTTAGTCTTTTCCTACCCAAAAAGATCGACAGTAGACAACCTATCACAGAGAGGGTACCTCGTCCACGCAATATGCGATGAACTCCTTTCGAGCTTTGTCGAGTTCCTCAGCAGTGACGGAGAATCTAACGCCGTAGAGTCTCATGTCGTTGCTGCAGTAACGCATCGTACGCCTTCTTGGTTTTCAAGTCCCCAATCTTCTCATTCAAACGTCTGGTGTCTCCCTTGAAGAGATAATAGAGGAACCTCTCAAAGTTGGAGGATATCTGCGACACCATCGAGTACATGCTGCATAGAGCAGATGCCCTACAGCGATGTCCATGCTGGGGGAGAGACTCGGCACGACTTCATCATGGTAGGAATACGTGCCCGTCTGACAACAACACCAATGCAGCTACAAGACCGTTGGATCCTCCAGTGCCGTAAGTTACCTCAAAGAATTTGGGTAGGATGTCATTCTGATTAGATGCAATGACGAGGCGATCTATGGGAGCCCCCATCATACGGCAATAATAACTGTCCAGGAAAGCTGTCGAGAGAAAGGAGCTCTTCAACATGAAACCTACCCAGCGAGAATATCTCCGAAATTCCCAGTGGGGACCACAAAATCCACAAGCCGGCAGTTCTCCTTCTCCTGAATCCTCGCGGTCGCATACGCATAGTACCTACCCGAAAACAATACCACTGTATTTGATACACATCTTCCTACACTATTTGTGCAAGTATGCGAGCCCAGTTGATAGAGTTCACCGCGCCAATGCTGAGCTCTTCCTTCAACGGACTGCTCATTATACTCTTCACGATGTTTTGGCAGTCATCGAAATTCTGACCAGCAGCAGATATTTACAAAACACATTCTATCGTATATCCCTTTGGGAAGGCATGCAATAATAGAGAAGGACCCAACAGACCACCTCCTTGGCATGCTTAATCTTCACCTCGTCCTACACAGACGTTACGACGACGATGACCTACCCCCTTCACTGCTATACAGTGGATGTTCTCATCAGCTGTAGTGGTCATCTGCAGCTCCTGGATCTTCGAAGTGCGACCGTAGGGGTAGAGGATGACACCTTAACGCACATACGCCTGAGCCGGCCTGTTGTTATGGAGTTACATTTTATGTTCTTCCTCCCCTTCACGCCAGCTATAGCGGCACTTCCTGTGTCACCAGACGTGGCACCGAGTATAAGAAGCTCCCCTGAGGTGAGACCCTCCCTACTAGGGGAAGTAAAAGAAGTCTCTTACTATGCTTGCGCTCAAGGCATAGCTCAAAGAGCGGACCGAGCAGCTGCAATGCTAGGTCCTTGAAAGCGAACGTTGGCCCATGGAAAAGCTCTAAGACCTACGACACCAATCTATAGCTACGCTCCACAAGGCATTCAGTACATATTGCTTCCCAACGCGCTTCACAGGAGTGAGCTCATTATCGCGGAAATTGCCGTAGGCATCCTCAACGAGCCTGCCAGATGAACTCCCAACGCCCACCAAAGCTGGCGATTCTACTTCTGCAGCTCCGCATCAGATATCTCCGCGGGAGATATGAACTTCCTCAATACACGACAAGCTAGGGGCCTATACGCCAGAGTCTTCCACTCTTCCCACTCCTAGAAGGGGTCATCGGGACCATTGTCAAGGGCATGCCCCCACCTGTGGAGTGATCTTAGGCACGCTCTCAGGGATGAGGAGTCCACCGTCACTTCCCAGACCTTGCAGTACCTACAGCCACCCTGCGAGAAATACCAGAAGCCTTTCTACTCCTACCGTATCTATGAACGAGAGATGAACATCCTTGCCTCTTGTAGACTTGTACAGCATACTACTCGTTGAGTGTTGATAAAAATCAGCGCAGAACTATTGAAGTGATACCAACGATTATATGAACTCAAAATGGGACACAGGGAGACTGGAGAGTAGAATGTTACTGTATTGGCATACTCGGTCAGCATACTCCTGCTCAGCCCCCACCGAGGACCGTTCGAGCGATCCAACTCTGCGCGAAATGAGCAGCCGAGTCCACTATCAGCCAGAGGAACGTGAATGGGATGTCTGTCATAGCCGCTGAAGGGAGTACCTCAAACAAGACAACAAACGTAAGTTAAAGAGAGCTGTCCGTTGGATGGGCTACCTTCCTAAGAGTCGCGAGTAGTGGTTGAGTAAGGGCTCCTGCTCCAGCATACAACTTCCATGCTAAAGGCATCTCGGGGCTGACTACACCCAGAGTGAACAACCATGTGAGGAAAGAGCTCAAGGACATCGACCATTTGGCAAGCCTCAAAACCAGGGATGCACACCGGAGCAATGGGAGGATCCCTCCTACTATACCCACGCCGATATTCACGAGGAAGGCTACAACCGCCAGAGGCCGAGCCAGGCGGGAAGCACCACCACTGCGACCAACTGCAGCGCTCAGTAAGAGGACCCCAGATACTGCCGATACCGCCCAGACCCCAAAGAGGGGAGGCGAGTAAGGAGGCAGCTTAGGAGGAGTGACGACACGAGGAGGCGTCAGCCTTCCTCGCAGCGAACCCACAGTAGAGAGCTGTGTCGGGACGTTGGTTTCCACTAGATCATGGAAGCCCGAGGCAAATAATAGTGTAGAAGTGCCGATATAGCAGGAGACCAGAGTGAGGAGAGTAACAGTCGTTGGTCGTAGACCCTGTCGATGCTCACGTCGAGCCCTCTGCATCGTGATGGGCATACGACTAAAACTGCAGTACAATCGTGATATCAGTATCAACACGACGAGCAAGAGGAATAGGAAACCTTTGCAACACTTGCAGTCGGCCGTATCGATGTGGAACCATAGGGAGGCTCGTCAGCGCCCGCCCGAAGGCAGGCTTCGAATACAGAGCACGACTGCTCGAACATACCTACAAGGGATGAAGCAGGCAGTGATAGCACTGTAGTGGAGCATTAAGGAGACAGGGCCAGGAAGAGGGGGAAAGATGGTAAAGAAGCCTTACCCTCCTCTGAGCTATCTTCATTCCTCCCCTCCTCTGGGGTATGGATGTCAAACTCACGACACTCAGTGTGAGGTTGGCTCCAGAACTCGAGCGCTGACCGTATAGTAGACAATGCGTATTGACCTTGGGAGAATCTAAGATACTCCCGTTAGACTCTCCCCCTACAACAGCACCGCCCAAGAGCTCACTTCAACTCCTCATGAGCCTCGATGTACATATCTATATGGCAGATATGAGCATTCATCTGAATCCTCACGTTACTGCGATCTCTATTGCCGGTCAGTAGAGCCACAGCGGCCACGAACATCGCCAGGATCTGCTGATGATATTCACGACATATCCAAGATGGAGGATACTACATGATCAGCTGACACTTCCACCCGGACTTGCCCAGTGTGCTCCGCCCCCCTCATGGACGAGCGGACGATCTCTGATACCAGTTTCTGGCACTGCTCTAATGCGGCCTGATAACACGCCCTCACATCGTTGTCTGTGAGTGTAAAAATCACTCACCGTAAGAGCCGAAAGCTTGTCCATAGGAGCTATGTGATTATCTAATTCGCCGAGCTCAGCTACTAGACTCTGGACACAGCGCGACAACACCTGCAATGAGTCAGTGTACGGTCCACCGTGAACCAGTGCGAGAAAATATGCACTTGGTAAACTGCATGTGTTGGTGACAATATTGAAAATTCTGAAAAAATTTCGGAAAATTCTTGTCGGTTTCTGTACACTTCTACCCGAGTTCGTATGTCAACTTCTATAATAGAAATTGACATACGAATTCGAGTAGAAGTGTCATAGAAGTTCTACTATTAGTGAGGAAGCTCCCAAGCTGAGCTGAGGAAAGCAAACATATATTCCTCCAACACTGAAAAGAAACCAGAATGGTATCAATGGACATACTTCGTCCTTGGCCGCGAGAATATCCTTCGGCGCAGCTGCTGCTGCCAGAATCGTTCGTAAGTTCAGGTTGCCTCCTTGGGAGTAGTTCCTACATACACACAAGATCAAAATAGGTAATGCCGCACGGAGATCTTCATGACGACGATCGGTATTGAAAAATACGCCCACGGTCTGCGAACCGGGGACAATACGAATTTTCTGAGCAGATTATCATAGGTTTCTGTACACTTCTACCCGAACTCGTATGCAAACTTCCATAATTGATGAGGAAGCTCTTGCCCTCAACTGAGGAAGGCGCAACGATGAGCATACCTTATGTGCTCTGTAAGCTTGGTATCATCCACCAGCGTGTACTGGAGTAAGTGGGAGAAGAGGAAAGCATGCAGAGTCGCATAAGCTGTTCTCTCTACTTCATGCCTACACACAAGCTCTATCGACCCTTATCCACTTCAACACAGTACTACTTTATATCCGACCCTGGGGGCGCTGCTATCGGTCTGGGAATTTCAGAATGCTTATCTGAGAGGCGACGAGAGTCCTGCAAACCTGTTCTGGGATCGCATTTTACGAATGAGAGAACAGTTCTAAAGTAGATTGTGGATTCAAGATTTAGATTGTTCAAGACTACTACGTCCTTATTACTCGCCTCGTATCTCTCTACAGTGGCAACAGCCTCATCAGCGATGGCACGAATCCTCACAGCCGCTGCCTTCTCATAACCAGGTACCTGCTCATCACACTGTTAGTCTTGCTTGCCCACCATGTGCCGCTGAGCTCACCAAGAGGTATGTCTGACGGAATCTGAAGATCTTATCGTAGAAGTCATCCTCTGCTTGCGGGCATGCAGTAAGCCAATCACATGGACCCGTCATGGCCAGGCTGGCCGGGCCAGCTCCACCTGACAGAGGGAGAACCTAGCCGAATCAAAACCTAAGGCTACCACTACTACCTTTACTACTGGTGTATGCTCCACACACGGGCCTGTCCAAGACGAATATCTTGAAATTGATCCCGTAATCATACCTGTGGGAATTAACATCACGGTTTGATCACCGCTGCCCGTCTACATATTCTCCGTTTGAGTAACGTGACACACTCGTCGCTGCCCGAAACCAACTCCGGTGATCACTCGATCGGCCTTTATTTCCAATCCCTGGTAGACATACCATAATCAAGCTAAGGAGAATAGCATGTACCTGCCCTCTCAAATTGCAATACTGGCCCGATACGTGAGCGCTCTGTAAGATATGGGCCTCTACTTGGTGTTTGCTTAGGCACACGCTTTCAGGCTGCCCAGCCAAGGATCGCTTACAGGGCACGAGAATCTGAGCAAATACTAAACCATTTTCGATGGGAACGCCGTAGACGAGCGGAAATGTGGTCTATTCATCCGAGGTTTCAAGGCTGAGAGATCCTCTCCAGAAAAGATTGTATTCCCAGAAGGTGATTTACGACGGCTCAAAACCTCCGTGATAATCTACGTATAAAATCCACTATAACATCACCAACGGAATCCTGCACGTTGATGCGGATGAGTATTACCACAGGCGGCCGTCCACTGCTTGCGGCGGCAGAGGCAGTAGCAACAGCAGCTCCTCCTCCTCCTGCTGCTGCGTACTGTAGTAGAGAATCCTCCTCTCTAACCTTGACGAAGAAGGGATTGGCGAAGATGTCCTCTTGAGGAACTGACGAGATCTTGGAAGCCAACTCCATCCAGGGTATAACAAAAACTTCGAAAAAGGTGCATCTACCATCCAAGACACATACTGAGCGACCTCTCACACTGAAGGCTCAACCTCACCACATTTTTCAGAGTTACCTACGTTTCCTTCCAATTGAACTGCATACGCACGACTACTCCTCACACTATACTCTTCTACTCGGGCACCTTCCACTACAACGGAAGGTTAGAAGCATGATCACTCACAAGTTCAACGACCCCAGAGGCCACCATACATGGCAATATTGAGGAATATACTAACACAACACATACCAATAACGTGTATACACTAGGAAGTCACGCTTAGTGGAAGACACCCGGCCAGAACAGGGACAGGAGTGAGGATATATGATGTAGTATGATATGCCTATGCTACATACCAAATGCCAGAAGTAACTCCAGCAGGAACTTCTTCTCATCAAATCTTCCATCAAGGAGGGGAACAACGAGGACGATGAGCACTGACGTTGGTGATATGCAAGGTACTACACTGAAGCAACGATCTGGTCAGGTAGCAAACAATGGCACTAGGAGACCCATCGTAAATGTATAACGGCCTATAACGACTACGACATGGAGGCAACTACTGTCACCTACTAAGCAATGATGGTAATAGGTGAAGTGACTAGAGCGTGGTAAGAACAAACAGCGCATATCCAACTACGATGACTACCAACAAAGAGTTATATAATATAGTCTAGACATACTCCAAAGGGAACTATTTCAGAAGATGGCATCTCTTAAGGCAGAGGAGAGGAACGGCAGTCGATCATGATGATGACATATTCAGTGAACCTCAATGGTCTGCATATAAGACTAAACAACAACACTGTTACTGATGATGTCAATACAGTTGTCTTAGTTGTAGATCTGTGGAGGCTCACTACAGTCGTATATCTTGCATTGACTCAGCACTGTATTGGCCAACCACAAATCCAAACCACTAGCAAGCACGATACCAATATTAGTAGCAGCAAAGCCCAAGTTGACCGACAGCTGTCTGAGGTCATTGGGGATATCCTCCTTACCCTGTATCTGATACATACAGTTGACATAAGAGAGCCCGCCCATTAGACCAATGACGGCTGCTAACGGTATGTATAGATAGAAACCCGCCAGGCCAAGGCCATTCCTGATGAAGTGGGTAGTAGCCTCGAAACCCCAGAAGATGGCGTTGCATGCCTGGAGAACAGTAGGCAACCAAACCCATTTTATGCGGAAGAAAGTCACAGACACTCTCGATATGGTCACACCAACGTTGTAGCCTATTAACATCATCTCATAGGAGTTAGCAGCAATATATGCAGAATGCACTTTATCTACATTGATAGAAGCTCGGTCCATAAAGCCGGACTGTATGAAGTACTCAAGAAAGTACACAGCGACCAAGTTGAAAATGATGAACCCCGCATATTTGCAAACACCCACAAGGGACTTCAAGTTGAGTTCAGCTGAGTTCTGCGTCTCGTCATCCTTCGTGCCCTTGACAGTCCTCTTGTTCGCCTGACGATTGATATAGAAGAAAGCACCAAAGTATATAGGCGTAAGCACATTCATAACCAACATGATCACAAATCTAGACCAATGGAAGACGTTGAGGAAAAGCATGTAAATAAGGGGAGCGAAAATCCCCGAAAGGCCCGTACCAAGGCCCCAGCCACCCACAAGGCTAGGCGGTAAGTGATGCAGCTGACTCAGGTTCAGTACTTCACCCAGTGCTTGAGAGAAACCAGTACTGACCGCTCCTGCCAGGGATAGGCCAAAACCAATATTGTCATTAGTCATCTTGCATGCTATTGCCAGCAAGACATAGGCAATCGTTTGAAAGACTAAGCATGCTGAGATCCTCACCAAAAAAGGAAAGTGCAGAAAGAACTTAGAGTGTAATATCGTCATGCCGAAACAAGCAGCCAACAAGACCATACTGAATGATGACATAGCATCTTCGTGATGGAACTGTTTCGCAAGATCTTGCGAAACGGTAAAGACAAAGTTATAACCCGTATTATTGATAAAACCACATAGGGTAGTCGCGACGAAGCAAGAGATGTATGTCCTTCGAACCATATGTTCAGCCGTAGAGCCCTTGCTACTGTCGTCTGCAACACTATCATCTGCTTTATCTACTACTGCAACTACGGAAGAATTGGACTCGGACGAAGCGAGCCTCTCCGGGTCTTCCGAAGATGTTTTGCTTCCAACGGACATGACGGTAAGGGGCAAATGAGAATAGAAACCTACCGAGATTAGCATGTCGATCAAGCGCTCACAAGTATGGCAACGACGATAATGTGGATGGATGTACTTCAAGTCGTAATCGGGTCGTCGATTGATATTTTGGATAATCGATGCGAGCGACCTCTGGCAAAACAATCCCAAAGGTAGGCACGGTTATCAGATAATATTAAGCTGCGGTCGATGAGGTCGAGAGGCTGGTGTAAGACGCTGCTGCATCATTGTCGCTGTCCCCAATCCCCCGTAGCATACAATATGTCTCTCTAGACTGAAGAATTTCCTTAGCTAAGCTTATGATGAAGATAGTCTTCGTCGGCTAAGTATGAACAAGCAGCCTTGGAAGGCATTCTCGTGCAGTTACATTCAGTGTAGTGTTGTCTCAATGGTCAAATCACTAACACTGGAGTGCCAACAATAACTCTCATAAGAATCTACGAAGGCTCCGAATATAAACAATCGTTTGACACATGAACACGTGAGCTACGCTTCGCACTCTCGCGCCCGCCATATACTGTCTACATTACACAGGCAGGACCGCTTGCAGGCTACTGTGCGAGCAAGTCCTCTTACCACGATCATGATGATAGCGTGACACGAAATGTAAAAAGCGCGCGCCCTGATGAAGATCATCAGTGTCTTCTTCTAACGACACTTGAATCAAACGCTTAGTATATTTATCGAAAACGATGTTAGTGTGGTACAAACAACCTCAACAGCAAACTAACATTGGTACTAGAGAAGCAGCGTTAAGGCTATATTGCTCAGTTCATTCTTGCACTGGGGATGTTACATTACTCTATACCACTTCATCGTCATTATCATCATCGGCGTCTGACACGCAGGGGTCAAGCATGGATACACCTGATAAAATGCATACATCCAACAGAATAGACCATTGCCAGGGTAGTAGACGCGTGAATCCACAAGCTTACGGACAGGTTGGAAATCGTGAGCCCTATCGCGAGGAGACATGTCATGTACTGAGCATTCATAGTCAGACATGATAACCTAGGAAGATGGGCCCCTCCCAGCTGTGCTGGCTATCACAGCTACATATAACGCGATTGACGGCACCTCACGAACCTCTCCAATCGCCAAAGCCGTGTTCGACCAACAGATGATCGTCTCCAAAGTTCATTCGGAATCACTTTATTCTAATCCCTAGTAATGTCGAGCCTAGAGTGCAACATATTCACCCCTTCTTACTGCTCACAGAAGATCTGCGCGTACCCGATCCCCGGCCAGCGGACGTGAATGCCGTCTGAGGATGAGCATCAACAGGCTGAGAAGCCTCAAGTGTCATGTCAAGTACTGCTGTGCTCGCAGTGTTGCTGCACGTATCCTCAGATGAGCCCCAACCAGCCACAGTGTTGTCCTTGCTGTGAATGCTTGGTCGTACATGCCAAATGAGGTCATCGGATAGCAACCTTGAGTAGCATACATTATCAAGACCGTCCTCAATACCCTCACCTTATTGGGGACTCTCTCTCATCCATCGTCCCCCAAGACGACGAGGAAAGGCGAGAGGAGCGGCGTCGACAAGACTCTAGCAGGGTAAATGCACTTAACCGTCCATCATCGCTACGCCCTCACCACGGAATGAGATCTCCATATCATCGAAGCATCGCCCACGTGCCTGCTACTAACCAGTAATCAACTCGATACACTAGCCCCACCTTTCGCCGTCGACCACGTGCAACCAGAGCTGGTGGGGGACTACTTCTACCCAGCTGCCGGCTCTGACAACGACTACTAGCTAGCTACGAGCATACGATGAATTATATCTCACATCAGGGTATAGCAGGTTAGGTCCAATATCGACGTTCTCTGCGCTGTTACCTTGCCTGACATAGAGGGCAAGTACTGGACACGGGGTAGCTGTATCATAAGCAGCTCACATTTCGGTGTAGGCCTGGGGCTCGCAGAGCTGTTTGAACTTCCGAAAGAAGTCGCAATAGCCACCCTTCATGACATACAGCTCCAGTGGCCTCGAACACCCATACCGAGCAGAGTGCCTGCCCGAACATGCCATGCTCCCATGGTCTACAGTTTTGATGGCTACAAGGTCATTTACGGAAATCCTCCAAGCTAGCCTATATGTGAAACGAGTTAGCACATGGACGAGGCAACCCGTCCTGTCCTCCTACTTGTTCAAAGCGTCAGTCGCAAGAGGTGCTCTGACTTGAGAGAATTCACAGTGGAGGATTATTATAGCCCGACGCCGATCTCGGCTGGCTAGCTCGTTGAACACGAACTCCTTCAGAGACTCCATGTTATACGGAGGGAAGTTCATGGCATTCACTATATGGCCCCCCTTGAACTCATATCTGCCAAACGATGCAGCAACTACTACCACATAGCACACCTTACGGGTAGCGACAGTCGACAAGATAGATGGCATCTTCCTCAGAGACTTTATCCGACCGAACAAGCTCTGCCACAGTCTCGGTACTAACGTATCGGAGAAGGGACTCAGTATAGCCTACACTCGAGCAGTAGTAGGAAGGGGTGGTCGAGGTAGTGCATACGTTTGCTGGTAGGTGTCACATTGACAGTTTGCAGTGACCGACACGGCGTGGCTCCGCGACTTGGTGCTTCGTTTAATGTACCTCAACTCGAGCCTATATATCTCGAGGCACTTCAGGGTGACACTCACTTGAAAGGCGCTCGGAAGAGCGTATAAGACCGTCTTTTCTCGGTAAGCATAGTAGATGTGGTTCATATGATATACCTGTTAGCTCGCAGTTCGCATCCATCAAGTTTGACAACACTGGACATGTACGATGAGAGCGAGAATAGTGGCCGTCCTCACCGTGAGGGGACCTTTTACTCGTTTCCTCATCCTCTCGATCATCAAGGGGCCGTACCTGCTGACCTCTCCCAGCCGGCAATGGTGACCCGTCAGAATACATTTAGCATAAGCAAGCTGCCGCTAGCCACACGTGCCCACTGCTACGAGCAGCGACATTCAACACACAAGAGTTCAGTATAGAAGACAAGTCGACGTAGCGAGTTAGGCAGCACATGGCTGAGCATCAAGACAGAGTCAAGGACCGTGAGAGATCAGCTAGCGTCTCTCAGTTAAGATTAAAGGATGCTCTGTCCAAGGTGATGAGGGCTGCTGAGGTTGCTACTACCGCCCCAAGGGTATTGACGGGAACACAATCTAATCAATTCCAAATGCGGATAAGAAATACCATCCTCAGTCGGACCAGACCCAAGCAAACAGATAGAAGGATTTTCACTCAGTGTACGAGGAGAAAACGTCTCAGGCCAAGACAAGCTCAGCAATACAGGGATCGGACAGATCCACGGCCAGCGTGGCCATCGCCCCCTCATGGTCAAACTCTGCGCCAAGATGAGCACAAACCCTGACACACACAGTTGTTTAGCGTGGCATTCAAGAGGCCGCCCCACCTTAGAGCATCCGACAAGGCGCTGGCTAAACAGACAGTCGCTCCTGGTGAGGGCGTGATGTTGAATATCATACTGGGCATTCCTGGATCGACTATCTTGCCAGCTCCCATCAGCTGAGCACCGGAGCTTGAGTACCCTCATACGACGGGAAGCCTTACCAGAACTTTCCTCTCAGTGTCCAGCAACTGTGGGCGGACCCCTCCGAGCCCATACGCTGGTGTCAGTCTGATGGTCCCTCGAGCAATGGCCGGGACCAATCTCCCCGCTTCGTTGCTGAAGTACAGCCACTCCTGAGAAGTCAAAGCCGCACTACTCTTACATGGCGTACTGTTGCTCTCCAAGCAGTGGGACCTCATACCTGCGACCATGGAAGGACACTCACATCCCCACGCCTCCCTTTGCTACGTCATCTGTGCCAGAGCATATCCTATCAAGTGTGGCCTGTCTGCGAGGATGTCAGCTATGGCAGCCAGCGTTGCAGGGTCCGTCAACTGCATCGTCTTCAGAGCGTCCGGTAGGGACTCCACAAGGTACCTCTCCATCATCGGGTGGAACGCTGCCGTTGGACCAAACCTAGAACGGGAAGACCTCCTCACAAGCAGCAGATCGTCACAAGCCCCACCGAGTTGGATGCCCGAGTCGGGCAATATCGGGGTCAGCATGAGGAGCAGCAAAAGGCAAGGCAGGGTCCTGGACGGCGTACCTGACCTCAACACTATGGCCCTTCAAATAGCATCAAGCCCCTACACCTTGCCGTTGAGTAGTCTGCGATAAGCTCCTGATGAGCCCGCGAAGAAGAAGGAACCCGCTATGGGAAGTAACGACAGATGCTTAGCAAGACCAAGGATGTGCGCCAACAGCAACTGAACCGACATGTACACCAAGGCTGCTGGTCGGGAGTATCCTTCGAGGAGGAAGCGCACAGGGAAAGTACCGAGTAGCCGCCAGCTGAGACGATGCAGAATCTGGCCCGAACCTCAACATGGTTCATAGAGCATCGTATGATGATATCTCCGTTATCAGATACCATGGTAGAGCCAACCTTGAATATGATAGTCCTACAAGATATGGGTCTCGACTCACTTTTGTTGATGTTATGAACTCTATCTTTTTACCACGTATCAGGGCATCCCGTCGAGAGTGGCGAACGAAGGACTGTGTGAGCTCACCATAGTCCACAGCAGCGTACCTTTCCTCAGCAATCTAAGTAGCAATTGCCAGTTTCAACTCACTCATTTTCTGAGAATAGAGCCGCTAGAGGCTCCTCTCTGAACTTCGACCCCTGAAGGTCCTCCAACACTACTGCTGGCTCCAACCGTGATATCTCCCTCCTGATGAGAGCCCCATAACCAATCTCAACTCTGGGACACTATACGTCTACTTGTCCTCTGTAAACTGCATTGAGGGGAACTCCTCCTTGAAGGACTCATACCGTCGCCTGAGCAACTCCTGCTCATCTTCGCCGATGCCAAGACACAGCTTCGACTGAAGCCAGCCACCCATGATTGCGACTACGGACGAGCCCCACCACACCCTCTGAGTAGAGTGGGCCCTACCATCCTGAAAATACAGCTATCCCTCTCCGTCTCGTCCAGGACGTTGACAGTGAAACGCCGTAGCAACTCAGCTTGGCTGTTGGCCCGACGAGCCTTATGCAAATCGTAATTAGTCTCGATATCGCCCTACTACAGGGAAGATACTATTCATGATACAATACAGGTCAGAGGAGCCCCTACACGGTGCATGGTCTGCGAGTTACTCGTTGCATGGCTGCACACTCTCCCCACATTATGATGCCTTTCCAGCACTATGACAGAGTTTCTAAGTAGTCGAGAATACCTCCTCCACCATCACCAGCCTTACATGTCCGTGAACCGAGTAAGGACCCAAGCCAGCGAACAGCCACTGATACCACCGCCCACGATAGCAACGTCGCATCTGTAGGAACCACGAGCAGTGTGATGGCAAGTGACCAACTGTTCATTACACGTGCTTTTGATGAGCTCCTGCATCGTGGGAAATGCTCGGCAGGGCGACAACAGAACGACGGGCTGGCATCTGACACGATGCCCGTCCCAGAAGCCTGCCGGGGTGCACCGAGCATATCATAAGAATCGATCTCCAAGACCTCGTGGCATACAAGCACTGACCAGCCATCAGCTCCTTCTACGGAAAAGTAACACAAAACTAGAGTGCTTGAAAGAGTGCTGGTGGTAGTCATGTACACAAGGTGCAATATTAAGTGCTGGTGCAGCCTCACTACGGATCTTTCCTCTCAACTGCTAGACCGTACAAGTGTCGGAATACTTGAACATGGTACCTGCCCAACCCCTAGACTATGAGCCGATCCCCCACTGAGTACACCCAATTCGAGCCTTACTCCATGTCGCTCATATCGTGCCTATTGCCAGGCCACAATGCTACCAGCATCATCGCGGCTCCACTCAATGGGCTGATCTTCAATCTACATCGCCCCAGTCTGGATAGAGTAGCCCTGTACAGATGTGCAGGGCTTGCTGAATGCCATACACTGACTCGTCCTCCGCTGCTACTCTGTGAGTAGTCTCGAACACCTGACCAGCTCAATGATGAGACTTCTGGGTGGCGTACAGGAGTACCTTGCGCCGGACCCGTTTAATCATCGCTACAACACGAGAACAGCCACTGCCAGCTATAAGAGTAGCAGCCGATAGCAGGATGTTGAACCTGAGGACGAATCGAAGGATGACCATGAAGAGCCCACACCATATTTCCTGCAAGTTACCAAGGTTTGAGCGTCAGGCCCGCAGCCATCTCGTGGAAGGCTCGCTATCACTGCAAAGGACGTACCACTAGGCATACACTCTTAAAGATGGAAAGCAACTCCACTGGCCTACACTGGCCAGACTTCCAACCATACTTCTCACTACAGCCATCTACACATGACAGCAATCGCGGCATTACGCCCTGTACCATAGTTAGAGCCACGCCAACCACAAACCAACAGTCCGGTCTCTTACTAAACAGTTTATGCCGGCTCCTCGGCATATGCACGACCTCCACAACGCACGCCTCACGAGTAGCGAAGTATATAAGGCGCTTCGCCGCTGTATTCAACGACCCCGTCCCTGAGGCTGCATGGTAACGGTTTAACACCGAACGTGAGGCCTAGTGCCACGTCCAAAGCGACCCCGTAGGCTGGACGAAGACCAACCCCATAATCATTCGAACCACCAGTGATACTATCCAGGTTACGACGATTCTTCAACAGGAAAGTACCCAACGTGACGTCTTCAGAACGGTAATGTAGAAGACCAAGCGATACCACACCATTGTATAACACCACAGCACTATTGGAGCGTTCGAAAAAAGCTACCTGCAGACTGGTTCGTTTGACCCGACAAAGCCGGTGTATGGACGTAACACAGTCTACAACCCTCAACGACTTGAGAGCCTACATTCGAGGCCGAGACCCCCAATAGCACAGCGCATATCACACCAACGCTGCCCATGCCCAGCTCCACCACCCAGGCATCTGGGCGGAACACATCGGGCTTCATAAAATCACGCAGACCTAGGTCCATGAGAAGGCCTGCCCTCCGATACCAGGATCATCTGTTAGTCTCCTTGAGCTCATGATACTAACGAACCACTCCCTGTCCAGGTTCCCCCTCATAGCGAGGCCGAAAGCTACACCATTGTGGAACTCTGGCCAGACCATAGCAGTCGTGGTCGCCTCGGACAAGGTAACCCTTTACTAGAGACCGCCTCCATAGTTAATAACGGCCTATCCCGTGTGCCAAAAACCATTGCTCCCCGACCAAAACTCGCAGGGGTATTATCCGAGACCACTAAATCTAACCAGTACTGCTGTTCCTATACATCAATTCCTCGAGCCGTTCGTCTGGACCAGGGTCGTACCTCTTTACTGAGCTTTTCCTCTCCTGCCGGATCCCCGTTTACCTCCACATGCATCACGATAAGATTGTGACAACACCACAGCATTTGCTGCTCCTCCAACACTGAGACCCCAGCAGCTAGAAGAAGAAGAAGCTCCCAGCCACTCGAGTGACTACTTCCTCCACTGCCCTTTTCGCAACATGAAGGGATCCGGGATACTTCCCCTGGTCTATTCTCAACCTCGGTCCTAACAACACTACCCATGATGAACACACACAGCTTAGTCCAAGGCTCTACCCAAAGGCTCCCTACCTAGAGGGTATCTCGTTCGCTGCTACCTTAGGATTGGGCTGAAGAAAATCAAGACACGAATCATTGGCAGGGCCTCATGAGTGCAGCAGCAGGCATCACAATGCAGCCATATTAGGATAGGATACTACCACTGAGCCCCAAGAGGACGCGAACAGATCGTCATCTCCATCACGAGAGCCCATCGTAGCGAGCCGCGAGTCGGCGTCCTCGATAGAGGCATTATTCTCAATGGTACTCAACTACCCGCCCAGAATGACAGTAAGATGCCTGCATTGACATACTATGCGCAAAAACAAGGGGGACTCCCTATCGTACACAACTGCTTCGACGATGGTCTTTGAGGGCACTCGAGCCCAATGCTATTGAGATGCAACGTACAGTTATCAGTCATCTTGGAAAAGGGGATTGTGCGCCGGCTGGGTCCTCCTACTGCCTGGGTAGTTTCTCCCTCCAAAGAGGGACGAGCCCTGGCCAGGATGGGCAGCCGGGATGCTACCCGTGTTGCCTCCATGAACCTTTGAGGTAGAGTTGCCGAACAGACTACCACCCGGCGGGGGAGCAGGCGGCGGCGGCCCAGACGTGACGTTGCCTGGTGGAGGGACCCCAGCTGAGGGTGGCGGTGGTGCTCCAGTGGACTTGTAAACTCCAGAATACTGCTGTTTGCTGGTCTTAGGGCTCCTAGGCCTCCGAGTGGCTGGAGGGGATATCGATTCATCTCCCAACATGTCCATAGTCTCCAACTGTAGTGCCGTAATGGTAGGGTCCCGCTGCAGTACATTGTGTGCATTGTCCAGGATACGCAACTAACACACCATCCTATTCTCCAAGCTCTCCAGCCAACCCCTCCCCACCTGCGTCGTCAGCTGCTTCCTCTCTTCCATGATATGCGGTGGCTCCCCAAGTAGCTCCGGCAGCTTCTCGGCTCTGTTGACGTTGGTGTACAGCTCAAACTGGAGCTTGTCTTGCACCTACACAGTAGTCTCCCACCCTCCTTCGCAGTCTCACTGCCTCACCTGGCGAACCAGGAAGTACCCGACGGCCCTTGGGACCGAGTCGCGAACATTCCTGATGATTAGGGAGAAGTAGGCATCAAGACGGCGGCGTATCTCCGTCACATAAGGCCCAGCATAACCACGACGATGGCTGGCCCTCTGCCCCATCACATTCCTCGGGACCTGTTCCTTCCGATACACACACAGGACCACAGCAACCAACCCACCTGCTGCTGCTGCTGTGCTACTCCACCTTGGGCTGGCCCGCCAGGCCCTCCAGCGACTCCCGGGGGCGATTCCATATTGGAAGTAGGACCATTAGGCAAGGCCGGGGAAGGCTGGTACCTATCCTCAACTATCCAACCATTTCCTCAACCAATAACACCCACATCGGTTGCATCGATCCATGGCTTTCCAAATACTCCTCATCGTTCGTAAAGAGGTACCCCGTATCATAAGCCACCAAGTCCTCCAATATAGCCCGGGTATGCTCCTTCTCTCTGTAAAGGATCTGCGAGGTGAGCTCTAGTACCTGGACGACAGCCACATCTATTAACCAATCCTAAGCCTCGGCCTACTACCTGGTCCGCGAGCTTGGGAAAGCGCTTGAAGACCGTTCGAGCCATCTTCTGGCTGAGGACCTACGACACACCTAAGCAACGCTAGCCATAGCCAACTGGTCTACCTCGAGAGTAGCCGCAACGGTGTTCAAACACTCCATCGTAGGGCCTTGAATTTGGCGGAGGTATGGTAGGATAAGAAATTCGAAAATATCAGGAGATGGGAAGCCTGATAATTGCACGCCATGACACCCTAAATCCACAGCTGATCTACCTGGCAAGGCATCGCCCTCATGGACCCTAATAGCCCTCTCAATGTCCTCATCAGTGAGGTCTCTAGTGCAGGGCTCCTCTTCGAAGTCGGCCTGAGCACAGCTACCCAAAGCCCATCCAAGGAGACCCTACCAAGAAGTCATTAAACACACTCCTTATTTGACTGCCCCCAGAGGCCAGCTGTTCTCCACTCTCAGCAGAGGCCGCCAAGTAGTGTTGGAGTTTCCTATCGTTCCTCCCTAACACAGCACCATCACCATACCACCATGACCTCCCTCCTACTACTACCCCTGATAGTGTTCTTGAACATATCACAATAATCCGTTATCATAGTCCACATCAGTTGGACCTGCTCCTTCTCATCCACAGGCACACCGCTACCAATCTGCTCTAGTCTATCCTGGACCCTAACACACTACGTATTGGCTCTTCCTCTACCATCAACACACTACTTCGTCCTTCTATCGGTTATCTCCTTCTTAATTTCAGGTAGGAAATTGCGTATGTGACGAAACAGTACCCTCGTAAGCTTCTGGACCAGGCAACCTGCGAGCCCACCAACCTTCGACTACCTCCAAGAGCATCTCCTCCTCACCTGTGCCCGTCAGGCCAGGAGGAAGCTTGTTGTATTTAGGATGACTTTCGAACCATTCCTTCTCATGCTGTAACGCCTCCTTCACCCTCATATTCTCACGTATATCGGCCTGTGACCTACAACGCCTCGTCACTCGACCATCACTACCACCAAAGAAGTACCTATTTTTCACCCCAACGTAGCCTAACCGCAGAGGTATGTCCTCTCCAGTGAGCATCTTGATTGCATCAGTGCCTCTGTCCATGATATCGATTTTCGTGATCACCTACACTGACAATACTGCGAGCATCAGACGTGACAATACTACCCCTATCGTCCTGAACCCAGAAGGGTCAACCTGCCGGGCCATCTGCAAGGCATCGCTAGTACTCAGGTCCTGGTTAGCCGCCAGAACCGCCAATATGATAGTCCGAGGGTCCCGAATGTAACGGTAAGTCATGTCCTACCATCAAGCATTAGAGCATTCTTATGGAAGAGTTCAGCCCACCTTGGTGACCTTCTCAATATCCTCCTTCTGGTCTGAGCCCTTCACAGGGACACGAGTAATTCCAGGCAAGTCAATCAAAGTCAGATCAGGGGCCGCCGTCGCGTATCTGTCGCAGCAGCTCCCATCACCACTACCACCACTCAGGCATCACGGCTACATGGTCATAACTATGGGGTCATCCACTATACCCTTGTTGGCTCCAGCTGCAACATCAGTGAGCCTTTCAATTTCCTTGCGGACCTAACAGAAACCACTCTGAGAGACATAATATCACGTGAAAACCTATGGCAGCTACAAGGCGGCAACTAAATAGGAGCTCTTCATTGGCACCCAAAGCCTCGCCTATTACCTCATCAAAGTCCGTGAACTTCTTCTCAGGGCGGTCAGGGAATACTGCCCAAGCATCATCAGGTTTATGATCACCTAAGGAAGGGCCCCCTCCACTCGTAAACAACCGTCATCACTCCCGCTCACTTTCAGACAGATGGACCAACCTAAGCTCAAGAGGTCTTCTTGTTACCACCCCATCCCCACGAGGGAGGAAGTCAAGCCCAACAACGCTCTCCAACACCTGACAGAGACCACCGTGAAGTCGACCATGAGCAGCAGTCGACAGGGCACCCTACCGAACTCTTCCCTGAGCTTTGGGTACCGACAACGACAATTCGAGGGAGGTTGATAATCTTCTGTAGGCCGACGTCCCTGAGAGCACCAATGACCCTCACAGAGATACCCTCAATACTACCTGAGCTCATCCACCACATTGATAAGCCGTCGGAGGTTATCATATAGGCCGTTGGGAGTAACAGTGGATTCAGCAGCAGCTGCCGTCATCGTGATCAACTCCTGCTACTAAACTCTGAATACAACATCCATCGGAAGCCCATCTAGCCGAAATTAAGCAACATAGAAACACAACTCGTAGGGGTCGATAGAAACTCAATGGTCCCTGTATGAATAGACCATGTCATACCAATGCTACATGTTGACTCTACACGAGAAAGTTGTTTTTCAGAAGAGCAACTACCTACAACACGACTACCTCCATGGAGCACACCAAGTAGCTTCACCAGTGATTATACTGGGAATACTCCCAGACATACCAATCATAGCCACACTACCTTACTATGTTGGTCGAGGAAGGATCACAGCCCACGGTTGAGATGCACAACTCTTCACACGTAACACTCTCCAAGGGGTCGATCAATAGATTCACAAGTAGTACGGTAATCCACTACGAGCGCTTGTCAAAACAAACCAGGCCTGGTACGAAAGAGAAAGCTATTTAATAATGCAACTTCTAACAGAAGAGTTTTCTCGTGCATCCGGGTGATAATTTCGTGGCGCGTGACGGGTTGAAGCGCAAAACGATGGTAGCCACCATGCATGTGCAGTGTCACCCTTCTCGTGCGGATCCTCCCTGGACGAATTGAGTGGCCTGGATTTCGTGGGGATCGCCATCACTCAGCGTGCTCAAGTCCTGTTCCATAACTAAATCAGCGCAAGGAGGAACCTTGAATTGAGATGACTACTCTAACGATACTGAGTTGATATTCCAAATGACACCGGATTGTGCGAGCAGTAGATCTGTTGCGGAGTATGTGAGTGTTATCGTGATCGTTCAGTTAGCGACCGACTGTCGGCGTCAGTCGCTCACAGACGTTGGTTACTCTCCTCGCCATTACAGCACAGTTATTCCAACGAATTCATAATCCTGTACCCAGCAGAGCATCGCAACAAGGCCACAACGGCTATACCACTGAGACCAATTAACACACTCAACCCTTCCACGCAGCGAGAAGATATTGATACAGTAGTCTGCGCGACTATAACTGCTGGATGACCAAAGTCGAGGATCGTTGCTGAAGTTCGTCATTAAGGCTGATAATACAGAATCCTCACCAAGGAGGGTAAAGAGGAGGAGGAGGGGGAGGAGCACAACCGTGACCTAATATTTGACCACAGGGTTTCCAACAGTAGATGTCATGTGACCATTGACCACTGGTTGAGCTTGACTATATACCACCTGAAACGTAATGACTCCCCAAGTCGAGACACCGACTGTCGGCATCGATCAGGGTTGTACAAACATATCTCGATCCTAACTATGACGAGCCAGCCCGAAGTCGGAAACAATGCCAATAGAAGGTGAGTGACATGGGTCGATTTCGGTAGTCGTTGGGCTACTAGAGCAGTCAAGGGTATTATCAATAGTCATGTCGAAACGAAATGATGGGATTGCGATGACTTACTCCGTTAGAAGCAGTAGGATAGGCATATGCTGTAGCATAGGCGACGGGACGCGGATTAGCAGCAGCCGCCGCTTTGCGCTTGCGGTACCTCTGCCAGTAAACTACGAACGCAGCAATGGCGAGCAATACTGCTGCTATCCCCACGCTCATCCAGATCCAAAAATACCTGACCACATCTTCATCACACTATGGAGGGTGAGGACAGTTGCTTTCAAAACTCACGCAGATAGCCTCTCGCAGCGATCACCATCCCACCACCTCTCACACACGCAAAAATTGGTGTTGAATCCTTGGAAGCATACACCATGGCTACCGCACTGATTACCGGCCAAGGGATTACAGGTACTCATGAAAAATGTGAAGAGTTTTTGACGAAACTTGAGTCAAAGGAGCTGCACAGGTACATATAAGCACTCTAAGACATATGGAAAGGGCCACAATCCGAGACGTTACGAGGGCGAGGGGAACGCGACACGACAAAGAGGAAGTCGTTGTCATGCAACAACATTCAGAGAGGTAGAACTCAACCGTGGATACCGATACAGATAACAGCATGGAAATCTATACAGGGCTGAGTTACTGCTGTAGTCGGGCATCTCCAGATTGACCGGAAACTTGACCTTACTTGTCCTGGAACGAGGCCTGATTGAACTGAATCGATCGACAATCTTTGTTGCATTCATAGTGAGCTCTGTGAGGAAGCACCTCTCAGCACGGCCCTCGTCAACGGCATCCTCGATTCCCTATTGCTTGGCAAAAAAATACCAACGCTGGCGTGACGTACACACTTGCCTCACTCAGCCTCCAAGAGGGATACGCATGCACCAGATCGCCTGCACGCATGCACATTAGACGCGCCACTTAGCGAAAACTTGTCTAACTACTGTTACCACAGTCACCAGAGCCCCTGGTCCAGGGGGATCCAAGTATCTCCCAAAAGGGTTGTGATGGAGGGCTGTTGAGTGTATAAGTCTACTGGTGAGGATGAGCATTGATGCCTCCTTTCCCACAGTATAATCGGTTTCTTCGAACTCGAGACTCGCCGTCGTAGGCAGGATGGGCATCTGGCTGTGGTGATAACTCCGTACGGAATCCTTCTTTTTCCAGAGCCCACATTCCGCTCCGTTGCCTCTAGTACTGTTAAAGGAAGGGCAACCTCCTCACTAAGTATAGGAGACAGGTGATTGACTTCAGGAAAACTCGAGGCTTGTCGGCCGGAGGCCTCGAGGGAGTGGTAGCCCGCATCGGATCCATCGGAACTGGATCACAATGGAGCTCCGTACTCTGTGACGCCATCGAGGTTTCCGTTCAATGACGCGTGTCTGACCGTACCACACCACTTCTATTTCGCCCGCCCATCATCTACAGCTCGTCGAGAAATTACAACGGCTTTAATAACATCTAGGGAAATAACCTGTATCTGTGTGGAGAGGCTGGCCGTCTAACGAAGACGTCCACCCGAAACCTTCCTATCGAGGGAAGTCTAATTAGGCTTTACCATCATTGACACATGTAGGGGTGAGATCCTCTACAGCAAGGGCTTTCAAGTTGACGCCTCCTATAGTTTATTCCTTGTTACCTCTGTTCTACGTTCGCAATACCCTGCTCAACACCACCCTATCCGCCTTGGAAGAGTACCCTTGAGCCGCCAGCGAGGAACGGAAGTTGACGACACAATGCAAGGCAACACGCCAAGATAACATTTGAAACCACAGATACAAATGCTGCACGCTAAACAATCACAGCACGCATCAAAACCAACGGGTGTCTCTTGCAAGTATAGCAAATGATGATGGATGGACGGTTAAAGCTTGCTCTCATCCAAGGACACATCCTCCCACTTCAGCACTCCATCAGCCCGCAACTGTACACCATGTCGCGAGTCGCAAGTCCTGAGGTCCAAGGAAATAGCGATCAGGCCCACTGGCTGAGCTTCATTACCCGTTGCCACCAGCAAACATGCGCTTCTTTTCCTCATCAGAATCGGCGCTCCCACCAGCGAACCCAGGACCCCACAACTTCGCCCCAATCACATTGAGGACCGAGCTCGAGCCCACCACTTGCGACATGTTAGCTACAATGACCTTCTTGTATTCGTCGCTCAAGACCTTCGATAGGCCGGACGTTGGGCCTAGCTCAGAATCATCCCACCAGCCCTCCTAAAACTAAGATAACCTACCTCGATAAGGCTGGTACATATAGAAGGCTTGTTGGGGTAAGACCAGCTCTGGGCCCTTGAGGTCAAGGGTATCACCAAGTGTAAGAAGACTGAGTAAAAACTTAATGTCATCGGGGAGGAACTGACTATCTTCTATATTGAAGGAACACCTAGGAGAGGAGCGGTAACATAACATTGCGTTATTCTCAATGGACCTACCATAACTTGAGGCTGAGCTGGGAGATGGTCAAACGCTGGAGCTTGAGGACACGTCCCAATGGAGCCGGCGTGGTACAGAGATAGTGATACCTATATAGCACGATAAGAACAATCCACCCGAGTCGAGTCTTCATTCCTTACGGCACTCCAGCTCGAGCAGCAGCACTGGTGATGGTGAGTGATGACAGACCAGGACCGGAGCCCAGTGAGGCTATGAATGCCCCTGTGAGGGCAGTCAGGTCATCCAGGGCTCGCGTGTCCAGCGTCAACGACAATGGCGGGACGGTCACACACACATCGCGAAGGTTCTGAAGGACAAGAAAAAGATAGCACAGAGTTGTTAATGGGAAGCCTACCATGTCTCGTCCACGTCGGGCATTCAACCAGATTCCGCTCATCCCTAGGCCAGGCGCCGCCCGCGAATGTCTTCCAGATGACAAGATGAGGAGATTTCGTGGTACATGTTCGAGCCGGAGACCTGCTACTCGGAAGGATCGGAGTACCTGGGAACTCGTAGATGAAGCCCAACTATGCAACAGCTGGTGCCCACTAGAGTATCAGAATGATCAGAGCCACCTTCCACTCCACAGCTCGCGATGATGGAAGTCTTACTCACACCGCAGTAGCTGAAAGAGAAGTACCACGAGTAAAACATGCTGGTCTAGACCCGGACGGCAACTCACAAAAGATCCTCTCTTGCTCGCCTCAGCCTTCGAGCCTTCGATCCAGGGCCGAAGACTCTCACCCCAAATTCACCGAGCTGCAACTTGAAGGACCATGCCGTATCGACCTGACACAAGACGGAGTGGATAGCCAGTCCGAGGTCGCATCTCAGAAATCCCCGAGAGCACTCGCAACCTACCTCATCAGCACTGTCCTCCACTGCATGTTCACCAGTCTTGTCGAATGCCGCGAGATGCAAGGAGGGATTGTATGGTCGTAACCGGACCAGAACACCACCCTCACAACTAGGCGAGGGGAGTATCTGAGAAAACTCTGCAGGGCTCAAAACGACAGGGCACTCTCATTGTACCTGCAGGATAGTAGCTGGAAAGCCCTTCCTAGTTATCGGCATGCTGCTGGGGCAGTCGTCGACATCAATACGGTATAATGATGATATCTTACAAAGTCAATAAGTACTGAATCGAGGCCGTTCCACTGATGCACACACGTACATTCCTTTCGAACTCCACTCGGACAAGCAAGTAATGCTTCGTCCGGAACGGATCGCAGAAGCCGACCGATTTGGTCGAGTCCGCGGGTATCTAGAGACAGTAGCATGATGACACAATGCCAGACACGAGGAGAGCTGACATGAGTGAACGAACTCTGGGTCGGGTCGTCCTCGGGGCACACTAGAATAGACTCTAGATGGTAGCACTTGTCGTTGCATACCTTAGAGAGGAGATTTCAAAGCGATAACAACAACGACAAGCTGACCTGCAAAGACGACTTCTGATTCTCCTTATTGTCATCAGCGGCTTCATAAACAGCCACATTGACAACCCCACGGTTCACGACCACCTCCACAGTGAGGACCGCGACCTGAGACAGCATGTAGGGAAGAGTTTCCCTTGTTAATCCTCACTTCTAGTGTTAACTCGTTGCGCATGATCATCGAGTAGGCTCCCGTATGGGATGCCCTTGGGATGATAGGGCCCGTGGGCAGCCATCCAGAAGATTCACCACTCGAAGGGTCAGCATAAACCACTTGCAAAAACCGATCCTAAATCATCAGTAACAACCGTAGAAATGATGAACACATCAAAGCAAGTTTACACGTCGAAGATCAGACCAATGAACCGGTGAGTTCTCCATAGGGCCGAGCAATACTCCCTTCGCGTCCCCTTGCGACACCTTCAAGCACTTCCCAGTTCGATTAAACCTGACCATCAGGACGATCCACTTCGTTACTAGGAGCAGCAACCAGGCTCAGTAGCTTACATTATGATGCCGGGGATGGCCGTGATGACAGTAGACCGGACGAGATTGAGGGGTAGGGATTCAGGTGTCGGTATCTGAGTGGAGCATCTCCCATCCCGTACCGAAAACGGGTGCCCTCACCATAACACCGCTGCTGGGCATTAGAGAGCCTGCATCATCCTCAATCTGCTGCTTCTCGACAACATCAGCCTGTAGCACCACACTCGACCCACCAAGCTCCACTTCACAGGAGTCTCTCGAGGAAAGTGGGACGAGAACTCGACGCCTGATAGTCATCAACTGGACCAGGAGTAACTCGGCTTAACCTCACCATTGGCCTCCTTGAAGCTGCTGTGCTTGGTTGTCCACAAACCCTACTGTCAACGACAGGCCGCCCTTCTTCCTATCCTCGATGGGCGCCATATGATACAGATCTTTATCCGAGGCCAGTGACGGTGACCGCACAAGATCATTCACCTGGCAGAGTCCGATAGATATCAGCCACGAAGGCATGATTGCCACTCACAGTCGTTTGCATCGGGTATATGTCGACACCTTCCACAGAGTTGACGAACCAGTTTTTGCTGAAGAGTGTGAGTTGCTGGCAGCCATCAGGATCGCTTGTCACCACGACCGAGATGTTCACACTGAGACCAGCGCCGTTGACCACCGGCAGATCGATAGTCTGAGGCGGAGCGAAGCACTCTTTCAAACACACTATCCCTTCGTAACCTCACTTGTACGACGTTGAGATCCGCCTCATCGTCAATGAATATTGGACGACTCCAGTGAGTCCCTCGAGAAGAAGAGCCCGGCACTCTCACTTTCACATAGGATGCATCGATGTCAAATATCGGTATCGAGCCGGACCCCGACGGGCCCAAGTGGAGAACCTATGGGCCGAACACTGTTGCACTGGGCTGAGGGATCAGCCTATGCTCACATGAGGATCCCTCGCCTGACTGGCTGTATTCGCTTCCACCTCAACATACATAGGGCATTCGTTGGTGACCAGGGCTATAGGCAACAACGATATCATCCTTGAAGCAGCGCAGACAACAGAGGTTTGTTGCTGTCTTTCCGATGCTGACTCCTCCTCGCCAGATGAGGATGATGATGATGCATTATCGGAGCCATGCACCGGGGAGTATTGACAGTTTACATACCTGAATGATAACCAGCCTCACAAAAATACAGGCGAGAAATTCGTGGGCGATCGACGAATCGGGGCTTACATGAGCTCATCTGGGTTGCTGAACTTGCGGCAGGACATCTTAAGCCGCCTAGTCCTAGGGGTAGACCCCCCGATATTGAACGTACAGGGTAGAGGCTCGCTGCGCTCCCAGTTACCGTCATCAGGCTGGATAGAAAAACCCCCTCCAGCGTGAAAGATAGAGCTAGGAACGCCGATGAAAGCCCTTGGCTCCAGCAGGAAGTAGCCTTCTTGATCACAGACAACGTCCCCAAGTGATGTCGTCAGGGAGCTTGGTGTAACCACCACCGCCTCGCCAGTGTCCGAGACGTGAGCCTGCATATAGACTCGCAACGGAATTCGGGTCCTAACATACCAAGAGCTCGATAACTCCTCAGCGATGGTGTACTTACATGTTGGCGATGCGCACAGGTCCGCTGAATACCAGAAGCTTTCGTATCGGCGACAGGGCAACCACCTCGGCCTGCCAGTTACCATTGTTGGCCACCGAGAGCTCGGTCTCGTGGAGGAGCTGGGCAGTGCCAGGGGAGTCACCCCCGACCAGAACCTCATCCATAGTAGCACCACTGAATAAATGGTCAATGCCTATGTGTTTAGGGCCGGGCTGGATGGTCTCCTTGACACCAGTGTCACCACTCAGGACCAGGGCGCCGTCAGTGAGATTCACCACCAACAATGCGTCGTTGTTGTCCTCATCAACAGGATGGCTCCTGCTGGCCGTGAAGTCCTGCTTTGACGAGAACTGTGGGAGGAGCTCATTGAGTACTCCCAAGCATAATGGCGAGACTATAAGGTCCGAACTTGAAGCCTCGGGGGAGGCTCGCATGTCGACCCGAACTATACGACCCTCTGGGTCTTCCTGATCACTCATCCGCTGTATCTGACAACAAGGCAGCGTTGGCGTAGAGGTAGGAGCTGGCAAGACTGACCTCCACATTGGTGGTGAGGGGTAGTAATAATGGTTCCCATTCCCCCATTTTGTAGTTGATGACGCTTGCCCGAGTAGTGACGTCAGCGGCCAAGATCTTGAAGACCGGCGGCTGGCGGGCACTGCCTGCAGTGAGTCTGGCGCCTTGCTGGTAGTAAATGGACAGCAGCTTAGTGCCGACTCTAATCCTTAAAGCCGGTCTCGATAGACCACTAGTAGAACAATACACGAGCTCGACAAGGACGTGTGCCCCAGGAGCGAAGAACACCGCCACCGAGGCTTCCAGCACTCGCCTAGAACTCGGACCTGAGCATGGGAGTGACGACCACTGAGCTACATTCAGGATAGATGATTCTCACGTGAAGACGACTTGATCCCTTTTCGAAGGTCCCGGAGTATCTTCCTTATACTCATAACATCAGGACCGGCAAGGCTCAGCGCCAGAGAGTTCTCAAACCGTACAGTATCCAACAACACGCTCAACTTCTCGCCAGGGATGCTCACGATCTTCCCTTCTATTGTCACCAACGTGCCTTCGCGATTCTTCAACAACCGCCTCGGCCCAGTAGCTCCATTACTAGAGGCAGCAGAGGTCAATGAGCGTATCTTCACCGCACTCGCAAGATTCACGATAGTTGGGAAAACTTCGTTGTCATCAGTCTGGTCCGATCCCTCAACCATCTCCTGCTTCGATACCCTAGCATCAACATCGAGCCCCACTCGAACAGACGACCCGTCACAGCCGAACAGAGTGATGCTGATGTTGCCAAGCTGTAGATCTGCATCCGGTAAGTAGCCTAGTAGCCGCGAACTGACATACCGCCTTGTCTCCGTCACATTGGACAGTGAACACGCCTTGGACACAGTACGCAGTCCCTCCTCTACGGCCGACGACAGGGAGATATCGATGCTCTGTTGGCCTACGACACGCACTGTAGGGGAGTCCGTCAGAGCCAGGGAGAAGTTGAGCCCAGCATCGCCCTCCGTATTGGACGTGACCTTAATAAAGGTATAGCTAGCCACTCTCGCAGTCGCCTCTCCGACGTGAACCTCCGCCATCATGTCCCGACGGCTGGCTGTAAGGGCCATAGACTTGAACGACACTTCAAGAGGATGAGCTCCTTCATGCGTAACAAGGCAGAGGGATACCTTCCCAAGGCCAGCCCTAACTTGAACATCTGCGCGCTTCCTCTTGGTAGCAAGCTTATGAATACCAGCCAAGACCCTCTTCTCCTCATCTACATCAGGAACCGCCAAATCAGAGCCAGCGAATGCAGCTCTAACAGTCTTCCCGATCTGCCGCAGGACCCTCAAGGCTTCGGGTGTGATGGTCACCGAGATCTCATCTTGTACAGTAGCCTCAACCGCTATCAGCTTGGAGAAGTCTGCCTCTTCCTCTACTACTTCCCAAGACAGGGGCAACGAAACAGACAATGCCGCCGAGCCGGACGGTAGTATAACCTCCTCCGTCAAAGCTGGCTCAACGTCCGTCTCCTGTTCGCTACTCAGAAGGAGATCGTCTTGAGACCCCTGACCATTGCTACTCACAGGAGATCTCGGTGGTGGGAGGCAGAAGGCTGAGGCGTGCACGTTGTTAACAGAGGCATCAATGCGTACCGTGGAGGCATCTTCCATTTTGGAGTCTAGCGTGACCACTCCCAGGTTCACCAACACGTGGTCTCCGCCCTCGAAAGATTCCTCAGAGCTCTGCTCCTGCGCATCCAGATCCATGAGGTCCACAACAACATCAGTCGGACCAACATCATGAGCCTCCTCCTTCTCCACTACAGCAAGCTCTAGCACCGGGGCTGCCGCTCGTAGAGCTATCAGACAAGGCAGCCTTGCCACGCTCGTCGACTCTGCTATAGCGGCGCCAAGATCATCAATACGGTTGATGAAGTGCTCTATAGGAGGGGCGGCGGCCTTCTCAGGCGTAGTAGCCTCCTTATAGGCTCTACCCAACGATTCGATGCTCTTCAGGTCTACCAACAGGGGCCTTATACGCAGCTGCTGAGTCTGGGCAATGACGGCTGACTGGTACGGCCATGGTGATGGATAGAGTCCCCATAGTATTGACACAAAGGGAGCCATCCCCTCTGCTGCTGATGGAACCTAAGGCAGGGGAAAAATTCACGATGGCGATTCCTGGGTTCAACAACGTACTGACTGTGTACACGGAGAGATGATCTCCTTCCCGGCGACTTCCAAGGAGATCGATCGCACAGTGAGCTCCCCCGAGACAGCCAACTTATCCTTAACACATCGTGACACCTTAATAGAATCTAAGAAGACACACTGAGATCGTTGCTTCACAGAAGCACCAACTTTTCAGATCTGCTATTCGGCCCACTACAATGGCCTTCCTCCTATCCTTCGTGTCCTCACTATCGAATAATGACAGGCAGGAGCCTTTGCTGTCTGAATGCAATTATCGCTAAACCATACCACTCCTTTTCCAACTTACCAACACTGATCTCCACCACGGTCCTTTCCCCGTCCATCCTCGGCAGTTCCAACTTTCCCCCATGTCTCCTCGCGAAGTCCAACAGCCCCAGCTTGACCCTCTCCAGCTCCACTTCAGGAACCTCCATTCGCTCCTGTTCTCCTCCTTCCTCAGAGAATAATGCATCCGAGGCCTCCATCATAGTTTTCGTAGCCTCCCTAGCGTCCTCAGGGTCCACAACCTCTACCTCGGCTGAGAGCTCTCGAGACATCTTCGCAATGCTTTTCAGGAACCCAGGAGTGATATCGGACAACAGATAGCCACTGTGAACATCCAGACTGCCTCCCTTATACGTCAAGCCGACTGCTGCTTCTGATGAGCTCTCCCCTTGCAGTGTTATACACCCACCACACGTGTCCTCGACGTCCTCAGTATGGACTTCAAAACTCGAGCAAGCTCCCTTCCATTCCGAATCAGCCAACGCCAAGGAGACCTTCTTCACTTCTACCACCAAGCCGTCAGGGCACTGCCCATCAGCGCACACTTCCAAGCGCGCAGCATCTAGGACCAGGCTCAAGCCGAAATCAGGCAAAGCCATAGGAGAGGGCGCCTGTAGCTGCCGAGCCTTCTGCACTGCCTCTCTAATACCTAAACGAAAACTCCATAGGAATCGCAGCCGATAATCGTGATCTAAAGCATACGAAAGTCAACCTCAGGAGTACCTTTTCTCATATCCTTCAGCGACCCCACTATCTCCTTCACAAGATCCCTCACAGTAGCCAGCGTACCATTAACGAATCGTAGGCATGCAGGAGTCAGCCGTACACACAGTGTTGAGGCCACGCTAACTTCCACGTGGAGGGGCGCTCGCTTTAGCACTACATGGACCTCGCTCGGGTCGAGGAATTGAGTGCACCCAAAGGCCCCTGCGATGACGACAGAGTTGTCACTCATACTCAGACGGTACTCTTCCCCATCCTTGCTGGTGACCTGAACTCTACCAAGGATACATGTGAGCTCGTCTGCCATTTCTGCTGGCTTTATGTGGACTATCGGAGCCATCATGTCGACCTTAAGGTGGACCAATTTCGTCGCGACATGCTGAGATGCAGACTGCAAGAGGTCAGTGAGATCCGTCATGTCAAGCTGAGATGCCCTCTCCTGGATTTCCGTTATGGCGGAGATCTTAGCCTCTTTATATTCAGTGGCGAACTGTGCTCCTGATGCAGCGAACTTCTTCAAAGTAGTCGGCTCTATCCAAGCAACAAGGGCATCAGAGGTGATGGACACAGTAGCTTCATATGGGTCGAGGATGCCCCTACCACGAGGCTTAGACCGAGTAAAGCTTATCTCCACTGAGGGTCCATCAGGCCTCGAGTCGAAGCTCAACAGGTGCTTGCCATAAGCCTCCACTTGTACGTCATCAACACCGCCGTCCACAGCGAGCTCTTGCGGGGAGGACAAATTGGGCACTACTACGTTGAAGAAAAGTCGGCCCAAGCCAAATGTCAATGCAGAAGGGGTATCATCATCTCGCTGGTGCTGGAGGCAATCCACAGTTACATTGGTGAGTTCGAAGGTCCAAGTGACGCTGCGCTGCATTTTCTTTCCACTACTGCCAGCCCCCTTAGCGGCGTTTCCAACCACCTTATCCACTTCCTCCTTTCCTGCCCACGAGGCGAACCATGAGGTCACCTGTGCCTTCTCCTTCTCAGCATCCTCCTTCAACCTAAGTCCTCTCTCATAGCGCCATCTAGCTAGGTCCATAGCCGGCACCAAGGCCTCTATATTATCGATACGCGCCGACTCTTTCGAAGCTTTCACCAACAGAGCCTGATACTCGGCCTTAAGGACGTCCTTATCGCTCTCCTTAATATCTGATGAGAGAGCCTGCCTGACCAGCTTCCCTTCGGCATGCAAAGTCCTGTTGGCTTTGAGCAGTATATTAGCTCTTTCTCTATCGATAGTGACCCGGCCTCCATTCACAGTAAGGGACCAATGCATAGCCCGATTTTGCTGAGTACTACTGATGAGCAATGTAGCGTCCAAAGGCTCTGCTTGTAGAGGCATTCTAGGCGACTCCCCCACGTCAATGCTGAGGCCGCTGAGTTCACAGCGCTTATACCACTCCCCTGTTACAGCCGCTTCCTCACCGACCTTCCACTCCTTGTTACAGGACAACACGGAGGCCCCACCGAGAGATATGGTTATCACTGAGTCGCTCACTCGAAATGATATACAAATGTCTTTAATTGAAATCTGAGAAAGACGTTGACCACAAGCCACCTTTACATGCCCTTACCTGTATGCTGTTTATCATAGCTGTCAATAACGTCCCTGTAAAACTGCCGACCTCTTCTGAGTCCAACTGTCGCTTTAGCTCCATTGCTCGAACAAGATTCTCTATGAGTTCCCTTTTGTCCCGCAGCAGCGTCGCCCTCAATGCCTCCAGACTACCACCAGCTTTCTCCAACCTCTCAGCAAAGCCCAAAGAGCTGAGCTCTATTCTGACCTTCTCCACTTCCACAGTTGTGCTTGCCGATAGAAGCGTGCTCCAAGGGATTTTGATACGAATCCGTCCCACACTGCCCTCCGTTAGGTTAGCCGCTCGCATGTATTTACTCAGAGCCGCTGTATTCAGTTTAGCATTCATAATAGTCATCTCACCATTCCACAGATCATGCTCGATCCTAGCCTGTCCATCCTGTAGACCATCAACGTACCGAGAGAGCCACCCTATTATGAAGTTCTGCAGAGACGATCGACGACCGGGCGCCGCCGTCGCTGCCGCCTTCCCGCTACTATTGATAGACATCGATAAAAAATGAAGCAATCAACTCGAGAGATCATCAGCACCCACTCTATTATACCAACAGCGCCTAACCCTCCAGTCGTCCGACTTCCCCTACCATAAACGGCACGGTTCTTCTTCCCAGAGCTGCCATGAACATCCTGGCCCAGGAGGCACCTCACGCGCCGAATCGTCTATAGCTTTCCCTCCCTTAAAGTTCCCATTGGCACTCAATGGCCCAAGCCACGTTCAATTCTAGCCAGTCGGCTCTCGGCGACCTTCCAGTGAGTACTACATAACGCAAGAAGGTGATACAGAGCAACAACAGTATACGGTATATGAACTACCACACTCAGCATCGTGAGCAAGCGGCCTCCGCATACGTCTTGTCCGAGTGAATGACACAACCCTAGGCAGTCAGGCATAAAGCTCTTCTACGAGCTCATATTCTTCCAAGCCGGTGACACTACACCTTCATCCCCTTCCCCCGCGAATACTACACACGGTCGGTTGAACTCCTCTTCGCACTCGACACTGCAGTTCCGATTCGGGTTAGACCCATATGGATGTCTAGGTGACTCATCAAAGGTCGGTGATGATTACAGTCGCAGTGGGGCATTACAAACGTGTCCACTAACGTCACTCGCCGAGTGTACGATCCTACAGCTGCTGGTAGAGAACGGTTATTGGGCTCTCCAGATGCAATCTGGGTCCATGGCTTTCCTTGGCTATGGAACCATTCATAATATGCTCACCAATCTACGAAGTTGGGGGCTGACAGTGCTGTGGGAAGGGATACATACTGTGCATCTGTCTCTCCTAACTACCAACCCCCTCTTTCCTATACGGAGTCCACTGGAGGCTCAATACACTGTCCTCGAGGTGCTTAACGACGATTCCTTTGAAGACCATCCCACCCATAGTAAACAGTAAGTTGCTAACGGACATGCTCAGATTAGAATTGCAACGGCAATAAGGTGATAGCGTCTTAGGGGCCACTCAACTCGGTACGTATTCTTAAGTAAAGGGAGCACTACTCGCACATGAAGCATGCGGGACAAGACAAGAACCGTCAAGAGCTCTCAGCTACTCTCTTAATACGTGGCATGAAGCAACAAGGCAGCTGAAAGATGACCCTCGATAATGGAACTAAGTCAACCATAACTACCACCGATCCGCACTGCCAGAATCCCCACACGGGGCTACTCCCATCCCCAAAGCCAAGTTCATGGGCATCACTCTCCTGCCTATCCAGCTCCGAGTATTCACTCATGCCGCCAGCAGTGTCACTATCAGTGTCCTCGACGCTGAACTGGAAGGAAGGCTCTACGAATGAAGTCCTACCTAGAGTAGTACATCCTCCGATGAGCAGGAGAGGGACAGTCGCTTAGGCGAGTCCTTATCACAATCGACTGCCTCGGTCCTGCTCGAAGACATAGGAGCCTCTGCCTCTACAAAACTCCCGGTATAATAACAAAGTAGTGCGAGCAGTAAGCATAGCGCCGATGTACGTACTCTTCATGGACCGTCGAGCTAGCTTGTCCTTCTCCTCTTCAAACCGCTGGGCCTCCCTCTGGCATACAACCTGTGCCTCAATACGCGGTGGGTCGTAGTCGTAGACTGCATCAGCAGTGACCTGAATAATAGCGGTGTGGGGAGGACCAATACTGCATCCATCATCAACTCACCGCCCTAGGGTGGTTCTCGTACACGGTGCCTTCCTCTGTCTCGAAAGACGAAAGCACGATGATTATTAGGAGGGAAATTAACCTTCAAAGAGACTCAGGACCAATCTACTAAGCAATGACCACGAGAACGACTAAGGGGTCGTTCGATAAACCGATTTCGGAATCAAAATCGATTCCGGTATCGCTTATTACGCGCATAATATGATGCTAGAATCGATGCTGAATTCCACAATTGATTCAATAAACAAGGGGTAAGTGCACGATGCGGTTGAGGAAGTCTAAAGTCAGACAAGATTACAAGGAGCTCAGTATTAGTGGTGTCTAATTCTCGTGGGACTTTTCGGATGCCGCTGAAACTTCTCAGAACTTATCCCTTAGAGTTGAGCCCATTCACCCTTGACCCTCTAGTGTACTGTGTCTGCTTATGTCGTATAAGCCTCGATGCAGTAGATTAGGTAGTCTCCTTAGTGCCTCTAATCCCAACCTCTCAGAGATTCGGTAGGATCCTTAGTCTGACCACACAGTAAGGGTCTACGGTGTAGGTCGTTGTATACCAGGGAGCAGCAAGGGCTGCAGCAGCAGAAGGCAGCTACGGCCGAATTTAGCAAGATCATCAAACGTCACTGCACGGTCTCTGATCGCAATCAGAAGGTTATGATAGTAGGCTGCAATCGACCCTTGAGCTGGTCTATCCCTCTGCTACTGAGTAGGTAGCTGTGAACATGAGCACTCAACCGGGAAGTGTAGACTATCGTGAAACCCCAGTGGACCCGACACAGGTAGCAGAGCCGACACGTTTCGTCTAACACTTATGGTGATTGTGCGGCATTGATCATAGTTTACTGGCTCACTCAATTCACGGTGCTTATGAACTACCTTGACCAGTGTGCCTTCACTAGGTCCCTCAGTATCATCATGAGATATCGAAGATCAACAAAGTCCAAGCTGAGCTAGAGGGAGTACGCCATAGAATAGCTCAGTGGGTCTACACTGGGAGTCGCATGTTACGAAACAGTGATTATTATCAGATTAACAGCGGAGGAAAAGAGTCGAATAGAACCTCTTAGAAGGCAGGGCCAAACCCTGATGAAGTGACACCAACCATGTTTATGCATCTTAGACGCTCCCTTAGTGTATCTAGCCTTGCCGGTAGTAGCATCACCTCTCTGGACACGTGGTTCGACTGTTATGGACGGTACGCCTTGCCTTGTCAATGACGCCCTCACCGTCGCAGATGCACTCAGGCCCAAACGCAAGTCAAGTGTTCATGAGAAGTACCTCAGTTACATACCGTCAAAGGCTAATACGATAGTTAGAGGTGAGCCCTACTGCTCCTCAGTTGAAACCTCACCATCAAGGCAGGTGCCAAGACTCGGAACGGTAGTCTAGTATTTGATACCACTCGGAGCTCAGCAATACCCCTTCGCAAGGGCGTCTTAATAGCATGAGGACTTTGGTCCGCTTTTGCCATCATTACTATGGTGTACATCAACCGTGTCGAGTTATACTACTGCTCACGGTCAATCACAAAGAAGGGCCAGCTTCCTGAGCTGAGTCAGAGGCAACCGCCTTCTGGTTACAGTAGACTAGGTCTATGTCATGAGGAGGGATTGCTATGATTATATTGCGGCAGTGCTATCATAGCACTACTATAATCATAGCACCGCTATGCATGAAATTGTACCGAAATCTATCTAGGTTGAGTCGGTAAGTCATTTTCTCGTTACCATACTGCCTAGTAGCCACCAATGACTGGCGGTCCCCCCTCGCGTTCGGCACCGTTAGCCATGAACGATAGGAAATCGAGTGGGCGTAGCTCACGCTCATTATCTATCACGAGTGTACGAAGAGGAGGCTTGGCTATTCAGAATCCCAGCCTCAAGCGGTACTTCGATTCAGGACAATACTTAGCTGATCGTAACTGGTCAGATTGGCATTGGCGGGGGCTCTGACGAGGCGGGCCAACTCACCTTTCTCCCATTCTAGATCGTATACTGCACGGCCCTCACAGACTGCACGTAAGCTGAGGGCGCCAGTCTTAGTAGCATCACATGATGGAATACTGAGCTCGCAGGGACGTGCCTGTCCCCTCGCCGTTTGTCCGATGCTGCTGAACTGGAGATGCGGTCCCGTATCGAGAGTCTCGAGGAGGAGCTGGCTACAATACGAGGGAGTCAGTATTGACATTTGAAAAATGAGATGGTCTCCCGCAGGCACACCAGCCTCGCGAGTGAGGGCATCAGCGAGGTACGTCCAAGAGGAGGGAGCCATGTAACAGTGTGAGAACTCATCGTCCTTCAGTTCACCCGTAAATGCATACACCAGTCCGCGCACATCAATGTGGTCGGGCGAGGAAGCCACATCGTTGAGAAAAGTACGGCAGGAGAGCCGCTGAAGTGACACTGTCTATCACAGCAACTGGAGGAGTCAGAGGCCCGTCGGCAAGAGCTCCATGCTGAGATCATGGAGATCGCCAAGTCTTCTTTCGGGCAGCAGGTGAGCTACCGTGCTGGCCTCATTCAGCCCACATTAGGGAGAGACGCGGGCGGCACTTCAAAGGCGTGTGACTGAGCTCGAAGGGGAGCTGATGAGAATTAAGGAGGACCTGGCCTCCGAGAAGCAACGGGCTGATGGAATGGCAGCAGAGCTACAGCAGAAGCGCCGGGGAGCGGAAGAGTTAGAACAACGTGTGGGGTGGTTGAACACAGCGCACGTTGGTGATTCCCCTGCAGTGCTTATTATAGGTCTTGACCTTGACAGAGGAGAACTATAGGATGCGGGCAGAGGCTGACAGATACAATGGCCAAGCTATCGCACTAGAATCACGGTGAGTCTAGGGACGAGTATTGTTGGAAGTACTACAGCAGGCTGAGTTTCCTCACGCCGAGCCTCACTGAGGAGGATAGAGATAGGCTTGGGCAGGTCATAGCAGAGATTATCAACAACAGGTAGGCTGCTATCAGAGGGAGACATCTCATTGAGACGCTCCTTGTCAAGGCCTGCTGCCTTCGTGACTCTTGGCAGTGTTGGTGACACTAACGCGGAAGAGGGGGAAGGTGAGCAGCATTGTGTTACGGGAGTGTTGGTCACGGGCCGCAGGGTCTCCAGGGAAGCTCACCGTGAATACCCTATCTCGTATGGTGGACACGCTACGGCAGGAGAAATCAGATCTTGTCGATGAAATACAGAGCCTCCGGAAGATGCTGCAAATAGAGGCTGGTTATGTCGCCTAGGATATACCCCTAGAGAGTGGCGGGTGTAGGTATCTCGGCGGATCTACGTAAGCTGATGGAGGCAAGAGCACTAGAGTCGAGGGAGAGGACGGGGGACCTTATCAAGGTGAGCAATGCGGTAAGGCTAAAGTGCTCTTCGATAAGGCCTCACTGACAGGAGCGCGACAAATGGCAGCGGCTGGCCAGCAGTAGGGACCTCCAAGTGAAGCAGTTGCAGAAGAGGCTTGCGGAGTCTCGGAAGTGTTGTCGACCAAAGCGGCGCCTGTGCTGACCTGTGTGCTGATCAGGAGCCACATCCCAGCATCTATCAGTGAAGGCCGTCGCACTGCTGTTAGTAGCGATGGTGGTTTCTCCGACCTCAGCGAGATACCAGACCTCAGTCTAAACAGTCTCGACGTTATCCTCAGTAAGGGTACACTGGACGGAGCGATCATCCACAGTTTGGGTAAGGACACTGCTAACCTGACCTTGGTAGTGTATTACTACAGGGTTCCCAGTTGGACAAGACACCACCACCACCCCGACCGAGACGCTGATGTCCGTTATCCTCGTTAGCTTCTATGACTTCGACCTTTGCGTGTCGGATGCAGCTGCTGGACTAAACCCTAAGTGAGTAGTACAGCAGTCGCGAGGCCAAGCAGAGTGATGATGATGCTGCTCAGCTACCGCACCACACTGTCCTTCCCTGGCCTTGACATGATTGATGATAGCAATCTATGGGGCGCTCTTGAGACAGAAGGTAGCCGCAGTGGTGCTCCGACAACGAGGGGCTGATTTCCCCTATAGGCTTGAGGTTGGAGTTAGAAGCCTTCCAAGTTGGAGCTACCGCAGCAGGAGCCGGCGGGGCCGTCATTGGCACATCCCATGTAGTGGGACGGAAGACAGGATCGTCCATTGATTCTCATGGACATCAGATAAGCCTGGGAGAGCTCTTGCAGCGGCAAGCGGATACCAACCCAACGATCTCTGGGGAAGCTGTATTCACAGTCACCGGCTCCACCGACATGCCCGAGACCCTTGGATTTGTCAGGTGCTCTATAGCAGCATCTGACTATGGCCAGGACTATGCCAGGTACAAGATACGTTTCCGACACCCCATCGTGGACCACTATGAGCAGTGGAAGCAACGCAAGATGCTCGAACGGGACCTTGGTAGGCGAGGTTCCCGCTGCTATCTCTCCATTGCACATCAGCAGATGCTGGTACCGTAGCAAGTCCAGATATGTTGCCATCGACGACTGCTGAGAGGCCTGGGCGTATCGAGAAGCCACAGGCAACGGTGCCGGACGCGGTCAATAACTCTCGACCGAGTATTCTTACATCAGCGTTGCCACCCCTCTCTTCGATAGTACCGACTTAGTTGTGTACCATGCTGGTGTTAATCCTCATTTCCTAAGGAAGACTGTTTGTGTTACTGTACTTTATCGAGGCTACAGAACTATCGGGCGCCCCTAAATGACACCAATGAGGTACCTTCGCTCCGAACTCTTCACAAAGTTTTGTTTCCACCATTAACTGAGCACTAGACCCGAACACATCCATCATCAACACTTGTCCACTGTTCAATAATGGTTTGTGCTACAGCGTCCAGTGGTTAATACGTGAACAACTGCTCCTCACAGTTATGCTCTGTTTCGGCTGTGCCCGGCCAAAAACCCGAATAGAGTCATACACTGACTATCAACGCGAAACCCTAGATGTTCGCAGCACAAAGCAACAATCTCGACAATATTTATCATCGCTGCTTCCGGTGATCGCACTAGCCGCAAGGATAATGACAAGTGTGCGGCGTAAAGGTGAGGCCACTGCCGCCCCCTCGGGCGACCATCACCACAATGCAAATCATTGCAACAGAAAGTACAGAAGAGAGTCCAGTAGCAGTAGTAATTACAAGAGCAATGCAGCAGAAATCAAATGGTGGTGATAACCCTGTGGCACTGACTTGTACTGCGGAAAATTGGAATTCAGGTTAACATACTTCAGCCCTCAAATTCTACATTGCATTCTTTTTACTGCTGCTGTTGAGTATCATTATCACCGGACTTGGCAGTGGCATCAGCTGGCGCCGAGGCTTCCTTAGGGGCCTCGGCGGTAGTGCTTCCAGCGGCCTGAAAGAACACCATCATTCAAGATCCATCGAGGAGGGCAAACGTACATGAGGGGGGCCTAGCCATCGTACCCTGTGACCATCTTCCCACTCACCCTCTCGGACCTACATACGCCTATAACTCATATCCTGGCGTCACGATACATTACCTCTCCCTTGGCTGTTCGATAAATGCCACGTCCATTCTGCTTGCCAGCCTTCCAGCCACCTTCGTATCTTCAAGAAGAGCGATAGACCCATGAAGGAGAGGGAGTGCCAGTAGACCTACCGGCGACCATCCGGCCACGTGAACACGCCTTGACCGTCCTTCTGGTCATTCACATACTGGCCTTCGTATCTGATGATGATCATGAGGCGAAAGCCCTGCAAGAGCCGAATAGAAAAGATTACTTCCGTCCATCAACCCAAATGAATGTTCCCTTGCCGTGCATTCGGTTATCCTTCCATTCACCTTCATACTTACGGCCATCACCTGAGAATCGTCATCGGTATGTCCCAATGGGAGGAAGCCAGGAATAGTACCCCAACTATAGGTTCCATAACCTTCTATGTCGTTGTTAACGAATGTGCCCTCGTAAACGGAGTTATCTGTCCATGAGAAGCGACCGTGTCCATCCTAAAAAATGAGGAGTGAATAATATGAAGCTTCACGGCGAGCTACTTAGCCTACCTTTTTGCCATTCTTATACTCCCCTTCATACTTGGCTCCATCAGGCCAATCTTCACGACCAAAGCCATCCTGCTTATCATCCTTCCACTGTCCTGTATACCTACACCACCGCATTTTGTACAGCTGACAAGCAGTCTATCCCTACTTGCTGCCATCGGCATGATAGTAAGTACCCTGACCATCAGCCCTGTCATCCTTCCACTCACCATCGTAGATATCACCATCAGCATGAGTGAACTTACCTACCCCAACACGATGATGATAAGCCAAAGACTGTGATACCTACCCTTCCCACAAGCCTTATCGCTCTTCCATTCTCCATCATACTTAGCACCATCAGGCCACACTTGAACTCCGTACCCATCCCGGGAATTGCCCGACCACTCACCAGTATATCTACGAAAGAGGCAGTTATCGTGGAGAACGTCAAATACGAACGACTGCTACATGGCGCCATTCTCGCACTTGAAAGGTGCCCTTTTCTCACGACCAGCACCTTCTGCGGTAGTACCCGCTACTTCACCACTGGCGGCACCTTTAAACAACAAAAAAAAACTCACCAATCACCACAGCAAGAGGCCTACTTTTATCAACACCAGTTGCTGTAGAGCCGCCTTGTCGCTGATCAGCACCTGAAGCAGCACCAACAGCAGCCGTGCCTGCTTGGGCTCCTCCTTGGGAGTCATTAGTGTTGGCGGCCGGCGGCCGTGGGCTACTACTGCTAGTAGCTGCGTTGTTAGAATTACCAGCTGCTTCTGCTGCTGAGGCACCTTGTTCAGTTGCACCACTGGCTCCCTTAGGCTGCCTTGTCGGCGCTGCTGCTGCGTTGGTGGGCTCCTGAGGTGTCTCGTGTTTACTACCAAAGCAAGCACAATTTCCCATTGATAAAAAGCTTTGAAATTAATGTAACGGAGGAGTACCTCTACTGAAAGAATTAGACATATCACACAAAGCATTCTCATTGATGCTGATCTTTTATAACACATACGCCCTAGATCCTTGCGAGAATTCAAAACAACCAACAATTATAAGGTGAAGAGAACAAGAGTAGTCCCACCAGGTTAGACTACCACTGCCAATCGTCATAAAACATTTCAGACAAATCACACAATTTGGGATGAAGCTAGATGAGAAAAATATACATACTTTTTCAACAGTGGTGGGTTCGCTCTATGAGACATGAGCCCGAATGACAACGATGGTCTGAGAGAGGCTAGAGGACGCATTAGTTCACGGCGTCTGTGGATCACGCCTTGTAGGAGTGAGCGCACGAAAGCGGTAAGTGGGTATTAAGGCCAAAGTCGATCTCAATAAGGCAGGCACTGATCTCATTACGTTAGACCATTCTAATACCGATGGTATACTCTAGCTGGAATGCTGGCATTCAAGTATCGGAGATGAGAACGTCCCAATAAGGTCGAAGCTTGGCTCGAAACGAGAAGTATCGCTTACGATGGCGTAGCGAGATTGTCATCCATAGTCGTGCCGCACGACTCGTGGGCTATCATCAGATTTCACCAACTCGAAGTCGTCAAAATGCCGCCAACGAGATTCACAGGCTGACAGGAATTCTACATTTCTTCGAGGTGTAGGTAATCTCAGTGGTGAGTTACTCCACTGGAGTAGATCACAACACTATGGCGAAATACGCTACTCAACATTTGGAGTAAGGTTCGGTGGATTATGCACGAAATTCTTGCCAGGAATCTTACAGCAAGATTTGGCAGATGTGCAGTAAGCTGGTTGCTGCTCTCATTGAGCCAACATTGGTATTGGTAATAAGTTATTACTAATAACTGTTCATGGACAGTTCATGGAAGTTGGCCATGAGGACAAAAATTGGCAAATATGTGTTTTCTGTGATTGCGAGCGATTTATGTTATGGTCGCCAAAATATGAATTGCTCACAATCACACGATCATCATGTTAAGAGTCTCAACCTGAGACTCAATGTTGGTGATGTATATGACGATAATGAAGCGAGGAACTAATTTGTGCTGTTAGTTGGCAATTTACGACTCTCACCATGGTTCGCGACTCGGCTCCTCCCCACAGTGGAGATACGAAGGAGCTTGATGGTTTCGTTAGAAGCATCAATATTCGGCATAATACTGCGGATGGGTGGTCACATGTGGTGCAGTTATTTTTGGAATTGGTCCAGCTCGTGGTGAGCCAGTTGTATCTATTGTTGGATATTTTCGAGGAAGGTCGGGATCAGTATATCCGAGTGAGTGTATAGTTCCGACTCTTGGATATTGAAATTCAGGCCTCGTCATATGTGGTCGCTTACCTTTTGGCCCGAATTTCATGATGAAAATGTGTCTGGACAGCCGTCGCTTGCTATTAAGTCGTATGCATAAGCTTCCCAGTGCGAAGTTCTCATCCATTTTATCATTGATAGGTATCGCCGATACCGTATCGGTTGTACCGCAAGTACTCTTTATACTTTATACATATTTTGTAGAGAACACGAGGATACACCCCTGGATCCTCATGAAGCTTTTTGTCTTTCTTTCGCACCAGCCAATGATATTGGCACAGTGCAGGAGGCCAAGGAGTCAGGTATCGACATGTGGTACTACTTCACTACACCGTTTCTTCTGGAACGTGGCTGCAACTACTCAACAATCTGCATGGATTTTACACACTCATTGTCATACTGTCCGTACCCGACTGTATTAGTTGGAGGGATAACCCCTCCCGGGTCATTCCATATTATATTGGTGGGGGTAACGCTACACGAAAATTCTACTTCTATCGAAATTGGTCTACGTGCTCTCCTGGAGAAGGCCAACACACGCGGCTTGATCTATGCTCTAAGGAGCTTTCTGGGCGATTCGGCGCCATGTTTCACGACAGGATTCTCCAGAGTAAGTTATCGTAGTAACTCGGGTACACAGTGCCCTGACTGTGCGTGCCACGCACTGCGTGGTCAATCAGGTTAAAGTTTGACCGTTAAACCTGTCAGGTTTTCGGAGAATGTCGGGCTCTGGGGTTGAGCGGCGACCTGAGCATACAGCAACCATCCAAGCTAATCCGAGTCGCTTAAGGAATGCCCAAGCCCGAATCGAACCCGGACCTAGTCCATCGCTTGCCTATAGGCCAGCCGCCACCGCACACACTCTGGTCTGATACCTCCGACCCCACTAATCATCTGTACCGAGACTCGAACAAAACGAGTCCCAGGCGAAATCCCGAAATCTTACGAATCAGACGGAGCGGCAAACTAGTCCGAGTCGCTCAAGGAATGCCCAAGTCCGAATTGAACCCAGAACTCACCCGAGTTTCAACCTTCATTCCGTCAAACATTCCTCCCCTCCGCCGGGAATTGAATTTCATTTTCTCCACGTTCTCTCATTTGTTGAATTTGACATTAGAGAGATGTAGTCTGAGACGTTGACTGATAGGCAATCTCCGGCATAAATGTAAATCCAGTCTTTCCTGAATGACGCTTCGGTTCTTCAATCCAACACTCTGAGTCGGAGGAATTTCTAGTTGTGAGGAAGCTATGTTGGCTCGCAGGACAATTGCGCCTCAAATATACTCGTGTTTCCCACGTTCATTCTAGTTTTCCGCGTATGGGGTTCCCGCTCGTAGTGACGGACTTATGTCTATCCTTTCTGTGATTTGTTCCTGAGGAGCAAGCATGGCATATCTGACTAGAAATGACGTCGTGATGCATGACAATCGATCGAAGAAGATGTCTCACGCTGAAGATGCAATGTAGTGTTTAGCGTTCTTTTCTAAGGGGAAGCCACCTTGGAGTGACCATTGTGTCGTGAGTTGTGGGCTCCGTTTCGTGGAGTATACGAAATTGATGCACAGTTCCTCCAGCAAGTGGTCTGATGTCTATCAGTAGTCCTCGGGGAGGTCTTTACCGACCCAGGAGACACCGTCGGAAGAGATGGCCGGTGGCTGTGGACGGACACTACCGCGTGTCTGTTGGAAGGGGCGGCACTGATGGGGTAGTATGAGCCGGAGGGGATGCGTTCAAATCAGTCGTGAGGCCGTCGTAGGATCTACTTTCAGTCCTCGGTGACGTCCCCTACCATATCGAGCACGACGCAAGACAATCCTTGCTCGTCGTCCTCCTCCTGCTCGAAGCATCATCATTGCTCAGAACCTTTGGAGGGTCTGGCCGATCAAGCCAGTGGTTCTTCAGCGAGCCACTCTGCTCGATCACCACGCTCTATTGTTGGTGATATTCAAGCCGTCCCGATTCCGACATCCTCCACCTCTCTTTTAGAGCTAGCCTTGACTGTTGCTATTCCCAGAGGGTACCTTCCAATGAAAGATGTCGTGAAGTGTAGCGAACTAGTCTGCTGCCGATGGCGGTCTCTTGGGCAGAGGAAGTGGTTGAAGATGGCTGTGTGCCATTGCTCGGTAGAGGATGGGGAGGAGAGGCGATGGTTCTGGATGGAGTACTGTGCCCGAGCTCGGGAGTTGCCTCTGTTGAGTGATTTCAATGGCGACTTCCAGAGATGTTATGATTACTATCTTCACTCGGGAGTAGATGAGCATAGCGAGCTGAGGCATGAGATAACGCGAGACGTTCGCCGTACACTACCAACGCACGAGCTCTTCGTGAAGGATGAAGGAGCGATCCATGAGAAACTGGAAAGTGTTCTCATCGCTGCTGCCAATGCTAACCCAGCCGTCGGGTAATACCACAACTTGACAGGTAGTCCGATACGTCTCCACGATCAGGTACTGTCAGGGCATGAACTTCATAGCTGCTGTCTTGCTCATACACCTGGATCTCAATCCCGCTCACGCCTTCATCATGATGCAATGCTTACTGGACAACTACCATTATAGATATCTTTTCTCGCCAGGCGTACCACTACTGCCTTTAAGAATGTACAGTGGTAGTTGTCGGAGCGGCGTCAATGGCACCTTTTCAGGCGACAGTTCTCCTGTGTTGCTCGACAGAATCTCCCTGGGCTGTGGCATCATCTCAATAGCCACTCCTTCACGATGGATGTTTTCGCCCAGCAGTGGGTGATGACCCTATTCGGGTACTATGTCGATGCTGACTTTCTGAAATACGTCTATGATCTATTTTTTCTCTGTGGATGGAAAGCCGTGTTCAAGACTGGTAATCATATCGATGGTAGTGGTAAGCATGGTGGTGTTTGATAGGCATGGCTATTCTCACGGCTCTAGAGCCAAAACTACTTAGGATGAATATGGAGGAAATATCTAGGTATATGCAGGTGAGTCGCTATCCGACTGCGCGGCGGAGTCTCTGTCCAGAATTCAAAGCACGGTACGGAATTCTTGGGGCCTGCTGATGATGATGTCGACATGAGATTGGCCCAGGAGAGGGCCATGTTTAAGATACTGGATGGGTGTAAGGTAGGGGTGACACCGAGGCCGATAGACAGCGTTTGAAGGGTAACTGCAGGTTACGAATCGAAATTTGATAGAGTACGCTGGAGAGTTCCAGACAGCCCGCTTACTCGAGGCGATCAAAAACATCCCCGCCAACCTCTTGGATGAGGACCATCCTAGTAGGAGGCACTTCTTATAGTTAGTGGCATTAGCTGAAGCTTAGATACACCAAGCTCGGATGTGGTAGTGCCGGGCAGAGAGGAGCTGAGCTCCTCATCGCGGTCTTTACGCGAGAGGCTGAGTGATAGTCTGAATAGTATCCAAGGGGCGATATTGAGGAGGAATCTCTCCACTGATGAGACGGGTAGTCATCACTCGGATAGTAGTCATGGGAAACAAACAGCTAGTGATGGAGTAGAGGTGCGACAGGACGCGGGTATTGGACGTGTCGCATATTCCTACGATGGCAGGTGGACTCGCCGATACCATTGGGTGTTATAGGATTCTCGATAGAGCCTCCGGGAGATCTTGTTATTGATACTAACGCGCTCATTACGAAGAACAAACCTCTATGGCGGGAGCGGCAACCATCTAGTGACTGTATGCAAGCATTACTCGTCAAGGTGTATTGGATTATATTTCAGCGCCTAGTAGCTCCTCTATACGCGTGCCGCTACGACAAGTATCTCGACTCAAACGCGTCATCAAAGCACGGAATGAGCAGCTCGGACAAGATATGGCGGTGCTCACGAGCAGACTCTCCAACTTTGAGGTGCGCTCACTGGGAGGGGCATTCGGTGCTGACATACGACTTGATAGATAAAGAGACTCCTCCCGGCTGAAAGACGTAGAGATGAGCTCGCGATATCCCGAGATCGAATGTTGGCTCAGTATCGCATGCTCCAGCAGAGGAAGCTCGTCCTGTCGGCGAAGCTGCAGGAGAGGGCTCGGGAGTCGGTCTTCCTCGAGAGCCCATCATCGGCCATCTCAGCCGCCGACCTTTCACCGTTCTCTCGAACATTGCCGGTTGCCAAGCTTACGCGCCGACGAGCTTCGTCTGATTTCAATGAGCGTATGGAGGGTGTGGATGATATGACTCTCTTGCGGATACCATCATCTCCCACTGACCTTCGCCGCCGGGATTCTAGTACTGTTGACGACGTCAGAGAGGGAGAACCTCTACAGGTGAGCACCCCTGGTAGCGCCTCGGGAATTTGTGCTTGATTTTAGAGGACGCTCGAAAGAGTGATTCAAGTTGAGAGGGAATGCCATACTTCTAAGGAAGCTCTCTCTCAAAAGTGTGAGGAATATCGGGCAGCTCTCAACGAGTGAGTGTACGAGTTGACAGGTGGAGGGTCGACTTGTCCGCGCAGGTGCCGAGAGCTGGAGGAAGTTAAACGGCGTTATGTTGAGCAGACAACGCAGTTCATATCGGATATGGAAGTGACCATCCAAGAGCTGGTGAGCAGGATCCAATTTGATCACGACCTGTGGTGGTAACAGTGGGTTGCTTGTTAGGTTTGGTCGACCATAGGTGGATCAGCTTATCGCCCACGACAGCTCTCTCCCAGGTGGTCTCATTGAAAGCATTGAAAGTGTTCTGTAAACTTCATACGAGTGTCAATTTTTCTCAGAAGGACGATTTGTGTTCACCAGGACAACGTTTGAGTTTAGCAATTGTCACTTATGTTTGATTGGAGTTAGATCCTACAGGTCCCGTTGGATCTGTCTGTCTTGTCATACCCGTTAGACGGCTTGTTATGCAGCTCAGCTTAACAAGATGTATTGTTAATTGATTCGACACTCGTTGAGTCTTTGTCCCACCAATTCCAGTATCGGATATTAACCTGTTGGCAGTAGGAGTGATAAAACACTACGGGTTTCGCGGCGAACAATTGAAACTTTCGAATATCTTGCTGCTGAGTTCGCATATCAGTAAAATGGTTAGTCGACAGCATCTAAGAGTTTGATAGGACTTGAGCTTCCTAGACTCCCATTCTCACCGTACACTCATTATCATCTCGAGTGATCTGCGGAATCGTAAGACGCAGACGTGTTCCTATGGAACTCGCACGGTGATCCGTCAGTTCCTTGCCACTACCAACACGACCAGCAGAAACTCTTCTGAAACACTCCGAAAGAACATGTAATGCATAATCATCATCGTCGTCATCGGCCAGACAGACGATGTACTGCCTCCTTCTGTTTCATGGCCGCCTCCTGCTGTCGAGACATGATTCTGTTTTCTGGAACCCAGAATTTCTCAGGACTTCTTCGTTTATGCTCGGAATGCGGGTAACGGATATACCTGATCCCTCGCATCAGGGAATACCCATCAGGCCCGACCCCACATCAAATTGTGGAAGAGTTGCAGTTTAATCTGCTCCAGTTCAGTGAGGTCTTGGCGGAATTGATTGTGGTACCTGCCTCGTGTCTATCCATACCACTCCACAGCCAAATGCCAATCACATGACGTGTAGTTTGAGCTCCTTTGGAAGGGCTTCCGGCTCACTCTTTATAGCCTCATCGTATAGCTCAGCCGGCAGCTGGGCAATTGCTGCATGTGCTAGGCGTTCAGCTTCCTCCTCGTGTTTTCTAAAGGGAGAAGATGATACCCTCGAGGAGTGCAGTTAGATCTACCTAAAGTTTTCAGTGTACTTCCGTTGCATGTCCTGGAAGCGTCCAATCTCCTCCTCATACTCTTTCCTGTCGCTCTCAGCATCCTCCGGCTTGAGTGGAGAGAATATGAAGTTCATAAGAGCCTCGATCTAAGTGGGATATACTCAACCACAACTTCAGCGACGTATAAGAAGACGGTGATATGATGGGCAGTCTCACCTGTTCTGGATTGCTGAAGAAGCGAGTGGTGACGCGTACGTACTCGCGGGGAATGTAGGGTACCAGCTCAGAGCCAGGGGCCATCGCATCGGTCTACACAGTCATGCACTCCATCTAACCAGGAGCAGGGCTTACAACTTTCTTGGCAGAGGGCTGGAAGCGTCCCTTAGCCTTCTGTTTCTTCAGCTTCCTCATGGGTAATTCGACTCTGCTACTCTGTCGAAGGAGACTTATACCACCCCGCGCAGTCATGTCAACAAACTAACTAAACTCACAGACAAATGGGAGCTCTGACAGCCCTTGCCGTCCCCACACCACTCGTACCCCTCCCTGGTTAATGAGTATGATGATGGTTATCATTATTGCTGATGAATCATCCACGACAGGCGAGCATGTACTACTAGGCCTTCGTGACGAAGTGGCGGAGCTCGATTAGCCCGCATCTTTTGATTGTGATGTTGGGAAATAATGATCGTTTTGGAGATGTGATGATCAGAAGTGATTTTCAATTGCGCTCGTCATGGTCATTTGGTAGTCATAGATCTCGAATCGCGCACCAAACTCTATCCTGGAGTTAGTCCCCGGGTTGGACATTTTCCGCCAAAACTTGTTTTCGCACAAGTTTTTTGAAGCTAGAATGATGGATGTAAGAATATAGTATTTCTCGCGCTCGGAGACCAGAACCATAGAAAGGACATCTGGCGCGGATAGATAGCATCAGCCGCTTTCCCTTTTACTACTTACATACTTCACCAAGTGGCATACTACACAGACTCAGCTCCATAGCTTAACCTTACCGTCCCACCCAGCTGCTGCAGTGTAGTCCACTATGCCCTTCCTAGTTGGTAAGCAGTAGACTCTCCAACTGTACTCCATAATGATCTCACTGAAGGCAGTGATGACTCGTTAAGCTGAAAAGAATATCTCGATATTGCTACATTCAGGAGGAAAACTCAAACTCGACAATAGAGGAGTAGACGGTAAGGTCAATGATCACTGAGTAGGGCATGCATTAGGAACAGCCCCAGCATCGGTATTCTTCACACGCCGTCGACGAGGCTCTCTGCTCACCGGCCCTAGTGAGAACTTCGGTCTGCCATTTGGCATTCCAGGGTTAGTACTACAATTGCTCGAATCGTGCGAGTCCATATCTGCTGATCTATTGGATGCGCGAGAAGAAGCAGCTTCGCTAACGCATCCTGGGGAGGACCTCAAGTCAAGTACACCACTATCTTCAAGACCACTCCTCCTTGACCTCAATGAGCTCCTCGGCTCCGTTTGCAGTATCGATCTCACAGGTGTAGTACACTTACGCATAGTGGAAGAACACTCACTCGTGTCGTAGGTCTCAAAGTAGTCCATAATTTCACTCGGAGCCCAACCAAGGTCCACATCCAATGTTGTCGAGGAGGTAGATGCTTTGACATCAGTACTACTAGGTGCCTGCTCCAGTACCGCACCGGCTTCATCGTTCTCTAATGCCCATGATATGGCACTATGAAGGGCTTGCTGGAGATGTCGTATGGTGTTCTCTCTGTCAACAACAAGAAGTGCGCCATCGCGAATTCTATCTTCCAGTTCTCGTTTGAGTCGGGCATTTTCGACGCGCAACTTGTCCAGTTCGCTGCGGGACCTTTCCGCTTCACATACCGCCCCTCGTTCCCCCGCACGAGACACCTCAAGATCAGTTGATGCAGAAGCCAATTCGCGCTGCCGTTCACGGAGGCTGTCGGCTGCCTGAAAAAGGATTGCTTGGACGCACTGAAATTAGCGTTTGTTACTTCTGCTAGTTGGCTTTTAAGGGCAGCCCTCTCCCGCTCAAGCTGATCGATTTCATCAGCCATTCTGGTCTCGGTGAGCTTCCGTCGATGTAGCTCTTTGAGGAGACGACTACACTCCTCTGAAGAGCCCACCTTAGAGCCTGGAGGAGTGGCGATGCTGAAGTTCTGACTGTGTGCATTGTTATCAGCATCCCATTGGATGTAGGACATACTGGAGTAGAGATGGCAAGGCCTCTATCCACACAACTCGACAGGATGGCCAAACTCTCAGACGGCCACACTATGAGGATCTCTCTCGAACGCTAGGCGGGATTGCATTAACGAAGCTGAAGATGCCACACTAGGAGTTGATCGAATATCGAGCTCTCAGTACAGTCCGATTAAGTTTCACCCCTCGACCTAGCCACTAACGTTCAACGATGCCCCTTAGTCGTTCTAATTATTATCAATTTCATCGATACGATGCACGAAAACACACAACGCTAGCGCTAGACTACTAGTAGTACCCCTACAAGTAGCGTTCTCCACTAAGTAGCTACACACGAAAGAATACAGTCTCATATAAAAGAGGTGTGTTTGATACGACGCGTTGTTAGGATCTGATATGAATTACAAGGGCAGTAGTGAACGCGAACTAGGAGATGATGATGCCAGGGATCACTAGGGTTCTAGGAACATCCACTGAGGGGGGATTAGAAGGCCAGTTCATGAACTGAGACGATCATACCTTATATCGCACTTGCAGCGGTTCGTATCCTACGAGGAGCTCATATGTGCGTGTTGTCAGGCTGATGTGGGGAAACTAATCTATTTGCTAACAATAAATGCAAATAAGGCAGTTGTATTTCTCTCCGCTGTATCGTACCATAATGGCTATCGTAGCTAATGAGAATGAGAGTAAGGGTTCACAGAATAAGATGATCGTATACAGGAGATAGAGTTGTACTAGATTGTCCTAAAGTTTAAATCCAAAGACAACACGACGATTATAGGTGCGTAAAAAAGTCGTGAAACGATTAATCGAATCGGATTTTTTCGCATGTTTTAAAACGGTCTTTGTGCATCAGCGGGCTTAGATCTTGAGCTTCGCATTCCCTGTCTTAGAAGTGCTTTCTGACATCATCCGCGATTCTGCCAAGTCTTTTAGAGGGATCTCCTGGGTGTCGAGAGCATCGAAATCCAAATTGATATCAAGCTCGAAAATATTTCGAGTTCTATTGACCTTTCTTCCCTAACAGCATGTAGTCCATGCTTATCGTCATCGGGTCGACCTTGTGATGGCCAGTGCCCTCGGTAGACTCTTGTTCCTGTGAACTATGGCGTAATAGTATACGCTAACACCATCTCGTAGTGTATCCATTACTATCGCTTATCGGAGTACAAGTAAATGAATTGAAAGATCATTCGAGTAGGGCATAGTGGTCGTGTCAGTCAGTGTGAGTCACATCGTCGTTAGGAACTTCATCATAAGCAGTTCGATTGGCTTCACAATGGCTTTGAATGATGATTTGTCATTAACATCATGGGATAAGACAGAGGACCCGACTGTTGTCTTGGACCTCCCCTTCGACACCCCTACTACCCTACCACAGCCCCCATCGTCCCAAGGCCCGGGACTAGAGCTGCCTACCTCCCCTAGTGGGACTCTATCGACTTGTTCGTCAAGTGATGTTGCCTATGGTATGTCCTCACCTCCTTTTAGTGCCGTTCCCCCACTAAGTGCTCTAGAGGCCCCGAATGCTGCTCTTACTTCTACTCCTCAGCAAAGTGCCTCGGGCTTCCTAGGTGCTGGTCTCCCCTCTACGGGTTTGTCTACCGCGTTCGTCAACTCCCCGTCCGATAGCGTATTATCAACGATCGGCCAGGAGCCCGGACTCGATGCCTTGAGCCGTATAATAGCTGCCAGGTGTGTTGACCCACTCACTCTGCCGCAGGCCGCTGTACAGGACTACAATGATGATGACCACAAACAACAGCAGCCGGCTCCAAAGAGGGCTAGAGCTGCGGAATCTCAGCAGTATGATGGTGATGCTCTGTGGGGAAGTGGACTGACTGCTCCTAGTGCTGGTGGTAGCTTGCCTCCTCCTCCGACACAGCGTCCTACCTTACAGCAGAGTGGTGGTCTTAGCCCCTATATGATGCTGAATTCCATGCGTAAAAAGGAGTATGCTGCGCCCCCTGGGGTCTGGAAGAATTCAGGTGGGTACATCTCGACTGTATACGTGAATAAAAGGCGTGTTTATGGGCCTTTGCGGAAGACTTTGGCGGAGTCAGTTCGTGATAGGGAGGAAATGCTGATAGCCAAAGAGAACCATGCATCGGAAGAGGAGATACGAGAGTTGGTGGCAGCACTGAAGGGAATCAACGGTGGGGGAAGCTCACGGGCCTCTAGCAAGGGTCGAAAGCATCGTAAGCCTCGGAAGTCTAGTAAGACTAAAACCAATAGTACTACCACTACAACAACAACGAGTACTACTACCAGTAGTACAGGTAGCGAGGAAGGGCTGTTCCCCACTATTCCGGAGACCGATGCCGCCGGGCCGGCTATGGAGTTACCGTCCTTAGCGACTCGATTTCAGAATGAGAACTACTTTGGTGGTTTCTCACCAGATGCATTCGGATTCGCCCAATATTAGTCTTTATATGGTACTGTTGTGCCACTAGCAGTAGTAGCAGACAACACTCTTGTGTAATGCAAGCATTTTTCTGAATTTTTCTCGTCACTACACTTTGCTGCTATCACAACCTGCTAAGCCTTCCTCCTCCTCCTGTTTAACACAGTGTGGTATCACTCGTATATCAGACCATTCAGCGAGTTATGGTATGATTGAATATTCGTAATATATCTATCCCTTCGTTTTTTGAGCTACTGAGGGCATTAATAGTCCTCGTACTGCTACTACTATTACTATGGTGTCGCCTTTCTTAACACTACACTGAGAGAAGCCCCAATACTGCTAGCCTAAGAATCAAGGCTATAGCCCTCTCCCCTCCATTACAAGCGTCGGTTGTGCGGAATCGCAACACCGTTGCAGTATCGTTCGCCGTTTTTAGTATTGGTTTTAGTGCTCTTTACTACTACTACCACTCTTATTGTACAGCCGGCTAGGGTGGAGCGGATTATCGCTTCGTTCCTTGTTCCGATGATATGTTTCCTGTTGTATTATCATACAATGACTATCAGCAAGCAGTTGTTGTGTAGTGTTCACAGTTATTATTAACAACAACAGCAGCAACGCAGAGTGTTGTCGTCCTTCGACTCGATGCGCTTCTCACAGGTCTCCAAGGAGGAGTATGCCCGGTTAGTAGATCACCCATATTCACAGTGATGGTGTTTGTATCTTCCTCATCCTCAGGAGGTACTTCCATCTAGAATCACTGGAATCAGGTCCTCGCTGACTACCAGAGTGATTTTCCTGCACTTGTTATGGGTATTATCCATAGGAATGTTGCATGGTGTATTCTAATAGGGCACGTGAGGTAGTGTGGTCCCGATTGGGTGGCAACCCTTGAATTGCTCACCGCCGAGTTTGACGAGGAGTGTTTATAATGTTGGAGTTTCACTCGTTTTACGGTGAGGTGTAATACCCCATGTAAAATATAAGATGTATGTGTTTCCGCGAACACCGATAACACAATTGTTTTTCGCAAAGTGAACTGTGAAGTAAGTTTTTCACTAGTGTTTTTCATATCACAGGTGAAACTTTATCAGGTATTCTCCAATTGATAGTAATAACAATATGAACTATTGAGGTGAGATATTACTGACGATTCATTTTACAATTAGACATATAAATAGACACCAATATACAGATGATACTACGTATGGCATTTTGATGAGATATCTATTATAGACTTCACCCTCTTTGGACAGTATTGCTTGGGGGTATACTTCTCGCATGGACTAGGTCCTAAGTCTCGATCTCGGCTATCTTCATCATACGTGAAGCATGTAACAAGATGTATGTGTAGTGATGTTCTACCCGCTATTCCGTTGCCATCCATATAGTGTTGTGCTGGTGATTTATCTCACTGGGGGGATTAGTAGTAATAGTAGTAGTAGTAGTAGTAGTAGTAGTAGTAGTAGTAGTAGTAGTAGTAGTAGTAGTAGTAGTAGTAGTAGTAGTAGTAATAGTAGTAGTAGTAGTAGTAGTAGTAGTAGTAGTAGTAGTAGTAGTAGTAGCTATGTTGCCCTCCGAGTGTGTTACAACAGAGTGGATACCAGCGTGCCTTGATCATGTATTGCGTAGATTTTCATTGTCATTCTCTGACCTCAAGAGGTCCATGCTAGCATGGCTAGTCTTCCTCGCATTGATCTCTTTGCTCCCTCTAGCAGCACTTCTGGTACTAGCGATAGTTGCCTCCGACTTGCTACCTCCTTCCTGCTTCTCAGGTAAGAGTGCAGTTGTCATTCCGACTAGGCTGGGGTCATCAGAGTGGTCGAGGGTTCTCATCTAACCCACCCAACTGGCATAACTCCGACATACGAATAACGGTAGTCGCAGTCGTATGAACAGACTCCATGGGCGGCCTCATTCCTCAGAACTTCTTTTCGTATTCAAATGTGAAGGGTAAACAATCTGACGAAATGTGAGCCGATTCCCGCATCCTGATGGTTTCAAGTCTAGGCGCCTTTTCAGGCTCTGTGCCATATGTTTGGAAGATTTTCGTGCTGAAGATGCCATTGCTGAACTAGGCTGCAGTCACGTCTTCCACGAGGCTTGCTTCCGAAAGTACTATATCCTCATCGTCCCTCCCCCATCCTTTTCAGGTGGATGCGCTATGGTCCTTCCCCCCGCAGCTGTCCGTCGTGTCGTCGTGATGTAATGCTGTCTGATCTCATCCTATGTGATGGTACCGGCATGCGCTTTTAGTTACATGCTCGAGCTTGTGCGGTGTAGTATTGTCTTCATCCTTTACCAAGGTCGTCGTCATCGGTTACATTCCCCCTTGCCAGAGTGAGTGCGGCGCCTATTTTACGACCACTTTAAGTGATCTAATCTTGTCTTCCTAGATTGTCGCGTTTTCCCACAATGGGCCAATCGTCTTCCCTCATCATCAGTATGTATGCATAGTGCCTTCATCCTTCCCTACATGGTTCAAGCCTGTCTCCTTAGTGGCTCCTTTATCGCCGATACCACGCCAGAGGAGGCAGAGGAGAGTATGGCGCGAATCCTTATCTTATTAGCCGTACTATTGATTCTCTCTGTTACTTGTTTCATCACCCTAGTAAGCATAGTTATCGAGTAAAGCCCTCAGTGGAGACCACAGCTCAGGTGTATGTCGCCCATTTATGCCTCACATATGACGATGTCGAGTACGCTGAGCTCTCTACAGGACCCTATGACGATGGGCATGTGGAACACTACAGTCAGCAGCACTCTAGTGGCCTTGGGCTTAGGGCACGCCTCGTAGCATACCGAGCGATCAGGATCTTCCGTCACGGGCCCGGATGGGTCGGCGGCCCTCGCCAGGTGAATATGATGAACTCCTCCTTGCTGAGCTTGATCTCCCTTGTAGGCTCGGCGACGACTCCGATGTTCATCCGTGTTGTTGAAGGACTTGGCTAGAGGTAGGATGAGGCGGCTGCTGTAGCCCAGTAAGCAGCGGCCCTTAGGTTCACTCTATGATGCCCAACACGACTGCCCTATATGTCTATCACAGTATGAGGACATCGATACAGTCACCGAGCTCCCCTGCCATCATCTATTCCATCTAGAGTGCCTCGAGAAGTAGTCTTCCTGTTACCTTGTCTATTGCACTATCTCATCTTTAGATGGGTCAATCGTGCTGCTGCTCACAGACATCCATCTTGTCCACTCTGCCGTCAATGTCTGCCTTCTACTCTTGAGGTAGGGATCACCCTGCCGTGTTTTCCTCCCATGTACGCCCTCTAGGTACAGTTGAATAGCTCCCATGGGGGTATCGTTACCGTACTTTAACATCTCATCAGCGGACTTGTTCTTTATCTAATCAAGTATTACCTTTTTTGCCCCCACCTTAGTACGTTTGATTTCCTACTACTCCTTGGCTTTAGCTCAGTTGTCAATTTTTTTGCGGGGGGTAGTCAGTCGTCATTGCACTACGAATGTCAGAGCTCGTTAGTGGTGGTGATATAAGGATCGAATACGACGCTGACATGGACGCTATTATTATGTTCGGGAGCCTATGCATGGCCCTAGCCACAATGGGCTTCGTTATTTATGTAATCATTACACCTCAGCATCTGTCCTGGTGCCAACCAGGTGCACCTGACGAAAGAGCAAGCCCACTCTATGTATGATGATCTACCGATTGATGCAAGCACTCCATCATCCCATCACGACAACAGCAGGGCCGGCATGCTTCTGGAAAGCTCATCATCTAGAATGTCGTTTAGACACTGGTTGACCGCCTCCGTAGACCCCACCAAAGGTATCGTTATTGGATATACTCCTTTTAGGTTGATGCCACTCCAGCATGCATCACACCGGAGGAGGCTAGTAGTCTCACTGAAGGGGTCTGTAATAGTGAGTAGTACCTCTACTGTTACGTGATGACGAACCCCCTCCCTCACCTTAGTGATGCCACATGATGACCGCTCCTCCTCCTCATGTTGCTGTTGCTCTGTGTGTCTCTCGTCATACACTACTGATGATGTTGTTACGGTACTCAAGTGTGGCCATCTATTCCACGAAGAGTGTGTACGCAAGTAAGCACGTGTACAGGCCCCAGGCCCTCCCTCGTTAGCCTTTTTCTTTCCTTAGATGGATCGCCATGGCTCACGTCCCGGCATGTCCCTTGTGTCGATCCCGTCTGCTGGTAGGGTTGCTGCTATCATAGTCTGTCTTCTGTTTGTCTTCAGCCGTCGTTACCCCCGATGCCACGGAATCTACCCATGTGATTGAACTACTTTGAAGCCGACCTCGTTGTCGTCGTCGTCTCCGTCGTGTGTGTGTATGATCCTGATAATTATACCTCTTCTTCTTCTCCTCCTCTTTATCCTGCAGGCATACCATGCAGCCTGTATTGGTTACGTCGCAGTGACTGCTTTTTTCTTGTACACTTGAGTGAGTTAGTAGTCAATCTCCTGCTGTTCATGACTGTTCTCAGCTAGCATCCATCACCCATTTCCCTAATGACAGTTGTAGAAATGTCATGACTTTGATATGTACCAAATTGTATGCTTCTTGAAGAGGTTTAATGATAGTTGACCGGGTCACCGTGACCCACGTCGACCGACAGCGACTCGCTAGTGACTCCTTCGAGTCGCTATCGTCTAGTGGTTAGTACAATTGAATACACACTCGAAATGGGTATCATGGCAATGGTCAGGGATCACGTCGTGGCTGGAACCACCTCAGCAATTGTGTACGGTGACAGCGACTCTTTCACTTCGCCCAGTGGTGGTCGACTCCTATCGTGACTGAGGAGGGTCATGTGATGCGTTACGACTGTCTCAACTGACCATCCGTCTCGATGTTTATCTTCGTGATAGTATATCGAGTAGTGTTCGTCGTTAGCACCGCAGGTACCTAGTTGAACTCTATAACTTATCACACTTCATCCGACTTGATTCTGCTGTGGAGAGTTCGCTCGTATCTGATGATCAGGTTCTGATCATTTTCTAACCGATCCACTCGCTGGTCAGTCAGCTCATGGTGTTCTCGGACAGTCTGAGTACTTTCCCAGGGAGCTGGAAATCTGCCATGCTGTTATAGAGAAATTTCAGTTTCCACATGGAGGGATCATCTGATCATATCATCGGTTCCTCCGCTACGGTCATTCTCACAGTGTAATTGAGTTCTCTCATTATCTCACTCATCTCGCATTCGTCTTATATAAAGTCAGTCCGTTGGACAGTGATGTCTGTGGAAGGGGATGGCCGCCAGATTCAGCGTTCGATTCCGCAATTCCTCACAGTAGATAGTTGTGATTGAGGAACCCATGGCCATCATGTTTGGAAAGCAACAAGTTATCTCTTTGTTATTATTATAATATCGGTACGATGGCCATGTAAGCTGTATTTCTTACTCTTTATAATTGACTTTCGAATTTGATGGACAGCGTTGTGTTACGATACAGCGAGAACTGCCTGTCCGATACTTAGCATCCATTACCCGTGCGTTCTCAACTCATGATACTCCGTGTCGTTTCTAAATAGTCAGGGATGGAGAGCACGTATGTCCTGCAGTGTGAGCGCTATCCAAATCGGTGCACTATAGGTATAGTTTCCACTGTTGACTCCAGTGAGATCACGTGTGTAAAGTGGCTGTACATACATCACATATGATATATGGACATATTCCAAAGGGGAACTTTCCACACACTTATCTCTCGGAGATTCGAGATCGAAGCAGTAGAACCCCGCTGATTCACATTTGGAAACCCCCTTCGTACGATGAGGCTTTGAAGCCAACTCATTTTCATTATCGTGGCGATAGGAAACTCAATTTCCCGAACGGCATGTTGAATATCGCAGTCGTTCGTTTTCTTCCACTCCGACTACTGTATTACTAACAACGCAAGACGTACAGATTTTGGTAAGGAGTAATTTACGTTCGTATAGTGATCAACTTAGTCGAGTTATTTCTGTTGCGATCTGTGGAACTTCTCGAGAACCTAACACAGAAGACTTCCGACGACGGACTTTTGCACAATGTTCTTATCACCCCCATCCGCTTTCCTTTCCCTTTTCCTCCTTTTCCTCCTTTCCCTCCTTTACCCCCTTTGCCGCCCTTGCCGCCCTTGCCTCCCTTCCCCTTACCAGAACCTGCCCAAGCCTGTTGACCCCATCCCAGTAAGGCGCCATTAATCTCGCCTACCTCGATGTCTCTTATAAGCTGAGCCGTCATCATCGCCGAACTCCACCACGCCACTGGAGGCACCTGAGGATATAGTCCCTCAGCATCTCCCCTCCTACACCCAGGCCGTACCCTGCTCCATGCTTCGCTTCTGGCCCCTAGCAAAGGCCTCAGTCTCGTCATCTTCATCATCCGAGCCGGCCTCCTTGCGATACTTCTCAACCAACTCTTGGGTCTTATGCTGAGAGAATGTAGGCATCTTCCAATGTTAGATATTCATCCCTCAAGTCTTCACCTCCGCTCGCTCATGCTTCTTCTTTTCCTCCTCCTGCCGCTTCTGGCGGAGCTGCTCTGCTTCCTTCAGACGCTTCTCTCGGAGGGCCCTACCGTTAGCGTTATCCCATCCGATGACCCTGTAGGCTATCTTACGCCTTCATCTTGGCATCCCTATTGAGCTTATCCTGCTCCTCAGCTGATTTGGTAACATCACGATGGTAAATCACTTCCGCCTGATTGGGCAGTCCAGCCTCAGCCTTCACCTGCATGCCAACAACTCAATCCACTTGCTTGTGATCTCCCCCTTACCAGTTGAAGAGTAAGACGAGGGCCGAGCTCAGCAAGGCCAACACTAACCTCGTTCGTGTCTTGGCGTCCTAATAGAAATCCATAACAACGCTCATGTGTAGTCCACCCGAACGCTGTTGTACAGAGACTAAGCCAACGCGGCCTTCCCTACTTACTCTTCCTATAGTGGCTTCCAGGCTCTCGGGCTCGACCCGGGAGAGGCCCGACGGTGTCACCGTCCTCGAACTCGCTGTCGGACACCCCATCCAAGTGACACGAACTATCCAATACATCTCCTGAATCATCGATCTCAGGCACGCTTAGCCACAGAGAGGAGGAACTCACCAGCCGCCGCCAGTTTGGCCAGATTCGGTGAGGTCTTCCTGCTGGACTTCGATACGATCTTCCTCACATTCCCTAACAAGCATGCCATAATCGAGATAAGCATTGAGCTGATGCCTCACTCGAGATAGAGGCATTCTTGAGTTTGATTTGGTAGTGTCTCATCTTGATAGTGTTAGACTCCTCGTCGTAGTTAAAGAGGACCACTCGACGGCAACTTTGTAACTGCAAGAGGATCTGCCGAGTGCCCCTCCTCCATGTAGCGATACTTACATCAACAGTCTTCGGGTCAATGCTAGGGAACAGTGACTTCAGCATGGTACCACACAGCTCTAGATGAGGGGACTTCTTCGCAGCCGCCCCTGGCATTCAAATGGATGGCGAAGAGGGTCGTTAAGGAGGTATTACCGAAGCCGTTGAGAACCACCATCGGGGCTTGAGCATAATCCCGCATAGAGCCAACCTTGGGCCTCCTCTGGGAGCGACGCACATCCGTCTGCAGGGAGGCTTCCATCAATTGGAACGTAAGAGTTGGACCCTGCAAGACAATAGCGTATCTCTTGACGAAGTCACTGAGTGTTGATAGAATAATGTGCGCTAGTTGCAGAAAATACGTTAATGATTTTACTGATTCCCTCATCCCTAGGCACAGTACATGAGATCTCTCTCACTAGCGTGCTTAGAAGAGCCGAGTGGGAAGAGCAATAGGGAGCCTGCTTACCTGGGCCATTCGAGTGATCCTAAGGTAAGGGGATACGTCCGTCTGGGTGAGCTGGAGCAGATGGGACACTCCAAACATCCCCGACACCGCCACAAAGTCCTGCATCTTGTTCTTTCGAGACTCCCTAACAACAGCCTCTACCGCCGAGCCTGCCTGTACAGCGGGGATCTCACCTGAGTTTACTGGCCACGTTGGGGCTCATGACCTGCCTCAAGTCGGTGACCAAGTCCTGGACTGCTTGGACCACCTGCCCTCTTCGAATGATAATACATCTAGGGGTGTTACGACGAGCTTCTTCCGACTACCAACAACACTGATGAGACCAGGAGGAAGCAGTGACACCAATGATACCTCTTCAATGTTCTTCTGCTGGACTCTGGCCTTACGTCTACGATTGCCTACACGTGGCATAGAGAGGAAGAAAAAGACGAGGAGAACAAGAAGAAGGACAAACTAGAGGCCACATGGGATGAGGATGAATACACTCAACAGCAGAGAGAGGCTTCAGAAACTATCACAGGTATGGTTAGTCCTAGTAGTATATGGTAGAAAATGCGGGGTGGAGGGATCGAACCCGGATCAAAGGTAATACTGAGCTTCAGAATCCACCACTACAGGAGCATCTTCTCCCTCCTCCACTCCAACGACTTCAGCGCAGCTCTCTCCAAATCTATTCTCACATAATTTCTTTAAATATCCCGCTCTCTTTGCTAGTGCTGGGCGCGCGCTACCGTTCTCCACGATTCGTCGAAAATGATGCACTACGAAACTACTACTACCATCGTCCAACAGTAGCATATCATCAGGCATCTGCTGGAGCTGATTGAATAGCACCCTGTATAGGGAGTTGAAGAGGTCCTCATTACCATCCATGGCTCCTTCACTTTCCGCGAACAGGCCCACAAGGGCCTTCCACTGCTCGAAGGCTTCATAACTCTGTCCCAACATGAACACCACAAAGGCCGCCTGCAGTTCCCCCAGAAGGTCCTTCGGCTGACGAAGAGTCCCTAGTATCTCCTCAAGGACCTCAGACCTGTCCATCGCCGCTGCCGTAAGCTCCGACCCTGTATGCCGTGTCGACGTGAATCGAGGTATGTCCGTCCAGAAGACCACTGGAGTCTCCCCCTCAACAGAAGCCTTCTCAGCCCCTGGTGCCTCAGACGATTTTATCAGTCGGCCCGCGTTAACAGGTTGCAACTTCGAGATCACTTCCGGAGTAATAAATAGTGTATTCTCTTTCCATTGAGCCCAGCCCTCTCTCGGATAGGGACCGAGCTGGTCCGCGAACATCCTCTGATTTTCGAACATGAACGCGTACTTGCTAGTCTCTTGGGGGCCCACCGCCAGCAACTCTACCGTCTCAGGGCTCCATCGTCGGACTTGTATACGCGGCCGATTGGGCCCGAAGACCTAACACAGGCGTGAACAGAACACACATTCTCGAGCGGATACTCACCACGAAGAATCCCGTCCGAGGGGACATCTCTTCCTCTGAGTAGAAGACATAGTGAACACCGTAGGGGATAAGATGGACGCCCATAAAGCGCGGACCAACCTGATAACAGACGTCAGTGAGGAGGAGGAGGAGGAGGAGGCCTGGTTACACAGTCTTCCTACCTGCCACACGTGTTTATCAATCCCAAAGTAGGAGCCCACAGGGAACTCTAACACTAGAAGGACTCCACCATTCTTCACCAACCACTCTTGAGAGGGGTTCGACGGGACCTCTTCGGGATCCGAGGACATACCAAGCGGATACCTTCTACCGGCATGAAGACGTCTTCATGCCCTCCCCCTCCAACACAAGACTCCACCAGTTGAGTAATGCTTGTTGATTGATCATGGAGTGTCGTTAGCCATAATTGGTGCCTCTGAAGCGACGCCTTTCTTCCTTTGACGGTAACTGCCAGATGGACTCCGAATCGAGCCTGGACTCTCAGACTAAGAAGAATCCGAGGCTCCAGTGTGGAAGATACAAGTCAGGTCCACTTCTCGCCACCATTACCTCCACTGAGCGTTCCCCTTGTTGCTCGTCCTCAGGCCCAGTCCAGAGCTGCTTGATCTCAGGCTGGTCCCGCGTGGACTCCTGTCGCTGAGCCTCGCAACGCGGGATGAACCTCTCGGTGAGCCAATCACAAAAGGCCTGAGTCCTCTGAGGGCCAACCAGCTCCTCGGGCATGTTGCGGAGGGCTGCTGATATCATCGAATGGGCCGACTCTGTGGCATCGTCATATTCCTTGAATACCAGTGTACAGCCGGGGAGGGAAGAGGACGACAAGAACACTTCCCTATGAGGAAAATGAAATAGGAAGGAATCAACACGCAGCAGCTCCCTGGGTGGACTACAGATGAGGCAGCTGATACCCACACACCGATCACAGCCTATCTCGAGCGGCTGTAGGCCCAGTAGTACCGTTGGCTCTCCATTATACATTTATCAACTTCCCTTTGAAAGGTCTTATCCCCCTGCTCAAATGCCATGTTAAAAGCCCTCAGAGCTGCAGGGTTCGGCACCCATTCCTCACCCCCACGCCACCCTATGAGATCACTCCTATAGAATATCTAACAATCGTCCTAGAAAGCCAGCAAAGAAGGAAGAGGCGATGGTACCTTCTTGACAAAGGCAAGGACCAATACCGCATAGTCCCGACCAGGCTGCCAAGTGGGGAAGGCCAGAGAGATATCCTACACAGTGCGATCACGAGAAGGACATTGACGAGGCTGCTCCCACCAACATGCCAGAGGCCTCCTCGACTAGAGGGTGATAGACGCGGGTGATGAATTGGACCGTCGGGGCCGAGTCAGGATAGTCTTCCGAAATCCGCAATATAAACTTCAGAATGGCTCCTTTATAATGGCCCTATTACCATCACCACTCCCCTATGCTCGACTACCGCTACCTACTTGCCGTAGTATGAGCACACAGTGCCAGATGAGGAGGTCCTGGGCATCCGGACAGACATAGAGGCCCCTTGGGGCATTGTCCTACCCAAACATCGCCTACTCCTCCTAGTGAACTCAGCAACCTACCCACTTGGAGATGTCTGTACTCCATGAGGAGGCTACATGTCCTGGGATCAGGGCCCAAGGGGGTCTGCTGATCCATCTGGCTTTCAAAGCAGTCCGCCTCCTCTTCTTCTTCCTCCTCTTCGCCACCACCCTTACCAAAGACTCCACCGATAGAAACTACAACGAGGCATACTATAGGGCATTCTGCTACTATACGTACACTTGCCGTCATTCGACCCTAGGATATCCTCTGCATCCTGGACGTGGGAGAACTCACTATACCCAGGGGAGGCTGTGTAAGAAGCTACAGGAAATATGCATCACCAACCTAGTTCAGGGAACAGACCCGACCCATACCACTCTCACTCGAAAATCTATTTAATAGAACATCGAGTCACTCAACTGACGGTATTAACCGGCAAGTAGTGTAAGTGACTAAGCTATCCTCAGACCCGACCTACAGGAGACCTCATCATCATCGACATAATATGGCATCCTCCTTCTAGTGGATGGCCCCTGCCTCCTCTTCTGCCCTCCCAAAGTCGTCTTGAGGAAGCCCATGAAGCCCTCCACGCCGTGCTTCTGTGACCGGGCCGACCCCGACCGAGAGGACTCCCCCAAGCGACCCGAGCTACGACTCGAATCCCCATCAGGAGACACGGATTGCCCACCAAGACTCAGCCTACTACTAGGCGTGTCATAAGATGAAACCCCATTTCCTGGCGCGTGACGGTGGCTCCTACTCTTACCATTACTGGAGCCCTTCAGGAAACGCTTTAGCATATTGGATGCTAAAACCACATGCAAGAGTCCAATGTGAAACACTCAAACTCAAGTAAAGCCTCAAGTACAGAAACACATGCGACGTATGAGAAACACCATTCGTAAAGATCTGCTTCGCTCCGCTCATTTACCCTTCCCCACGGCCTCCTCCTCGTTGATCATTTCCTTCACTCTCGCCTGCATCTCCCCTTGTGTATTAGGCTGAGTAATAAGCCTCTGCCATTCTGCATCGGACCTCAGCCAGATCGTTCGATAACCGACTGTCTTTAATAGACGCTCGAACAGGACCGCCTGAGAGAGAAGGCGAATCACGGCACTTACAACAACAGTCCTTGTCCTAGGCTCATACCCTTCAGCAGTACCTTTCCACTGAGGCGTTGATCACTGCTATCCGCCCAGCATAGCAAGTCCTCATCAGTAGCTGCTTGTATGACTACATTGTGAGAGCGTAGAGTTAGATGAGGGGAGAAGGGCGTCCCCGGTACGGTCTGCACATAGACGTAACCCCTCACGATATGCCGTCCTCCCACCGTGGACATCTGTGCGACCATCCCTAGGTCACTAAGGGTGGCGGCAATCATTGGTATGAGCATCCTCTCAGCCTCCCGCATGCCCTCCCCCTCCGTCAGCTCTGTGAAGGCCTCTTCCTCTTCCTCAGGGTCTGGTGTTATCTACCACACCGATGCCAAGAAGGACCCTCCCTAGCCCCACTACCATTGACGTGATGGCCTCAGTCATTTCTGGATACCTCCGATGGACCGCCGTGAATACGGTAGCCGGGGTCGTGTGACTCAGGGCACACCACCACGCCGTCACGCGCCACCTGAGCGCACTAATCCATACCACTCTCCATCGAACTTCTCACAGATGGGCCTTATTGGCTGGGTTGTGCAGTGCCCCGACTTTGAAGGCTCTATCCACCAAATCTGCTACTCGTGACCAGACGTCTATAGGCAGACCTCTACCATCGTTACCTGACCAGGGAAAGGCCTACAACCCAGGGTCTCTACTAATACAGCAATCGTGTTACGGCTCAGACATTTGTAACCTCTCGATGTTTTCTCATCATAGGTACCCTCACAAAGGCTCCTACAGAGGCCTTCTAGCATATCATCATAGCCATATCATTCTTTAACTCATCCTGCTACTACTACTACCTGATGTGAAGTGGAGTACGGCAGTAGAGTATGCCAACATAGCGACCTCTGGGAAGGACCCCACAGGGGAACGTAAAGGCCCTGTAGGAGACCTGTCAGTAGCCACCCTATGCACCTCGTCCATCAGTTTGCATAGTATCTACCACCCATCCATCGCCCCATCGCTTCCCCAACCCCCTCACCTTGTCGCCCCTTCCCGAAGGAGAGGTCGCCGCCATCTCCTTCAGATGCAAGCACCCTACCCCACTGATAAGGTCGAGGCCCTTGGTGCCGAGGACATCAGGGATCAGTGCCTCCTCCAACGTAGTCAATACTGATAGGATAGACAACATCCCTACCTAGACAGACAACTATCCCACCTGTGTCTCTATCAGGCAATGCCGTTGTAGACCGGGACCAGATATCAATCATCACCGCGCACTTTGGAGGCTCCTTCCGTATCTCCTCGATCCGCCCATTGAGCTCTACCAATGCCATAGACTTCAAGTCCACTGACAAAGGCCCATCACCACCACACAAGGCGAGCTGACTACCTTCGGCTTCCCCAACAGCCAGAGGTGCATCGTCATCAGACCTATTGCCCCCATGCAGGGCTAGTCGGATGAGTCGATTGATAGGGACATCCTACACAAGACACAGCTATTAATGAGCTCATGACACAGGCACCTCACAGCGCGATTTCAATAAAGTGCGGTATTCAGATTTACATAGAAATTCAGTCAACCGAAGTCTGCTTCAATTCGACTCGATCAGCACAATAAAAGCCGCCACCAACCATTCCAGGTGTCCCGACCTAGAAGCTCATACCGTAATATCCTCTGCCACTAGGCTGTAGTCCTATACTACTCAACTATAGCTACTCACTATCTACTTATGGAATCGGCTCCATTACACAGTAATTTATATCCGTATCGACTTACTACTACCTTCATCATGCCCTGCATCCTTTCCAGACACCTCCCTCTGTACCCCTCCGAGAAGGTCGCTAGATAGGTTAGGGAGTTCATAGACACTTGGCTGAACCGATGCTCATCAGTAACGATACCCTCCACCGCCTCATCCAACGCCTCTGGACTAGTACCGGGTTGGTATTTCTCAATAGCTCTCTTGAAAGCTATGATGTAGTCATCCCAGCCATTCATGCCAGAGGGGAACAATCGACCACCTCCATGATGCCCCTCCTCTACACTTGCCTCCTCTTGCTCTTCCTCAACGCTTCCTTCATCCTCTGCTGGCTTCCCCTCACCAACATCCTCAGCTTCACCAGTATCTTCCTCCTGCATCGCTCCGCTCACCACCGTTTTTTGATTCGCTAATTCTAACGCACGTGTCGTTAGCGCCTCTATGTAACTAGGCCTATAATGGCCCAACTCTCCCAATACAGTGGCTGCCTCCAATAAATGATGCGGATTCGTGAAGGCCTCGGCACCCCTCAACGTAAGCCCTTCGACAAGCTCCTCTACCCTTCCTAAAGCACATAACCCTCTACGCTTCCCTCATACCCCCCACCTTACTGCCAAGACCCGTGTGCTTCTCTAGGAGTCTAAGGTGAGCCACCTTCTGGAGCACCTTCAATAGGCCAGGAGCCGGGAACTCTTCCTGTCTGGCCTGTAGAGCAGCTGACAGAGAAGGCTATAAGTCGGCCCCTAGGAGTCTCCATTACTGAGCATATCCCTCATGAGGCCCCAGTTCCACACTAGGGGGTCTACGTTGAGGCATAGCTGGAGGAGTTCAGCACTTCCCAACTGTCTTCGCATCTTCGAGCGCCTAGCCGACTTGAACAACTCTTGACAGTTCTCTATCATCGTCAACTTGGCCTCTGGCGGCATCTCACCAAAGTGATGATAAAACCGTAGTGCTCGGATGGCTTCAATAGCTAAGACAGTAAGCAGCAATACAGCAATAGTAGACAAGAGCCATATACCCACCCAATAGGGGGTGCCTCTGAACCCACTCATTCGCTATCTGTGATCTAACACCAAAACTAAGCCTACGACACGCCCCTAACGCCGTCAACTTATCCGTATCGATCTCTGATATCAACCTAATAGATGACGGTAGGAAGGACCCCCATCCCCATCATGCCCGATCACTTAGAGTTGTCCAGAAAGGGCTGTTCCAATGCTTTAACGACTGCATGATCATCCCCAAGGCAACGATAGGCCGATATCAGACTGCTAGCCAGCTCACCAGGAGTTGCCTCCTCCGACTCACAATGCTGCACCACTCGTCTCGTCAACACTGACAACATACCAGGTACTTTACATTGCCACGACTCTCGAGGCTTACATGCTAGTAGGCGCTTAGTCCTAACATCGAGATCACCTGTGGTGATACGATGCCCATATATAAGTGGCAACCTCTGTAGCAAGGACAGAGCTCCCTCCACTGTAACACGCTCTTGGCTTTGCAACGGTCGCCTCTTTCGACTACTATTCTCATCATCTGCTATATGACTATTCTCCTTCCGTAGTAGCTGAGGCCTCAAAGCATGCTGTACGAAGTTACCCCCCGGCCACTACCTTTATCAACCGTTGCTCAATCATCTCAACTAGGTCCATCGGAATAGGCGAGAAGCCGTTTAATGCCTTTAGAATCTATCACACACCAGCCAATGAGGACGATACCCCCAGCTGTGCTATTATTACTGATAACAGCTGAGGTTGGTACATACTGGGTATACTCTGTAGCATTGCTGACCGCACCTCTTCCGACTCTGCCGCTCTATGAAGGCCCAGTACCTTGAGATGCCCTAGACAAGGCGAAGGACTAGTAATACCTCCCTAATACCATAAGCCTATTTATGAGCAATGACAAATGAGACATATTGAGGAGAGGGGCGTTCTGCCGGACGCCTTCCTCTATACTACTCCAGCCTGCATGAGCCTGCATTCGTCGAGCCAAGGCATCTCTCTGATACATAACATTTCTATACAACATAGTCTCAGCATTCCCCGACCTTCTTTCTCTCGATAGGGGGATTGAATGCTAGCATCCTCATAACGTAGACCGTCTCCGGCCCATTCAAAGGTGCTTCGTACTGCTGTATCGTATCAAGGACATTCTCATATGAGCCTCTCTGAGATAACACCATCTCCCTCCCCCCCAGTGAGAGCTCTACTACCGAGCCTATCTTTATGGCTGCCAACTGCTGGCCGAGATCGGTACTAGGTGGTGGCATTAGATCTCCAGCAATACTCCGACTCCGTTGTCGGACAGTTTCCATCGCCTTTTGACTCAGCCGACTAGTCGCCGCCGCTGCCGTTGTCATTGAGTGACCAGCCTTTAAAAACTATCACAAAGCACTGTGATGAGGTACGACAACGAAACTACTATAGAGATGTCAGAAACGTACATACACTTATTCCGAATTCACCTCCGCTGTATAGATGGCATGCGAGTCGGACGACTTCGGTCAATGAGGGCTCCTCTATTGGGAAGAGGACGGGCTGGGTACGATGGTAAGGGGAAATCAGCCCATACAAAATTAGCGAATATGAAATCATCATGTGGCACCCGTAGGATGTACGATAGCTGCCTAACATGACTCAATGCCTGTCACCTGTCAGACCCATTGAGGGCTACCTCACGGTGTACTTTGTCAATAGAAGCAGTCGCTTATCGTCCTTCTGTATCTCCCCACTGTGGATATTAGCATGAAGTTGCTGATAAGGACAACAATAAGGTGGGTATGTAGCTCAAGGTCGACTACCTCCTGCAGTCTAGCAGCAAGGATGTCCCCTCTCCGTAACGCCCTGTCGAGAGCAACACACCCACCATAGCTGTACCTGAGGAGGAGCCGTCACCGAGGATCGAACCCTGGACCATCTACTACTCCATCGTGTTCCTGAGTTCCGAGCTGAAACGATAGTCGGGGACTCTCTTAATGAGCAACCACGTCTTGGGCAGCACCCATATATGTTCGAAAAAGTAGTAGTCCATTCGGTCGTCACCTATTTGCAGCTGAGAATAATGTCTTTACTCCTCCAAGAAGCATATCTATTATACGCTACCATTTTCTGATGGAATATCCAAGCATGTAGAGTAAGCCAATACAACTGATGGTTGAATCCCATAGTGATGCCAAAGGCCTCCATCAGAGGCTTATTCTCCAACCTCTCCAATACCAACCTAAACAGCTTCTCAGTCGTCTTGGCTCGGCCTGACCTCCACCAAAGCCAGTCCCCTATGGGCTGACAACAACATGAACATCGGATATGAATATCCCTCACCATCTCACTTTGGGTAGCCAATCCATAAGGAGCCTCGCGGGGGGTTTGGTAGGAATTAGAAAATCCTTAACCTAAGCATGGCACGGAGCCAATACGGTCTACCCCTCAATGCCAGGACAAGACCACCTCCTTCTCGCCGACATCACAAATAGGGTCGGACACGATAATGGCTGACTGGTACTGTAGTTTAGTCAGTTCTTCCTGTGTGATGACGTCCTCTGTCTGAATACCAGCCTACGACAACCGCTACGTGACCTGATATTACCTCGGTGATCGTCTGCCCTTTACGCATGAGGGCTGTCCGGCGCTGTAAAGGCCTACCTAGGCCTATGCTGGCCATGGGACCGCTACGGATGCGAGCGATGATACGAAGAGCCATCGCATTTAATGTACCTCAGATAGAACTCGAATATTAAAAAAATAGCGCTACCGGGGATCGAACCCGAGTCATAGGAGAAGTCCAGAATCGAAAGAGTTGATCTTCAACAACGATTATGACAATTCTGCCTTGGTTTCAGATGTTCTTCCGATCCTCGTTATGTCGGGGTACACAAGGTGTCTTACGACGCAGTCGGTGGCTACTAGATCTGACCCACAACTTCCCTGCCAGTGATACACAACGCTTTTGGGGGAATACATGGCAAGGGAAGGCCGAGTGGCTCCAACAGAACTGGAAGAACCTCTTCATTTGCATAGGCAGTGTCGCTCTTTTCTTGGGAGGCTTCTTGGCCGTCCGAGTCGTACCTGGTACCGTCTGACTGAGGCTGCTGATTCAATCCTAGTAACTTCTCAGGTCAGCACGTAGCCCTTGTCGTGGACCGGCTCGGAAATGTCAAGCCCTATGTGTATGATTCCAGTCAGGTAGGAGGGGATCCTTCTCTCAAGAATACATCTGAAGGGTGTTCACGACGCGATTTCAAGTGTTTTGGCATCAACAACGCTAAAAGTATTTCGTAACACTGCCGAGTGTCCTGACGAATTCAGTGACTTCATTCCTATTGCTCGTGGCTAGGCGACCCGTCTTTGAATTTCCCATGTATGTCACTAGTAGGGCCCTCACACGACCCATCGTCGCGGTCAACAGGGTCTGCAAACGGCTCTAGCGGCATAGGCCTCAGTAGGGCGTTCACACCTGTTTCTATATTGTAGGCGGTATTGATAATACCGTACTGGCAGCGACTAGTATCTATGAGGGAAATACCTGCTAAGAAACGATTCATAAAGGAGTTCGTAACGAAGGACGGCCGCAACGTTGAGATAAGAATGCTCTGCTCGATATCAGCTAAGGTTCATTGGATGCCAGAGATCTATTATAAGTGATCATTTTAATGCCACCCTCGAAGCACTAGCATGGTCTATAGATTCGGTAAGGACTTCGGTCGAGGGTTCCTCGAACGGGAAGCCACGATTGACGTTGAAGAGGTTTTAAAGAAGTATACTTTGGAGGAGCTGTTGGAGGATGGTAGGAGCGGTTAATATCTTTGCTTGACCTACGATGAATCTTAGGCGAACCTCTAGAGAAGGCCATTGCTGAGATAAAGCTTAGACTGGATGACGCAGCAGCGTATGGTGCGCTGAGCATGTACCATCCTATATAGTCGACATCAGATACCATAAAGTGTCCTTCGACCATGCCGAGACCACCATCGTATTTGTTGACCCCGAGGTTGACGATGAGGATGAGTACTAGACAATATAAGCTAGCGACTGTTGCGACGTATTGGCATGAGCCACGGTTTCTGATACAAAAAAGTTTTGTTCTAGCAGTTACTGGGTGATAGCTTCTTGCGTAGTGATTGAACTACAACACGGATCCATCCATTTTGCGACAAAGTTCTGAATGTCGCATTCGGAAATTATCCATAACCGGCCGCGAGCAGGACCATTGCAAAGTGCGAACTGCACTAAGATCAACTTGGTCTGAATCAAAGTTGTGAGTGTTAAGGATTGTGGACAGTGTTTGTATCACTCTGTCACAGTAGCTCCTGTACCTAATGCCGCCTTGATCGGTGTGCAATCAATCAATCGTTACAAGTCGTGACGTTTCCTCGTTGGAAGCGCCTATTATGGCATGTCTAGTATGTACCTTCAGCGCGTACTTGCATCCTCCCTTCTACTATGTTGTACTTACCACTGTGGTTGGCTATAGCAGCGATAGCCATCGCCGACGCCAGACCTGTCGTGAGGGCAGCAGCAATCCAATACGCCTCGAAAGCCGTCATCACTGATCCTCCTCCTGCCAACTTGGCACGTGATCTGATCGGTCTCAGCAAGCTAGTCAATAACACGGCGAAAACAAGGCCTGATATAGTGGTGAGAATCTAGTCAGTTCGATCATGGGCCGCCAAAAATACACCGCCTCGTTGTGGAATAGCTGGGGGCTTCTTCTCCACTTCATTGTATCAGGTCCTACCTGAGGCCTCACTGTGGGGTTGGATACTGGGCTACTACAATGGCACCGATGCAGGCGACCGAGCTGCCCGCCGTGCCGGGACCTTCATAGCCCATCACGGAGATATTCCCATCAACTGGAGTGAGCCTAGCTGTAGCTGGTCAAAACTCGATTGCCTAGAGTCTTCGCAGTGCGAGGATCCTCTGCCGTATCTCAGCTGTCTAGCTCGCCTTACTAACGTCACCCTAGTTGCTAACATCCTTCATAGGCCTACATCTGATGAGCAGTACAATACTGAAGTTGCATTCGGTCCTGATGGTGCCGTACTAGAATACTATCATAAGTGGCATCTCTTCGGAGAGGCCCCTGCCTTAGACCAACCCGTAGCGAAGAAGCTCGGCGTGTTCGCGCTACCACAGAACCCTGCTGTAAAGGTTGGCTTGGTCGTATGCTACGACTTATTGTTCGTATCGAACCTCCTCGAGATGGTCAGAAGGCATGGTGTGTCCTTGATCGTATTCTCGACTTCATGGGCTTCGGCTTATCCATCGTATAATGTCGTTATGGAGCAACAGGCCATGGCCCGCTTCCTTGGAGTTGGTATGATCGCTGCTAACAACGCAGCAGCTTACAGCAACGGTGGTGGGCTATATGACGGTACTGGGCAGCCGATAGCAGTCTATATGGATCCTCGATCTTCTCGAGATGTCGTTCTCACCGGAGCTATCACTATCTTGCCGAGTGTCACACGCTCGACAGCTCCGCCTAGCGAGCTGAATCTATCAAACCCCCCTTCTCGAGTCCTTCGGCGGCCTATACGGTGTTCGCTAGGTACTCCTGAAATCACTGCCAAGTACAGCCTGGATGAATTCGACGGTGGATGCGACATAGCCGAGTTGAAGGCTGGTCGCCATCAGCTTCATGCCGTCAGTCCGAACAAGGCCATTGAGTGCAGAGCAACCTTCACTGTTACGAATCAGATTGGTGATGGTCATCACCTCAGCCGCGTGGCTCTCGTCGCCTTCGATCAAGGCTGGGTGTTCCCTCGAACGCCTGATGGTTGGAATGCCCGAGGATGCGCCCTGGTCAGCTGTCATCCTGGTAAGGCCGAGCCATGCAAGTACAGTATGCGAGCGGTGGGGCCCGACTTCACTATCAAGACTGGTCTCGAGCTGCATTCTGTCATCCACTCCTCAAGATGCTATCATGCGCCATTGGCGATGGTGGGCTACGGTACAGGAGGCGCCCAGTTGTTACAGACCGAGGAGATCGACGTTAGCAAAGGTGTCACTGGTGCGTCGTGGATGAGGATCAAACGATCACTCGTTGAACTATATAGTGTAGTTTTGTATGCTATACAGGAGAACAACGATCCTATCGAGGATCTGGTAGAAGCTGATGCTGAATTGATTGCCTATCCTATGTTATATTAATGATGATTGTTTCCCCTCCCGTTTGCATTAGCGTTTATCGAGTTGGATCACTCCCCGAATTCAACAATCATCAGCGTGGAAAAATTGAGTTAGGTTTGTTTGAGCAATGATGGAACGTAAGGTAGAGTTGTCTCGCTAATGAGGTTCTGAAGACCTGGACCAAGCCAGAAATAAAATAATATAGATAGTTTGACTATGGTGTATTGTCCCGTCATGGATCATACAAGATCACAGTCGAGGACAAATAACACCACATCATAGAATAAACCACGTTCCTCGTATACGATCAACCCCGATATAAACTTTTGCACGGTTGGCAGGTGTCTTTACTTCATAAGGATCGCTGTAGTAATAGTAGACTTGATAGTAACTGTTGTGTTGGTGGATATCTTGGGAGTTGATGTAGTAGATCTGCAACGGATCATCTTTCAGTAGTAGTTGCAGTAGTAGGTTTATTAGTAGTAGTCGCAGTAGTAGAATTATTAGTCGTAGTGGCTGTAGTAGGCCTATTAGTAGTAGTGGGCGTAGTAGGTTTTTTAGTAGTAGTAGTGGCTGTAGTAGGCTTATTAGTAGTAGTGGCTGTAGTAGGTTTATTAGTAGTAGTTGGTGTAGCTGTTTTAGTAGTTGGGCCACCACTAGTTGTCGTAGCAGAGCCAGTAGTAGCTGTTGTAGTAGGGCCACCTGGAGTTCTCGTCGTGGATGTTGTCGAACCGGTTGGAGTGGTTGAACTTGGTTGCTGAGTCGGAGAACCTGAGGAGATCTATACCGTAACTCCTACGGGAAGTGTGCGGAGTAATCCTATCTTCCAGGAAACTAACCTGTGAAGGGCCGAATAGTAGGTGCTGAGCCGCATGCACTCATCCACAGTGAGACCGCCATCAACAAAATGGATACCAGGAAGATGCGAATGTTGAAAACCATTTTGAGGAGCGTAACGGTCAATCTGCAATACGAGCCGTGAAGCAATGCCATCATACTCGACACGTCAGACTCAGAAAATCTCATCATGAATCGACACAATCGCGACACACCGCATCCGAGATAGAGGACTGGAGAATATCAGCGGAAATGCTCGCGGGGAGGGGCACTTCCTCATTCAGAGTACAAACGTTCCGAATGCTGACAGCGACCATAAAAGAATGCGAGTCCCACTCTGGCTATCAGGACACGGAGCTGCAAAGGTCAATGACAAAAAATCGCAGTTCGATGCGGATTTCCAAGGTAAACTATGATTCGAGACTGTGAAGGCGGGGAAATAGAATTTGATGCATGCCCTCGCGATGATGGAGGTCTTGAAAACGCCGATGAACAGATTCGTTCAAAGGGGCGGAAACAAGGAGGCAGTCGGAACGACAATACACTATGCTGCATACCAGAAAACTCGGTGAACCGAGATAACATAATTTCATATCAGTCCCTCTCCCCCCGTCAGTGGAAATAGTAGTAGATGACGATGGGCTATTGTTAATCGAAGTAGGTGGTGAAAGCCCAGTAGTCGACGTATTCGATGTGGGTGTGGCAGTGTTATCAACGCAGTTGCAAGTCAACCGAGGTTCATTTTGGCAGGTGAGGCTTGACTCCCACCTGCAGTAAGTCCACACATCTCTCAACACGTCAAGGCAGAATTGATCTCCTATAGGACAGACCCGGGCTGGTTCGTAGAGCGCCAGGGTTGTGTACTGCCCACTCTCGTTACCGCTATTCCTTCGACCTGAAACAAGGCATTCATACAACGATAATAGCTACCATAAGAATCGAACCTGCCACGCCTGGCCCCATAGGAGGAACACGATCACAATGTAACAGTGATGAACGCCTCACGACCATTGGTAGATTCCTCATGAGACACTACGCATCAATTTGTTGCAGGTGCTGGACCTACAGGATTCTGTGACGTAGTAGGAGACACGTTGATAGTGCGCCCCATGAGCGCATGCGTGCAGCCTTATGGGGCGCACAAACTTGCCATAGTTTGGCATAATGCATAGTACCAACTGTACTGATCCCTCAGTATAGTTGGTGTAGGACCCGCCAACACCTTGAGAGCGTTCTCAAGCAACAGACGAGGCGTGTGCTTAAGGCGAGTGAAACTGATATTTCGAAATTGGGTTACGCTTGCCTTGGGACCTCGAGCGCACCCTATTGTTGTGAGTGTTGCCTCGTTCCCGAAGCAGCAGCAGCGAGGCGACGGTAGTAGAGTACACTAGTGAAAGAATGGAATGAGCTCCTATAAATCCTGTAGGAGCCTCCTAAGAAAACGCAAGGGCATGGGAATGTTAAATTGACCTAAATGCAAGAAGTGCACGTAAACGGCTAAGAGAAGGGGCCTGTTTCATAGGAGCAAATTGCGCCTTAAACTTAAGTAACGCCTTAAGTATACCTCAAGTAACTCCTTAAGTTGCTTGTGAAACAGGCCCACAGTCAGTCAATTCCTCAGGCGCATGTAAGGTTTCTTGCGCCGCTAGTAGTGCGTCGAAGACTATTCGAGTTATTGAGTTGCATGGCCCCTTTGGCTAAGTCATAATTGATAATTATTTCTTACAAAATCTCCAGTTATCATTAAATCTTCAAGAATAGCTCGAACCATGCCAGAATCCGCTCAAATAGTTCGCCTGTCTCGAGCTTGCCACTCGTTAGCTCCGCTGAATTCATAATAATACCTCAGGAGCGGGCTGGAGCCTCCTGAGACTAGAGCTCCCAGGAGTGTGCGAAAGTTTCAATTGAGCACTTTCGAAAGCACTCCTGAGATCAGTATTCAACTAGAAATTTCTTCGATGGGAAACGGTTGGGTTTATTGCTTCCACAGAATGGCAGTCGGCTATTGTACGCATTGGTGTTACAGAACGCTTCCAAGCTCTACGACTATTAATATGCGTAACATATTCATCCGGTTTCGTCGGCCCCAGCCACTTGTGTTAGTATAGTGACTGTTGCCCAGAGCCCTCAACAAGCCGCGTTTGCGGGGTATTGCAGTGAACTGCTAACTGACCTCTTCCCATGCATCCTCTTACCTTGGATGTATCTTATGTTATCACAAAGGAACTGAAGGCGGTAGAGGATGAGTATGGTAGAGTAAAGAGGATGCTAGGTGATAGAGGATCAACTCTCCCTGGTGCCCCGTTCGCATGCCAATTAAGACTTTGTTCTCTTCGCGTAGTCGTGTAGGTCTCATTAGTTGCAATCTACAATAGTCTGCTCTATTCCGAACTCCTAAACGTTTACCGCATCTATTTTGGGCCTTCTGGTCGCCCTTGTCGTATCTCCACACGGGAGGAAGATAGGCTGAATGTTCAGATGCTGACGAGATATGGTCCCCCAAGGGGGCAGAGGCGTTGGGCACCTGGCATTCCCTCTCGGTCTTCGTCGATCCCACCGACTGGCACAGAGAGCCTAAGCTACTAGCATCTGTGAAAAGCGTGCAGTCCCTTAATAGACTCAATGAAGTAGAATCGCTCTGTCTAACGCCTCATATACTGTATAGACCTTGACTAGGCTTTGGAGAGGCGTATCAGCACTTTGGCAGCGATCCTCAATGCTGCGAGATACGGTTATTATAGGGAGCTAGCGTACGGCAACTGAGGGGGCTTTAACACTACTATACATGTCGACAGCAGATACCTGCGTCGATGCCTCGACGATGCCAAGCTGGCTCTTCAGGAACTTTCAGCTCACCTCGGATACAGCCATCCCCCCTACATGTAGTCCCCTACAGTACTGATCCAGCAGCAGCAGGGTTTCTTGCCTCAGTGTATCCGTCAAGTCTTCCAAGGAGTTCGCAGGTAGTAGAGTCCAAGTCGGGGTCTCCGCCTTCCTTGTTGAACTGAGAGCATCCAGGTGACCCTACAGAGGACGGAGAGGCTGTTACGGTCGGTTCCATTAAACTGCCAGTTAGTGGATGGACAGTTGATGAGGTCTTCAAGAGGCTCGACAACACTGAGGTTTACTTCTACGATGTAGCTACGTCTCAGTGCACTCCTCATTGAGAGGTCCAAGTCCAGATCCTCGGTGTGTTGGAGCCCCCCACTCGAGACCTGGTGAGGGAGGCTATTGCTAGGGCCACAGAACGACTGTTAATGGTCATATCGCAGTTGAGGGCTCAGCTACAGGAGGTACCCTAGTCAGTGCAATGAGTGTCGAGGGCCAGCCTTCTATCAGGAAGGGACGGTGACACCGAAGACACCAGAGGAGATAGCCGCCAGCTGTCTCCGTGAACTCGTATCGGAGCACCTTGTGAAGTGGAATGTTATTGTAGGACAAAACATGGCAGGCATGCTCAGCCATCATCAGGCGTAGGTCAATACCATGCTGCAATTGTTGCCTCCTGGCGAGTTAGAAGCCTTGACCGAGAGGCTCAACGTGAAACAGCAGCATCTAGCTGGAGTAGTGATAGGGATAGTTTTGGCGGGGCCTGGTCGTCGACCTTATTGGTATCTAATGCTTTCAACCACTATATGCTGTCCTGTCCTCTTACCTTGCTGATGGACTGTCGCAGAGTTATCAGCCTGCGTCCGCGGCTCGATCCCTTATCTGCATTCATGATGCCCTCTCAGCCCGTGAGTCCAGCGGTAGTAGATGAGGAAGCTTCCGCACGGTTACAGCAGCAAGTGGCAGATCTCGAGGGTAAGCTCAAGGAGGCAGAATCTAAACTACATAATCAAGAAAGGGAGTTCGAACGGCAACTAGCCAAATGGGTCCGATCATGTTACTGCCTCACCTGGTGTAGCACTTGAAGACTATCAGGACACAGAGAAAGCCGCCTTGCGAGCATCCTTGGCCGCGTCCAGATCATCAGAGTCGGCAGCTGGACAACACGCGTCTTTGGAAATGGCGACGTTGCGGGAAGACCTAGAGAAGAGTATGTCGAATTGGAACTATCTAGATGGTCTGTGGGGTCGGCCTCAGGTCAGGAGGAGGCAGCGACCCTCAGAGCTCAACTAGCTGCTGCTCGAAAGAGTCAGGTGCAGCGTGAGCAGCATGACGAGAACATCATTAGGGCCAAGGCCTTAGAGGAGCACACTGCTAGACTGGAGGAGGAACGTGAGGCGCTACGTTGTGAGTATGAGGGGCGGATTAGGGAGCTAGAGGAGGCATTCGAAGCTAGAGTAGTAGGGGGAGAGGGTGGTCCGACAGAGTCCCTATGAACAGATCAAAAGACTTGATGAAGACCGTGAAGCCTTACAGAGGGAATTGTCCACGTATCATCAAGTAGTAGGGCCGACTCTTAGCTCGAGTCATTCGGCTGTTGCAGCAACAGCAACGGGTAGAGGAGGAGAAGCCAGCGAGGGTGAGGAGGGATAAAAGCAGTCAATGTCCAGCATGCGGTGGTAAGGAGGTAGCCACTTATTCCTAATTGAGGTATCGTTTAGCACAAGAGCTGACTGAGGGAGAGAAGGAGGAGCTCAGCATGTACCGCCACCGATATGGGGTTGAGTGTGCTGGTAGGCTCTAGCCTTCCCTTATGAGGCCTCTGATCGGCATAAGGTGCTACTGTTGGAGAAGTAGACGCTCTGAGGCACTTCATCATCAGCCGTAGTGGGTCGATAAGGAAGGCTCTCACTGAGAGGACATCAGTAGTCACTAGGGATGGTGGGTTCATAATCATTGAGATAGACCCGCTGGAGGATCGGCCCTCTTAGCCTTGGCGCGGTATCTAGCGTTCAGCTCCAACCAGAGTGGTCTACCTGACTTCCTGGACTACTTTAGCGGTCGCATCCTTGGGCTCGTCAGTGGCAGCGATGATGGGCAGGAGGCCAGCATTGACGAACTGCTCAGCTATCTACATGTCCGTCTAGTATCTCTCGTCTCTGTGATAGGGACCTTAGGTGGAGGAGGTCGTCCTCGAGGAAAGGATCCAGCCGACGGGAGAGGAAGAGCGGAGCATATCGAGCCCCGTGCCCGAGATGCGAGATGGAGTCTCGCAGACTGAGAAGAGAAGTGAGGTGGTCCGGGAGAAGCCTCGAGGGCATGGCAAGGATAGGGACGAACCCGATGAGGCCAAGGGTGACCTGCTGCGTGCTTACACCTCATAGGATGGTGAACTCAGAGTCCCGATTCGATATGCGGACAGCCTTCCGTGATCGGACGAGAAGGGAGCTAGTGAGGCCATTTAAGGAGGAAATCTTCCTGCTAAGGAAGGACAACGAGGAGGTGCCGCCGACGCTTCAGCCATAGTGGAGCTAGTCTTCTATCAGAAAGCCCTCCGTATGGCGGTCCTCCAGAAGAAGCTGGAGAGTGTACAAGCACAGTTGGCTGACTTGGTCAAGTCTGAGGACCATAACCTTACTCAACAGCAGAAGAATACGGTCGCTCGTCTGCTCAAGGCTAGTGATTTCACTAGCCAAGGCGACGATGACGACGACCTGCAAAACCTCTTGGATGGCGTGGACGTTCCGTGAGCTCTCATAACACAGCGGGGAATTCCCTGTTCTTCTTGGGTAAGGTATCGGGTTCTAGCCGAGGCGGCGGTACACAAATCGAGGCGTCATATGCTCTATTTCGACTCCAAGATCCGGCAAGCACGAGAGTCCGCCCGCAATGCAGCTAAGGCGAAGTGGTCAGGTGAGTTTCCATAGACTCGATCGGGTTTACTACTCTCTATAGGAGGAGAGCTCGCAGAAGTACATGACTCTCCTCGGGTGAGTTTATATCATCATGATGTGGAAAGGCGATAAAGTTCTCCCAGGAAAAGGCGATATTATCTGCGTCGCCCGTGAACCTGTCTTTCTCCCCACCCTCTGGATATCTCTGCAGCGTTGAGGAGTTGGAATCGTCTGCTACCGAGATTGATGCTCCGGTGATACGTCTGGAGTGTCTGAGGCTCTTGTGTCACGCTGTTCAAGTCAGCCCTACTCCTCATCGAGCTCCAGCGATGATCTCGAGGGCTCATCAGTCTTTGCTCGAGATGAATTAAAGAGGAGGAAGAGCCGTCTCAAGAAGGGTAGTGGGATTCTCTTGACTGGATGCTGAACCGCGCTCTCTCCAACCTCTCTGTTCTCATCTTTGTTGCATCATCCTTCCGTCCAACCTCTTGCTATGATGTATATCAGGGTCATTGACCCCGTGCAAGCATTCAGCTCTGGTCACGTTGAAGAGCCCTCGTCGACGTGGTCGTAAGCATCGACGCCATATGGAGCAGAAAGTCCGTCAGCTGAGGCGCCTTCTAGTCGACGTCGAACGTGGTGTAGCGTGCCTTTCCAGTGACACAGAGGATAATGATGATAATGATAATGACAATGCTCGACCAATCCTCCCACCCGTATTACCACTACAACACTTCCTCTCCTCATATCGACCTACTCAGCCCCTGCCAGCCCACTCCCCTGGCTCATCATGGACTGTATGGAAGCGGCTCGGCAACGACTCATCGAGGGACACTTCCCCGCGCTGGATGATGGCCTCACCTCGACGGGTGTGTTACTCCTCAATGGCAGTCTCCCATGGAATCTGTCAGGACCCTTCTCCCCACGGCTCCCCTTTACAGCGCCGGTCGAAGATTCCAGAGCCTCCGAGCTCGAATGAGCTAATGAAGAGGTAGATGCCCTTGAAGGCCTATCGCAGTCACTCTGGTCAGATTGGCCTCGGTGCCCAAAGCACCTGCTTACCCCCTCCGCGTGAGGGAGCGTCGTAAGCAGCCCAAGGTGCTACTACAAGGCCGATCTAGGTCCTCTATCGGGTAGGAGCTTCTATACAGACTGTAGCTCGATGGCCCCTATCAGTCGTACTCACCCTGTGCTATGGGTTGCTCCCAACGACTGCCCTTCTATCTTGAGGACGGCCAAGAGGGGGTCTACGGGAGGTGGTGTAGTGAGTCGACCCGCCACGACAAATCTGAGATGGGGGGCGGCCCCGGGCCGTAGAGCCCGGCTGTTGTTCAACAACACTTCCCCTAGTGGTTTCCTCCCGAGACCATTCGCCCCGAGATCCCCTTAGGACTCCCCTGTAGCATGCCCTCCACGGCCTGTGTCGTTTTCCTCATTCGATCGATTACTGTTGCTTTTATTCGTCGGCTGATCGTCATACTCACTTCAGCGTTTTTGAAGCCTTGCCCTCATGGAGTCATCCGAGCGACGGCCCAAGGCGAGCGCCCTATTCCCATCTCTAGAGTCAGCCCTGTCTCAGGCATGCAATGGTAAGTATATCTCAGCATGGACAGACAGCTCATTACCCTCCTATGCTTCCTCAGGTCATGGGAGCCCCTGCCTCACCGTCAAGCTGTTGCGCTCCGACAGCCTCCTGCAGACCACAGCTTCTACTGCTATTGTTACAGCAGCTGTTGCTAACAGATGTGTCTACTATGCTACGGGGACTCACAGGAGTACTCTAGACCGGCCTACCGCCTAGCCTCCTCATGGTCCTGTGTTAGGTTCTGTATATAGATGGTATCCCGATGACAACCAAGTGGAGCAGATCCAACTCCCCTCTGCAGCAGCAGCCGGGCAGGCTCGAGGTAGGCTTTCCGTAAGGCTGCCATGGGCCCCCATCTGGCTCCCTCAGGCTCCACCTCGGCATCGTTCGCTAACGTGTGCGCGCTCTTCCTCGACCCTGTATCGGCTTTCCACTGCATCATAGCTACGGCTAACAACATTAACTATTACGTTAGCTTCGACAGCCCCTCCGCTGTTGAGCTGACCAAGTAGGTGACCCCTCCCCCCTCTCCTGTCGTAGTCTTGTGGTCCCCTTAGGCTCCGTGGTCATCAGATCGAATGCGTCGAGTGGCCCGAGGCTTGTGTCACTGGTGATGGAGCGTTGACACAGACAAGTAGGCCTAGCAGCCACTGTGGTCGTGATGCTAGGAGGTTCTGCAGGTACCGGCGATGTCGTAGTAGGCACACGAGCTGGAGTGTTCTTCCTTTTGAGAGTAGCCAACGGTCGAGAGGTCAACTTCAGGCAGCTCATGGGTAGCCTCGGGCTTGGAGGCCCTCATCAGCCCTTCACCTCAGAACTGCCCCCATGGTCCCCGAACCAGTCCGCTATCACCGCCATTCGCATCTTCCAACCCCGCGCGGGCCCACCGCATTCATTATGCTGCCTCATCCAGCAGGCTCATCTACTGTACCCAATAGTCCCGTGCTCAACACTTCTCCTCACAGAACTCTCCTCAGCTTTGGCTTCACTGGTGGTCCCAATGTCGAGCACCTCTTTGCCGGAGTTGGCTCCGGTACCGTCGTCAAGAGGGACCATGTAGGCTCCACCTCCTGCTACTCGCGGCCCCCACTAGTTATGAAGGCGCTATTGCCGCCTTGAATAGCATCGGCGTTCATAGTAGATCGTCTAGAGCGCCACGTAGCGTAACGTTGTTGGGAAGTATCATTGTTCTCTAGTTACTCTATGAGACGCCCCGTGTAGCAAGGCCGGCCCTGGAAGGGTTCACTCTCCATGTAAGTTGCTTGGCATTGGATTGTGCCTTACGACTTAGCAGGTTCGAGCCACCGAGGGCCGAGTCATCTGGGCCAGCCCCTCATGCATGGTAGAGTTTGACCTCCCGCAAGCCACCTCCCAAAGCCGTCAGCCCGTCGTCGACTCCAAAGCAGCCATCGTAAGGCAGCCCCCGGCTTCCTCACATCCACCAACACCTGTCCCAATGTCAGATACCATACCCTACCCTCAACGTGCTGCCCAGCAAGCACAATGCCACGACTAGCACCAGCTCAGAGTATCCTAGGGCGTGCGCTCCTACCAAGTACAACCCATGAGTGGTCCTAGCCCACCAGTGAGTGGTCGCCTCTGTTAGGTATCACATAGTACTCCTGTACTCCTCCCGCATAGTAGCAGTATCCCGAATTGCTCCCTATGACATGGTGTGTTCCCTCAACCTACCGAGTGCCCAATATGGCAATGTAATGCGCGTCGCCTTAGGGATGGTTTCATCCCTGAGCCCTCAGGTACGGTCACTATTGGTCCAGCCACACGACTGTGCGGAGGTTGCCTTGTACAGCGATAGAAGAGTCTACGAGCTCCATTTCAATAACGAGCAAGATCAGGTGGGCCCACAGCGTCGTCGCTGGTCGTCCGAGATCCCTCACTGCAGGTATGGCGACAGTTGATTACCCGCAAGAGCTTCTCTGAGGCGTTGAAAGTGGCACCGAACGCAGAGGACAAGGCGTTGGTCGTGGCAGCGGAAGGGGAGGTGGGTTCCCTTGGGCGGCAGTAGCTGGGGAGACGCTCGATGCATCAGGAGCTCTTTCGATCGAACGACTTCATCGCAGCAGCCGACAAGTTGGCACAAGCCGGCACCACCGCCGTATCCTTTGAGGAGGTCTGTCTGGCCTTCATCTCACAAGATCAGCACAGGGCTCTGGTCAGTTGGGGGGTCTTTGCTCGCTACAGTTGAAGGTGTTGACTTCAGTTGAACTACGTCACCAAGCTGACTCGTAGTCTAGTCTATGGTGGAGCTCGACGGAAAGGAGTACAAGTCCCGGTCATGTTCCTGTGGGCAGGCCAGATGTGAGCCCCCGATACTAACTCAGCATTGCTCTCACGCCTGCTGTAGATACACCCTGTTGCTGAGCCGGGCATTTGCTGAGGATCCGAGGGATGACCACGATCAGGCCGCAGACCTCCAGCGTGATCTCATTGACCTAGTTCGGCTTTGTCGACCGCATCTGGACGAGGCGTGCATCCAGGCGGTATAAAGCATGTAGCTACTCAAGCCTCATGAGCATTTCCGTTGTGCTAGTTATATAAACTTCTAGAGAGCAGTGGACTCTACGACTCGACAGTGCTCGTAGCTGAGTCCCTTGGCGACATACGAAAGGCGGTTGACACGATGGTTACACGAGCACAGACTGAGCGAGTGAGCCATGCCTGGAATCAGCTCTATTAATGATCCCATCGAGTAGGCGTTGGAGCAGCTGTATCGGTATGATGCCACCAAAGAAAGGGACGATCTGATCTACGAGTAGGCATGTTGTATTCTGAGGGCTCACGCCTTCGCCCACGGAGTAATGGTGTGCTTTGTGCCACTAGGTTCTCTCCGGTACTCTTCCGTGCGCATCCTGAGCAGTTCATCACCTACCTGATAGCCGTGCCGAGGTCGGGGGTGGGGTCTTGGCAGACTGTGGACCCTCGTCGGCTCCTGCCAGCCCTCAGAGTAGCCCTAGCCTCTGGTCCGAACTCGGAAGTAGCAGGATGTCCCAGCAGGATGGCCGCGATAGCACACTGTCAGATACGCCGTTCGTCTGCTACCAAGTACCTCACTCACTGTTGCTGCTCTCCTGGAGGAAACCGTATAGTTCTTGGGCTGGCACCATACTTTCGAATAGACCCTGTTAGGTTTGTCTCGCACTATGCAGCTCATTGGGGGTGAGCCCTCGTCCTGGACTGCTCTGATGGACCTGCTGACCCAGCTGAAGGCGATGGAGCCCGATGAGGATGGGGAGGAGCAGGAACTCTGCCGGTAGGTTGCCCCTGATAGGATCCTCTATGATCTATTCTATTAGGTACATCAGGACTCAAGGCGAGATGCCGCACTTTGACGTCACCTCCGCGTTGAGGGTTTGCTACAGCATGGGGAAGACTAGAGCTCTCACTGTTGCGTACGGCGCCTTGCAACAGGACGGCGCTGTCATATGGCCTCGTTCAGGTACGGTCTTGTAGGGCAGTACAAGCTCGCAGTTGATGTAGCCTTGGAGCATGACGATCTCGATTTGGCCATCCACAATGCACAGAGGTGAGCACTAGGAGCTCTGCTAGTGACGCTTCATTCGAGCTGGTAGATGCCGGTCGAGCAAATCGGAGAAGAGGAAGATATGGTTGACTATCCTGAACTATGAGGCTAAGAAGGGCGATATGAATGCTCTGTTGAAGTTCTATCAGGAATCAGATGACGTAGGAGATTCGATCCCATGCCCAGTGGTATGTCCTTTTAGGTTCTCACCATCGCAGACGTGCTCAGTTCGATACCTGTGAACAGTAGCAATGGCGCTACGTTGGGTATGTTTAGGTCGGAGATTGAGAAGAGCCTGGATCAGTAGGGCACGATATACTCCTCAAACTGTCCATCGAAGTGTCCTCTATGGGTAGGTATGAGACTGACATACATCTCTTGAATATGGAGCTCGAACAGCATAAGAAGACTATGGATGTAATCGAATCCTACACGAGTCAGCGAGTAGGACTATCCGTTGTATGATTCAGGCTGTCGAGCGAGACTTCGGCGGTGGGCCGAGTGATGGCAGCAATGTTGAGGGTGGTCTTGGAAGATGTGTGATATTGTCGCAGACCCAGAGGTGAGCTGGTGATCTTGCCTGGACCCTGCTTCCGATATGTTGGTTTTTGACGCTTATCCTCGTGCAGGTGCGATCTTTGTCGTCAAATCATCTACTCTCGTGGGTTCTATGCATTCCTTTGTGGACACACCATGCATAAGGACTGTCTTGAGGAAGCAATCGCCTTGATGCCACCTGCGGTGAGTTATCTGCCCGGAGCTGTGGGAGAGTACGGTGTTGTCCTGTTCAGAGTGGTACGGACAGTCCCAAGGACCCAGCAGCTGACTGCTACATATGTGGTTCTAATTTGATGGACTCGTTGTTTATGCCGTTCATTGATCCCAACTACGATCGCAATGAGATGCGAGATTGGGAAGTCGGTATTGGACGTTGACGTTTCCAAAAACGGTTTTTTGTGTTCGAATGAGTGTACATACGTGGCGGCCACGCTCGCACACATGAGTAATTATCAACTACTTTCCGAAGCACATTCTTGACATATCATCATACTGAATAATTCTAGTAGATGGCCACAGGAAACCACTCAGTGATTCAATCAGGAAAGGCATGGGCAAGCACAAGTATCAAGAAGCATTCATCATCTATCTCTGAAGTGACATGCCTCGTGTTCGAATGAGAATCCTTCGGTTTTTCCTCTACGATGGGATCGGTCTTCAGCAACACGAGTCTGCCACCAGGAAGGGAGCTTAGGGAAGTTGAACATCGCAGCTGCTCCTCCTTTACGATACGTCATATCTACACTCACACCAGAGCGGTACGTCGAACAACATGCTGGTACGGGCTTGCAGTGCTTCAGAGGTTGCCGCTTCAACAGCACGGCGACGAGCAAGGTTCCAAGGAGGTATTTTTGTCCTCTCTCCCTCCACTCGATGTGTTCCTGCCGGCACCTGCTGGATCACCCCCTCGAGGTCAATGCATTGTGGATCATACATCGGCTCTGAAGGGGAGCACTGCTCGAGAGTGCTGTAGCTGTACGAACCCTCCATCGCCATCAATTTGCCACGGGCATCAAAACTTCTATCATCTGTGGAGGTAACAAAGGCGGCAACTTTTCTTGCGATACTAAAAAGAGTGTATAGCCATGATCCCACACTATGCCCACGTACATCAATGCGGGATCATCTCGACGTTTGAGCCATGGTAGTGCGCTCGGCTCGAGTAAGCGAGGTGCCATCTACACACATCACCACTCTGAGGGCTTCGGCTCCTCTAGAAGTGGTACATGAGAATCATGCCGTTGCATCTTTTGCCGGCGAGTCCCATTGGGCGGAGCGAAGCCCGGGATCGGTCCTTGTGGATCCCTTGGAGTATCAATCGTGAGAGTGTGAACCTACACTCATTGTAGACAGCTAGACGCTATGCAACTATGGATGCTAGGGTGCTCACTCAAACAGGCGACTCGAGAGTGCTTTAACCGATGAGAAATTGGCGTAGTAGACGATGTCCGAGCGGAGGGAGCCTTGGGCCTACCCGAAAGCTGTTTGTGTTGGCATCCGTTGAGGGTTTGAGATCAACACCACGTCGTTTCTTGTGTGTCCGGCTCGACATTGAAGGGGAAGTGAGACTGCATGATGGCTTTTCTATGCATTCGAGTAAATACTCCCGTCCTTGCTCCGACTAGAAGCTCAACACCATGTGGTTGGAGAACTATGATGATTCCGCATGCATTGGTCTAGAGATAGAGGATTCTTGAGGCTCTACCGCGCTTAGCAGTACTCCTAGGCGTCGCCTTCTTTGCTGAAGCAGCTCGCTTCTTACTGCTGGCATTGGGCTTCGTCCCTAATCACCCAGAGGCCCTCGGCATGAACGGCTACCTCCATCTATGCCACATTACCTCGATCGTCGCCTTCATTCTCGCCTTCGCCGTCTTCCATAATTACATCTTCAGTAGCAGCTTTCTTTGTACTGTTTTGGGGGTCAACAAAGTACAACTTCTTCACTCGCAAGCCCCTGATCAAACCATCTATTCGACGACCACTCGACCGCCGGCATTAAACCCAGCGGTGACCTCATTCTCACTTGAAAAAGCGGCTGGGGTCTTGGCCCTTCATCAGCGAACCCCGACTAGGGGGTTGGATCACACCGAGGAACTCCAACGTACAAAGGCACATTCCGAACCGAACCTGGTCAGGAGCAGTTGGTCAGCGCACGGTGGAGAGCATAGACCTTCATATCCTCCGAGCTCGGGGCGGGATCCTCGACGTCTTTCACCTTCTCACAGAAGCTGGTCCAAAGGTCTTCCAGGTCAATCGTCCGTGCATGCTGCAAATACTGGCGGTATCTACCAACGGACCCTCATGCAAGTGAGGACGAATCTCTCGACCTACACTATGGTGAGGTCGCTTAGCTTCTCGCTATACCCAGGGGGGAGTTTTCCACTCGAGCTGAGAGGCATCAATGACGATCCGGAGAAAGCGCTCATTTACTCTCGAGGGACCTCCGAGATGGACCTCTCCCGATCCTCTCCATCCACAATGGCGTCCGCTTCCCCCAAAGCGTCAAAGAACACATCCACATCTAGCACGTTCAGGCATGCACTGACCGGAGGACTGCGATGAGGCTACCAAACTAAAGCCTCACTCAGAGAGTTCTCCCGACTTGTCCCATTCGCACGCTGCAGCTCGCAGAGGGAGCAAACTGATAAGAAGAAAGACCATTCTCCATAGCGACTCAGCAATCCAAGCAGTTGCTCACTCCGTTGATATCACCGCTGCTCCCAGCGTTTGTCGAATAAAAGTGACGAGGTCGCTGACATGCTTTGTTAGTACTGATAACATATTGGCAATAAGAGGTCATTCATACCCCTATCCCCACCTACCTGTGGAAGCCTGTGGGAAGGCACTGCCATGGGGGGCCTGAGAGTATAGCAAGATGGACAGCATCATCATCACCACCTCGAGAGACCCACCACTTTATTCTGCAGGCTCTTGAGGAACATGATGATATCTCCCAACTCGGTCCCATGATGACCATCGAGACACTCAGGAGGCAAGATCCGTGAGGACTTCTCCAACCTGATACGAACATGAGTACGATGGGGGGAAGGAGTGGTACCACGAGGCCGTCCTCTCGACACAACTCTTGAACGTCACTGTGCTCATACCAGATAGCTTCTCAACGGCAATGCACATCCGCTCGATGTCGTTACGCAAGCCGACTTCATCTTCAGGGAACAGGTAGGGCTCGAGCCGAGCAGACCTACACACACGAGAGGGGTCCGTCTGGGCTAGTCCCCACAGCACCCCACTTGTCGGTATGCTTCTTCGCAGTGGTCCGTGCCAGGGCATCCCAGAACAAAGCCAAGGCAGCCACCTTACTCCTCTGCCTACAACATGATGCTCAACGAGAGCACGGGTTGCTGCTCACCCCAAGAGGGTTCCGAGATGCTTGCTAGCCTTGGCCTCGTCGAGGCAACCATCTGCTTTGGTGTAGCCTCTACAGCCTTCCTTTTTCAAATGGACCGCCAGGGCCTCTCTCGCCATCTTACTCAGTCCCGCTAGCCTCGACGCAAATGCAGATGATAGTTTCTTGGCTGAATACTCGACGCCATCACTACTGAGGTGAACTCAAAGACTCACCATCACCAGCAGCCCTAGTGACCACTAGAGGGTCGCAGAGCACAGACCACGGGTTGCAGTCGAAGTAATCCCGCACGATGAAGCAGATGGCTCGCATAACGTCCTGAGGGAAGTTGCCCAAGCTGGAGGGAGCGGAAGGAGAGTAGGTCACCTCGTTGCACATCCTGGAGTTCATGAACATATCTCGTAGTATTGCCACTGTCTGCTTAGATGCTATCAGAGGGAAGCCTAGGGCTGGCATCTGAATTTCTATAACGTCCATGAAGCCTTCGAACACTGCTGTACCTGAGGAGCTACAGTTAATGACAGTTCAAGTACCCCATCTCCTTCTTGTTGTTGATGATGAGGGAGGCATCCTACTGTCAAGCAAGAGGATCTCATCCACGAGCAACACTTCATCCATCTGCCTGACGAGGTCCATTACCCCACCGTCCGATGCACTCACACCCGAGACCCCCAGGATGACAGTGACGGGGAAGGCAGAAAAGCAACCAGGCATTCCATCGTACTCGCCCCTGACCTGGCTTGACACTAGGGTGACCAGTCCAAAATGCAGAAAGGCTCACTAGGTTGACCAGGAGCTCCATGAGGACCTCTATGGTAGCGAGGTTGGAAGCATCGGCATCCTCCATCATTATGACGATGGGAGGGTTGTCTTGTCTGAGGAGGAGTTGCTGCTAGAGGACGTCTCCGCACCTTAGTACACGTGCACTGTAGATCGATACCATTCCCTCAGTACACTGAGGTCGTTGAAGCCTTTCGATAGCAGGCCCAGCACAGCCTCGCTCACTGTCATCGTCAGGGGTACACCGCCTCCTTGGCCCTTCCCAGTGTACCTGCCCAGTTGAGTAGTGGAAACCAACACGACTGCCTCTGGTACCGAGCTGGCCTCGACCCGTCATCATCGTCCGAGTCGTCGCTATAATCAACATTGTTCTCTCGTCGAACAGTAGTATCTACCCCGATAGCCGATTTCGATGTACCCACGGCCGAGTCGGTCCTACTAGGAGTCCTGGCGTGGGATGCAGCTGGCTTGATAGGCGTGGCGGTAGCTCCAGCAGCGTATGCCGCGGTCCCTAGCGTCCCTTGGCTACCACTGGATGGAACCGGTGAGCTGTCACTAGATAGTAGACGACTGAGGATCCTCTTGATCTGACAAGACGTGTGCAGTCGGCCCAATAAGAACAGTAAACCTACGGCAACCTCGATGCTCTGAAGGTCCGATCGATTGAGCAAGACTTGGTAAGGCGTGACCTCTTTAGTGCTCAAGGCCTATAAGTCTGATACCACTCCTTGCTCCAATCGTTGGTCCTACATCTCCAAGTTGTTGAAATACGTATGTCCTATCAGCCGAGGAAGCCCCAGCAGTGCCCACGATAGTCTTAATCTTATTACTACATCCCAACAAGTGCGCGGTGTCGTCCACAGTCAGTGAGCTGAGATTTCATAGGCATACACGAGAGGCTGCCCAATGGTAGTACTCAATGACGTCCCTCCGTCCCGGCCTTGTATGCTTCCGCATAATCTCTGAGAACCTCTCCGACATCCACTCCCACAGTCGAGTCAGGGCTATTTGTCGGTCCTGATATCAACCATGGCGTTCTATTTAAAGGGATAGCAAGCCTCACTTTGTCGAAGTAAGCATCTCCTATTGCCGATGGAGTCACTACAGGGTGTAGCCTATGGGATCCCCAGTGCGAGGAGGCAGACAAGCTAGCCTCCTCAGCACCAGGCAAGCCGGATTGAGGACAAGACCTCCCTTGGGCTACTGGACCAGTCGACATGGCTGTAGCCTGAGGAGTGTACAATACACTGCTTACTTTAATACGTGCTTTTTGCGAACCGCATGAGATGTCGATACTAGGGAGGAATATTCATCGATAACTAGCATTCCATATCAAGATGGAAAATATGCACATGGTCAGCTGCGTATGTTCGTAACAATGTGAGAATTCTCAGGAACTTGTCGGGAAATGATGGCCGTCCATTTCTACCCCGATTCACATATAAACTTGTATGATTAGTGCGGAAGCTCAGCTATATATTCCTCCAACACTGCTCCCCGTGGGATCCCTACCCTTCTATCAGTCTTGCATGCTCTTATCGACCAACCTTGATGAGGCTGGTAGATCTCCCCTGGCTTGGGCCTAGGCATTGGAAGTGATACTCAATTCACTACCATCCCCCACAGCGACCCATTCCATTAACAAACACTCTCCTCAAAGTACTACTAGGAACGTGGGCAAGTCGGCAGGTATGTATTCAGCAACAACGAAACGATGTAGGAAGAGACTACCGACTAGGACGACTGTACATCACACTGAGAAACTACGAAGGCTTTGAACTTCTCATAGCAGCTCGGGAAGTCGTCGTTGATGAGCACTAGATCCCAGAATCCTGGAATGTCCCTATACCTGTTGATACCGTAAATCCTCCGAATCGCACAGCAGCATCCCCTGTAACCTACGTCATCTCTTTCCGAGCAGTCTCCAATCGTTTCTCTATCGCTGCTTCCGTCTCAGTCTTCCGATCACGTAAACGCTGAAGTGGACGAGCTGTTCGATGCACTACCAGAACATGCTATTGTCACCTTCTCGAGAACTTGCATGCTAGGTGGTGATATGAATACGTAGGTTGGATAGAAACCAAGATCAGTCGAGGCCTTCAATGACTCTACTCCTTGCACATCGATATCGAGGATACAGATCTCACCGTGGGATAGTACCTACCACACGCTCACCTTATGCTGAATCAAACGACCATCACACGACGACAGAGAATGCCGATGCGTTGGCGGAAGTTTATACAGTCTTACTTCTCTCACTGAGGCCTTGGAGGTACCGTACAAATTGCCATGGACTTCCGCATGCTCGATGAACTCGCCATCAGCCATCGCAGCCTCCATAGTGGGCCTGAGTTCACATCCGTAGACCACAGAGGCTGATAGCGGCTATGACCTGCTGGTAAAGTGATAAGACTTCCCATCAACCTCTCCAGTCCGCATGCCTCGAGTCGTATGGGATACACTGAAACCGAAGTGGCCAGGGAACCTGAGAAAGCGTTCATCGAGAGAGCTACTCTCAGAGTCCTCTCGTACTCCTTCAACAATCGTTTTATGAGGGTAGACTTCCCAGCACCTAGGGAAAAAACCTTAAATAGCCTTCAGATTCGCGACCATATCGAGGGTATTCACATCTCAATATTCCATAATCGTAACTACCCTAGCCCATGTACTACCACTCGGACCGCAAAGGACCAGTACGTCGTTTGGTTTCCTTACTGCTACTCCTCTAGTTGCTGTCATTAACCCTCTTCGTAAAACCTCGGAAAGGCCGGAGACCATCACAATCAGCTGCAAGACTCGTTTTTGAGAAAAAGAATTGTCCCCACTGCGAACACTGCACCAAGACAACGTCGTTCTATGATGAGAATAGTACAGGTTGAGAAAAATAGAAACTAGACATTCAGTGTTTAGCGGCAGACAGTATCAACGAGCTTCTGTCTGTCCATTTCCGCATCCTTCTTCGTGGCATTTTCCATGGTGTACCTATATGAACCTGCCAGTGGCCGTGACGATGAGGTGAAGGCCTTACATGTGAGCTAGGGAGTTGAAGCCTCTCCGGTCACCGTTGCCTGACAGAGTGTACCGAGTAAAGACACTGTTTGTTACTGTTATTACGAAGGAGATTGCCCGCATCACAGTTGAGTGGACTGTCAGCATTTGGTTCGGCTAGTAAGGAGAGAATCGCCATACAAACGTATGTTAATGTCCACGCCGGTGACCATCCCTGAACGAGGTAGAGTATTGATCATAGGCCCCACTCATTGAAATTCCCTACATCTCTTTTGAGAATGTCCAAGCATATTTCACCAGTGTTGTAATTGACATTAGGGTGGAATATCTTCGTAATCATAGTAACCTTGGGAGGCTCTATGGGATACATCGAACCACATTGTAGATGCAACACGAAGTTGCCACCTGACAATAGGAAAGGTCAGGATTCCTCAAGCAAAGAGTTCGCAAGGATGGCTTCTACTCCATTCGACTTGATTCGAGGAGAAACAACAGCAGAATGAGCCTACAACTCTTCTTGTTATGGCCAATCCTTGTTGATATTTCATTTATCACTGACTACACGAATTGGTATACAGAATGTATTGATAAGCAACACAATTGTTGATACCTCCATAAGCCCGGTCCGTCTTGGGCGGGCGAATGACTGCCACCCAATGCTCAAAGGACCCTCCAATAATCTCAAGATCGATATCCGGGTTAGGATGCTGACTAGCTTCCTTCAGCTCTTTCACGAGTCGTACTCTCGACATGGTTAAGGTGAGAGAAAACACTAAAGCACGGCGATAAACCCCAAGTTAGAAGTGATGATGTACCTAGTTGTGCAACTTGCATATATAAAACTAATACGGAAATGGATATTGACGAATCCAAGTGCATGTCTGTAAATGCCTTGGGCGCGCGCCGCAGAATTATGGTCGCATGATGCGATCATACTCCCGTCGTGCCGATCGGAGGAGTACGGAGTGATTTACGAATACTGAACAGCACGGAATGATGATAGCTGACGAGAAAGATTGGAATGCCATCCTGGGATGGATGACGGTTTCGCGTTGTCTAGTGACTAAGCCAGGAGGTCTATACCGAGATACAGAGGAGTGCGGACGGGTGTGCAAGGATGAACGCTAGCGGTTGGTGAATTGTGAATCTACTATGCTTGTATCCGGTAAGGATGCGGAGAAGTTTCGAGCTCTCATAAAAAGTGACACTGCTAGTTTGTGGTGGCGTGCACGATAGCACGCAGGCGCAGTAGAAGACAGTGTGGCAATATAGTTGCTACTACACTGAAGTGCACCCTCCCGTAGCACACGGATCCAATAGGATGCAATGGGGAAGGCGTTAGCGTCATTGCACCACTCAGATGATGCTTCTTGAGGCATCTGAGCTTCAGTAAAATTTCTGCACATCGTGGGGGGTGTTGGGACTTCGCGGCGACGTGAATAGGCAATATTCCGGGAAGAAAATCTCAGGGTGATACCAATGGAGATGGTGAGCGTAAAATTAACAACGGTCAGTGTATAGAGTACCGTTGGGACGGATCTCTACCGGACAGCCTTCTGGCGCCACCCTGTAAGTTGTCGTTCCCTGAACCGTCGTATTATATGAGTCGTAGAGGATGCATGCTTAGCCTGATCCACTAGTCTGCAGGCGTTCGGGGATTCACCCTATCATAATGGCTGCACCCTTCACTTCTCTTGTTCCGCATTTGAGCGTAGACCAGTTCTTAGTGCTATTGGATAAAACTGACTTTAAGGATAAGTCCTTCAAGATCCTGGGGGGTTTGAGCAAGCTCCAGGCGTTGGCGGGTCACCCTGCTGAGAAGGATCTTATGGCCTTCGCTCGAGTGCTTTCTATGGCGAGGAAGTACATCAAGTTTGGTAAATCTCTGCAGAGTTACCGCCAGTTGGATGCCGAAGTTAAACCTGTCGGTGATCTTCCTGCGAGTTACGTTAAGTTCGAGGAGTGGGTCGACTTCGTACAGTTGCTTGTTGAAGACCTCAACACCCTACACAAGGGGAGGTTCTTGAAAGCTTTGGGTATCCCCAACATACCCAGATTAGATCGGCTCGAGGACCAAGCATGGTGGCTATGGAGCGGAGTAAGTTCCTGCCTGTTCGATTCCTCGACATTTGAAGCATTTCTGGCGTCAAACATATCTATTGAGCATTTCAGCCATGAAACTCTGTTTTGGGAATTAATGCATTATCAAATCTCTATGATGGGTCTCCCTCAGTATCGCGATATCTCCTACCTAGATACATGTGTGTTCAGGTGGCTTGGGTTCTCTACTATGCGAAGTTCAAGGTGGCCCGTGAGAAGTGGTTGAAAGCGAAGTTGGACAGCTCGGATCCTAACGACGACGTTAAAGTGAAAGCCGCCTATGTTGCAATGATTATGCAGCTCTCGGCCCTGGTGAAGATCTCGTGCGAGTTCACCGAGTCAACGTTAGCGTTGGGGTATGTACCGATGTATCTCAAGATGAACTATCCGAAGGCTTTGAAAGTCCTTCAAGTACTGTGTTCATTGATGAGTGCGACAAGCTCCATGCATAAGCTGCTCATCAATCAACAAAAGCTCATGAGTAGTCGAAGCAAGTAATCCAGTGAACAACTAGATATTACACGATAAATAGATCTAGATATAACTATCATATTTTGTGTAGGAATGTTTTCATCATGACATCTGTTGGGGTTGCGCTGCTTCTGGGTGTGAGTGGGAGGCCGAGTGAGTAGGAAATAAACGAAACCAGTGGTAGCACGGGAATAACTCAACGATAATGATAATCGAGGTATTATTAAGAGAACGAGACCATCGCCGAATGCTAGCGCTCATGTGTCTTGAAATCATATTTTCTCGACATATCCCGCTAAGAGTGTGTGAGGCACCGTCATTATTGCGAAGTGGAATGCCGTCGTGTTGCTCTGAGATAGAGCTATTTCGACCCGCCCAGATCAGTTGGGATCTGCCTGATAACAGTAGTGAGACTCATAGTGCGGACTCTCACAATGGGGAACTGACAATGCAACACTGCCGTTAGACTATTTGAACTCGTAAAGCAGATTTGGATATAGCCCATAGGATGGTTTCATCGCAGTCTCACCAGACGGCTACTCGCACAACTTGGAGGTCCGACTGGATAGAGTCTTGCCATATGAGATACTCACAACGACTACCTCAACTGAGGATGGTCGTTCGCTGCAACGATAGCTTTCCTATATACTCGGTCCCCTCACTGTGTGGTTCACCTCATCGACTTCGGAATCGCTCTTAGCCCGAGCACTCCAATGGGTCTAGCCTCTCCCGGAACCTTTATAATCGAAGCCATAGTTTGCGTGTCTTATGAAGGTGGTCAACACTTGAGCATATGCCGGCTACGCCTTAGACCATCCGCAGCGAGCAATGTGAAGATCATGTGTGTAGGATTATCCTACGTGAACTTATAATGTTCCCGTCAACTTGACCGGCTTTCCAGCTTGTCTCAGGCTAGCAATGTGCGTGAAAATGATTAACCTCGCTCAAATGCCATTTCCGTCACAGTTTCCGAACTTTGTTCTGAGAATTCCTCTCTTATCATTGGGTCGGGAGCGTCGACTAGCAAACGGTATTTTGGCAACTTCCGGTGTAGGATCTCTAATCCTCTACTTCGGACGTTCGTGCGCCGTGACGCTATTCGATGTACCAACATTACTTTCGGATTGTGGACATGAAAACCACCGATCGCCAGTGTGACTGGGCGGATATGATATTCTATGTTTCAGCTAACCTATTGTTCCGCCAAGAGAGTCCAACTAGTGACTATCCCTTGGCGGAGAGAGTGACGCTCCGGCTAGTGCTTACGAAAACTTGAGCGTGACTTGAGGGCGACTGGTGAGTAGCTCACTCAGCGACCAGACGGATCGCGCTCGAGACGCGCTCAGCATCGTTTCTCTATTGCAACGCATACCTTCCATCTAATGAGCGGGGCTCATTCTCCACTAATCGCGGGGGATTGCCTTGCGATAACTTATGGTTGACTCAGAGGGAGTCCAGCATGCTGTCTTACTTATTGTGTGCTCGCGTGCAGTCGCTGTGAGGCATCGGTAACATCTCATATTCGCTTCCTTGGGACGGTCGTACGCGCTAATTATAGCATCTGCAACGGTTGTCTTGCTTTTGGGGATGATTTGATTCTCTCAAGGTTTCGCATTCTGGAAGTGGCATCAGGTTTGCCTTCAAAAATTCACAGTTTCGCTATGAACGAGCCGGCCAGGCTATCCCACATAGACGAGAGGCTTTTTCCATCTCTGAAACCCCTCTCAGGGAACGCCTTGGTTGGTGTCCTGATTCAGAGGAAGCGATCCACAACTAATGAGCTGACAACCCGTAGGGTTAGTCCTCGGTTTCAAATGAAAATTGGGGAGGTCATCCACCACTATGAAGATAGTGACCTTCTCATCGTCCAATACCGAGACGGCTCGCGGGAGGTGAGTCTGATGCATCCAACAACTTCACCCATGTTACGTCTCCTCTGCCTTCTCATTGCTTCCACCGGCTTCTCTACCAACCTTGAGCATGCTCGGGGGTGGCTTTGTCTCTCACTACTATCCCCTCGGTATCAGGTTCTCACTGAGCACGAGGTGAAGGAGTTCGCACTCCCTGGTAACGCCTACGTGATGATGGGGTATGACAAGCCCTCGCTCCGCACAAAACGAGGGAGCTCGTCGTCTACCGAAGCATCTGGCAAGCCGTCTGACGAGTCCCCATCTAAAGCAGTGTGAGTATCTCTTCATCGGGAGTTGACGTTGAAGCTAGACACATCGCATGTGCTGCGATGATTTTTACTTGACCGTATAGGCGTTCCTCACGGGGGTCCGCCAGGCTGGCTTCTTCCTTACATTGACACTCTTTGATTCCTTCGTCCATGTCTCAGGATCGCTACCCCAGGGAATCCGAGGGTCGATAGCAAAGATAGAACACCACCCAACGTGGCGATGACTCCCAAGCCCTTGACGAGCTCAGCAACTGCGAGAGCATCTAGGCCGTCTAAGAAAAGAAAAACTTCAAGTCTCCCAACAGCACTTCTGGAGAGTGAGTATTATGAATCAATTGCTGTCCTCCTGGCCCTTGTGATTGGTCCTTGCCTGGAGGATGTCCTTTCAGCGCCGGCTCGTAAGTCGTCTCCCTCGTCCTCTACGGGTCGTTCGGCAAGTCCACCGATCTTCTCGCCTGACTACAGCGGTTCGCCTGGGACGGACATGCATGCTAATGACGAAGTGCAGATTCTCTCGCCTGCCGACGATGCAGAAATCGTCACACTGGAGGACGGCGATCCCGCGTTGTCTCGCGCAGGTGGGTTCAACCCTCACATGTTGCCCGTTGCCATATATCCGTTCCATAGGTGCCTTGAATTGTTACTACAATCCTCTGTTTGTGAAGCACATAGGTGTTGGTCCAGACACGGCTGGTCAATGGCTGAGGCACTCTATCTTGGCCTTGCGTCCCTCGATAAATACTGGTCGTGTGAGACTCATCACCAAACCGTCCGCTAGGGTCTCAATCAAGGACATTGCTGCCGTTGGTGTGCACTCTGAAGCATACCTGCAAGGCCTTGGTGCTGTTGACAAATGGCTCAAGGGGAAGTCTCATGAGCTGAAGAGAGAAGTCGTCCTCGACCTTTGTAGCGATGCTTGTCGAGACATAATGAAGCAGGCCACTGGCCGGAAATTGGGGCTTGCCCTCAGTCCCCGTGAGTGCATCATGGACCGCCACACTCTGGACGTCGGTCTCCTCTCATGCGGTATGATGAGAGACGCTCTTATCGAACTTCTCGGAAGACGTGACTGTTATGATGGTGGTCGGTCAGAGCGTGCGCCGAAGTCGACACTTGTGCTCACCAGGACAACCGGTCATCAAGTTCCCGTCTTCCTGGGGCCTGAGGACGAGCGGGTTATCTCTGAACACCTACGTTGTGAGTCGTGTGACCGATCAACAGATGAGAGCAAGATGCTCGTGTGTGACAATGATGCATGTCAGAGAGGCTATCATATTGGGTGCCTTTCTCCCCCTCTATCATCGGATGTTCTGAAGGACCCCAATTTCAGTGAGCAGCAGTGGTTTTGCCCTCACTGTGAAGGAAACATATTGCACGCTGACGAGGAGGAGTCGGACAGTGAGAGTGAGGCCGAAAATGAGCTACTTGCTTTGGACCTCGATCTCAACAAGCACGGTGGTCCAATGAACGTGAAGCCAGGGGACGAGGTCGCCTGTGGTGGACATTTCATCAACTCGGTTGCTTTTGCGATCAAGAGCGTTCGTGCATCCCGTAGGGTATCAAGGGTCGCGATCCTAGACTTTGGTCTGTACCACGGCTGTGGCAACGAATGGTTGTTTTACCGAGATCCGAGTGTACTTACTATGTCCCTCCATCGTTATGGTAGAAATAGACGGGGAGAGACTATACTACCCGGTACGGGCTCCCACAAGAGACTCGGCGAGAAGTGTGCTCTCGGCAAGAATATCAATTTGGAGGTTCCCGCAGGCTGGGGTGATTTTGAGTACGTTTCCAGTGTCCGCGAGATTTTGATTCCAATTCTGCAGCAATATCGACCAGAAGCGATAGTTTTGGTGACAACCTTTGATACGTTGGATTCCAGCAATACTCAGCGTTGCTATTTGAGCAGAGATGCTGATTTGAAGCTCACGCCTGGTTTTTTCGAGTGGCTCCCATGGGCAATTAGAACTTCCTTGCCGGAAGCATCAGTCCTGGCCTCAGTGGAGGGTGGATATGATCCCTTGCGGATGGGTGAAGTTATGAGGTGTTTCTCGGCTGGTCTTGCGGGACCCACGGGGGGCAAAGGAGCACCCGTCGAGTTCGAGAAAGCGACCGAGGAAGCCCAAACTACTAGAGTAAGATTAATTCGTACAATGCGATAGTTTGTCATGGTTCGTATGTTCTTAGGCCGATTGGGAGGCTCATGTGTCCCCTCAAGTACGGTTATATCGCTCAGCTGGATGGAAACTGGAGAGTCCATCTGCCAGCGGCGAAGGACGGAATTGACTTTCGTTCTCTTGCCTTCGATAGCCTAGCAGTGAAGTAGATATATGGGACAGTGCTCATAAGGCACCGTCTCCCTCTTTACCATTATATAATATTTTCCCGACGGATTTCACCCGTCATCAGACGTTACTTCTAAATCAAATGCCTAACCTCTTGCCTTCATCATCAACACACTGTCGACAATCTCTGTACTGTCTGACGTATAATATTTTGTTCAATACCAGCAAATGGATAATGTATGTGCCGACGCTCAAGCTAGACGCCAGCTCGAGTTTATAGTAGGTCAATTGTTGAGTCTGTTCGGCTAGATTTGTCTGATGGCTATACGCCGCGACAGGAGCATGGTTGGTGAATCTCCGCTGTTGAGTACAATGCACTATTCGCGAATCTATCTTTATACTCGCATTGACACTTGCATACGATATTCACCCATGATTGACACTTGCATATGATATTAACACGCTCACCTTACCGAGTCATCGGTATGAAACTGCCGTCGCCCATTGTTCAAACTATATCGTTTGGGTTTCCGGACCAACCTATCATTTAGCCAGTGGAGCACCAACTAGTTCGAGCATCCTCGTCAGGCGAACCTGGAATTCCCATGATACACACCGCAAGAGGCGCTGGTACTGTCGCATGCTCTCTATCACCAACGCTGATTCATCATGCCGGGTGTATTCAACATAGTAGTCAACTGAGAAAACGCTGAAAATACGTCTGAAAACGGGCTCATCGATAAAGACCTGGGTTGATAGCACATTCATGGTGTGGCAAATTGTGCTGCCTTTAAAAGCATGCATATCTTGTAATTCGAGATCATCAGTCCCTCAAGTCAGGTCAGAGGTGCCGTGAACTGTTCTGAATGTGCTAATTACCCTTTGAGGAGGCACTTTAGTGAAATGACTGTATCTTTTATTACGCCAAGTCTCACCCACCAGTGATGTAACATCACTGATGCTGTCACATAAAAGAGAAGTACAAAGTGATATAACATTCTTCTTCGAACCACTCTTTCAGACTGGTTGCCCAGAAGGTCTTAGACTGCATAGAGTCGAGTCACAATCACCCCATTCATCAAGTTTAACGAATAACGCAACAGACTATATCTTTGTAACCGTTGATGACTTATGAAAGAGACAGCAATGTTAGTAGCATAAAATGCCACCCCATACTTCAGCGTACACAATATCCAACGAAGACACGCCTTATACTCCGCAAAGCCACGGTTCAAGCAGCGAACAGAGAGAGACGACTAAGAAAATACTGGAATTGATGTCGATTATACTCCAGAGACATTTTCGTCAACCGATCAATGCGAGCGAGTCAGGCAAAACACCAAAATAGCATCAACATTACCGTGACCGCTACGCAAACCTATCCCAGTGCTTCTTCATCGAAGTAGCTACTCATAAGTTGCTTTCGTAGTAATAACTACCAGATGTTGGTAACACACGAGAGGATAACGCGGACTACAATATTATGGACGGATAGACCTCTTCAGAATCATCATCTTGACTCAGATCGAAACAAGAAATTATCGCGGCAAATATTATCGATACTCAAACACCATACAGTCCTGCCGATCATTTCGACTCAATAACCCTCGCACAATGAGATGATAAACGACGTCATTAGCGGCAGCAACAGTTGTCGATTTTGCATAGTAACGACAACAGACGTTCACGAAGATGGGAGATAGAACACACTCATGATGACTGCTTAAGCTGGCAAACTGCCACGGTTCCTCAACAACACATATCATATCATCTACTAAGTTATAAAGGAGGAGTATCTGATTGTTTTCAGTTACCCACTAGGAATCGCGTGTTGAACCTTAATAGCAGCAGCATTAGCAGCAGTACTGATAGCTTCATGGTCATCATAGAAATACCACCAACGCGATCTCTCTAGAAGAAATACTACACTACAAGACCAGTGGAGTTGTATCATCATAGGTCCAATTGGCAACTGAGCTGCTGCAAATAGACCTTCATACAGAGGAATGCTACTGGAGCCAATCCAGTAGCTCCAAAGAGACAACCAATTCGTCGAACTTTATCGCTTGCACTACACCACTGTCTTTAGAGGCGTCACCTTTGTCTGTGTTGAGCTTGGCCGCATCGAAGTCGACATAGAACGCATTACCCATGAGGACCTTTGTACCACTACACAGGTCACCAATACTGATACGGAACTTCATACGAGCTCCTTGAGGACAGTCCAGCTCTACAGCAACACACCCAGGAGCCGATTTGCCGTTGATGCCGAACGGGAAGAACTTGAACTTCATCGGAGGACCAGGTGTGAAGTCATCGAGGGGCAGTCGAAAGGTTGCACTAACCAAGCCTCCACCAGGGGCTACGGTCTTCAACTGATCACGGACGGCTCCCAAGTTCCAACTAACTTTACGAAGTTGCGCGTTGACACGTACTCCTTGTTGGAGATGGGCATTTCTGAAGAGCTGCTCGATACTGCTGGTGTTAGAGCCGAAGGACTTGGACTGGATCGAAGATTGGGGAGACTTCTGCTCTTGCTTATTATGCGGTACGAATGGTGGCGCAGTAGCAGACAGCGAAGAATGGCGAGGTACGAAGGCGGGGGCGTTAGCGGACAACGGAGTAGTGGGATGACGAGAATTGTCGTTAGACGAATGCCTAAAAACAGAGATTGAGACAAAGACAAGGAAGTCAAACTTACTTGGCCGACTTATCACTGCTCTCGCTATTAGAGGGTTGATGGGTGAGCATGCCACCATCACTGGTGGTGGCTGCCTCCATCTGAGCTTGGGCGTGAGCGAGGAGACTGGTGAGAGCGATTTTCTGTTGTTGCTTCGTTGAAGCATCTTCAGGCTTCTTAGGACTGCCGATGTGTAGCTGCTTCTTGATCAAGGCAGTAGCGTCGACAGCAGGTGCTGCTCCGGTTGTTGGGATGGAGGGGGAAGCCATTACTAAGCGGGCGTCCATGGTCTCAATAGAATTGAACTTGCCATGCTCATCTTTAATTTCCCATCTAAATCCAGAATCAGACTCGTTCACACGTTTCACGCACCGAGCCACGACAGATAAGTTACCACCTTCAGCCGAGCTCTCGTCTAGTGAGCCCACCACCCAGCCAGCCAACCCCTTCCCAGGAGGTTCAGGGCCCCCTAGTTCCGGGTGACCTTCGCCATAACACATGATTCTCTTGGGCCCGTCGGAGTTTCCCACAGCGATTTTTGTATAGCAGAATTGCCACTTCTTGTCGAGGTTGTCCTCACCGGAGGGTTGAAGCACATATCCTCCATTGACATCATCAGCGTGAGGACCAGTAGCACCAGTTAGCTGAACATGGCTCGGGAAGGGCACACCAGCGTTACCGGGGAGGTGGGCGGTGGTAACGGCAGCTCCAGCAGGCTTACCAGTAGAGTTATGAGTAGTACTCGCAGCGACTAGAGGCATGTGATTTGCTCGATAGGCTTTATCACATCAACTAGAGCAACACACGGTCCCTGTATCGAGAGAAGCCAAACCGAACACGCGACACAAGCTAGTAGACAACGCAGGATCAATCCGAGGGGAATGTGAGAAAAACGAAGTTGTCACGTCTATACATAATGAAACCTACAGTCCAATGATTCAAGGAAAGCGGAGATGAACGAGAGCTAGGACTAGTACCCTATGGTAATGGGTGAGGTGATCGATTATCACATTGACCCAAAAGAAATCCCAAGATTGTCCCAACGAACATGGTCAACAACTTCTGATGTATCCAACCCTCCAGGGGCCGTATAAGTACGTCTCGACTACCTGCTTGAGGGGCCGCACTCAGTAGTTGAACCCGAGTATCCAAGGAAACAGCCAATCGCGGCGAGCGAGACACTCTCACAGCGGAGCGAAGTTCAAATCTGCGGTTCACTATTTTCTGTCACTTCGAGGCTCGGATTCTTGGACCGTCTAACGTGCCTTTTTTGAGTTCCTTGACTAATGGCATCTCTCGAAACTGTGAATCCTCACTCCTCCAGCTTTGTGCCGAAGGTGTACGAAGCACCAGAAGGAGCTTCACCGAAGGAACAGTCCCTTGCAAAATGGAAGTACTACGGCGAGCCGTTTATCTCGTCAGGCCGAGCGTGGTCAGTGCGTGTCCAGCAGCCATTGGTTAGGTCGGCAGTCGGGTGTCCTATTTATGAAGATGCGAAGCCTCGCCTGACGTTCGAGTTCAACTATCACGATTTCGTATTGGCGGATGTTCGACTCATGCGCCTGCAGGACAGTGAGGATGGTGTCCGTCTTGAACTCTTCTATGATGGAGAGATCGCTGATGTTGGTAGGCCGCGAGTTCAATTCTCTGCTCCTGCATTCCGGATTAGGCACCGACCTTGTGGGATTCGTCAACGCCATTCAAGCATCAGTTTCAAAGGGTTTGCAGGAACGGAAAATGCAGAGGTTCCGACACATGCTCGAACGAAAGAATGCTGGTCATGTCGAGGAGTGGCAGAAGTATATGAAAGAGGTAAAGCCGAGTTCAACTGTGGGTACTGGTAGTGAAGTGTCGCTTGTTTGTAGACTAATGAAAAGGGCGATGTCGAGATTAAGTTGGATATTGATCTCAATGGAGCCACTTCGGCAGAGGATGATAATTCTCCTTTCCGAGAGGCTGGCTGCGTGCTCTCATTCGTGGTACTACTTCCGTTTGTCATACATTGGGACCACCAACACTGCTTTGTAGGCGGTATCAGTGACAGCGTCGCCCGGCACGGCAGACCTTTTGGGGGAGATATGTTTTCCTGAGTGAGCCGAGGTCGTTTTATGCCATCTCGATGTTCTGTGTGGTTGAGGTACTTTCTGGATAAGGACTGCTCTGAGCGCAAGGCTTTCATGGACAAGCAAGATGAGGCAACATTCCCACGCTGGCTTTATCTCTTCTTAATTCCAATTGTAATACTGGCGAGTTCCCGTCCTATCTCACCGTTGGTCGCTCCTTTGTGACGTGATAGAATAGAATTCGCCTTCAAATGTCTCTTTCCCTTTTCAGGCCATCTGCTTTGTCGCCGTCGTTTTTGCCTGGAGTAGGATTGCGCAGGTGTTGTATGACAAGTACTTCATCGCCAACGGGGACTTGCCTGACATGGGCACTTCTTCGGCTGCCTTGAACTTCACGACTGAGCTATGATGGTTTCTCTGTTCCTGCTGGCCTGCACTCAATACCACTTGTAATTTCGTAGCTTGTAAAGCCTAGCATACATCACCGCTGTTCAGTTGCACCGTTTCGTGTACTGAGTCTTGTCTCGAGTTGTGTCGTAGTCAGAGGTGTGGTATTCGGGAGGCTCGAGATAAGAATGTGGATGCTCGGCCCAGCTTGCTTATGCTCATGTGGCGATCTCCATGCCCTACGCTGAGATGCCACTTGGGAGTGTCCCCCTATTTACGAATATCGACGCGTCAATATGGCTATGTCGAACCAAAAGATCCGACGCAGTTGGCGGGTAATGACTATGGGAGACCTCAAGGCACGAGGCTATGACGCTTAGGTCTTTCGGGCCCTTATGTGGCCCCACGCACCAACATGACTCAACAGTCGGTCCTTGATACGATGCTGCCGAAAGAGCTTAAGAAAATGGACTTGACTCGGTAGCCTCGATTTAGCGTTGAGAAACTATTAGTGGCATGCAGGATCTACCAGATGATACCTCCTGGCGGTATGTCTGAGTTCTTTCTTAAACGTCTCCATAAGGCGATGCGGAAAGGGGGCAATCCAGCCAGAGTAGGCTAGCAGAAGTTTTGGTCGTGGATCATACCTATAGGTACTTGGGCTCTACAAACAATACCAAAGACGAGAAGATTACCCCTCGATGGAGTTCCTAGTCCGGTACTAACGGCAGCAGCGGTCTACTGATCGTAAAGCAGAGGATGACGACTGTATTCTGTAGGTGTATGATATGCCTTGGTTATTGCTTTGATTGGCACTCCTTCTGGTCGGTTCGGGACCGACAAGTCCTCACGTCTACGAAAATGTTCCGTTTTTTAGCCTCCGACCTGGTCAGTGGAGCTGATAAGGTACTACTGTGCCTTGGGATGGCGACCAGGTTGAAGTTGGTGTATGACCGGCTCAGATACGCCCCCGCGACCATCTGGGTCTGCTGTATGCCCTGGCGTGTCTTCACTATCGGCCGCCAGCTCTGGTTCCTATTATACTACAGGGGATCGAGAGTGAGCTCGTCGAGTATCGTCTACGCTAGTTTTAATTGGTATCAGGTAATATATCCCAGTACCGTCTAGAGGCTCTGGCCAATGCTGCACATAGCATGGCAGTGCTCGGTCTTGGTGACAAACAGGGCGAAAATAGGTTCAATTCTTTCCGGGGAGGGGACGGCAAAAGACGTAGTGCTATGGAGAGGTTGCAGAACGGTTGAATGTTGGGATTTAGACTCTAAGGAGCTGATGGTGGTCTACGAGTGTTACAACAAGGATTTCAGCGGCCTCTTGGAGCGAGTTGTGAGTGAGGCATTTGTACGTTATGGCAGTATACCGGAGGCTGGATCCATCAACGACTGGGCGCAGTTGGCTTATGCTATGACTTTGCACGGAATGTAGACCGGTTCACATTATCGGCCTAACGTAAGGGCTATCGGCCAGGTACGATCTCCAAGGTCCTTCGGGTGAGTTCATACTGCCTGCTTTCTTGGCTAACGCTTGCAGTGGGATAACGAGTGAGAAAATTGCAGACGGCATGGGTAGGATGGCGCTGATGAGTAAGTTTGATGTTCGTTGGGTAGGTTGGGCCGGATACCATTTGTATTTGACCTTGTACTCATTGGACGTCGAGAAGCCTGAGGTGGAAATCCCAGCGAAGAAGGCTGTGCCGATGGAAGTTCAGTTGAAACTGCACACAACGTGGCTCCGGAATGTAAGGAGCCGGACAAATGGTATCGGGAATGAGATTAGCAGATATTGCTACCGGCCCAACCGCAAGGCTCAGAGAAGCTACAGCTGGACGTTGACGCAGCTTTCAAGCGCACCAACACTCAAGCTCTCATCAACTGTAGTGTTGGACGTCCAGGTGCAATCGAGCCGCCGCTCGGTTCCTTTGTATTTTCCATTTCGCAGACGATGAGCAGCATACCATATTCGCTGGCCACAAACTTAATCCTGGAATAGCATTCGAGTACGACTATCTGCACCCAGTTGCGCCTGATACGCCTAAAGTGAGATGTGTCACGATGAGTGTGCATTCATTGATAGTCGTCTTGTTAGGTTTCTGGGATAGTAGCGCATAAGCTACGGCTTATGCGACACTTCGGTATCTACTCTGTTGTGGTGCATGACTGCTTCTGGAGCAAACTCACGGATGACCAGAAAGATGAACAAGTTGTAGTGTTACGAACAAAATTAGGGTGAGTGGATTCCATCGTTGGCGGAAGAGAGTAACGTTATCGAAGCTCAGTTACATTCACGATAAGGCGATGGAAGATAGTGCCGTGCGAGATCATCGCCAATCTCGGCATCGAGCGTCGCCACCCAACACGGGCTTGCCTTACTCAGGCGATATCCACCCGGTACCGGAACAGCAACGTGCTACCGCTAGGAAATGACATGTTTCCTCAAGTGCTGAGTTTCTGTAACTTCCCTTGTTTTGCGTGAAGTTACAATGCCAGATGTCTCTGACTGAGTCTTGATTATACAACAGACTGAAAGTATCCGTTTGTTATGAAAATTTCATAATGAAATAACAGTTGATTTCATAATTCACAGTCAAAAGTTGAGTCATAAATGAGAAAGCGTTAGGTGATCGGGACCGACCAACAGGATTCTAGATCCACTCAAGCTGCTGTAGTCTATCGGTCTCCGATAATCCCTGCGATATGCGTGTTTCGCCACTTCTCTCTGGACACAAGAATCTCACTAGTAGAGGAAAAGAGGCATCGACTCATTCATTGCGTCACGTATGGCCTCATTCCCAGTGGGATTCTCCCACCCTATGCATCCCAGTGAGATGAGTGCCTAACTCATCGGCGGCTGGGAGGTAGCTGAGCTGACGAAGGTGAGAGCAGAGCAGGAATGGATTTGGATTCGATGGGGGCTCATTCGACTCGAACAATTCGACGGTCCTCGCAGCGACCTGGCGGATTGTCAGGGTAAGATCACTTGTATAAAGTGGCACATTAGTTGTTGTTCAAAAGGATGCCTTTCGACATCCGGCTTAATGAGATTCCCGGTTATTGCCCGTAAGGGGATAGCAAAACGGGATCATTGTGTCAGAGCCGAGACCAAGATTAGTCATCTCGTTCTCGGTATGCGATAGGTAAATAATAATTATTTACTTCAATTATTGAAGTAGTAAACAGTGGTCACCAGTCACTGTCGGTGACGGAGACACTCTTTTGGGCACAGCGTGTCCTACCCAACACTGTATCTATATGTATAGATACACAGTGTTGAGTAAGTCGAAACTGTTTCCACACGCCTTACTATATTCGAATGCAGTTCATTGGTCTCCGTGATTTATCACTGATAAATTATCAGAACCCGGGGAACGTGAAGCGATGTACCCTGGCTAGGATCTCTATAGTCTGCAACGCTGAGCGTGCCTACGTATTAGCGCTCAAGAGTTTCTTGAAAAGAGGTGATTGTGCTGTAACTTACCTATTCACGTTCCGTGATTGAGGGATTTGGCCCTTGCGAGAGCTGCCGTCGTCGAGACTGCCGGTTGTAGATCACCTTCTTTGGTTACTTTGCTCGGAAAGATTTTGCCGAGATGTGACGTCTCCGTTAGATTATAGTATGACCATCATACCCAACATACTATACTCTTTCTGCCTTTAATATCGATCTAATAGATCGATATTAAAGGATAGTATCCCGTCCTCGGTATCGTTGTCGCAGGGAGCACTCCCTACAGAGAACTTCAAGTCTGTTTCCGGAAGATCAAGTCCCGCATCGATATCATATCGTGCAGGATGGTTGAACCATCATGGTTTCACTGTGTTCACAGACAATTTCTGTTGCGGCAGATTCTCCGACAGCACGCGATCTACTGAAGTCGATGCGTAGGGTATCCAATATCGGCTCCTGATGTGCAGCTCGTATACGTTACATCAGAACGTCCGCTTTTGACTTCATGCTCAACGCAAAGCTCTACTTTGCCATCTGCGCGGTATTGGAGGCTCCAATTTGGAGCACTTTCCGCTCGTTCGAGCAATCATTTTATATCTCCGGAAGGGAATCAGCCTGATTCAATCAGGAGCTTTTGAGGAGGCAGAGCGCGGAAAAAGCTGAAGTCGATGGAGGCAAGGATGCCAGTCCGACGACGTCCAGAAGCGTCTTGTCGTAAGACTCTCATGACGCTCTGTGCGTCAAACGCTACCAAATGTTGAGATGCTACAAAGACCGCTCAGTGTCACGGTGCCGATAATGGCTCGGTAACCTCACTAACAGAGGACTTCTGGATCAACTACACCAGTCTCTTACGACACATTGATGGCTCTTGGTCTAGTGACGAATCTTCGGAAAAGGAAGGAGTCTCCACTGGGTCGATCCGCTCCGGAAGGAGCTCTTCTTCAGCAGCCGAGGCTGTCTGCTGAGGTTGGACAGCGATGTCTGCTGAGGTTGGAGCGGTTTCGCTAGAGTTGACCTGTATTCCAGAACAATACAAGACTATCACACCATGTGATTCGCCAGACCTAAGACTTAGAGTCTAAAATTCAGACGTGGTCGAGCTGGATGCTGCTGATTCTGTCTAGCGGTATGATACCGCCGGTATCCCATTTGTTTGGCGATAAGATTCAGGCATGACACGCACGTACATTCCGCATTATCAGTAAGGATCTCCAGGGCGGATATTTTCAAAGACATTTCTACGAGTTGAGTTGAGCTATATACGTCTGCTCTGAAGCGGAATATGAACTCTTGAGCGAGCTAGTCTATGAGGCTACGGCTGTAGTACTAGTACGATAGCCTCACGATGAGCCTCCAATGGCCTGGTGAAGCATCGGCTGTATAGTGGCTGGCCGGATTCCCTCATCATCAATAAATCAGGGTGTCGGAAAAGGGGTTCCAAAACGGCCGAAAGTTTCAGAGGAAACTTTCCGGGAATTTTCCCGAAAGTTTCGGAAAGTTGGGCAACCCACACTGTGGGTCTCCGTCGCACGGCGCTTTCAAGGATGTGGCACGCCCCAAGACCGTCGTCGGTGAGCCTGACGGTTGGCCCTCGGCTCTGATTATCCTGAGGCGGCAATGGGTGTTCAGGAGTGCAGACGCACTTGGTTATGCACCAGCGATCGTTTTCTGGGGACTTTGCCCAGCTACACAGCTTCGCTTCCAATTTTGTCCTATCTGGTCACGCGCAGAATGCGGTCAGTATGGGGGCTATCTTGAGAGTGAGACGAGGGGCCACTCTGCAATCTAAAGTGGATATTTTTAATGGGTTATCAAATTTCGCCTTATCCCGTCGTCGGGCCTTGTACCAAAAAACCGTCGATCACTGGCGCGAGGAGACACTCTTCCGGTATGACCCGAGTCTGAAGGAATTGCCAGATTCCGAGCTTGCCATCCTTGATCCAGGGGGCCGGATGACCTATTACCTCTTGCGTAATAGGTTTATTACCGATTATCAGAGATGCAAACCCAGTTTGCTACAGGAACTCTCAGCTCACAAGGTTGACGGAGTCTCGAAGCTCGACCACAGCAGAGCTGCGTCGAAGAAGCTGACGATAATACGCGCTGGGGGGCTACATATGCTGTAGTATCGACGGCAATAATGTCATACATAATATCGGTGTCACAGGAGGCATTTCCTATAAAGAGCTTGAAGTCTGCTTCCGAGAGCTCAAGTCCCGTATGGATGTCGGGGAGGATGGACTCACTGTTTTCACGGACAATGCATGTTGTGGCAGCTCCTCCAGCTTACGATCGACAAAAGTGGATGCGTGCGGTATCCCAGATCGTCTCATCCAAACCAAATCAAATTGTTTGCATTCTATTCTACGCTTAACGCGGAGTTGCAATTTGCGATCCGTGCGGTATGGCAGCTTCTCCCGCTCGCTCAAGCAGGCCTCTTTCGTATCTCCGAAGGGGGATCTGGAGATTCTGAGGAGCCAGACTGCGAAGGAAGCTGGTGTCGATGGTAACAAAGATGCCAACATCCCGCCGACGTCCAAAAGTGTCTTACGTCGTTTTGTACCAAATGCTGAGATGCTATGGAGGCGGTTAGAGCGCGTGGTGAATTGCTATGTTGCGCTCGACGAGGAGGCCGCTCAGTGTCACGACGCCAATAATGGGTCGGTCACCTTTCTGACAGAAAACTTCTGGATGAAGTACACCAGTCTACTACGGCACATTGACAGCTCCTGTGCCAATGACGACCCTTCCTCTCAAGTTTACATCAAGGATGCGTCTGGCGCATACCGGTGTCGGAGATCTACCTCGCACTGCGAGTCGAGGCATTCCGTGATACGCCGCTCAATGGCATCTCTGACTCGGTGCGGGCCAGCTCTATGGGACGCTCGACTTTTCTGGGATGTCACTATGGCGCATCGGAGAACCACCGGTGGTGGTTCCCAACAACTCGGTGGTAGTCCACCACCGAGTTGTTGGGCGCGCCCGTCACTTCCATCCCTTTCATTCTCGAGGAGCTGAGTCTTACGGATGCCTCGGGCAAGCCGATGTCTTTCGTAGGGGATGGCAATAGTACTTTCGGCTCCGACTACTTGCGTGACGCAATTTGTGTCAGAGTGACAAGAAGTTGTACGACGATCTGTTCTGATGCACCTGAGACGGATGGAGATGAAGGTTGGGAATATACAGAGACAGAGGGTGAGGGACACCGGGAAGGGATGCCCACAAGGGGCCATTTTGTCGCCGTTGATCTTCGCTACAGTGGTACATAAAATCTGTGAGGAATGTTCCGAAGAATTGGAAAGAGTGCTGCCCAACTGTAGGGTGAGTATCCTCGGCTATGCTGACGATATTTACTTGTGCATTGAGCTCAAGGATCCGAGATCGTGTGAGCAGGCGGAGAGAATAATATCGGAGAGCCTAGACATTGTGGCGCGCATATCTGGGGAGTACGGCCTTCGGCTGAACCAAGCCAAAACAGCAATATGCTGCAACTTTAAAGGGTTGGAGGAACTACCGACGTATAACAAAAGCATGTAAATTCTCGGAATCACGCTCACAGCAACCCACAGCTTTACCCTGCACCTCAAGGAAAGATTACTGAAGGCCAGGCAAGTGACGAATAGGCTAATGTTTATGATTAAGGGGAGATATGGCCTGAACGTAAGGAACTGCCTAAGCATATTGGATAGAGTATTGGTACCCATAGCCACGTATGGTCTGGAGGTATGCTCGCTCAGCTTGTGTAACATATCGTACAAGCGGCAGATTGATTCAATCTACTGTGATTACCTCAGGAAGGCACTTAGGCTTCCGTCGGAAGCCTTCCGAGATCCACCCCGCTACCCTTCATTTATTTGGTGACAAACAGGGCACCGCTGAGCAGGAAGGTATTAGATGGCGTAGTAATACGCCATCATCATACCAAACCGGCAGATGTGCTAGTGAGCAAAAGATCGAAGAAGAAGAGAGAGAAGTGGGAGAGGGAGATAGAGGAGAGAAATATCCCAGCCGGATACGAAGGAGAGGTAGCCTGGAACTCCAAGTCGTATCTGGGGTATTCAATGGACATCCAGCTCTTTGCCGACAAGGAGAGCTCGAT